TAACAGGAAAGACTATAATGGCTGGGGACTTTTCATTTAGGGAGAAGGGAGGTGTGAGGGATAAAGCGAGGAGGGAGAGGAGGGGACCGTTGGCTGCCCTGTTCCGCCTAAGTAGGGCTCATCCTGTTGGGAGTCGTTCGCAGCCCAGCTGCTGGCCATGGCCAAGGCCAGACGGTGCAGAAAGTGATGGTCAGCCCATCAATTTCCTCTTCAGATACCTCCAGAATAGGTCCAGAATTCAGGTGTGGCTGTATGAACAGGTGAGCATGAGGACAGAAGGCTGTATTATTGGATTTGATGAATATGTGAACTTGGTTCTGGGATGACGCTGAGGAGAGTCACAAGACAAAATCAAGGAAACAGCTGGGTCAAATCATGTTAAAAGGAGACAATATTCCTCTTCTACAGAGGAAACTAGAAATGGCTATTGAGTCTGTTTTGCTTATTAGTTTAATCTTTAAACCTATAGAAGAAAATATGCAGTGGTTTAATGGTATCACTCCGAATTCTACCATTGGTGTTTGAAGAGTGAAGAATGAAGCCAGTTACTTAATTTGTGCTTGCATAATTTTCAATAACTTTGGTGTTGAATTGTAGTTCTTTATAAATAAAACTTTTTGTAAGTAAAAAAAAAAATTAGGGAGAAAGGAACATGGTAAGAGGTCTATAAAATTTGTGCAGGATGTTGAGAAAATGGGCAGAGGAGGTTTTATACCTCAATGCAAAGGTAATCAAATGAAACTGATAGATTGGGGATTTCAAGATAGACAAAAGGAAGAACTTCACATGTCGTGCAATGTACAGAACTCGCTGCCGCAGAATTCGGCGATGGCCAGTGGCTTGGATGGCTCTTAGAAGGAGGTTAGACAAATTTGCGGAATAGCATGCCAATGGCCGTTAGTCATGATGGGATGTTATCCAGTGTTCTTTGTGGACGGGTGAGTTTTAATGATGCATCGAATGCAACAGTTGCACTAGCGGAAACTTGTTGCGTAGCAAATGGCCGAGTGGGAAATATACCACTAAGTGGCTGTAACTTAGCACTACATTGCATACAGCTGTACAGATTTCCAGGTTCAGAAACAGTAGTCCTATTAAAACCAGAAACCCGGGAGCACAACAAGTTTTAATGTATTTTTAACCTTCTGTTGGAAGCCGTCCAGGGTGTCTGAGGCAACCCAGCCAGATGGGTGGGGTAGAAATAATAATAATAATAATAATAATATAATTATTAAATATAATTATTATTATTATTATTATTATTATTATTATTATTATTATAACAGGGGGAAACTATTCCCTCCATGGCCTGCTTATGAGCTTCAGAGGCAAGAAATGTGATGCAGAATTAGATGGCTTCTTGCTCTGACCCAGCAGAGGGGTATTCTTAACGTCTGGTTATTCTCACTTTAAATGTTTGTTAACTGCTCTTCATTGCATCGGTAGTTCCAGAGGTTGGGTGCATGAACAATTTTAAAATACAACGTCCAGAGTAAAACACATGCAAATACTCACAATGCCCAGCAAAACAACAATGGACAATAGATTCCAGTGTTAATACCCAACAAACAAACGTATATTCAGCGGGTGCCGAAAAGTCACCAAGATCAACGCCAGTCGTATATCGGAGGGGAGAGACTCCCATGCTGGTGCAGCCAACAAGAAGGCGTAATGTGCTTCAGATAGATCTAACACTACTAGGAGGGGCTTCCCCACAGATCTTAACACTTGGGCAGGTCTGTATGGGAGAAGGCGTTCCTTCGCTTATGTTCGTAAAAGGCCTTTCATTCCCCACTTAGTTTGCAGTCTCGCACCCACGCTTTCTAAAAAATTCCCCATAGGAAGTTCATAGGCTTTGCTTCAGCAGCCTGAGAAACATTTTCTCTTTTTTCATATGATTGCTTTTATTTTCATTTTCTGTTACAGAAAGCCCACGTGCCTAAAGCCAAAACCGCATAACGTCAAAACATTGCGTGCAATGGTGGGCGGGATTGCCATAGTTATTTTCCTGGAACTCCCCCTTTCCACCCCCTTTTTAATTTTTTGCCTCAACACATAAAGCTAAATGTGCACAAGTTAAATGCACATACATTGTGGGCTTATACCTACAAAAACCAGTAGCAGCAGGAAAGAGAAGAGATTTTCCCAGAGGTTAAAATCTGTAATATGACCTATATGTCTTGCCCAGTGTGTCATTGAGGCTTCAACAAGATCATTTTTTGTTTCCCACTCTAATAACAAATTGTACATTTTGGACAAAAGTTTCTCTTTGTTTTGTAAAAGTTCTTTTTCGAATTGTGAGCTTTGGTCCAGAAAACAATTATTTCTATCTTAATTTAAACATTTCATGTAACTGATGGTATTGTAACCAATCCGTAACATGGCTCCTTACATTTTCATTACTTTAAATTTGAGTTCCCCCCTGTAAAGTACAGCAATTCCCTGTAGATTGCCCACTGTCTATCCATATTAACTTTCTTTATTAGGTGCTCTGTAGAGCAGAGAAAAAGTAACCTGTGACGCTGGACTCCCCACACCCAGCGATTCCAGAAGCTGAAGACAATAGGAGTCAGGAGTCTGTTCCATTTGGAATTTTTAAATTTGTTTTATTATTGTAATGGTTTTGGCTGTTTTTTACGGCGGTGTATTCTGCTGCTGTAACCCACTCTGGGATCATATGGTTGAGGCGCTGATAGAAATCTTCTGAACAAACAAAGCATTTCTGCTGTAAAAGGCGATAAGACAGACTTACAAAGAAGCCACCAGAGGGAGAATTGGTAGTGTTCTTTCTTGTTTTCCTTCAGCTATGCCAGTTGTGGCATGCACTAAATAAATAACCTTGGATATGTAGCAATTGAGGAGAGTGGATTTAGAGCTTGTACTGCTTTTTCTAAGTCATTATGCCTGTAAGGGCAAGTTTCCTGTTTACCATCACTATGTCTTTGGCTGGCAACAGCCTGGGGTGATGGAATGCCTGCCACACTGTTGTTATTGTTCATGTGAATTAGTTGGCCGGCTGATAGGGCCAATCCTGATGCCGTTACTAATCCAGAATGCGGCAGCTAGACTGGTGACTGGGAGCGGCTGCCGAGACCACATAACTCTGGTCTTGAAAGACTGACATTGGCTCCCAGTACGTTTCTGAGCACAATTCAAAGTGTTGGTGCTGACCTTTAAAGCCCTAAACGGCCTCGGTCCAGTATACCTGAAGGAGCGTCTCCACCCCCATCGTTCTGCCCGGACACTGAGGTCCAGCTCCGAGGGTCTTCTGGTGGTTCCCTCACTGCGAGAAGCCAAGTTACAGGGAACCAGACAGAGGGCCTTCTCGGTAGTGGCGCCCACCCTGTGGAACACCCTCCCACCAGATGTCAAAGAGAACAACAACTACCAAACTTTTAGAAGACATCTGAAGGCAGCCCTGTTTAGGGAAGCTTTTAATGTTTGATGTCTTACTGTATTTTAATATTTGGTTGGTAGCCACCCACAGTGGCTGGGGAAGCCCAGCCAGATGGGCAGAGTATAAATAAATAAATAAATAAAATTATTATTATTATTATTATTATTATTATTATTATTATTATTACTGTGCCTCCATGCTCTCCAGGAGCAGCTGTGAGCATGCCAGGCATTGCACCTACTTGTTCACTTCAGTTGGCAGATGTCTCTGTGCATGCATTGTGTATATTTGTTTGTGCGTGCACATGCATATGTACACAGAGAACCAAAGCAACAGAAATATCAGTATCGTTTCTGTTTTAGTCACTGCCCCTAGACTGTTGATGGTTATTTACCACCTGCCCTTCCAAGAAGGCTGCTGCTTGCAATAAAGACGGTGCTCCTATACCTACTTACCTGGGAGTAAGCCCCCTTAAATTTGGTGGGACTCCTTCACAAATGAATGGCACTGGAAATCTGTTAAAACATTTTCAGATAAACTATGAGTGGCGTAGGCAGAAGGGACAGATTTTCCAGCCACAACAGGGAACTAAAGGTGCCTAGACCTTCACTGTACTCTCTTCAGCGCCTGCTAAAAACATTCCTGTGTAGGCAAGTCTGCTCAGCGGCTTAGAAAGCTGAGGCAATTCTAATCTGTTTTGGCATTTTAACTTTTGCATGCTGTGATTTTTTTCTTGATTTTACTGTTTTGTCTCCTGTAAACCGCTTTGAGGTGTGTGTTTTTTTTAACCAAAGAAAATCAAGTGGTGTGCCAATTTCATGATGATGATGATTACCCACACATCTGACTGGGCGGCTTGCAGCACATATAAAAACATAGTAAAACGTCAAACAAAAAAAACCTCCCTGATACAGGGCTGCCTTTCAGATATCTTCTAAAAGTTGTGTCGTTATTTCCTTGACATCTGATGGGAGGGCACCCCACAACAACAACAATAATAATAATAAATGTTATTATGTATACCCCACCCATCTGGCAGGGTTTCCCCAGCCACTCTGGGCAGCTTACAGCATATATAAAAACATAGTAAAATGTCAAACATTAAAAAAACTTCCTGATACAGGGCTGCCTTCAGATGTCTTCTAAAAGTTGTGTAGTTCTTTATTTCCTTGACATCTGATAGGAGGGCGCCCAACAACAATAACAACAACAAATAATGATGATGATGATGATAATAATAATAATAATAATAATTTTATTATTATGTATAATAATAAAGGTTGTGTAGTTCTTTATTTCCTTGACATCTGATAGGAGGGCGCCCAACAACAATAACAACAACAAATAATGATGATGATGATGATGATGATAATAATAATAATAATAATAATAATAATAATTTTATTATTATGTATAATAATAAAGGTTGTGTAGTTCTTTATTTCCTTGACATCTGATGGGAGGGCCTTCCATGATGATGATGATGCCCGCCGCTGTCCCCCCTGCCCCACACCCCTTTCGCCGCCCCCGCCCCCGCCCGGCCCTGACAGGAGCCGTTTCCAGGCGGGGCCGGCGCCGCCACTCCGCTTCCCTTCGGGGGTCAGAAGGCAGGGGAGGCGGGGAGAGGAGGAGGCGGAGGCGGAGGCCGGGCCGCGCGGCGGAGTCCGCCTCCCTCCAGTCAGGCAGCAGCTCGCGGGAAGCGCTCGGGTGCTGGCTCGCTGGCTCGCTCGCTCGCGCGTGGAGGCCATGGCGTGGCCGGAGGCGGCGCGGAGCTTCGTGGGGACCCTCCTGAGGGACTTCCCGAGGCCGCTGGGCCCGGACGACGCGCCGCCCTGGAGCCCGGCGCCGGGCCGCCTGGGGTCCCTCAGCCAGGCCGAAGCGCCGGCGGAGCTGGCCGAGTTGGCCCGGACCTTCTTGGGCAGCAGGTAGGGGCCGGAGAGAGAGAGAGAGAGGCCCCGGGGGGAGCCTGAGGAGGGGCCGCGGGTGGCGGAGCGAGAGGCGGCGCGGCGGGAAGTTGCGCCCGGGGCGAAAACTGGGCGCGGAGTTGGGAGAGCGAAGCTAGGGCTGGGTCTTGCAGAGCGGGCAGGGAGCGGGAGGTGCACACGTGTGTGTGTGTGTGTGTGTGTGTGTGTGTGTGTGTGGATCGTGGGGTCACTAGTGCAAAGGTGAGGCAGCAGCATGAGTACATATGGATTGTGGGCTCACGAGTGCAAGGGTGAAAGTGTCTCAAATGCATATGGATTGTGGAGTCAGTAGTGCAAGGGTGAAAGTGTCTTGAGTGCACATGGATTGTGGAGTCAGTAGTGCAAGGGTGAAGGTTTATTGAGTGCACATGGATTGCGGGCTCACAAGTGCAAGGGTGAAAGTGTCTCAAATGCATATGGATTGTGCAGTCAGTAGTGCAAGGGTGAAGGTGTCTTGAGTGCACATGGATTGTGGAGTCAGTAGTGCAAGGGTGAAGGTTTCTTGGGTGCACATGGATTGCGGGCTCACAAGTGCAAGGGTGAACGTGTCTCAAATGCATATGGATTGTGCAGTCAGTAGTGCAAGGGTGAAGGTGTCTTGAGTGCACATGGATTGTGGAGTCAATAGTGCAAGGGTGAGGCAGCGTCATGAGTGCATATGGTTTGTGGAGTCAATCGTGTGAGTGAGGTTGTGTTTTGAGTGCAAATGGGCTCCTTGGGGAGGAAGGGGGGGTATAAATTCATTTTATAATAATAATACGTAGCACAGTCCCCGTGCCAGTGCATTTTGTGCCCTAGGCAAGGCTAAGTACTTACACGCACACACAAACCCGATTGATAACCCCAGTTTTCAAAAACAGATGTCTTGTGGAAGTGATAAAATTCTTCAAAATATAACATAAAGGTAAAATAATGTCAGAAATGTATATGATATAATAAAAACTAATGTATATTAAACTTTGCCCCCTGAAGGTCAGTACTGCGCCCCTCTGAAGTCTGCAGCCTAGGCAGTTTGCCTAATGATAGCAGCAGCCCTCTAGGTAGGAAGAGTGGACTTACTAAAGTAGGACTAGGGTGCATGTGTGAGCTCACATCGTGAATGCACAGATAGGAAGGGTTGACTTATTCAGGCAAGTGTATAGACTGTGGAGAGCATCATCAATAGTGCATGTGTGTGGAAGGTGTACTTGGAGGTATGGATGAGGTCAAAGGGTGCATTCTTGGGGTTCCTGATGCATGCAGGAGGAAAACAGGATTTTTAGGGCATGCATGTGGGGGAATTTTATGAGAGTGTATGACTGGGGTCATAGGTGCACATATGGGGCAGGTGTGCAAGCATATGGATGAAGCCATAGGGTGTGCATGTGGCTGTTATTAGCGCATGTGGGAGAAGGAGGGAATTATTAGTGATTATATGAAAGAGTGGGGGCAAATGACTAGTTCCTGCTGGAAGAAACATGGAAGAGAAGTGAAAGGAGACTGTTTCAAAAAGAATGGGCCGCCTTGGGAATTGAACAGTGACTGCTAACGGTACAGGCAAGGCCTACAAATGGACTGCAGATCCTAATGTAATTGTTTTTATGGAAATAAGCAGTTCTGCCCCAGTGGGAGGGAGCCTGGGTAACTCACAGGTGCTGCTTTGAGCACAAGGAGGGCAAGACATAGTTTTAACAACTACCACTTCTGCATTTAATGGATGGCTGTGGGTTAAACCACAGAGCCTAGGACTTGCCAATCAGAAGGTCGGCGGTTCGAATCCCCTCAACGGGGTGAGCTGCCATTGCTCGGTCACTGCTCCTGCCAACCTAGCAGTTTGAAAGCACATCAAAGTGCAAGTAGATAAATAGGTACCACTCCGGCGGGAAGGTAAACGGCATTTCTGGGCGCTGCTCTGGTTCGCCAGAAGCGGCTTAGTCATGCTGGCCACATGACCCAGAAGCTGTACGCCGGCTCCCTTGGCCAATAAAGCGAGATGAGCGCCGCAACCCCAGAGTCGGTCACGACTGGACCTAATGGTCAGGGGTCCCTTTGCCTTTACCTTAAGTGAACTAGGCATGAAGTGAACTAGGCATCTAGTTTTTTCGCTTTTCAACTTAATTAGAAACAAGGAATGGATACCAACTGCAAATACAGGACTAGACAAACTTGGCGGTTTTGAAGTTTTTAGCCCATTTTCTAGGGAGTTGGAAAATTATCTGATACAAAGTGAAAATTAGATTACTTCACCTAGGAAATTTATTGGGGGGGAGTGAATCAAGAAAACCCACACTGCTGGGTGAACCACAAGCCAAATTCATGAGTGCTGCTTCAAGAGGAATTTGGAGTGGTGTGCCCAACCCAATAATTTTTGGACTGTTGACTTCAAATGTTATTCTGAAAATGGCAAACATTGCTTTTCTACTTAACTCTCAAAGGTATGAAATGTATTCTCGCATGTACTAAAATATGTTGAGAGCTTTGTGTGTGTGCAAATACCTGCTGTGGTAGCGGTAGGTGGTTTGAACAGAACCGGGGAAGAATGGGTAGAAAAAGCACCTACCTATATTGCCAGAATTGTGCAAATGTGAAGCAGTGCCCATTATAGAAGAGCCACAAAGCAACATTTATTTGGCTTTTGAGAGGTCCGGCTGGGCCACTGTGGAGCTGTTGTGGTTTTGGAGCTCTGTTGTTCAGATACACAATTATTTGCATTTGATTGCCACACATAATGAATGAGTGAATTTATTAATACGGTCACAGACCAGCGTCAACACACACAATATCACAGAGCATAAAAAATAAAATAAAATAAAAATCAGAAATACAGAGGACAATACGAGTATAACAAGGATTTAAATATAAAAAATTAAAATTAATTATTAGCGTGCCCCCTGTAATTAACATTTGGGGGTTTGGTCATTATGGGATACCACTTGCTTCCTGCGATTAATTGCAGACGCACAGAATTTGGCTACATTTGATGTAGTCTTGGGATTCTTGTCCTCTAGCAGTAGTTTTAAACTATGGTGTTCCGATTCTTTCCTGGACTTTTGCAAAACAGGTGTAATAAAAGTCAAACGTATATCCTCATAAAGACGACAACGTAATAGTACATGTGAAGCAGTTTCAACTTCCAACGAGCCACAGGGGCAAACCCGTGCTGTGTATGGTTTACCCTCAAATCTGCCCCCACACATAATAATAATAATAATAATAATAATTTTTATTTATACCCCGCCCTCCCCAGCCAAGGCCGGGCTCAGGGCGGCTAACAAGCAATAATAAAAACATGTTGAATGAATGCAACTTAAAAACAAGATTAAAACATTAAAATATTGAAAGATTAAAATATTAAAATGCAGCCTCATCACAGGAGGAGAAAGGAAAAAGAAAGAGGGGGAGGGAATCAAATTGGCTCCAAGCCAAAGGCCAGGTGGAACAACTCTTGTCTTACAGGCCCTGCAGAAAGAAATCAGATCCTGCAGGGCCCTGGTCTCATGAGGCAGAGCGTTCCACCAGGCCGGAGCCAGTGTTGAGAAGGCCCTGGCTCTGGTTGAAGCTAATCTAACTTCTTTAGGGCCCGGGACCTCTAGGGTGCTGCTATTTATGGACCTTGAGGCTCTCCGTGGGGCATACTGGGAGAGGCAGTCCCGTAGGTACGAGGGTCTTAGGAGGATGCAGCCATTAGGAATTTTGGGGCAAAGTGCCATCAGTACACTGATGACACACAGCTCTGGTTCTCCATAGCATCTGAGTTAGGTGAGGCTGTGTACAAACTGGACCATTGTCTGGGCACGGAAATGGAGACTGGGTTGGTAGTTCCTGCGTCCTGGAAACTTGGCCTCTTCTGGATGGGGTTGCACTCCCTCTGAAAGAACAGGTTCAGCGTTTAGGGTCTCCTGGGTCCATCTTTGTCACTGAAGCTCAGTTGGCCTGAGTGGCTAGGAGTGCCTTTTACCAGCTACAGATGGTTTGCCATCTACGGTCGTTCTGGGACAGGAATGGTCTGGCCACAGTGATCCATTCACTGGTATCCTCAAGACTCCATTATTGAAGTGAGCGCACACTATGTGGGGCTACTTTTTGGTTCCAGCAGTTGCAAAACACTGCAGCTAGACTGTTGATGGGGACAGACTCATAGCTGTCAACGTTTTCCTTTTTTTAAGGGAAATTCCCTTATTCCGAATAGGATTCCTCGCAAGAAAAGGGAAAAGTTGACAGCTGTGGACAGACTACTGCCAGCACATAACTCCATTACTCTAAAGTATGCACTGGCAGCCCATATGCGACTGGGCCTGGTTCAAGTTTCTTGCATTTATTTACAAGGCCTTTAACAACTGGGCCCAGAGTACCTCAAGGACTGCCTAATCTAGTGGTGTCCAAACTTTTTTCAGAGAGGGCCAGATCTGATGAAGTGAAGGGCCATGACCTTTTTTTAGAATTGAAGTTGTTGAGGTTTTTAGGATTTTACCACAGGAAATAAATTGCCACAAGGACTGAATTAAACCAACCAGCGGGCTAGGTTAGGCCCCCAAAACGGACTTTGGACATGCCTGGCCTAATCCATTATATCCCTGCCCGATCACTGAGGTCTTTGGGGAAGTCACTATTAGTGGTCCCCCATGGCACGGATGCAGAGCTCAGATCTACCAGGAGCCAAATTTTATGGAAATCATTTCCAGTTAAGGTTGGACAGGCCCCCCTCCCTGAATTTTAATTTTTATTTTAATTCAAAGCAGGCATTTTAATTGAAGTTTGAGTTTATCGTTTCAATCAATATTTATATTTGTACAGTGGCACGGTGGTTTAAGAACAGCTTAGTTTATGAACAACTTGGATTAAGAACGCTGCAAACCTGGAAGTAGGTGTTTTGGTTTGTGAACTTTGCCTTGGAAGCAGAACATGTTGAGTGTGTTCCATTTGTAATTTGAGGCCCCCGCTGCTATGGGAAAGCACGCCTTGGTTTAAGAACGCTTTGGTTTAAGAACGGACTTCCGGAACGGATTAAGTTCATAAGCCAAAGTACCACTGTATAGTATCTTTGTAAATCAGGCATAGGCAAACTCGGCCCTCCAGATGTTTTGGGACTACAACTCCCATGATCCCTAGCTAAGAGGACCAGTGGTCAGGGAATTGTAGTCCCAAAACATCTGGAGGGCCGAATTTGCCTATGCGTGTTGTAAATGAATTGGAGACTAGTGTGGTTAAGGAGCAAATAAATGGTTGTTGTTTAAAACACATCCCAGTGCAGAAGAGACAGAGCAATGTCTTGATGTTGGGAAGAGGAGAGTGGGGGTTCTTAACTGTGAATGGAAGAACAAAATCATACTAAACTGTAGTAGAGCACCCTGCAAATTGATTTCACCTACCAAATTGTGATAAATAAAAGCTTGATGGCTTATAAATATTGGTCACAATTTGTTTTTAAAAATCCTTGGTAGGTTGCACAATGGTTCCTCTCCTGAGTCAGAATTAACCAGTTATCCTATGTGTGTGTGCGCACATGTGTGATTAAAGAGGCACTACAAGGTTTTGCTATGACTGACATGGCACTGTGGTCTCACATTGTCCTTTCCTGCTACTGCCCTGATTTATAGCATTTATATTTTTTGTATGAAAGTTTTGGGTGAATTTCTGCTGTTGCTGCGTCTGTTGATCTGTGTTAAGTATCTAACCACCTTGTTAGTTTTGTTAGCTAGCAAAATAAGCTAAAAGACTTCAGATTTTGTACAGTTGCATATATTATTATTATTATTATTATTATTACTCCCCACTTTTCCCCCTGATGGAACTGAGGGCAGCTTATAGATAAAAAAGAACTGACAAAAACCATAAGAAAAACAATCATTAAAAACAATTAAACATTGATAAAATTAAAACGATATACATATATAAAATACATTAAAACCTAAGCATCATTAAATAAGTTTTATGAAATGAGATGAAAGGGATTTAGAGAGGATTGTAAAACAGTCAGCTTCTTGTGCATTAAAAAATTGTCAGTTTGAATTAAAAATTAAACTCTTCTGTTTTCATAGTGGTGTTTATTGTTTTACTGTCCTTTTAAGAGATGCAAAATGTTCACTCTCATTTCATTTTCTCACATTAGCAATGGCAGTAAAATGGTACAATCAGCTATATAAATAGGGCCAAACTATACAAGACTAGTTTGGATCCTTGGATCTTTTGTAAATCAAATTTATCCGGTCCTTGATTTTGTTGTAATGCTGCTATTTCAGCGTGCTCTTCTGTTTTTGTCTGCTTTTATTTGTTTTAGATGATGGTCTTGTTCCTTTACGGCTCTTTGCTTTTTAATTGGGGTTGTTATCTTGTATTCTGTATCTTCTCCTGGTATCTTTACAGGTGAAGAGTAGGTATAAATATTTTAATAAATATTTCGGGACAAAAAATTTTAAAGCTTGATGTTGGTTGAATCTATTAATGTCTTTCCATCTTTTTTTCTTTTCTTTTTTGCATGGGATATGGTAGAAACTTTGATGCTCTCCTGAGAATAAGCGCTTTGTGGCCAGGGCCGTTTCTCTTCTACAGTTAAATACAACTTATCTACCATGTTCCCTATGCTCTTTAAAAGTAATGTTTGTTGTCTACTATTATGGGTTAAACCAGGCTTCCTCAACCTCGGCCCTCCAGATGTTTTGAGGCTACAATTCCCATCATCCCTGACCACTGGTCCTGCTAGCTAGGGATCATGGGAGTTGTAGTCCCAAAACATCTGGAGGGCCGAGGTTGAGGAAGCCTGGGTTAAACGCAAGCCTTCAAAACTCCCCTAAATGAAAGGCTTACTTTGTGCTGTCAAAGCAGGGAGAGATCAGTGAAGAAAAGAGAGGGAGGAAATAAATTCTGCTTCCACTAAGGAACAGAGGCAGTTCCGTAACAGGCTGTGTACAGCTAATTCATTTCTTTGGGGAATGCAGGGGATAGGAAGTCCAGCATTCTGGTTTCTGTGTGTGGTGGAAAAGGGACCTCAAGACCTTCTGTAAATAGAGATGGAACTATATAATTTGACAGGCTAGATCCTTCCATTATTTTCTTAATTAGTGCAGAGTCTCTTCTGAAACACACATAATTATACAGTTGAAATATCATTGTGTAAACCTAGAGGAGGGGCAGTTATAGGGACAAAGCTGGAAAAATCATAGGTGGCTATTTTTTTGTATGGGTGCATAGGCGCATAACAATCTGAAATATTAGTTCATTCAGCCGTTCCAAGGGTGTAGTTCAGGGGTCAGCAAACTCTTCCAGCAGGGGACCGGTCCACTGTCCCTCAGACCTTGTGGGGACTGGACTATATTTTGCAAAAAACAAATGAACAAATTCCTATGCCCCACAAATAACCCAGAGATGCATTTTAAATAAAAGGACACATTCTACTCATGTGAAAACACGCTGATTCCCGGACCGTCTGTGGGCCGGATTTAGAAGGCAATTGGGCCAGATCTGGCCCCCAGGCCTTAGTTTGCCTACCCATGGTGTAGTCTTTTGCTATGCAAAATTTACAGCTTGAGCCTCCTTTTCTGTGTTTCACGTTAGTTAGTTCAGTCAGAGCCTTTAATTCAATTGTAACTGCTGAACAATTTAAAAACAATCCTGAAAAGGCCTGGGTCATATTTGCAAATGGTGAACACTGTGTTTTCCTTTTTGTTTCTAAAGTTAATATTAAATCAATAATACCCCCATTCTTTCTGGGGTTAGAAAAAGAACGGTAAAATGTGTGGCTGTGTTTAATGTATTCAGAACTATCTTTGGTCAAAACATGCTTTGATGAAGAATGTTTTCATTTAACATTAAGACTGATTTGTGGCAGTTTGTGATTTGACATGTTTCTTTGAAAATGTTAATTTTTCAACTAAGGGTAAGCTGTTCATTGTTAAATTCTACTAAACACTGGTGTAGTTTGGATTCAAAACTATTTATCTAGCTAAAGCAAATTTAAAGTCAACTTAAAGGTAAAGGTACCCCTGCCCGTACGGGCCAGTCTTGACAGACTCTAGGGTTGTGCGCTCATCTCACTCTAGAGGCCGGGAGCCAGCGCTGTCCGCAGACACTTCCGGGTCACGTGGCCAGCGTGACAAGCTGCATCTGGCGAGCCAGCGCAGCACACGGAACGCCGTTTACCTTCCCGCTGGTAAGCGGTCCCTATTTATCTACTTGCACCCGAGGGTGCTTTCGAACTGCTAGGTTGGCAGGCGCTGGGACCGAGCAACGGGAGCGCACCCCGCCGCGAGGATTCGAACCGCCGACCTTTCAATCGGCAAGTCCTAGGCGCTGAGGCTTTAACCCACAGCGCCACCCGCGTCCCCCCAAAGTCAACTTAGCCTCTCTCTATTAAGGAATGCTTCCTATTTCATATTTATTATTCTCCCCGGTGGTGAATTGTTACTTTGCTTAAAATAACAATTTTACCAAGTTTTAACCATGCAAATAGGTGAACGTGTGCAATTTTCTGAATACTATTATTATTACGGTAATAGCTCTTTCAAGTTATGTCTGAAGAACTGTCCTGAATGCAGACATGGTTCCACCTTGGTTATATTTGTTGCAACTAAGCTGTAGCATGACAGCTGGAAAAGTATCTGTTCAGTGGTTCTGAATTAGCAATTTTGTGGTTCAGTGTTGGCTGGTATGTCTGCTTCAATAAACTCATTTCTCAATGGTAGACAAAATGTTGCTAGATTGTGCATTAAAAATGTGTTTCCCTTAGGACACAGTCCACACTTTATTTAAAGCATTTTTGACCTGTTCTTCAACTGGAGTGAGGGAGAAGGATTTGGAAATGCTTAAAATACCAACAATGAGACCGTCCTTGCCCTCAGGTTTACAGTCTGAAAGACACAGTATAAAAGGAAAAGAGATTGGGGAGGGAAGAGGAAAAGAGCAAACCCACTGCTATGGCCTGACAGAATGACTGATCCTAGATCACTCATCGGTGCTTAGACAGTCTCTGGCAAGGGATGCCTCCCACTAGGATTAGGGATTGTTTTTGGCCGTGCTTCTCTTCCCAGTCCCCAGCTCTAAGCTATATGGGGAGGTGAACCTCCAGAAGTTGGAGATGGGAGCAGGGGTTTAACTGTGCTTTGGTAGTGCAACATGAGGTTAGGGAGAAGACCCTGCTCTGTTGTGATAGAGCAGGGGTCAGCAAACTTACTGCGCCTCAGACCGGTATCTCCAGCGCTGATCGCGCGGCGGGCTGGAGGGTGGGGGAGCATGTGCCCATACGCGTGCGCATACGCTATTTCCAGTGCACTTCTGGGTTGGAGGAGCACCGGAAATAGCTTGTGCGCATGTGCACAGGCCTCCTCCGACCCGGATGTGCACCGGAAATAGCGCATGCACAAATAACGCTTGCGCATGCGCACAAGCTATTTCCAGTGCTCCTCCGACCATGCAGCACAGCGCCGGTAAGAGTGGGGGGTGGCAGCGGGCGGCGGGGGTCACCGTGGGTCGGATAAACGAGTCCCTCGGGCCTTATCCGGCCCACAGGCCTTAGTTTGGAGACCTCTGTGATAGAGGCCAGCTACAATTTCTGGACCTTGTGAAAACATCTTGAAATAAATAAATTAAAACCTCTCCCCGCCCGCAAAGTGCAACACTTTGTTATAAAGCTTGGGCTGTGTTTCATCTTTCCTGACACTCTTTATGTTAATGCAAGAAGGAGCTGAACAGTAGCTGCATATTTTGCATTCCTGCCCTGGAGCTAGTGTTTGTTAGAGAGACTCTGTGAGGCTCAAAATTACTTATATCCCCAAGATTCCAAAACTGCCAAGACTTTTCCCAACTTTTTTTTATTCCTTTTCGACCACAAGAATTCTCAGGGAGGGAGTCTCCAACTCTTCCACCCAACAGAACCTGGCTGTCTGAGACTTTGTGCTCTTGCTGTTTCTGTGGGTAAGAAATGTATGTAATTGGAGTAAAATTGCTCCTGAGAGCTCCTGGGTTTGAAAGAACAACTGTTAATGGCTTGACCAGATTTGTTTTGGCATTTTACAAGTATGCTTGAACTGTTGCACTGGGATGTTCTGCAAAAGGGGACTCACCTGTAGAGCTTTCATTGAGAATTTTGGCCAAGAGATTAATCTCATCACACACACCCACCCCAACAAAACCCACCATCCTTATATTGCCCCCAAACCAACAGACTAACAGACAACTAACCAATTTATGGTAATCTCCTAACCTGTTAGCAACTCCTGCCTCAGTGCTTACCCTGGTGATGGGCAGCCAGTTATATTGGCCTGCAACTCCTTTACCATTAGCCACGCAGGTTTGGGCTGATGGGAGTTGTAGTCTAACAAGACTGGGAAGACCACGACCAAGTTACCCATTCCTGGCTTAGATAAATACTGACTGAGATATTCTAGCTAGCAATGCAGTTTACACGTCCCCCAATAATTCATTGAACTTGGCAGAGCTTACTTCTGAGTAAGCATACACACAATGGTGCAACCCGTTTACTCATTCCAGGTGTCTGTAGGCTTGGCAGGATTACTAGGTGGTGAAAGAGAGAAGCAGACTGAACACGCTCGTAAATTATTTGCAAGCCAACCCGAATATGATAACGATAGACCCAATGTATGGATGGGTGCAAAAGACTTGGAATCAGGGCCCATAGTTTAAGAATTCCAGCTCAAATTAAATCCTGAAAATGATCCTTCTCCTGTTTTGGGAGGTGGGAATCCTACCATGTGAACCTAGCGCAGGCTTGTAAAATAACTTCAATAGCCTTCCTTCCGTCCTCTTTTTTTACTAGCCTGCTTGGGGCTGGCAGAAAAGGGACAGAGAGCACCATTCTCCTTGAAGCAGCCCCACTGCTTTTTTGCTAGGTGCAGCGGAGGGGTGGAGAACTCCAGCCTTCAGCTGTGTACACACCATATGTTAAAAGTACATTTAAAGCACATGGCTTCCCCCAAAGAATCATAGTCGTTGTAGTTTACCCCTCGCAGAGTTTCAGTTCCCGGCTCCCTTAACAAACTACAGTTCCCAGGATTCTTTGAGAGAGGTCACTTGCTTTAAAAAGCGTGCATATGCAGCCTTCGCCTGCCAGCCTGCTCAGTCGCCTGCATGGAATTGCTTCTCAGCTATGGCTGTCCGTCTACTGCCTTAAATGCACGCCTGCCCAGCTAGAGCTTATTATATTATATGTTACGTTACCTGGGTGAAGGGCAAACCATGAGGTAACAGAATTCTGTTTTATCACTAGGAAATAGCAGTTTGCCTTCTGAAAGCACAGATATATTCATGGCTGCCCCTGCAAATCTTTCCTCTCCCATTAATGGAGCTGCTTCAAAAAAAACAAAAAACAAAACCCCATCCGTTCAGCATTATTCCTTTTGATGTGCAGTGTGGCAGCCACATTCCCTACGCTCACCACAAGCAACGGTTGACCATTTTGTGACCCTTTCCCCTTCTTATTCCTCCTGCCCCACTATTTTTGTTTGGTTCTTCTAAATCTGTGCATTCTCCCTTTGCAACACTGCTATGCACTCTTTCTCCTTATGTGAAAGAAAATGGCAACCACGAGTCTGTAAGTGGTGATGTACACAACATACATTTAAAGCACCGCTCCCAAAGTGTCTTGGGAACTTTAGTTTGTCAATGGCACTGGGAATTGTAGCTCTATGAGGAAACTACAGTGATATCTCAGGTAAAGTACTTAATTCATTCCGGAGGTCCGTTCTTAACCTGAAACTGTTCTTAACCTGAAGCACCACTTTAGCTAATGGGGCCTCCTGCTGCCGCTGCGCCACTGGAGCATGATTTCTGTTCTTATCCTGAAGCAAAGTTCTTAACCTGAAGCACTATTTCTGGGTTAGCGGAGTATGTAACCTGAAGCGTATGTAACCTGAAGCGTATGTAACCCGAGGTACCACTGTACCAGTTCCCAGGATTCTTGAGGGGATGTACTTTAAATATACTGTGCGTATGCAACCATAGCTTTCTGCAACAATGCTATCCATTTCTCATGTACTATCACTATCACTCTCATGTACACACTAGTACTGCGACTAGCACAATTGCTCCTGAAGAAGTGTGCTTGCACACAAAAGTTCATACCAATAACTAACTTAGTTGGTCTCTAAGGTGCTACTGGAAGGAATTTTTTTATTTTGTTTTGACTATGGCAGACCAACACGGCTACCTACCTTTAACAATTGCTCCTGTTAAGAATAAAACATGACTTAATGCTAGGCCAGTTTTTTGGGGGGAAAGGGGTGTTTGTTCACCTAGCTCTCCACTTCGCTTTTTCCAAACAGGAAGCAAAGTATTGTTCATGCCAAAAGATGCAGTTTGTATCCTGCAGGAAATTCTGGGAGGGAAGAAGGATGCTATTGTTGACATCAGTTTCCAGCACAGAATCCAGTTGCTTTGAGAAAAAGAGAATAACAGGAAGTGCCTCGGATTAGCTCATAATAACTGAAAACAATCCCCTTGCAAGCATGCATAGAATGGGCAGAAGTCCTTCCAATGTAAACTGGATCTTATATGTGTGAATCCTAAAAATGAAATACATAGATAAGAGTACAGTACAGAATAGGTTGCTATGAGTTGTACTACTCTGGGGTGAACCATGGGTTTGGTTCACTTTTTTTTTTTTGCCACAGCCAAAAAAAGTTAAAATGTACCAAAAGATTATTACTCTTCATTATAGAAATCTGGTGGTATTTACTTAATAGGAACAGTGTTGTTACCTTGTATTTGCATCATCCCTTCCTCCAAATGCTGAACAAAAAACCACCACCATAATAATAATTTTATTATTTATACCCCACCCATCTGACTGGGTTGCCCCAGCCAACTGCCCTGCAAATCATGAAGAATAGATGTGTGAGTCGGAATCGTAAACGTACTTCATTTTAGACTTTCATCAACTGCTTTTCCTTGGCTATGCAGTCCATTTCAGTCCCTTTCCTTTCTTTCCATAACAGGAATGCACCGCCACTCCTTGCAGCATCTTTGATTCATGCTGCCATCCACGATATTTTGCAGACGGATCTTAATGAGTTTAAAAAGCAGAATGTGGAAGGGGAGGAAGCTGGAGATCACGAGACGGAGCCCTGTAAGTATATTTGCCTCCCAAAGTAATATGGGAGTCTGAGCTCAAGGTCATTACTATTCAAGTAGATGTAACTCAACCTCTTTTATTTTCATTAATTTAAAACATTTTTATACCACTCTCCATCAAAATTGACTCCAGGATTGTTTACAGTAGTTTATGCGACATCCAGGTAAATTTACAATTCTTACAAGCATCATCATTGGCACATTTTTAGTCCGAAAAAGAACAGTATTGGCACCTTGAGGGCATTCCACTAATGGCATAATCACAGCCAAAAAGGTTAGCTAACACAGTGCAGTAATATAACCAGGAGGTTACCAGAGAATGGATGCAAGCTGGTGTTCTTGATGTTGCTAGATGGCAGAATTAGAAATAGTGCTTTTATTGTTTTCTGTCGTTTGAGAATTTCATTGCACAAGACACGGCACAGCTGCAGAACAAAGATAGCCCTTGATGAAAACCAGCAGGTTGTTGCAACAAAGCAAAGGAGAACAGTAAGACAACATTGATCAGCATGACTAGCGGCATTTGGTCTTTCTGCACCAGCCCAAGGAATTGTTGGCATCCTGCTACAATATTTTGAAAAATGGGGACTATCAAGATCCAATTATCATGTTAGTTTTTGATGATGGCAGTGAAGTTGCTAACCAGGGGAGATTTGATTTGATTTAAATCAAATCGATTTAAATCACTATTTAAATCAAATCGATTTAAATCACTATTTAAATCACGGTTTAAATCACTAATCAGTAAGACTTGATTTAAATCATTTTTTTTTTACAGAAAGACTCATTGTTGCTGGTATAATCTTAATATTTACAACCAGATGAAGGTTTCATTTTTGGAATAAAATTTTTTCAGTAGTTTTTACAGTTATATACTGATTTGGTTATACTATAGTATTAGAAATACTTAGACAGATAATTATGAAATTATTGTGAGGTTTAATAAGTTAACTGTTTATATTTGGAAAACTTTTCTGCTGTACTTTATTGGAAGGAGAAAAATAATCATTTCCTTAATAACAGTTTAAACAATTTACAGTTATACCTCGGGTTACATACGCTTCAGGTTGTGCATTTTCGGGTTGCACATGGCGCCGAACCCGTAAGCAGCGGAACAGGTTACTTCCGGGTTTTGGCGCTCGCGCATGTGCAGAAGTGCTAAATAGCACTATGCACAAAAGCGCCGAATCGTGACCCGCGCACACACAGACGTGGTGCTGCAGGCTGCGAACGTGCCTCCTGCACGGATCACATTCGCAACCCGAGTGTCCACTATATATAGCTAAAGCAGTAACATTATAGCATATGTATCCATGTTTGTTAACTGATGTGGTTAAACTTTTTTTAAAAACAACAACACACACCTTAGAGTTTTAGCACACATGAAAAACTTAAAACAAATCCTTATTTCCTGATGAGTAGCCTTTGGACTATAATTTAACCTAAATAGAATACTATCTTTAGAAAGATTTTTTTCCTCCAAAAGCATTTTATTTTAAAAATTCCAATTTAAATTTAAAAAATCTGATTATTTTTATTTTAAAAAAAACATTGATTTTTGTCCACCCTGTTGCTAACAGCGTTTCATGTTCAGTCATGCAAATGGCATGTCTCTGCCATTGAAGAGAATGGGATGGTTACTGTATTTACAGGGAACCCAGTGGAGCCCAGTAGTTCCAATCCTGTGGGTTGTCACAGTTTCTCAGCCTTGTTTTTCTGTCTGCAGAGTGGGATTCAGATGGATGTAGGGATTAGATCCAAACAACCATGAGCAGAAGTGGGGAACGCCACTAGTGTGGTTCTGTGAACGTTTACACATTTGCACAGTGCTGTGATCAGTTGCAGGTGTTCGGCTTATGCGAGACATTGCAAAAACTCTTGTCTAAACAGATTAACCTCCTTAGGTTTGACCTCTCTTTTCTTGCACAGCGCTTTAGGGTAAAACAATCCTTGGGAAAAACATAGGAAGCCACATTATACCAAATCTGACCATTGGCCCATCTAGCTCAATAGATTGGGCTCTCCAGAGTTTAAGGCAGGGGAGATGTCAGGGATTTAGCCTGGGACATTTTGCACGCAAAGCACCATTGAACCGCTGACTTCCTGTGAGCAGGGAACACCCCCCACAAGCAGAAGGGGAACCTTTGGATTCAAGCCAGCAGTTTGGGTTTCATACAGTAAAAATTGCAAATCACCTGACAGACTAAAATGCTATACACATGCCTATTAATGATACATTTCCTGTAATGTCCCCCAAGATTTGATCTTCCTAGTTGGCTTTAATATCCTATTTGGGGGCAGTTAAATAGAGTGTTGCTTACTGTTGCGGAAGGATGTGGCTTTATGTCACGCAAGCGTGAATGAAAAAGCAAAAACGCCCTTCCTCCTTTTCTTCGCTAGAATGTGGTGGTGGATGAAATTGACAACGATGCGGCTAAGACTGCCGTGCAGACATAAACCCACATGTACCTAAACTGTCTTGAAGCAATCATAGCCACTTATTATTATTACTCAGCTCTATAATAACCGAGCCTCTCGCTTTCCCTCCTAACCATTCCTCTCTCCAGCTACTCTTTGTATCTGTCACCAACATTACCATCTGTTCTGTAAGCCGAGCACGAAGCCTTTGATCCCTCCCTCTTCCCCCTCCTACTCTTAGACTTCTCTGTTCCTTCGGTTTTCAAGGGGATGCCAGTTCTTGTTTTACATCACTCATGCAAAGTTTATATCCCACCTTTCCTCCTAGGAGCTTGAGACCACGTGTGTGGTTCTCTCTTCTCCTCTCCTCACCCCATTTATAGACAGAACAACCCTGTGAGATAGATCCGGCTGAGAGGAAGCAAATTGCCCAAGGTCACCCACTGAGCTTCCTGACTGAGTAGGGTCCCAGGGACCAGCAAACTTTTTCAGCAGGGGGCTGGTCCACTGTCCCTCAGACCTTGTGGGGGGCCGGACTATATTTTGGAAAAGAAAGAAAAAAAACACGAATTCCTATGCCCCACAAATAACCCAGAGATGCATTTTAAATAAAAACACACATTCTACTCATGTAAAAACACGCTGGTTCCCAGGCCGGATTTAGAAGGCGATTGGGCTGGATCCGGCCCTCGGGCCTTAGTTTGCCTATCCATGGAGTAGGGAGTCGAACTGTGGTTTCACAAAACCCCATCTCTCTCTCTTCTGCCTGCTTGGGTGTTCATCCTCCAGTGAAGGATGTTGTTGAGAATGTCTGCAGTTTTTCCAGGGTTGTTGCAAAAAACGTTACAGCAAATTTGGGCTGGGTTGATTTTTTACTGTTTGGCAAGGTGGCCAGAATTATGGCAGACAGCACCCAAAACATGGAGAAGGAGGCTGGGGAGGTTCCCAGAAAAGTAGAGGGACATAAATAGCCCCAGGAGCAGTAGGGAGGTGAGTCAAGGCCAAGGTGCAAGAATTCAGCAGTGGCTCTGGCTGAACCTTTAAAAATGCACACTAAATATTTTTAAACTGGTGAAACATGCAACAGAATCATGTGTCTGGATATGCCCACTGAAACAGGAACATTTTCAGCAGAAAAAAGAAAAAAACAGTGGTGGCACCTGCCTAATGTTTAGTTCCAGAATACAGGTGCTGCCACCTTAAAGGAACAACTCTTTGCAAATGCAGACTGGGCATTGCATGGCACTTGCAGTTCTGTAGCTCCAAGTCGGCACACGTGGGGCAAGGCAATCCCTTAAGAAAACTGGTCCCAAGTTGTTGCAGGCTTTGTATACCAATAGGCTTTTTATACTCCATATACCTTGAGTTCAGCCTGGGATTGAACTAGCAGCCAGGGCAAATCTTTGAGCACAGATGTGATATGCAAGGGGACTCTCACTCCTCCTGGCAACCGTTCTGCAGCATTCTGCACTAACTGCAGTTTCCAGACCAAGATCGAGAGATGCCCCATGTAGAGTGCTTTGGGGAGTACATAATGATGGAGGTGCCCAGCATTTCTGTGTCTTAACGTTCCCCTCCCATAGTGCACATGGCACCTTTCTTGGCTGAAAACTCCAATCTTGCTCTGGTTTTCTCTGTTTGCTACAACTTTATTTTCTCCACTCAAAACTCAGTTGCCTTCACAACAATCCAGTGGTTGTCAGTTTGATTTTATTGTTCCTTGTGTTTTAAATTGTTCTAGACCTTTTTTATTATTTGGTTTGTTTTGCTTTTATCTGTTGAGGGGCAATATATCCAGGTTATATGGTGTTCCCTAATCAGCCATGAAGTTTACTTGCAGATTTTGGGTGACTCCCCATCTCTCAAACTAGCCTACATCACTGGCCTGTTGTGAGGATGAAATAAGAAGGGGGGGCAAGCATTCCACCCTGAGCTTTTTGGAGAAGGATGGGATCTAAAAGTAGTATATAATGCAATGATCTTGCCAAATCCTACGTACAATTCAGTTCCTCTCCTCAAGCAATCTGTTGGGTAACTGTTTCCTCTGAATCAAAGTGAAGTAATAAGTTGGCTCCATCTGTTGGGGATTATGAAAACTGCATGTCATTTAATGACAGAGAGAGCAACATATTGCATTTACTGTGACTTTAAAGGGTAAAGGGACCCCTGACCATTAGGTCCAGTCGTGACCGACTCTGGGGTTGCGGCGCTCATCTCGCTTTATTGGCCGAGGGAGCCGGCGTACAGCTTCTGGGTCATGTGGCCAGCATGACTAAGCCGCTTCTGGTGAACCAAAGCAGCGCACGGAAATGCCGTTTACCTTCCCGCCGGAGCGGTACCTATTTATCTACTTGCACTTTGACGAGCTTCCTCAGTGCTTTCATTTCTTTTCTGGCCTTGCTCTTTTTCTGAAAAATTTCTGAATGGAAGAGTATAGTCTTATATTTGTTTGATCCCTCAGATTTGCACAAAACTAGAAAACTGTGCTGAGATTTTACAGTGGCCAGACTGTGTGCTTCTTGCTTACTTCCTGGGCAGGGATTCTTATTTTTTGAAAACAAAGTGCACATACTCTGTTGGTACTTAACCGGCATAGTAGAACCAGCAAATCAGAAGGCAGGAACAAGCTCCCAGCGCCACAAAGCCTGGCTCAGTGTCTCGTAGCAATTTGTAAGCAGCCAATATTAAGCTGGTCAGGTTGGATGTAATTGTCCTTTCCCCTGAAATTCAGAAATAACTTGATTACTGGCAAAAAAAAAGGTTCCTCCCAATAATGTTCCATATAGAATGAGTTACCAGCAGAAGTTGGTTAAAAAAACACCTAATTTTTTTTAAAAGGGAGGGGGGCTGAATGAGCCATAAAGATAAAGGTGTCACATCAAGAGAAGCTTGTTTACATTTGGCAAACAGCTGTTGGGGATCCTCAAGCAAGTGATAAGATCACATGGAGAGAAAGTTGGAAATACTTCTTAACTCCACGCCTCCAAAGCCTGTCACCAAACAGGGCATATTTACAAATCGGCCTGAAACATGGGAGGCTGCCTATTGTGTCAGACCATTGGTCCATCTGGTTCAGTATTGTTGACACTAACTGGTAGCATCTCTCCAGGATTTCAAAACGGGGTAGAATCATAGAAATGTAGAGTTTGAAGGGACCACAAGGGTCATTTGGTCCAACCCCCTGCGGTGCAAGAATCTTTTGTGCAACATGGGGCTCGAACCCACAACTCCAACTGAGGGTATTTCCCCTCTCTTTCTGGACGTACCAAGGATTGAATCTGGGACTTTATGCATGCATAGAAGATGCTTTCCTTATGAGCTGTGGCAACCAGGGAGTTGAGCTGGATCAATACAGTGGTACCTTGGGTTACATACACTTCAAGTTACATACGCTTCAGGTTACAGACTCTGCTAACCCAGAAATAGTACCTCGGGTTAAGAACTTTGCTTCAGGATGAGAACAGAAATCGTGCTCCGGCGGCGCAGCGGTAGCAGGAGGCCCCATTAGCTAAAGTGGTGCTTCAGGGTAAGAACAGTTTCAGGTTAAGAACAGACCTGCAGAACGAATTAAGTACTTAACCCGAGGTACCACTGTAGATTATGGCATATCATAGCAAGAAAGGGATTTTCCCTGTACCTTTTCTTATCCTAATGTAACTGCATGTGGTGAGATATTTGTATGTGCCCCCAATGAAAATTAAAGCTTTCTTTTTTCAAAGAAAATACTAGTTTTCAAACCGCCCTGTTGACATGTGGGTCCATGGTTTTCAATTTCACACAAATTGTTTCCTGCAGGAAGCTGAATTGGTAAGGTCCCTGCACAAGGACTGAACCTGTTACCATCCCTAAATATGTGCTTATTATTTAAGGTGCGCATTGCTATGTTTCCTGCTTTACAGTGCAAATATAGTGCAAACTAAGCATATTTATTCTCCAAAGTAAACCCCACTGAATTCAATATGGCTTGTTCTCATGTAAATGTGCGTAAAATGGCAGCCTTAATGTATAAATCTTCGGAATAGTCCCTCTTGGTTTAGGAATCAGTGCAAAAAAGCAATAGTTCTCACTTAGATCTGCGGTTCTATAACTAAACAGAAAAGGAAACAGGCTTGCTATGCCGCAGAATACCTTTACAGAAGCAAAATTTGTTTTACAGCAGGAAACGTGTAATAAATGGAATTCACTTTAATAAAGCCCATCTGTCACTTCTGCAAAACACCTGAAGTGACATACAGTAAAATGGAAATCCAGCCCCTCCAAGTTAAGCACAGTTTTGTTCTCTTCTATTAAAACCAGTGGGAAATACCTGAAATAACTTGACTGTTGGTGGTTTATGCCTGAGTTACCATTGGATACAGTTGTTAGCCACATTGTTATGCAAAGTATTCTTCCATCTAGTCTGGGTCACAGTTGCTGTACAAGCAGTTTAGATTTCGAGATGCTGTGTTGGTACTGAGGATGGGACAGAAACGTGACTCAACTTGCCTTTGAAGCCAAATCTGTCAAATTTGCAATTCTTGAAACAATATTGAGGACCAAAACACAGCCATCCTTCAAAATCCACACTTACTTTAATTTTGCAGTGCAATCCTCCAACAGAACAGCATCTACAAAAATGCATATATTAGGGTGAAATGGTCATAAAAATGAATATATTAGGTGGGAATGCACATAATATATTCATTTTTATATTTTTATGAAAATAGCAAGCCATAATGCAATACGGTAGGACAAATTGCTTGCAAAAATGTGGTCAAAACTGCATAAAAAAATATGATTCTTAGAAGAAGTTTGTACTACAGTGCTGAAGAATTATCATTTTTTAAAAAAATGCAAATTGCTGCAGAAATGTCGAGAACTGAATTTCAGAGTGGGAGAAACGAGAAGCTACGAGAACTAAAATTGACAGATCCCTCCATCTCTACTAGGGACTGCCTGTGTGCTTTTATCTTTATCATCATGTTGCCTGCTCTACCTGTACTTTTGTATATAAATATATTATTATTATTGGCATTGGTATTCAAAATCAAAAGTAACCATATCAGTCCGTAAGTTTTAAAAAAAATAATCAAAAATCCATCAGATGTCAAGCAAAGCCGGCAGGGAGGAGTAATGTTGGCTGATGCTAAAGCCCTGTCGTCTTTTGTTTAGTCAGACTTCAGATGGAATGTGGGAGGTGGTGGCAGACAATTGGACAAGGCTCTGCTAGCAAGGTGCTAGGCAGGTTTCAAGCTGCGCCTAGGAAGATTGGGTTGTCAGGTAGCAGGGCTGGCCCAAGACATTTTGGCATCTGAGGCGAACCACGAAACGCCAAGCCCCTCCCTGCCAGGAAAGAAGGGGTGAGTGAAGATCTGCATCAGGAATGCAAAGGGAATAAAGATCTACAGCAGGATCTGCTGCTGCCCCTGCGGATCCTGCCGCCTGAGGCCGTCGCCTCACCTTGCCTCATGGGTGGGCCGGCCAGCCCTGCCTTTCAGGGAGCAGGGGACACAAAATAAAACAGTAGTTGGTACTAGGATTAGCTGGCACTCGTGTGATACTTTTTCCTTTCATAATGGAGACATTGGATCAAGCACCAGAGGGGGGGGGCATACCTTAAAAACTTAACGAAATGCTGAGGAGTTGCTTTAGGGGGCAGCATAGCTTGCTGACATTTTTCCAAGTTCTTCTTTTGAAAAGCATTTATGGAGTGTTCCAGTGCTGCAGTATTAACATAAGTGTGCTCAGCATCTGAAAACAAATATGCACATATATTTTTTAAACAAGCAAGCAAGCAAGCAAACGACAAATTGGTGCACACTGGTTGGAGGTGGGGAGCGGTTAATGGTTTCTTATTGAATGTGGTGCTATGAGCGTTAGCCAAAAGGTGCTTAGATCACAGGCAGAGAACCTGTGGCCCTCCAGGTGTTATTGGACTGATGCTCTCATTAGTCCCAGCCAGCATTGTCAATATTGGTAAGGGATGAGGAGGAGTTGCAGTCCGGCAACATGTGGATGGCCGCAGGTTCTCTGCCTGTGATCTGAGACAGGATACAATAAGGCAAAACGAATGAGAAGGGAGAAAAGCAAAATAAACAAGTTCTGGCACCAGCACGTTCATATTAATACGTAACGAAGTTATGTCCAGTGAAATGTTTACTTTTAAGGAGGCAGGTCCAGGAGGGGAGAAGGCCAATGGCAGCTAGTCTCATCCTGCAGAGGGAACTTGGTTGTCTGTTTTCTCCCTCTGATACTGTGGTATTGCCCTGTTCTAAACAACCAACACCTTGGGGAAATGAACAGCAAGAAGCAAAGTTTTTGTATCACACAATTATATCATAATTTCTTTGTGAATACATAATTTCTTTGTGAAACATGAGGTTGGAGTGAAATGCCCACCTCAGGCAGCACAGGTGCAAGAGATGGCGCTCCACGTACCTCACAGTTTCCGCCGCCACCAGAGTGCCCCCAGGGCAGAGAAGCCAAGCAGCAATACTTTGTGGAATGCCCTGACTCTTGCCCCGACTCTGCCAGTGTGGGTGGGGGCAGAAGGCGGCAATTTCCGTTCTGTCTCAGGTAGCAAAACGGGACGAGCCTTCCCTGTCTCCTACGCTGAGCAACACAACCTTAAAAAGGTAAAGGGTCCCCTGACCATTAGGTCCAGTCGTGGCCAACTCTGGGGTTGCGGCGCTCATCTCGCTTTATTGGCCAAGGGAGCCGGCGTACAGCTTCCGGGTCATGTGGCCAGCAGGACTAAGCCGCTTCTGGTGAACCAGAGCAGCGCACGGAAATGCTGTTTGCCTTCCCGCCGGAGTGGTACCTATTTATCTACTTGCACTTTGACGTGCTTTCGAACTGCTAGGTTGGCAGGAGGGACCGAGCAACGGGAGCTCACCCCATTGCGGGGATTCGAACCGCTGACCTTCTGATCGGCAAGTCCTAGGCTCTGTGGTTTAACCCACAGCGCCACCCGTGACCCTAACACAGCCGTAATCAGTCCTTAATGAGAAGAGTGGAACAGCCTTTAACACCATTATGGTTGTTTTATTAAAATCGTGCAGTATCTTAGGTAAGTACAGTGGTACCTCGGGTTAAGTACTTAATTCGTTCTGGAGGCCCGTTCTTAACCTGAAACTGTTCTTAACCTGAAGCACCACTTTAGCTAATGGGGCCTCCCACGCCGCCGGAGCACAATTTCTGTTCTCATCCTGAAGCAAAGTTCTTAACCCGAGGTACTATTTCTGGGTTAGCGGAGTCTGTAACCTGAAGCGTATGTAACCCGAGGTTCCACTGTAAACAGATGAGAAAAACCTCAATCAGTGGCAGGTTGAAGGAGAAAGCCAAATGATGCAATGTAAGCCCCCTAAGATGAATTCTCTCTCATTTTATTTTCATGATAGTGCTGGATGGAGGCCCTTTGCAGCGCTGCTTCTTTAACAAACTCTGGGACGTTTGCTGCAAGTGGCAGAAGCAGCCGCCTCCGCCTCCGAAGCCGCTTCATCGCTACCTCCAAGTTTCCATCCATGCAACCCGTAATACCCGCCGGAAAATGGAGGACAGGCATGTTTCCCTCCCAGAATTTAATCAGCTGTTTGGCTTGACGGTACGTTTCTAGGGCTCAGGTGAGAGAACACTGGTGGCGTCAGGACAGAAGTGCAGAGAGCCACTCAGGAGGAATAAGCTAGGGGCAGAGGATACAGCAGGGCTGGCATAGCGCATTTTGAAATAAGTGGATTAATACATGTTACCATCTAAACTTTCATAATAATGCTTCAGATCAGTCTGTTGGAAAAAGTAGCCTTCCACTGGGGCTTCCGTTTCAACCATTGTTTAATGGTCTATTTTTGAAACCTATTCCACGAAAGGTAGACTCTCCTTCCTTGGAGGTTTTGAAGCAGGAGTTAGATGACCAGCTATCATCCTGCATTTCAGGGGGTTGGATCAATGACCATTGGGGTACCTTCCAAAACTACCAATTCTATAGATTCTCTGAAAGAGGGCAGTGCCCCCACAACACCATTACCTGCAGGAGTGTCTCCACCCCCATCACTGAGAACCAGCTCCGAGGGTCTTCTCAGTGGTGGCACCCGCCCTGTGGAACGCCCTCCCATCAGATGTCAAGGAAATAAACAACTATCCAACTTTTAGAAGACATCTGAAGGCAGTTTTTAATGTTTGATGTTTTATTGGGTTTTTAATATTCTGTTGGGAGCCGCCCAGAGTGGCTGGGGAAACCCAGCTAGATGGGCGGGGTATAATAATAATAATAATAATAATAATAATAATAATAAAGTCCAGGGTTTAAAATGATGTAACTGCACAACTGTGAGAGAGACCAGGTACTCACAGATATGGAAGGGGCAGAAGTTCAATTTAATTCACACTTTTGGAAGCACTACAAGAACCAAAGCACAGAAAATTTGAACCTTCTCTGAGTTTTACAGTGCAGTTTCCCATCCAAATAACGTTCACAAAATCATATATGCTGGGGTCAAGTGTCAATGAAGATGCATATATTAGACAAAAACACTCAATTTTAGAGGAAATTGCAAAAATGTGCAAATTAGGTAAAGTTGCTGGAAGCTGGATGAAGATCACGACAGAGTTCACACCAAGTTCTTTGAGGAATCTGTTATAGAATAGGCATTGGTTGAGCACACTAATCTCAAAACTAAGTTATTGTTCTGACATAATAAATATATTAATCTGAGTCTTGAAAATCCTTGCTCCACCCCCCACCCCCTGGACTAGTTCTAACTATGGTGATTTGGGGAGTGGGGTTCAGGAAAATTGCTTAAGAGATGAAAAGGCAGCTCCAGGTACATGTCCTGTGCAAGACAGTGGGTTGTAGCCAATGTAGTGCAGCTAAATGAACGTCATTTAGTGGTATACCTGTTCCACTGGCCAAATGTTTTGCACCAGCAGAAGGTTGCTGCGTAAAAAAATCCGAAAGCAGGTCGCTGCTGATTTCATTTCACAATAGATTTGAGCAACCTGTTGCACAGCAAAGTAGCACATCTGTTGTATTGGAATTATTTATCCTGGGTCTTGTTGCTGTTTATGCTCTGGCTTCTAGGTCCCCCGTATTGGTTATTTTTCTACTTATCATTTATTTGTTTCATTAAAAAATTATATGCCTCTTGAGTGTAGAAAAACCTCACAAGAGTTTTATGGAGCAGGGGGAGATATAGCAATGAAATTATCACTGAAAAAATTATTCAGCCCAGTAGGGCCATTCCGGTACATTCACAGAAGAAGTCACATGTGGTAAAAAATTATCTTTGCCTTCTCTTTGCATGTCCTTGCCTCTGGAAGGATGACGTGGACCGGGCGTACTTCGCCGTGTTTGATGGTCATGGAGGAATAGATGCGGCTAACTATGCAGCTGCTCACTTGCACGTAAATGTGGCACATCACAAAGACCTTCTGAAAAACCCGGTGGAGGCCTTGAGGGAATCTTTCCAGAAAACAGATGAAATGTTCCTTGCTAAAGCCAGGAGAGAGGTGAGTGGAGAGAGGCGAGTACTGCAGTAATTGTAGATTGTTGGCTCGCCAGAGGAGTGAGTACAGCGAAGCTGAGTGCTGAGAAATGTGTCCTCTTGGTAATTGGCTTTTCTGTAGCGTTGCAGAAAATCCCAGGTAAATAATTTATTGGTTCACTGAATAGACTTTTGCCTAAGAATCATTGTCCACAAATCAGAGGAGGTGAAAGGTTTAATTTAGGCCAACGTTGATGGATGTTGGGGTCTTTCCAGAGGGGTAGCCATTTTTTTTTTAAGCCCAGTAGGTTCATCTAGGTTACTTTCTGTTCACTGTCACTCATGGAAGGATCCAGGAAATGATGGGCTGCAGTACATATGCCAAGAACTAGGAGAAACTGCATCTGGGATTAGGCTGCTGTAGCCGATTCCTTCTTTCTAATTCAGGTAAATTGGGAACCTGAGCTATAAGCAAGGTAGTTTCTCTTGTTTGAATGGGAGCATAGTGTGAGAGAGATTAAGTAAGGAAACTCGTATAGCATTGTAATGTAGATTACAAGGTGATTTGGTGGGCCAGCCATTCCAAAATAATGCTGAAATGGACAGGTTGCAAATCAAAGTGATTTAAATAGCAAGGGGGGAACTGCTTTTAAAAAACCTGTTTTCCAGCTATGCAATTTGTATACTTTCTGAACAAGCATGTATACGAACTGTTTACTTTAAAAAATCAAAACTGCATTGGTTTGCAACTAAATAGAGCACTTTTTAGAACCTTGAAGCATAATCCAGACCTCTAATTGACCTATTTAGAAACAAGGTGGGCATTTGCGAAGGTTAATCAACTACCATTTGACACTCCCTATGCACATAGAGGGACAATCCCTAAGCACAATCATTGAACCACAAAATGCCCAGAACTTTCCTGAGGCCAGACTGGCAGTTAGTACTAGGGAGCGGGTGGCACTGTGGTCTAAACCACTAAGCCTCTTGGGCTTGCTGATCGGAAGGTCGGCAGTTCAAATCCGTGCAACGGGGTGAGTTCCTGTTGCTCTGTCCCAGCTCCTGCCGACCTAGCACTTCGAAAGCATGCTAAAAAGTGCAAGTAGATAAATAGGTACTGCTGTGGCGGGAAGTTAAATGGCGTTTCCATGCACTCTGGTTTTCACCACGGTGTTCCGTTGTGCCAGAAGCAGTTTAGTCTTGCTGGCCACATGACCCAGAAAGCTGTCTGCGGACAAATGCCAGCTCCCTTGACCTGAAGCGAGATGAACTCTGCATCCCATAGTCACCTTTGACTGAACTTAACCATCCAGGGGTCGGCTTTAGCTTTTACCTTACTAGGCAGAATAGTAGCTTTCCTTCCAAAATATTTTATTTTGGGTTTTTTGACATTCATCTATTGACCTATATGAAGTGTCCTATGGGTGGTTCTCACAAAACAGATCTACAAAGTTAAAACACTAGAAATAACACGGTCGGTGTGTGTGTGTGTGTGTGTGTGTGTGTGTGTGTGTGTGTGTGTGTGTATCCCTGTCCATGATCTTCACTCTTCTCACTATACCAGGATCAGCCACCAAAAATCTTCTCATTAATTACTCCAACCATTCTCCTCTACTGTCCCCATGTGGCTAGAATTCCCTCTCTCTGTCTGTGACGACAGTTCTGTCTTTCCCCATCTGTACTATCCATTTAAAGCAGTGTCGTGCCACTTTAAGCAGTCATGGCATCCCCCGAAGAATCTGCGAACAGTAGGTGCTGAGAGTTGTTCGGAGGCCTTTCTTTGCCTTAGGTAAAGTAAAGGTAAAGGGACCCCTGACCATTAGGTCCAGTCGTGGCCGACTCTGGGGTTGCGGCGCTCATCTCGCTTTATTGGCCGAGGGAGGCAGCGTACAGCTTCCAGGTCATGTGGCCAGCATGACTAAGCCGCTTCTGGCGAACCAGAGCAGCGCACGGAAACGCCGTTTACCTTCCCGCCAGAGCGGTACCTATTTATCTACTTGCACTTTGACATGCTTTCGAACTGCTAGGTTGGCAGGAGCTGGGACTGAGCAACGGGAGCTCACCCCTTGCGGGGATTCGAACCACCAACCTTCTGATCGGCAAGTCCTAGGCTCTGTGGTTTAACCCACAGCCAGTGGCGTAGCGTGGGTTGTCAGCACCCGGGGCAAGGCAAGTAATTTGCGCCCCCTAACCCGTGGATTTTAGCACTCGAGTCGCCCCCCCCCCCCGATGTTGCGCCCGGTGCGGCCGGCCCCCCCTACACCCCCCACGCTACGCCACTGCCCACAGCGCCACCTGTGTCCCTTTCTCTGCCTTACAGACCTACAATTCCAAGAGTTCCCTGGAAGAGGGATTGATTGCTCAACCGCTCTGGGAATTCTGCCTTTACCCTCCTTGATCAGAACACAGGAAAACAGGAACAGCTTTACTGCTTAGTGAGCCGGCACACTTGTTCCAGCTGAAAAGTGCGACAGACTTTGCTTTTTCAATTAAACCTGATCGTTCAGAGAGAGGGGCTTGGTATATTCCTGAGTGGGCCACCCCCACCCCAACCCCCGCTTGATGAATAAAGCCCACAACATTGTTCTGAGAATACACTGCAAACCTCTTGTTTGTTTGTTTTAATATTTAATGCTTATAATTTATGTTAATGCAAGCACTAGATCTCTCTATCTGATTGTACCTTCTCGCGTTGACCACTGCGGTGGCTGATGGTAATAGATGTTTGAAAGCACTTATTGAACAGGGTATTACTGCCAGCACTGTATTGAATAGAAACAAATCAAGATCTTTAGGAGCATCTTCTGTTGCAATAGTTTTTGAATACATGAGTGGTGTCGGATGATACAGGTAATTTGGAACCTTTCCGGTCTGGGTTTAGGCTCAAAATTGGGGCAAAAACAGCCTTGGTTGCCCTGATTAGTGCCTTACACTGGGGAAGGACTGGGTGTCCACAAATCAGAGGAGGTGAAAGGTTTAATTTAGGCCAACGTTGATGAATGTTGGGGTCTTTCTGGATCTCTCAACAGCTTTTGATTTCATTGACCATGCTGTCCCTCTGGATCGGTTGTCTGGGATGGGACTCCTCAGAGGAGCAGCGTTAACAGTGGCTGCATTCCTTCTTGAATAACCAATCTCAGAAGATGGTAGCAAAACATTTATCGGCCTACAGCATGTCTCAGAGTTCTGTTCTTCCCTCGCGCCCCCCCCCCCATGCTTGTTGTCATCTACATGAAACTGCTGGGAGAAGTCATCTGGAGTACGCAATAACTCTCCCAGCACTCTGGGAGAAGTCACCTAGAGTCATCCAGGCACACAGTAACTACAGTGGTGCCCCGCAAGACGAATGACTCGCTAGACGAAAGGGTTTTGCGTTTTTTGAGTCGCTTCACAAGACAAATTTCCCTATGGGCTTGCTTCACAAGATGAAACGTCTTGCGAGTTCTTGCGAGTTTGTTTCCTTTTTCTTAAAGCTGCTAAGCCGTTAAAGCCGCTAATAGCCGCTAAGCCGCTAGTAGCTTCGCAAGATGAAAAAACCGCAAGACGAAGAGACTCGCGGAACGGATTAATTTCGTCTTGCGAGGCACCACTGTAGTTGCATTTTATTTCTTGACATGTTTTGAACAACCGGATAGAAGTCATCACAACAATAGCAACAAAAGGCTAGTGTGCATTCACTCTAATGCTTTTTACATCGCTAACAGAGTTTCTATGATCTTTGATGCACGGTTAAATAATGAGCACCAATTCTCCCCACACAGTTACATTTCATCCTTTTAAAGGCTCTTTATAACATTCCCTCCCCCTTCTCTCTCTCTCTCTCTCTCTCCAAACTATACAGAAGCTGCGCAACGGTAGCACAGGTGTGGCTGCCTTGATTGTTGGGAACAAGTTACATATAGCTTGGCTTGGCGACTCACAGGTAATGCTAGTCCAGCAAGGGAAAGCTATAACCCTGATGGAACCTCACAAGCCAGAGAGAGAGGTAACTACTGCTTCTTTGAGTTTACCCCACAAAGCTCTTGGCCTCTTGTGTATGTACACCAGTGTGGTGTAGTGGTTATGAGCGGTGGACTCGTAATCTGGTGAACCGGGTTCGCATCTCCGCTCCTCCACATGCAGCTGCTGGGTGACCTTGGGCTAGTCACACTTCTCTGAAGTCTCTCAGCCTCACTCACCTCACAGAGTGTTTGTTGTGGGCGAGGAAGGGAAAGGAGATAGCCCTAAACGGCCTCGGCCCGGTATACCTGAGGGAGCATCCCCACCTCCATCATTCTGCCCAGGCACTGAGGTCCAGCTCCAAGGGCCTTCTGGCGGTTTCCTCACTGCGAGAAGTGAGGCTACAGGGAACCCTCCCATCAGATGTCCCACCTGATGTTTAGAAGACATCTGAAGGCAGCCCTGTTTAGGGAAGTTTTTAATGTTTGATGTTTTATCGTGTTTTTAATATTGTGTTGGGAGCCACCCAGAGTAGCTGGGGAGGCCTGGCTAGATGGGCAGGGTATAAGTAATAAATTATCATCATCATCACCATCATCATCATTCCCTCTAAATCCAAACATACCAGTTATTTTGTAAGTTAAAAGGGACCACGCCAAAATAAGAGTGAGATTAATAATAGTGAGATTAATAATAATGGATTGGATGAGAGCCAATAATCTGAAGCTCATTCCAGGTAAGACTTAAGGTACTGTTAGTGGGCAGTTTCCTAGGCTGGATGGATGGAAGATTGCATGCTCTTGTTAAGGTTACACTCCCTCTGAAAAAGGAGATCTGCAGCCTGGGGTTACTTCTGGATCCATTGCTGTTGCTTGAGGCTCAGGTGGACTCAGTGGCATAGAGTGCCTTCCATTAACTTTGGTTGGTGACCCAGTTGCAGCCGTATCTGGATAGGGATAGCCTAACTGATGTCATCTATGCTGTGGTAACCTCTAAGTTAGATTACTGCAACATGTTGTATGTGGGGCTGCCCGTGAAGACTGTTCGGAAACTTCAGCTGGTGCAGAATTAAGTGGACAGGGTTATCGTTATAATACTATGGTATTATATTGCAGCCAGCCTGTGATCCTACGATGAAGGACGGTACAGTGGTACCTCGGGTTAAGTACTTAATTCGTTCTGGAAGTCCGTGCTTAACCTGAAACTGTTCTTAACCTGAAGCACCACTTTAGTTAATGGGGCCTCCTGCTGCCGCCGTGCTGCCGGAGCCCAATTTCTGTTCTTATCCTGAAGCAAAGTTCTTAACCTGAAGCACTATTTCTGGCTTCGTGGAGTGTGTAACCTGAAGCGTATGTAACCCGAGGTACCACTGTATAGAAATTTAATAAGTAATAAAATAGCATACAAATTTAAAAGAAGTTTTTAGCGGAAGCTGATCTGCAGTAGAATGGAAACAGGGCTGATTGCAATGAACACAGGGCAGGATAGAAATTGCTGCCTCCTTACATCCCTAGACTGGTTGGTACTGTGCTTCCTATGCCTGTCACACCTACACCTATAGATTTAGTGAGCTTTTGTTGTTGTTGTTTATTTAGGATGAGAGACAACGCATAGAAGCCTTAGGAGGTTGCCTTATCTACATGGACTGCTGGCGTGTCAATGGAACCCTGGCTGTTTCCAGAGCTATCGGTAAGCCATGTCCTTGAAGAACATCAGCCCTAATGTGTTCATTTACCATATTTAGCTCTAATGAAATATTGTCAGCATGTAAGTGTGATGGGGCGGCTGTTGTTTGTTCTACCGCCATTCACAACTTTGCGTTCTGCATCAGTTTGGGAGTTATTTCAAAGCACAGCCTTGACAGCTAGAAACTTCACAAGTAGCACACACACACACAGGGAATAGTTTGATACTGCAAGGCTTTTGTGGAAATCTGTAACGAACAAGACAAAAGCAGCCATATCCTAACTGCACAAGGCCATTTGGGGTTTTTTTTCTTACCAACAGACACTGCAGCATTTTTCTAACCTTGGACTGAATTGCTGCCGTTATTGCACCTACATTAATAATTGTTCCATGTGGTACATTGCCATAGTAACACAAACCTGACAGTGCACACTGCTCTTCCAGCTCCTTCCTCGAAGCATCTGTAAAACTATTTTATGATTATAGTTGTGCCTCCTGAAATGGCCCAATCATGCACTCCTATTGAGAAGTCATGGATCGTTTCCCCTCTTCACTCGATAACTTTTGGCAAAATGCTGGGGGGGGGAGCATTTTTAGGGCCAAATGTAATATAAAAATGTTTTTTTAAAAAAATAAATAAATATCCTAGGTCAATTTTTTATAAATGTTGATTATCATGCTGAGTGCTGCCTGTTTCTGCCATGTGAACTGCCTCCTTCCGTGAGTCGTCTGAAAGCCCTGCTCTGTGCTCCTGGGAATAAGACTACAGTGGTAAAGGTAAAGGTAAAGGGACGCCCACCATTAGGTCCAGTCGTGACCGACTCTGGGGTTGCGGCGTTCATCTCGCTTTATTGGCCGAGGGAGCCGTCATGTGGCCAGCATGACTAAGCCGCTTCTGGTGAACCAGAGCAGTGCACGGAAACGCCGTTTACCTTCCCGCCAGAGCGGTACCTATTTATCTACTTGCACTTTGATGTGCTTTTGAACTGCTAGGTTGGCAGGAGCAGGGACCGAGCAACGGGAGCTCACCCCGTCGCGGGGATTTGAACCGCCAACCTTCTGGTCGGCAAGTCCTAGGCTCTGTGGTTTAACCCACAGCGCCACCCGCGTCCCAAGACTACAGTGGTACCTCATGTTAAGTACTTAATTCGTTCTGGAGGTCCGTTCTTAACCTGAAACTGTTCTTAACCTGAAGCACCACTTTAGCTAATGGGGCTTCCTGCTGCTACCGCGCCGCCGGAGCACGATTTCTGTTCTCATCCAGAAGCAAAGTTCTTAACCCGAGGTAATATTTCTGGGTTAGGGGAGTCTGTAACCTGAAGCATATGTAACCTGAAGCATCTATAACCCAAGGTACCACTGTACATGTGAAGCAGCAGGCACCACAGTTTTGGCATGGTCTCCCAAAAGTGACCCGCAATTAGGGCTGGGTGGTATCTGGTTTTCAACATTGTGGTATATATCACCCTACTCAATATCACGATACATCACGATGTCTGAAATCGGGATGGAACTATGTAGAGAGGCATTGGCTGGCTTCACAGTTTTCCCCACATTGTTAGTTTTGCATAGCACACACACATTAGGGCTGGGCAATGTAGCGATATAGAATCAAAAAACTGGTTTGAAGTCCATATCATGGTAACGGTTTCATAACATTCAACATGGTGATATGTGTGTGTGTGTGTGTGTGTGTGTGTGTATCGATATATAGATATATATGATGAGGGGGAAACCGTGAAGCCAATCATCACTTCTCTTGTGATTCCCTATTGCTCTGTACTATAAAATAACAGTTGCAACAATCTGTTATAGGTACAGTAAAATCGTATCAGTTTTAGATCCCTAAGTAGTAGTTTCTGGGACATTAACCCGTTCACTTTCACATGATTATGTCCTTATTTCAGACATCATAGTATATTGGTATATCAGAATGTTTAGCTTGGTGATATGTCACTCTGTTGGAAGCCAACCCTAACACACATCATGATTCACGATATATTGCCAGGTAAAAAATTATGAAACTGATATCACGATATCGACTTCAAACTGGTTTGGGGCGATATATCACCCAGCCCTCCCCACCGTGCTCTAATTATATATTATATATGAGAGCCAGTGTGGTGTAGTGGTTAAGAGCGGTAGCCTTGTAATCTGGTGAACCAGGTTCGATTCCCCGCTCCTCCACATGCAGCTGCTGGGTGACCTTGGGCCAGTCACACTTCTCTGAAGTCTCTCAGCCTCACTCACCTCACAGTGTGTTTGTTGTGGGGGAGGAAGGGAAAGGAGCATGTTAGCCACTTTGAGACTCCTTAAAGGGAGTGAAAGGCGGGATATCAAATCCAAACTCTTCTTCTCTTCTTCTATTTTATTTTTACATTTATATCCCACTTTTTCCTCCATGGAACTGAGGGTGTCATCCATGGTTCTCCCCCTCCCCATTTTACCCTCACAACAACCCTGTGAAGTAGTCATCTCGTGGTCAGCTTCGTGGCTGAGTGGGGATTTGAACCCTAGCTTCCCAGCTCCTAGTCTGACACTCTAACCCAGGGGTCAGCAAACTTTTTCATCAGGGGTCCGGTCCACTGTCCCTCAGACCTTGTGGGGGGCTGGACTATATTGGGGGGGGGGGAAATGCCCAACAAATAACCCAGAGATGCATTTTAAATAAAACACACATTCTACTAATGTAAAAACAGCAGGCAGGCCGTACAAATAACCCAGAGATTCGTTTTAAATAAAAGGACACATTCTGCTCATCAAAAATCACCAGGCAGGCCCCACAAATAACCCAGAGATGCATTTTAAATAAAAACACACATTCTGCTCATGAAAAATCACCAGGCAGGCCCCACAAATAACCCAGAGGTGCGTTTTAAATAAAAACACACATTCTACTCGTGTAAAAACACGCTGATTCCTAGACTGTCCACGGGCCAGATTGAGAAGGGGATTGGGCCTGATCCGGCCCCCAGGGCTTAGTTTGCCTACCCATGCCTAACCACTAAACTACACTGCACTGATCTTTCTTTGTCATCCAACTAACACACCTTTCTCTAAACTTTAGGGCAGAAGTCCTTTTTTACTTTTCTCTTCAATTGTAGGATGTGTCTTTACTAAGATTACGATGGGGTGGGGTGGGACATGATGGCATTGCTGGGGGTTGGACTAGATGATCCTTGGGGTTACTTTCCAACCCTGCAATTTTATGATTCTAAGCAGCAAAGTACCAAAGCTTCCAAGAAAAACAAAAAAATCCAGAAGGGGAAACAAACCAGAGGCATTTCCAAATTAATTCATAGAAGCGTTCCTTAATTTTGATTAACTGCTTTTACAAGTAGTTGCATATTTTACGTGTTTAACCTTCTTGTGGGGGTTGGGGGACAGAAAGGCAAAATAATGGGTTTTAACATTTAAAATAATTCTATATGCACGTGGGTGTGTTTGTTTCATCAGTAGCTCACTGGTGAAAATCTACTCCCTTGCCAGTATTAGACATTAGACATGACGCTGCCTACAGCAAAGCAAGACTCAGAGTTTTCAGACTCCAACTGTGTGTGAAGAGGAAGAACCATTTGCTGCAACATTCATATCACTGCATTGAGAAGAGCCCTGGAAAACAGAATAATGAGCTGGAGGACTGCAGCCGCATTCTGGGGCTCATTTAAGACACCATGCCAAACCACGGCTAAGGAAGCTTTGCGTGAACTGACAACGCCTGGTTTGCAATACCAAAGTTGGAACCTATGGTTTGACACAGATTTGCAAACCATGGTTAGTGCTAAGTTTGGCTTGGCGCGATTCCTGAATTAAGAATGCATAGTTACTGCTGTTGCTCTGCCTTCGAAGCTGCTGCACCATGGAGACGAGAGAGAGCTTAGGAGCTTATGAAACAGTGTGCCGAGAGGAGGGAAAACAAAATCAGACAAGCAGTTCTAATCCACAGTTTGCATCTTCAGGAGCTTCAACAACGGCTGGGATTCTAAACTGTAGTTGTCGCAAATTATGGTTCTCCCATAATTCGGAGATAGGGAGGCATTTGACAGTGAGGTAGGGGAACCAGGAAGGCGGGGCTTAAAGTCTCTTCCTGTTAGACTGGGGGTTGGTCAGAAGTTCCCATCCGTCTTACTGCCTGACACAAGGAAGGCTGTTGGAAGTGGGGAGTCAGAGGCGTCCAGACTCTCTTTTTAAGTAAAGAAAAACAAAGAAAACGGCACAAAAATATTGATCCTCATTCTCCCTGCACCATCTTGGCTGACGTTGTTCATTACAGGAACTCCTTCAAGACATGCTGTGTTCCTATGCTTCTCTCCCCCCACCCCAAAAGGAGTTACATTAAAGCAAATGTAAATCAAGGCAAAATCTGCAAGTTCCTGCTTAGGCAGAACATTTGAGGATTTCAAGGGAAGCTTTTTTTAAAAAAGAAAAAAGAAAATAAAACCCTTTGGGAAGATCAACAAGATTTTTCACTTATCCATTGAAAACCTTCAGTTCTAGCCCTGTAGTCCTGGTTCACCACCTGCCTGCAATGGGATTTTTGAAGACCTTTACAGCAACAATTTCTTCCCCAAGAGGCCTGTGGGTGGATGCCTGTGGCATGACGGGTGCATGCAAATGTACGCACGCTCTTTTTTTCATGCACCACATTTGATCACACACAGAGACAGACAACTCTTTCAAAGCAATGACTGCACTTGCGATAGACAGCCAAACCCCTGCTTTCCAGTGCCTTCTCTGCTGGGGAAGAGCAGAGCAGACTTCTTTCCATCCTAGCAAGGATAAATTATGCTTCTTCCAGTCCATTACCTGTTTGGTGTGCTAAGGAGAAGGTTTGAATGGAGAGATAGATGCACGAAGATGACTCTCCCTATCTGACTAAAGGTAAAGGTAGAAGGACCCCTGACTGTTAGGTCCAGTTGCGGATGACTCTGGGGTTGTGGCGCTCATCTCGCTTTATTGGCCGAGGGAACCGGTGTACAGCTTCCGGGTCATGTGGCCAGCATGACCAGGTCATGTGCCAGCATGGTGAACCAGAGCAGTGCACAGAAACGCCATTTACCTTTCTGCCGGAGCGGTACCTATTTATCTACTTGCACTTTGACATGCTTTCAAACTGCTAGGTTGGCAGGAGCAGGGACTGAGCAACGGGAGCTCACCCTGTCGCGGGGATTCGAACCACCGCCTTATCTGACTACCTTCCCATTAAAATAGAGAAGTGCAGAGAAGTGCCCTTCATTGGATCAGAAGTGCTAGCAGACCTGGGGTGGGGCGGGGTGGGAAGATTAACACACACACACCCCGCCAGCTTCTTATTTGTTTGAATGATTTTTAATTCTGCTTCATCTTCGTGTGGTTTTTAACTTTATGAGTACACCACTCAGCAATTCTGAATATTAAGTAGTATACAGATACCTGGAATGAAATAAATATACACAAGATCACTGTCCCTGCACTGCAGTTTGCAATGTTTTCTCCTCAGCTGTGGGAAGGCCTTGTCAGGTTGCAAAGGTTGGCTTGGCATGCAGATCACCCACCCTTGGTTTAAAGCAGGCATGTATAAAAGTCTGTCTTGGGGGCCAACAACATTGGTCAGCCCTCACGCCTGTTCATTTCATCAAATCTGGCCCTCTTTGAAAAAAGTTTGGGCACCCCTGGTTTAGAGCAATGTTTCCCAAACTTGTGTCTCCAGCCGTTTTTGGACTGCATTTCCCATAATCCTTGACCACTGGCCCTGCTAGTTAGGGTTGATGGGAGTTGTAGTCCAACAGCAGTTGGAAACCCAAGTTTGGGAAACCCTGATTTAGAGCTTCGCCTTAAACAGAGGCAAAGGTTGACGGCTCAGAAAAGGGAATGGGGCAGTTGGGATTTTGTACCTCGTATGGTAATTTACTTCCTTCTCTCCTGCTTGCTTTTTCAGGCGACCCACTCCAAAAGCCTTATATCTCTGGCTGTGCAGATAGTGCATCGTTTGAGCTAACTGGTGCCGATGATTATGTGCTTCTCGCTTGCGACGGATTCTTTGACACCATCCAGCCATTTGAGGTGGTGGACCATGTTCTAGAGCACTTAATGCAAAACAAAGGGGACGGCCTCAAGACTGCGGAGAGGCTGGTGGCGGCCGCAAAGGAAAGTGGATCCAGTGACAACATCACTGTCCTGGTGGTGTTTCTAAGGGAGCCCAAAGACATCATGTCTGACTGCCTCAGAGACCCTAGAAGCTGCTCTGCTGACGACTGCACAGGGAACCAGCTCCTTAACTTTTTCAGCTCCGAGAAGAACCATTGAAATGGAAGATGAAAGGGTGACTATCAAATCCATTTAAAGCACAACATCCAAACGTAAGCAAATTCAAATAGGGATGGGAATCCTTTTACCACTGGAAAATGAAAGCTATTGTGTGGCAGACAAGATTCAAGAACTTAAGTATTTCAAAACCCAGGGTTGTCTTCAACTAAGCTGCTCAAGAGTAGGCCCTTTAGAAATCAGTGGACCTAAACTAGTCATGCCTATGGATTTCAATGGGTCTGGTCTATGGTTCTTCCATAACTCCGGCCAGTGTCTGGATAGTACCATTTTAGATTGCAGGTTCAGGGAATGCATAACTGAATGTCCCTTTGTGCAAAAAAGAAAAAAATATTTTAAAAATCCAACAGCCCTCTTAGGTGCAGCCAAACTATACCCGAGTGAAGGCTTCTAACCTTGCTTCTCTCTGGCTGCATTTGATCACAATGGTAAACCACAGTTTGAAATAAGACATGGATTCACATCCATGAGTTCTTTCTGGACTGCGCTTTGCAGAGGAGAAAACGAAGCCAGAGTTTGACTTGATGTGACCTGGTTTGTCTCCTCCAAACAAACCATGAGCAGTAAGTCAGAACCAACATCGGCTAATGGTTTGTGTAGAGGAAATGAACTGTAAGGCTCGGTTCATGTGACTTGTTTCCTCTTGTGCATGACGCAGGAGCAGGGAAATTTAAAAAGGCTTGTATACCACAAAGAAACGATAGTTCATTTTAAATGTTTTTATTTTAATGTTGAGTGCGGACTAGGTCTCTGACACAACAGTATTCTGTGTGGAGGGTTTTGTTTTGTTTTGTTTTGTTTTGTTTTGTTTTGTTTTGTTTTTAAATGGAGGAGCATTCAGTCATGCAAATCCCCATCTAAAGCCTGCCATAAAACAACTCAGACACAAGGCCTCAAAAAGTCTGGTGGTTTTGCATTTACTTCTTTGAAGTAGTTTTAAGCCTGCCCATTCATATCCCTGTCTCTTGGGGAGATGGTAAAATAACATACTGTATGTTAAAGATCAATACTCGGAACCCTCTGGAATAATTTTAAATATCATTTAAAGGGGGTTGCATTTAGATGCTACTTAATGATAAGCGTGAATAAGCTACCACACCCTCACCAAAGATGAGTGAATTGCTGTGGACAGATTCAGTATTAAACAAAGTACCAGATACTGGAACATCACAATATTGTCTTGCATAAGAGCTGACGTCCCCTTCTCTTCATTGCATACCAAAGAAAATATTACTAAGGAATATCAAGAACATGTTAACGAGGCTTCAGAAGAAAGGGAGCTTAGATACTGAAATGAAAAATGCATTTCTGAAAATAATACCTACTAATGTACCAAACTATCAGCATAGGAAATGTCTATAGGAAGGTGCCATTACTTGTAAACACCATTAGTGTCATGGAGGCAATTTTAATGCAGTGGGTTGCAGCCAGTTCACAAATACAACTCTTGATTGAGCCTTATCCATTCCATTGAATGTACAAGGAGACAGCATTCAATGGCTTTTCAGGGTTTTACCATTCCAACCTACTGGTGCCTCTTAAGTACTAAGGACAAAATATTTTGTCATCCGGTTTGAAAAGACATTGGCCACGTTCACATGGCGTGTTAAGCTATGGTTTGTTTTATCCATGGTTTCTTGGAACAAACCAAAGTAAGTCTCACTGATGAGCAAATTAACCATAGCTTGTTCCGCCTAATGTTGATTTCATTTTCTCACCACTCTTGCCACACATCCTATCTGGGGAGGGGCACCAAAATAATCCAGGATTACGCCAGGATAGTAGGCGTAGCAAGAAACTATGGTTAGCGGAAGCCAAAGTTTGTAAGCCAACTTCAAACCATAGTTTCATATTCTGGTTTGGTGGCCACAGGCAAACCATAGATAGTTGACTGAGGTGGGTTAACAAACTACAGCTAAGATAAGCAGACCATGGCTTCATGTTAAGAACAATGGGCTGGTTTCAAAATGTTATGTGCATCTCATTGTGAATATAACATTTAGTATTTTATTATTTTTATACTCTTCTGTGGTTGAGGACTTTTTTTAGGTGTGTTATGTTCAAAGCTTTATTTATATCAGGATTTAGATGTATATAACTGTTATTTTTTTGCCACTGGTATTTAAAACTGGCCACTCTCAAGTGCCATATGTCATTCTGACACAGATGCAAAGGGCTGCTTCTTCTGTCATGATGTGTGAAGTGTTAGTTTTTATATTCATTTTGAGGAGGTGATCTATTATGTTAATTTAAATACTTGTAAAGCACTTAAGGCTTTCTTGATGTATGCAAAAACTGGTGTGGGCAAGAACCTTTTCATTTAAAATATTGTTGCGGGGGCATGCTATTTTAAAAGCTTTCCCAAGAAGGTGTACTTTTGATCTAAAGGAAATGTTCGGCTGCCCCTTTAGCGAGACGTAAGGACACGGGTGGCGCTGTGGGTTAAACCACAGAGCCTAGGACTTGCCGATCAGAAGGTCGGCGGTTCGAATCCCCACGACAGGGTGAGCTCCCGTTGCTCGGTCCCTGCTCTTGCCAACCTAGCAGTTCAAAAGCACATGAGAGTGCAAGTAGATAAATAGGTACCACTCCGGCTGGAAGGTAAACGGCGTTTCCGTGCGCTGCTCTGGTTCTCCAGAAGCGGCTTAGTCATGCTGGCCACATGACCCGGAAGCTGTACGCCGGCTCCCTCGGCCAATAAAGCGAGATGAGCACCGCAACCCCAGAGTTGGCCACGACTAGACCTAATGGTCAGGGGTCCCTTTACCTTTACCTAAGAGCTATTCGAAAGTGAATCGGACTCCCTCAGAAGGTGGTGGGGCCCTCCTTTGTTGGAGATTTTTAAAGAGAGGTTGGATGGCCTCTCAGGGATTCTTCAACTGGATTCCTGCTTGACTCTTGGTGGTCCCTTCCAACTTTACAATTCTACAATTCTGTACCATAAATCAAAGCACAGCTGTTTGAGGCTCAAACAACCCGTGATGCCAGCAGACCTGTTTGTTTAAACTTGGCTCTGTTCCAATCAAATAGGTTGGTTTTGTTTTCAAGCGCAAAAGGGAACACAAGCGGAACACACACACACCCCACAGCCCATATCCAAAATTCCTTTTCCTCTAATCACGCTCTGATTCCAGAGATTAGCATAGGTGGAAGACAAGTATCTCAAAGGAGCTAAACTGAAGGAGGGAGCAACGTTCGGCACCCCTCATCCGCACACATCTTTTGCTCTTAAAATCCCTCCCACTTCATATGTGATTGAAGCTGGCCTGGATTGCGAACAAACAAGTTTGCCATTGCAACGTACAATTTGAACCCAAGGGCTGTACCCAACGTACCCTGTCCAATAGCACAAGGGCTGTTAATGTTGTGGAGCAGGAATCCCGTGCAACAATTGCACTAGAGGAAACTCATCCAGCATTAGCAGCAACCGGCTTATGGAACCAAGTCTGTCTTGGTAGTTGGACCCTTACTGTGAACACCCTCCCATCAGATGTCAATAGCGATACCTTTTCATAGACACCTGAAAGCAGCCCTGCATTTTGCTGCCCAGAGCGGCTGGGGTAACCCAATCAGATGGACGGGGTATACGAAATAAATTCTTGTTATAAGTATTCTCTTGAACAACCACAGGTGCAAGCAGAATTTTCATAAGCAGAATAAATACACCGCTAAGTGACTTTAATTTAGAGCTGTTTTGGATACATCCCTGAGTTCAGGATCTGAAGGTTGTCCAGTCCTGCTTGTGGTTTATTCCAGTGTCATTTAACATAGGAAACTACTTTGGGAGGAGGTGACTGGTGGGACCCATGCTTGATCCTGCCTTGTTCCAGTGTGTGTGCCTTGTGCCTCTTGGACTCAATGTGTGCTCCGTATTCTGAAACACTGTTTTAAAAAGAACACAAGACATTGTGTGTTGTTGGGGGCAGAAACTTCTCTAAGAGAGGTGTGTCATTTGCCCTTTAATAGTGTCCTGCTAATAGAGCAGATTCGGTTTCTCTTGCGATCTGGGAAGGTTTCCAGTTTGCCAGAAGTACTGCAGATTGGTGAGGCAAATGGGTGGCTTTTTAAAGGAGGACTAATGAACCTGCAAGGACGCGGGTGGTGCTGTGGGTTAAACCACAGAGCCTAGGGCTTGCCGATCAGAAGGTTGGCGGTTCAAATCCCTGCGACGGGGTGAGCTCCCGTTGTTTGGTCCCTGCTCCTGCCCACCTAGCAGTTCGAAAGCACATCAAAGTGCAAGTAGATAAATAGGTACCGCTCTGGCGGGAAGGTAAACGGTGTTTCCGTGCGCTGCTCTGGTTCGCCAGAAGCAGCTTAGTCATGCCAGCCACATGACTGTACGCCAGCTCCCTCAGCCAATAAAGCGAGATGAGCACCGCAACCCCAGAGTCGTCTGCGACTGGACCTAATGGTCAGGAGTCCCTTTACCCTTTTTAATGAACCTGCAGGATTTGAAATATCTCACCATAAAGTCTCTTGGACTTTAAGGATTGACTCATTGACCTGGTTTACAGTAAGCCGAACCTCCTTTCTTCGGGAATTGTTTGTGCAGTGGGAGTTCCCCATGGGAAACTCAGTCACTTGGGTGATCCAGCCGTGTCTCTACTTAGCCCACAGAGGTCCTGGTTTGTGGAAAACGGCCTCGAAGGCAAAATAAGGACCCATGCCAGGTCAAATTTGGCCAGAGGTTCCCCATCCCTGGCTTTCTGGGACCACACAAACATGTAGGGTCTGGGAACAGCTCACAGCTACTTTGCTCCATGCTGCTCCCACACAAGATTAAGCTCGATGATCACTAACTTTGAGTTGGAGCCAAAAACAAATGCACACACAACCTCTGCCATGTTACATACACACACTCAATGCATGTGTCAGTTTGCAGGTAGATATTGTTACAGGTTGGAAATGTGATGCAGAACAACTAGTACATTGTTAGTTGAAAAACACGAATTCTTTTCTTCGGAATCTGTTGTTGTTTCTTGAGAAATTGCTTGATCGAACTCCACACCAAAAGGCTTCCCCCTGACCATTTAAATCCTCAACTCAACCTCTAAAAATGCCGCCGCCTGTTCACTGTACTCCTCAAGCAAAATATTGGAGTGGTGTCCTTTTGAAAAGCCTTGGGCATCAATCCACATTCCCACTGAAACTAAATGGCAAAACTCTTATATATTTCAATGAGGCCTAGCCACTTATAAATTCCAACCCCATATATGTATATCTGTGAAAGGAATATTAATCAAGTCAAATATACTAGAGGGACCTGCCATGACTGGTCTATAAACTAGAAATGCATAGCTTACTGGTGTAAACAGGGACATTTTCCTTCCCAAGGGGAAAAGGCTTCCTGTCACATCCTGTTAATCTGTTTGACATGCAGTGTTTTGCAGAACCTTTGAGAGAGCAAGGGAATGCGCAGAACAATTTTTAGAACAATGGGGGAGGGGATTTTTTATTTAAAAAATCAAGTAAATCCACCCTCTAATAGTGGTAAGGGAGGGATGGGAAAGCATTTAAGAATTATTAGTGCCTGCTTTTGAAAGGAAGGTGGGCTGGGAAATAGAGCTACATATGCCTTGCTTCTTATCGAGAGATGCAGAGCACTGGAGGAAGCCAGAAATCTTATGCTGGGAGGGTGAATCTGATAAATATAGCTTTACAGAGACATTGGATGGTACAAGGCGGCTGGCAGAGATGATCAGAACTGTCTTAAATCGGTTTGGGGTAGGGAGTTCTCAAAGCATATAGATGCCCATGTGTTTGTCAATCCTAGGGCATTTCCCAAATACAGCGTGCAAGAAATAATGTGTGTGTGTCAGTACTTGCATGTACAGAAATGATACACACACACACAAGAGTACATGCAAGTACTGCCACACACCTGCACCTGCTGCTGTAAGTGAATTTCCTGAAGGCTGCTGATGGCTTGGCTTGATACTGCAGGTTTTCTTCTGATAGGATGAACAACGAAGGGGTTGTTTCGGCAGATTTGGCAGCTGAATATCGTTAATCACAGCAATGACTTTAATCATTGACACTGAGTGGAACTCAAGAGTGGGATGATGCCTTGCTTCTGTTCCCCACCCCCAAACCTCACAGCTTCGCTTCTTTTTCATGCGCTCCCAAAGCAATTAGAATCTTTTTCGCAAAAAGCTCTAAAACTTCTAGAAAGAAAGTTGCCCTCGTTTGACATGGGCTTTGCTCTCCGTGTTCTGGCACCGCCTGCTTTTGCCTGTTGGCTTAGACCAGTAAATGACTTCATCACCTGAACAAAAGCGGTCATGTTTCGGGTGAGGTGGGCAGCATCCTGAAAATCTCTCTTTGCCAGGTGCTGGGTGGCAGAGGATGATTCATGCTGTACTTTATCCTCATTTGTGCCCAGGTCTCTACGACTAGAAAGGGAGCACAGCACCTTTAATCAGTCTGTGGGCCACCCTCCCTTCTAAGCAAGCTTCCTATATCCTAGTTTCTACACACACAAACCTCTCTGTTTTTCCAGAGGCACCAGAAACACATTCTAGCCAGGCAAGAACACTCAAGGGGTGGTATCAAGATGAAGCCCACAGGCCAGATACAGAGGCCTCCGTTTCACTGTAGTCAATGCACGAGTCAGGCATAAGAACAGTGCTTCTCAAATTTGGCTCTCCAGCTGTCGTTGGACTACAACTCCCATCATCCCTGGCAACTGTTCCTGCTAGCTAGGGATGATGGGAGTTGTAGTCCAAGGACATCTTGGAGGCCGCAGAGGTTTCCCACCCAACAGCAAGGTCCCTTTGGAGAGCTAAATGCATGGTATGCTGGCAACATCAGCCCTGCATACTTTGAAAAATCATGGAATCATAGAATTGTAGAGTTGGAACGATGGCTATGGGGCAGCGGTTCTCAACCTGTGGGTCCCCAGATGTTGTTGGACTACAACTCCCATCATCCCTGAGCTCTGGCCTTGCTAGCTAGGGGTGATGGGAGTTGTAGTTCAACAACATCTGGGGACCCACAGGTTGAGAAAGGCTGCTATGGGGTAATGAATTCCTGTTTAGTCCCCAGAACCAAGTTGACTTGAATTCGAAGGAAGAGGAGATAAAATATATATGGGAAACCCAGCCAGATGGGCGGGGTACAAATAATAAATTATTATTATTATTATTATTATTATTATTATTATTATTATATGTTTCATAGTCAGCTGTCAGTTGATAGAAATGGAAACCAGCTGCTGCTACTGTTGCTTCCTTTATGGATTCAACCCCCCCCCCCCCCAAACCCATTACCTTTCTTAATGACAGGGATGGTTTAATACTACTGTTTACTCTCTATATGTTACAATATGTCAAACACATAGACTTTTAACTGCTGTAAGTTTTATTCAGTGGGAATGTATAGTTATACAAGCCCAAAATATGGGTGGGACAGTCACTGTCGGATAGCCAAGTCCTCCTGTTCCATTTTGCCTCTTCTTTGCCTTATTTTCTGGTCTTCTAACTAGAATGACCACTCACAGCCTCAGACGTGTACTATTTGGACTTGAATTCTCCCTGGAGATTCATTACATCAGGAGCTGCCCTGCTAAATTTCTTCCAGGGCTTAGATTCCACCGACAAACTGCGGAAGTCAGATTCATACTACACAGTTTTGCAAAAGCAATAGAAATGCAGTTGTAGGGCCAGAACATTCAGTGTGCGGAAGACTATAAAAGTAAAGGAAGGCCATGAAATCAGCCCTCCATGCAAGCATTTATATGAATGCATAGCCTTGTAGAGTAGCAGTTTAGGGATGGGAGGTGGGGGAATTTGCATTTTAGTGAGAAGCTAGCTAATGCACACTTCTGGAACCAGGGTGTGAACCCAAATGCAATCATTGTGCAGGGCACCAAAACTAGGGTTGCCATACGTCTGGAATTTGTCCGGGATTTCAATGATGGAATTATCATCGGTTGGAAATCGGCAAAATGTCACACAATGAAGTGTGCGTTGCTTTCCCAAAACCAGCTTTTGTGCCCCGGATTTTTACCTCTTGAAATATGGCAACCCTAACCAAAACATGTATTTTGACCTTTAAAAGCATTAACCACTTGACCACACGTCTTTAATAAGTTTTTTTTTCTACTTCCCATCCTACATTTTTAAAGAGCAGATTCTCAGACAACATAATTCTGCCTTATTGTTACTGTTATTATTACGATGATGATGATGATGATTTTGCAGCATACGGCCTATATAAAGAGTCCACTCTCTGGACAGTCTGTTGGCCATCTTTGCTTTGGCCAAACTAGAGACGATCAAGCTGCTACGCTTAATAATGCAACATGCTTTTTGTCGAGCCGTTTCTCCAGCATTTGGCATATTATATAACTACAGAAGTACAAGCAGTAATGCTCCTCTTCTGTAACTACTCCTGCTGATTCCTCCCCCCGCAAGTTGTCAGTATTAATGACTTTGAGAGTACTTAACTGTTGCTTTATCTTGGCAGCATTCCTTCATTCTGCCCTGTTGCCTAACCAACCTTGAAAGGAACCCCAACAAAAATTATGTTTAGAAGTAAGGAAGTTTTTATTCTGTGTGTCATTTTAAACGTAATCCTATTTATTTTTAAACACTGTCTGCTGATAACGAAGACTGAAAAAGGGTGGGCTTTTATAAACTGTTGCTCTGGTACTTTGGTAGCCAGAGGTTTGTTAGCTTTTTCATAGTTACGATATGTGCATGAACTGTAACCCTGTTCTTATTAATCATGATTATATGCTTATTCAGATTGTAACTTCTTTAAGCACACAGATTTTCCTAATGGTGCTTGTGTATATTCTGCAATATTCCCTGTTATTTATTTTTGCATGAGGTTGGTTGGATTTGTGTGTGTATTATATATGTAATATGTGTATATTATATAGTATGTGTATATTATATATATAATTTTTCCAGTATTCGCACAGAGTGCCTCATGTACCTATTTGCGTACCATCAGGAAGAAAATGCGGAGAACATTGGCGGGCGGGGGGGAATCACTGGCTATAGGATGTGATGGTTTGAAGTGTTAATAAACAACGAAAATGTTTCATTTGTCCTTTTCTGCGCTTCATTTACAAATGGTGTGCTTTTCCCCAACTCATGGACACCAGAATCATTTTTACTTTGGGTTCCACCCCACCTCCCCAGTTGTTATTTCATCCACCCTTTCTCTTTGCCAAACTGTGAAAAAGAAAAGCTTTGAAAAGAAAATGTGGAAAGGGTGTTTCTTCCACACAGCTGGATTGTAGCTACATTGTTTTCCAGCTGTCACAACAAGTTTTTTGTTTTGTTTTCTGGGAGAGAAAGTGGGAGTGGGGAGAGAAAACCCACTGCACCCTAGTGATTCTGGAAAAGATGGAACTGCAATGTCTCATAGCTTGCAACAGAGTTTACCTGAGAGTGGGTATGGGGAACCTTTGACCCGCCAGATGTTGATGTACTACAACTCCCATCAGGCCCAAGCAAGCATGGCATGGGATTACGGGAGTTGTAGTTCATCAGTGTCTGGAAGCCCAGAGGCTCCCTACACCCACCTTAGAAGAATGGCTGCATAGGTTGTTATCATAGCTGTCAACTTACAGATTTGAAAATAAGGGACCAGCAGCCTCGAAAAGGGACGCAGGTGGCGCTGTGGGTTAAACCACAGAGCTTAGGACTTGCTGATCAGAAGGTCAGCAGTTCGAATCCCCGCGACGGTGTGAGCTCCCGTTGCTCGGTCCCTGCTCCTGCCAACCTAGCAGTTCAAAAGCACATCAAAGTGCAAGTAGATAAATAGGCACCGCTCCAGGGGGAAGGTAAACGGTGTTTCCGTGCGCTGCTCTGGTTCGCCAGAAGCGGCTTAGTCATGCTGGCCACATGACCCGGAAGCTGTACGCCGGCTCCCTTGGCCAATAAAGCGAGATGAGCGCCGCAACCCCAGAGTCGGTCACGACTGGACCTAATGCTCAGGGGTCCCTTTACCTTCGAAAATAAGGGATCAGCAGCCCAAATAAGGGATTTTCCGGGCACAGGTATGTTCAACTTCTGAGCCCCTCCGAGCCAAAGGCAGAAAGCCCAGCTAACAACCAAATGAAGCCTCAAGTGGTGGTTCCCACAGTGCAGCAACCCAGCAAAGGGGATGCAGCAAGGAAAATCACCGTCACCTCTCCGCTGGGAAGCGCTGAGCAAAGGCGAGTCCCCAGGCAACGCGGCCGATTTGATTGGCACAAGGCATGCAAGCTCCACCCCCCAGTCGTTCTTAGACTCCTTATTGGGTGAGTAACGCAGCCAAGCAACACAGTTGGAGCCTCCCTCCTCCCTGGTCGGCAGGGAGGGAGGGAGGGAGAGGAGCTGCTTCCTTTGCAACCCGGGAAATTTAAAGGACATCATCAATAAGGGACAGCAGCGGGACACGGCGCTGGGATAAGGGAGTTTCCTGCCAAATAAGGGATGGTTGACAGCTATGGTTGTTATTGTTGTTACTTTTTCATGCCGCCAGCTCTGCATTTTGGTGCTTGAAATTGAAAAAAGGTGCTGTGTTACATGGTGAGTTTGGCAAAACATCCCATCCTCTACCACTCTACCTGCCTAGGACAGAGGGAAAGGTGACAGTATATCTCCCTCCTAGGGATGTAGTTGAAATTTGATTCAGTTCAGATTTAAAGGTGAACCTATCTAATGCACACTTTTCTGAAACAACGTGTCAACCGAAACGTGGCCATCCTTTGAAATTTGCACTTCTCTGAATTTTGCAATGCAGTTCTCCAGCCAAACTGCATATGCAGGCATTAAAGTGTTCATGCAGACTGCAAATATTAGTAACAATGACACTAAAAATGCATTATGTTAGAAGGAAATGCTTGCAGAAATGTGTATATTAGGCGAAACTGTGCATAGAAATAGAAATTTGCACAAAAATGCTGGTGAATTTTCACACCCTTTAAAAAAAATAGATCACAAACTGATGTGGAAATGTGAAGAAACAAACTTAGGAATGGAAAAATTAACTGAAATAAACCAAAACTGACAAATTTGCCTATCTCTATCCCCCCCATTGGCTCAACTGGAACTAACTGCTGCCTGACTTCTCCACAAACTGCCTCCATTTTATTTTATTTATTTGTTTATTGAATTTATATACTGCCCTATACCCACAGGTCTCGGGGCGGCTTACAGAATAAAATCACAATATAAAACCACAAAATCCATAATCAAAATAAAAAACAATACCCCCCCACACACACACAAAAAAAAACACCCCACACACATTTTAAAAGGGTATAGGATGTCAATCAAATCAACTAAAGGCCTGGTTAAAAAGGAACGTTTTTGCCTGGTGCCTAAAAGTGTGTAATGAAGGCGCCAGGCAAACTTCCCTGGGGAGAGCATTTCACAGACGGGGAGCCACTGCAGAGAAGGCCCGTTCTTGTGTTGCCACCCTCCAGATCTCTTGAGGAGGAGGCACATGAAGAAGGGCCTCAGAAGATGATCTCAGGGTTTGTGTAGGTTCATATGGAAAGAGGCGGTCCTTGAGGTAGTGCGATCCCGAGCCACCCTGAACTCCATCCCCAGGAAGGCCTACTTGGCTCCAAATTTGCCATCATTTTGACGCCATTTTGTTTCCCCAGGCATTTGGGCATCAATGAGTACTTATTTTGAACTTTCCTCTTTGACAAGGGATGGGATTTGTCAAGCAATGACGAGCAGCTAAGAGGAAGATGGGATTCTGGACCAGTCCATTACCTGCCATACTGGCTATTTGCCATGCTTGCAGTCTGATATGATACAGTTACTCCTCTTATCTCATTCATTGCATGTGTACATCTGAAGGCAACCCTGTATTGGGAAATTTTTAACGTCTAATGTTTTACCATTTTTTATGTGCTGTAAGTCGCCCAGAGTGGCTGGGGAAACCCAGCCAGATAGGTGGAATATAAATAATAAAATTCTTATTCTTATTCTTACATCAAGCCTCTAGAACCAGCAATTCCTAGCCTTTGGTTCCCAGGCAAATTTGGGCTGTAACACCCACCATCCCTAGATGGCATAGTCCATGTGCAAGAATGATGGGAATTTTAGTCAGGAACATCTTGAGTGCCAGAGGTTCCCATCCCTGCACCATGGCTTAGACTAGACCAGCGGTTCTCAACCTGTGGGTGATGTTGGACTACAACTCCCATCATCCATGGCTAGCAAGGCCAGAGCTCAGGGATAATGGGAGTTGTAGTCCAACAACATCTGGGGACCCACATGTTGAGAACCGCTGGACTAGACAATGCTCTTAACTGTTTGTTTTTGCTTTTTACAGATCTACTGTTCCCATGCTACTATACCCACAGACACTGGGGCAGTGAGATTAATACCCATGTCACCCAAATGTAGCAAAAAATACGCATTTTATTCACCTGCGCCTGTTTAAGGTTCCCAGAGACTTTGGGTACAAGGTAAAGAAACCAAACATAGTTGCAACTGCTGTCATTCAGCTGGTGGGTTTTTTTATTTTTGCAAGAAAGTTTTTACCTGTTTGCTTTGTCTTTGTGGTGCTACCTACAAACTCTCAAAAAAGAAGTATCGCTGTGGAAGGAGCGTGGTGACACCACTTTGAGCCGCTGTCTGAAGACTGGAATTGCTCCTAGTGTATTTGCTTTTCAAAGCCACTAAGAAGAAACCCCACTTTCTGATCCAAAACAAGAGACTTGATCTTTGCTCTGATTTGTTTTCAAAAATATTAAGTATTGAACCACTGCACACAGAATGGTAGCTATTGATGTGACCTGAAAGGATCGTGCTTTGAGCCTTCCGGCAAAGAGGGGAAAGGCAAGGTAGGGATTATCAAAGCAGAATGGTCAATAAACTTTTTCCTCTTTCTGAAAAATAAAATCATCCCCCTGTCAAGTGTTCAAAGCTTTTGAAATAAAATACAGTCAAAACAAAACAATTTATGCCACATTATAAATGTCTATGCTAGTATTGAAACTTCTTCCAGGGAACGGCAAAGATATTAATGGGGTAACTGTGTTAAATACAAATGCAAGAGTTGCCAAGTAAATTAGAAGAATCAGGAATGTTTGTTTATGACTGGAATATTGTTCTATGCTGGAATTTGCAAAACAATCCGGATAGGCAAAGAGCGATGAGATCCTTATAGACTGGAACATAATATTGTTGATGAGCTTCAAGGGCTTTAGTAATTTTCATGATGTGATCTAAATAGACTCTTGTTTGCTGTGAAAAATCAAAATCTTGTGTGTGAATTTTTTTTTATTGTACTTTGTTTCTACACTTTATTGTTGATAAGCAAAACACGTAGTCTAATGGCATCTTATTAACACAGATGCGTGTGGCCCCTTTATCTTCAGCACATCTCAACTTTTCATAGAAATGTCAGCGATACCAACCACCTCCTCTGTTTCGTGGTTTTCTGACACCTCTTTATATTAACTTTTGTGTGTGTTTGTGTGTCAGCTGAGAATAACCTTTCATATATCTGATGAAGAAGGCTGTAATCCAGAAAAACATAGGCTGCAATAAATCTGAGCCTTTGCTTAAGGACATTGGTGATATCATCTGTGGCCAAACCTTATAATTTCCACACCCAGCAACCTCATGCACCTCTGTTCTGTCATCTGCATTGGCTTCCACACATCTTGTTAGTGTTGTTTTCATTCCAGAATGCAAACCAAGACTTAGGTGAGGAACCGTGACTCTCTAAAAGATAATGTGCAACATGCCTTTTCAGGGGTAGTCAACATACTGCTGTCCCTATATCATTGGCTTCCACCTCCCCTAGATCCTAGCCAGCATGATAAACTGTCAGGGATGATAGGATGTCCATCAACATCTAGAGAACCACAGATTGCCCACCACAGTCTTTGGAGACTGCTTCCCACGTTAGAAAACCATTGCAAAATTTTAACGCATCTGATGAAATGAAAATTATGCATTGTGCATTCAGGAAGCTTTTTCTCCTCCCAAATACTAGCCCTCAGGGTCGTCTGGTGAAGATGAATGTTGGAAGATTCAGAACAGGCCAAAGAAGGTTTCTTCACACAACCATGGAACAGTGCTCCCATGGGTGGCTTCGAAAGAAAATAAGACAAATTCATAAAGGGCAAAGCTTTCCATGTCTACAAGCCATGATGGCTACGTTCTGCCACTGCTGTTGCAGGTAGTATGCCTCAGAATCGCAAGTGGGAAGAATGGTGGTTGCGTTCATGCGACCACTTGTAGGCTTCCCAGAGGCATGTGGTTGGCCAGTGCAATAAATGTGTTTCTATCCAACGTAGCGGGACACGGGTGGTGCTGTGGGTTAAACCACAGAGCCTAGGACTTGCTGATCAGAAGGCCGACGGTTCGAATCCCCGCAACGGGGTGAGCTCCCGTTGCTCGGTCCCTGCTCCTGCCAACCTAGCAGTTCCAAAGCACGTCAAAGTGCAAGTAGATAAATAGGTACCGCTCCAGCGGGAAGGTAAACAGCGTTTCCGTGCGCTGCTCTGGTTCGCCAGAAGCGGCTTAGTCATGCTGGCCACATGACCTGGAAGCTGTAGGTCGGCTCCAATAAAGCGAGATGAGCGCTGCAACCCCAGAGTCGGTCACAACCGGACCTAATGGTCAGGGGTCCCTTTACCTTTACCTTATCCAACGTAGCACCAAGTTAAATACACCGGGGCGTATATTTGCACAAGAGTGTGCACAAGCAAGTTGCCTGTAACTTTGTTGCACAATAGATGGTGCAGTTGGTTGCACAGTGAGTTTCTGCAAGCACAACTGATGAGTTTGGGTTCCTCTGTTGCGCAACATTAAAGCTCACCAGTCCGTTAGCGCAAACTCTAGCAGCTTTTGGACTGTAGTCTGTTACTCTGTATTGGTTTGAGGGTGTAGGGTGTTGCTTATGTCGCCTGTGACTTTCCAGATGAGGTGGTCTATAAATGAAAGTAACACAAGATGATGACTTGTTGCTGCAGTCCTGCAGGTGCTTCGATGCATGTAAGACCCATTCACTTCTATGGGGCCTACAAGGGCTGAATGATAAGCAGGACCGCAGTTTTTGCCATCTGTTCCTCCCCCTCAACGTGAAAGCTGCTCCGATTATGTAATAAGAGGATGAAAAATATTTTTGTACCAAGTAACATTGTCATCTGTGATCTCTCTCTCCCCCCCGCTTCATGTTCCTGACCAATTTTAAAAAAAGAAATCGCTGGGGGGGGGGGACCTGTTTCATGCTGTTCTACTCTGTCGCGTTGGGAAACTGTTAGAGCAAACAGGTGCTTGGGGTGGCTAGATTTACACTTAGCGAGTTTATCTCTCTCTGAATTGCTGGTCTTTTAGACTACGTTTTACTTATTTTCTATTTCATTAACTTAACTTGTGTTTTTCAGACCACCCCTCAGGGTCAAAACAGACCTCTTAAAAGCGATTTATAACATAAAATCTGCAGCAGATTGCACCTGTACTCAAAGAACTGCAATAGCTGCCAGTTTGCTCCTGGGGGAGGTTAGTGGTGTTACTATTGGTCTATACAGCCTTCTCCACCCTGGGATGATCAGCCAAAAAATACTGAGGCTGTTATCAAGTTTGTTTAAGAAGAGGGAGAGGTACAGAATTTTGCTGGAGGAAAGTGGTAGCTAATGTGTTTTCACGATACACAAATGTTGTAGGAGACATCATCTCAGAAGAAGCTATCTTCCTGAGCCTCTTGGGCTTGCCGATCGTATGGTTGGCAGATTGAATCCGTGTGATGGGGTGAGCTCCCATGGCTTTGTCCCAGCTCCTGCCAACGTAGCATTTTGAAAGCATACCATTGTGAGTAGATAAATAGGTATCGCTACAGCAGGAAGGTCAATGGTGTTTCGGTGCGCTCTGGCTCTCATCACGGAGTCCCGTTGTGCCAGAAGCTATTTAGTCATGCTGGCCACAAGTCCCAGAAAGCTGTCTGCGGACAAACGCCGGCTCCCTCTGCCTGAAGCGAGATGAGCGCTCCACCCCATAGTCCAGTGATGGCCAAACTGGGCCCTCCAGTTCTCATCATTCCTGACCACTGGACCTGTTAGCTAGGGATGATGGGAGTTGTAGTCCAAAAACAGCTGGAGGGCCAAGTTTGGCCATCACTGCCATAGTCAATTTCATCTAGACTTAACCATCCAAGGGTCTTTTACCTTTTACCTTTACTGTCTTTTTTAATATGCTGCTTGCTGATTTGGAAGCTTCTCTGTCAAAACCATGTACCTATCTCTTTGTAATGGCTGTACAACAAAGCACTGGATATAAAGAGCTGAATGGGCACAGAGTTATGAGCTGTGGATTTAAACACTTAATTTTTGTGATCTGACTGCTAAAATGACAAGGGAACAGCAGGATCCATACCTTCAGTATCTGTTTTTGCACTGGAGTTGTCAGTATGGTGCTCTCCAGATGATTTCAGACTCCAGCTCCCATCAGCCCCAGCTAGGGTGGTCAGTGGCCAGGGAAGATGGGACTTGCTGTACAAAACAGCTAGAGGACAGTAGGCTTGCAATGCCTGGAATAAGATCCAGTGTAGTGCCATGATTAGTCTTTTGTTTATGACCTGGAAGACCAGGGTTCAAATCTCCACTCAGCCACGAAGCTCACTGGGTGATGTAAATTCTGATGGGGTGGTGAATTTGACGCATGTCTCAAATCTACGCCGCTAATAAGAGTTTTCGTCTTTTGCTTTAGCTGAAATGTTTTCCTTAATAAAGCTGAATAACAGTTGCTGTAACCTCAGGCTTACAATCTTAAAAGGCACCACAAAAGGGAAAAAGGAGCCAGTCAGTTTGCGGGGAGAGAGAAGCAAGAAACCAGATCTTAGTTGCAATGTTGTTATAAGGACCAGCTGGAATAGAAAGAATTCAAGGAGAGCACAAAAGTGGCTGGTCTCTCAGCGGAGTGGCACACATTTCATAGCACAGCTGCACCATGAGGCAATGCTAGCATGTTCTCTTTTTTTACCATGCAATATGCGAGCTTAGATGCAAGCTGTAATTAGCTGGTGGAATTGATGCCATATAAAAAGCAGGAAGATCTACGCTTCACATACAGGCTTTTGTACCACTGCAGTGCCTTCAAGCACGGGGTCTGGATTTTTTACAGCATTCTTGCAGGCATGGATATGAGCTGTGGTTATTAGAGCGTTGATTTGAGACAACTGACAGTAATTTTTTATTTAAAAAAATCAAGATGCTATACCTTTTTTAAGCCAAAGTGCCACAGATTCATGACACTTTTTTGGCTTTGCTGTTGGAAACAGTACGTCCCATGATGAGTGCTGGGAATCACAGATGGGCAGAGTGCTGTTGTACTCAGGTCCTGTTTACTGGTCCTGGCCTGATCCAGCAGCCTCATGTTCTTATGTTTTTACAGTGAATTTTCACATGCACACAGAAGCATGCTATGATTTGAAAGTGGATTTGACAGGGTCCCATGTATTGAAACGTGGGTTTAAATAAATGGGATGCGGGTGGCGCTGTGGGTTAAACCACAGAGCCTAGGACTTGCCGATCAGAAGGCCGGCGGTTCGAATCCCCGCGACGGAGTGAGCTCCCGTTGCTCGGTCCCGGCTCCTGCCAACCTAGCAGTTCAAAAGCACATCAAAGTGCAAGTAGATAAATAGGTACCGCTCTGGCGGGAAGGTAAATGGCGTTTCTGTGCGCTGCTCTGGTTCGCCAGAAGCGGCTTAGTCATGCTGGCCACATGACCCGGAAGCTGTACGCCGGCTCCCTCGGCCAATAAAGCGAGAGGAGCGCCGCAACCCCAGAGTGGCTGGACCTAATGGTCAGGGGTCTCTTTACCTATGTATTGAAAAACAAATCACGAGCATTCCTGCAGCTCTAATGGATCCGTAAGAGATTTAATTAAGGCAGTCCATATGCCAAGATGTCGACTGCGGTTTAGACAGCAGGTGCTTGGGGTTTGCCGGTGGTTGTTTCTTTAATCGAGCCATCACGATCCATTAAATTCCTCCCCCCACCCCCACGTGTGGATCAAACCCGCTTAGCTACCCGAAGAAAAACTTTAGGAATATGGCTCCACCGTTTTTAGGAAGCATAAGCTTTAATTTAAAACTACTTTGCCAAGTGCATTTTTCCATCCCAGTTTACTCAGAAGCAAGCCCTAGCGCGGTACAGTTTACCCTCTTAGGCAGGTATGCATGAGATTGCAGCCGTCTCAGAGTGGGAACCCACCTTAACCGCGAATCGGAACAGGAGCCTGTTTAAAAGGCTGCAGGGGAGCAATCACGTGACCCACAGCTTTCCTCCCCCCGCCTCCTCTGCGGCTCTGAAGTTACCGCAGTCCCCGCAGAGGCCACGCCTCGCCCGCCAGAGACCACGCCCTCCCCAGGCAAGCCCGTGAAGCCGAAGCCACGCCCCTTTCGCGGCGGCTGCTTACTGCGACTCGTCCCCACCTCCAGATCCCGCCCAGTTCTCCTCGGCGCGAGAGGCGGCGCGCGACGGGCGAGGAAGCAACGCCCCCTCCGTTCCCTTTTTGCGGCTTATAGGTCTGGAGCAAGCCCCGCCCATCTCCCCTCAGCTGCACCGCCCCATTTTCCTCGCCGGCCGTTGGGCTCGCGCTCTGTCTTCGCTCTCTCCCTCTCTCTCAGCGTTGCGTGCGCGCGCGCCACCTAAACCCCGCCCCGTTTCCCTCAGCGGCTCCACAGAGAGCGGCTGGCGGTTTGTGTGGCGGCGCCGACGGGCCGGTCCTTCTTGTGTGCCTCTCGCTCTCTTTCTCCACACACACACACAGACAGACAGACAGACAGACAGACACGGCCTGCCGGGCAGAGGGAGGGTGGAGTCCAGCCCCTTGTCGCTTTTCCTCTCCTCTTCCCTCCCTCTTATTTCCCCCTCCTTCTTCACCCCCACTCCCCTCCTCTTCCTCCTCCTCCTCCTCCTCCTCCCCTCACGGACAACAACATGGCGGCGGTGTCGGGGGCAGCGGCGGGCAGCTGTGCCAGCCTCGCCGGGGCCCCGGAGATGGTGCGAGGGCAGATCTTCGACGTGGGGCCTCGCTACACCAACCTCTCCTACATCGGGGAAGGAGCTTACGGGATGGTCTGGTAAGAAGGCGCTAATTCTCTCCTCTTGCTTCCACTTCTCTCTCTCTCCCCCCCCCCCCTTCACCCTTTGCTGTTGCTGCTGAATTTCCCCCTCAGCATTATTATTATTTTAATGCAAGAAAGCGCCCTTGGCTTACGGGGTTAAGGGCGCTGCGCACTAGCGCTGCAACGAGGGACCTTCCCTTCCCTTCCTTCGGAATGAAAGCATGCATGGGATGGAGATCGGGGCCGAGAGGTTGCAGAGCCCGACGCCTGCAGTGCCATTCTGCGCCTGTTTTACTCGGAAGTAAGCCTATGTGCGGAGAGTGAGTACCCAAGGGCAAGAAAGGGAAACAGGACCGCAGCCTTATGTATGGGAGAGAGAGAGAGAAATCCTTTCCTGTTTTTCTGGCTCAGTATAAGGTACAGCTTGCAGTGCGATCCAAGAAAATAAAAAAAGCTTGCACATCGACCTGTTAGTCGTTGGATTTTCCTTCTCACTTTCCTCTACCTCCCAGTTTTTCAGCGGCTCCTGCGCCCTGCAAAGATGACTTGCTGCAGCCCATCCACAGTGTCACTTCTTTGCTGAAATCCTGTTGTGTGTGTATGTACAGCACCTGCAGTGAGCATTGGTGCACGGTATTTAGATTGTGTTGGGCTCCTTAGGGAGGCAGTGTCTGTTGGGAAAGCAAAATAGTATCATAAGTAGACGAGCCTTGCTCAGAGGCAAGTGTAAATTTACAAAGTGCAGCTCTTCAACTTAAGCTTGTGCATGTTTACTTTACAAGCAAATAGCAGTGACTTCAGTGGACTACCCCCAGGTAAATGTGCACAGAATTGTATATGCAAAGGGCTGGATTTCTTTTTTAAACCACCTCTTCTCTGCCAAACCATTTAATCAATAAGAGCATTGGAAGCTGCTTTATAACCGAGTCAGATCTATTGTCCATCTAGCTCATTACTGTCTACACCCGGGGTCAGCAACCTTTTTCAGCCATGGGCCGATCCACTGTCCCTCAGACCTTGTAGGGGGCCGGACTATTTTTGTGGGGGTGGGGGTGGAAATGAACGAATTCCTATGCCCCACAAATAACCTAGATATGCATTTTAAATAAAAGCACACATTCTACGCATGTAAAAACACCAGGCAGGCCCCACAAATAACCCAGAGATGCATTTTAAATAAAATAACACATTCTACTCATGTAAAAACACGCTCATTCCGGGACCGTCTGCGGGCCAGATTGAGAAGGTGATTGGGCCGCATCCAGCCCCCGGGCCTTAGGTTGCCTACCCCTGGTCTACACAGACTGGCAGTTACTCTCCAGGATTTCAGACAAGGGTTTCTCCCAGCTTTACCTGGACTCCAGGAGATGCTGAGGATTGAACTGTGGGGACCTTCTGCATGCAAAGTAGGTGCTTTTATCATTGAGCTATGGTTGTTCCCTTTGTTTTCTGTTGAGCAATGTGGAAGCTGTTGTTGTAGGTAATAGAGTAGTATATAAATTCAAATTATTATTTATCGTAGTTTGTAACATTCATGAGTCGCCTCTCCTTGGCCAACAGCACCCTAGGTAATTTATACTGATAAAAACAATATAAATATAAAATGTAAAGCCAAGAGCTCAATAATTATATCACTATGAACATGAAACAAAACGATAGTGTTTGTGTGTTGTGGCTTAGCTGATATATTTGACTTGATTGTATATGTAGTGTGAGAGCTTTCTGGGAGGGCATGGGATGCCTCTAGAAGCTAGGAAGCTACCTGATCTCTCATTGCTGAAAGAGTAAAAGCAAGGTGACATCTTTTCCCCAATTTATTTTGTCTTAGGGAAAAGTGAGAAAAGAGATCCTTGGTTGGATTTAATTAGCATTAATAACTTGTGGTGGGTTGCCACTGACAGTATGCTGTCATGAGCAAGAAGAGATGGAGATGCAAGTGGAAGATCGAAAATTGGGAGGAAATGATGGATCAAATGCCATCATTTGTCACATTTAGTTGGTACTTATAGGAAGTATGAAGAAAACAATTTGCTGTTGCATGTGTATTGTGCTGGTTAACTCACATCCTCATATATCTGTCAAAATATGGATATGAGAAGCTGTGGCAGTAAGGTGCAAGACATTGTTGTCTAAGCTAAGCTATATTGCTGTTTGATCATTGCTGGCATTTTCTCTTTTCTTGCTCTGCCAAATGTATTGTAGCAAGTGCAATAGAACTCTGGTTTACCGTAACTTGGTATCTATCAGTAGTGTTTTAAATTTGCGAGAATGATTGAATATATCTTATTTAAATATCCATATGTTGTTACGAAACAACATACAGTGTACCGCGAATAATGATGGATGAGAAGTAGTGGTGCATATGTAGGCAAAGTCTCATTGTGCACAAAAAAATCAGAACCAAGTGGTGATAAAACCACATTTTTTGCTTAAACTGCTTTTGGTAGGAGTCTACAAAACTGAGATTCAGTTTTTGTGTGATTCATTATTACTAAAATAAGTTCATTGAAAGTATTTAAGTCTCAGGGACTTCACTGCAGCATAAACATACTAGTCTTGCAGTGAATGAGCTTTCTTTTTTTAAGGAAACATGTAATGGAATATAGTTGGTGAAAGTTAATAAATATTTAAACATAATTTGACATTAAATATTATCCACCGGAGTCAGAGTGTATCTCTCACATGTACACACCTTTCCCACTCCATTTAAGACTAGGCAACTGCTGCCCTAGAACTTTCTTCAGTTTATTCTATGTAGCCTAGCATCGCCTAATGGCTTCTTTGTAGGCATCACTGACCAGAAACTCTGAAAGAAGTAAATACGCAATAAGTCATAAAAAATGGGACAGGTTTAGGTTCACTAGCTGGCTGGAAATTAACATAGGTGCAGTGATTGCATTTGCAGTGTAGTGCACTTGTGTGTGTTATGAAGGCTTTGGGCGCAGTCCGCTGCTCTACACGGCTTAACAGGTGGTGACTGGCACTGTTTTGGTCTTCCAGGTACAGTATTGTGGAAACCAGCCAACCCAGAGTCATCATTTCTTCTCATTCAAATGTCTGCCTGTTGTCTCACCCTAAGCCACTTTTCAGACAGTGTAGTATCTGTGAACAAGGAGGAAATAATTTTGCTCACAGTCTATGCTCAGCAGCACTTTGCATCAGGCGCTTTTAAGAAAAGTTTTTTTCCCCTTAGAAAGGAACATTGCACAGTGTACTCTGCCCTAGGGGAACTTTTTTTTTAAAAAAAGCAATATTAATAAAAGTTAGCATTTGAGCAGTTGTTAAGCAATAAATAACACTGATTTAAATCACATTTGAATGCTTTTTTTTTTAATAAAAATAACTTGTTGGATGTTTATTTTAGTGATAAAAAACCAAATGGGTTATTCCTTTAAAAACTGTATAGGTGAATATAAACTGTGAAAACTGTAGTTTAATCTAGTTAAAAACTAAAGTATAGGCATAAGCCATTCAACTGCAGTCAGTAAGTGACCATAATGTGAATACTTAAGAAAAGCCTTGATCGTGTCTTAGTGTTACAGTAATGAGATTAGAATAAAGTTTATAGAAGTAGAAATGTCAGTATTAAATGTAAAGATGTCATAAACTTATGCACATGCTCTAAAGCAAAGAAATTGTTGGAAGGTTGTGTTAATGTAAACATGTTCAGGACTGGTGTTGGGCTAACTCTGTGACTTTGCTTGAATCACTTAAGATAACTCCACAACAAAAGTGATTTGAAGCCAGGAGTAGTAGTTGTTTATTTAATTTGTATACCGCCATATACCTGCAGGTCTCAGGGCGGTTCATGGGATAAAATCATGATATAAAAACACAGAATACATACTCAAAATAAGAACAAGAACAACCCAATAACGTCCGTCTGTGTCCCACCCACGATCACCACATTTTAATAGGGCATTGGATGTCAGTCAGCCAAAGGCCTGGTTAAAGAGGAACACTTTTGCCTGGTGCCTAAAGGTGTATAATGAAGGTTCCGGGTGAGCCCCCCTAGAGAGAGCATTCCACAAATGGGGAGCCACTACAGAAAAGGCCAGTTCTCGTGTTGCCACCCTACAGACCTATTGTGGAGGAGGCACACGAAAAAGGGCCTCAGAAAATCATCTCAAGTGACAGCAAAGGATCCAGGAGTACTCCCAAATTATGAACCTGCTCCTTCAGAGGAGGTGTAACCCCATCAGGAGCAGGCAACCTCAAAGCCATCCGATCTAAGGAACCACCCACTAACAGTGCCTCAGTCTTATATGGATTGGGTTTCAGTTTGTTGGCTCTCATCCATTCTATTATCGAGGCAAGACACCGGTCCAGCATTTCCACTGCCTCACCTGCAGGTGTAAAGGAAAAGTAGAGCTGAATGTCATCAGCATACTGCTGACAACGTACTCCAAACTTCCGGATAACCCCACCAGCGGTTTCATGTAGATGTAGAACAGCATAGGAGATAGGATAGATCCCTGAGGAACTCCACATTGAAGGCTCCACAGGGCTGAGTTGAAATATTCTAGATGAACTCTCCTTGTGGATTGTGATAATTAGGAATGTTACTTTCTTGCCTCCCTCTAGCTCATGGGTGTCAAACACAAGGCCCGCGGGCCGAATCCGGCCCGCCAGACCTCGTCATGTGGCCCGTGTAGCCGCCGCCGGCCGCCAGCCTTCACCTTTTATTCTCGCTTTTTTTTTTTTTTTTGACACAAGAAAGCCGCCTCTTCAGCGCATGCACGGCAGCCTACAAGCCAGAGAACGTCTGCCCTCTAGCGGCGCCGCGGCCCCCGATGAATTTGAGTTTGACACCCCTGCTCTAGCTCATTGCACGCACCAAAATCTGGTTCCCCTCCCCCAACACAGTCCCTGTTGCTGCTCTCGTCTTTTGAAGTTTCTTCTCCTCCCACTCATCCTGACTTGGCTGATGTGATGGCAGAATTGGCTTCTTTGCAAAATCCTGCCATTTCAGCTCCTGGTTGCTTGCTTTTTTCACTGCTTGTCAACCTTCAAAATTCATCTTTTATATTTCCTTTGCATCTCTGGATTGCTGTGGTATATTGCCATTTTCCCATGCTACCTCCCTTCAGCTTTCATGCCATGCCTCATATGGCTTTCCCCTTTCCCTCCTGACAATATTCCAATTTCGCTGGTGATTCAGCATTCATACAAATAACCTCATTGACCCAGCTTTTTTTTCCACATTCTCTTCTACACTGACTTCTTTTCAACCTCCACTGAGAACTCTTAAGAACTCTCTGACCCTTTTCCTGTGGAAATCTGTCCTGGCATTAGCACTCATTTCCTTTCCTCTTCTGTGTCTTGCTATTTCTATGATTTGTAAATGGCTGTGGTCCTCTTGAAAGTGTTATCTTCTGCCTACACCTTAGACTCTGTAATAATGTAAGAAGTTGCCTCATACTGAGTCAGGTTATTGGTCCTTCTAGCTGCATCTGGTCTAAACGTCCACCATCAACTCCTCCCTATCCCATATTATTTGCTTCCTGTTCTGGCTTTTTTTAATATAATTCTTGAAGCATCTCTGAAGAAAATCAAGATTTGACCAACTTTGCCCATTTTCTTCTCTGCTGTCTTTCTAGCAAAGCACCTTCTGCACCTTCTAATGTACACTCACTAAACCCTAGATGCTTCTTTACCTTTGCTTTGCCAAGGCCTGCACTTCCGCTAAACTGCCTTTTGCTCAGGGCCTTGTTGACAAGGATAAATATTGCTTCCCACACTGTGTCCATTCCCTCCCCCTTCCCATGGTAAGTTGATTTAAAAACCAGTCCTTTTCATATTGCCAGGAGCTGGAGTCCTTTTGGAACCCCAGCCTGCAACATGGAGTCCACCTGTGCACACTTGGGGGGTACAGCCTAGCAGTAAAGTTGTGGAGCCCATGCAGTGGGAGCAGAGTCCAGTGGTAAAAGGGTTGTGCCCATGCACCGAGGGGCACAGTGAGTGAGTGAGGAAGCAGAACCCACAGAAAAAGGCATTGCTAAGGTGTACTACTCTTCCATGTGCATAGAAGTTACCTGCCACTAAGCAGTGTATCTATGCATGACATTAATGACTCTACTTACTTCACAAGCAAAAGCATTAAGTGCATAACACAGTTTGTTGAGTGCAGTTTACATGCTAAGTCACAAGTATAAACTACTGTAATGAACTTCATTACAGGACAGATCACAAACTGCAATCAGCTTACAATAGAACAGCTAAATTTCTGAATAGGATTGGGCATTATGATCATACTACACCACTTGTACTGGTCCTCAATCTGTTTTCAGGCCCGATTCTGACTTCTGGCGCCTTTTACAGCTTGGGACCAGGATGTGTGCAGCATTTTTTTGCAGCAGTAAGAAAAGCTAATTCTATTCTAGGTTGCAGCAACAGAAGTATAATGTCCAGATCAAGGGACGTAATAGTACCACTCTATTCTGCCTTGGTCAAACCACAGCTGAAATACTGTGTACAGTTCTGGGTGCCACAATTTAAGAAGGATATTGACAAGCTGGAATGTGTGCAGAGGAGGGCAACCAAGATGATCAAGGGTATGGAAACCAAGCCTTATGAGGAGCCAGTTGAGGGAGCTGGGTATGTTTAGCATAGAAAAGAGGCGTCTGAGAAAATATGATAGCCATCTTCAAATATTGAAATGGTTGTCACATGTAATATGGAGCAAGCTTGTTTTCTCCTGCTCCGGAAATTACAACTAAACATCAGGAAAAGCTTTCTGATAGTAAGAGCTGTTCGACAGTGGAACAGTCGGACTCCCTTGGGAGGTTGTGGACTGTTCCTCATTGGAAGTTTTTAAGAAGAGGTTGGATGGCCATCTGTCATGGATGCTTTAGTTGAGTTTTCTGCATTTCAGGGGGTTGGCCTAGATGACACTTGGGATCTCTTCCAATTCTACAATTTTATAAGTCTTTGACTGCCTGTCTCCCTTTATGCCTATCTTATGTTAGGTTCTTTGACAGATAGCCTTCGGTTGATTACCATGCCTTCTCTAGCTTTCCTGGATGAAGGGTTTCTCAGTCTTGGCTCCCCAGTTATGGAATGCTTTTCCCAGTAAAATTTATGGGAATATTATCAACAGATGGGCTTTCCTCTCTCTGTATGTGCAGTCATACTACAAAGATGATGCATTTCATTTAATCATGATGTAGAATATTTCTTTTCAGTTAGTGGCTTTTCGTTAATCCTTATACATTGGATATCTCTGTGTATAATATTCACAGAATATTTTGATGTGTTTTAATATGCTATATATCTAGTTTTTTATATTTTGATGACCTTTTGTCATACATAAAATTTTGCTAGATATACACAATTATAGACCATATTTAGCATTGTCTGAAACACTTCTCACAGTTTGTTTCTCTCCAGAAAACCATGACTGAAAAGCTCTTAACTTCAGGATTACGCGTATAACTTTTATATTATATCATAAATTGTAGCACTTTTTCATTTTAAAACATTGCCTGAATAGGAATTGCACCTATAATAAATATTTGATTTTTTTGTAGTCCTTTTTTGTTCACATAGTGGTTCACATAGGGACTTAATATGTTACGTGACAAAAGGCTTTAATTTAATGGAAAATTTAACCCAGGTCCCTGTGTATCTAAGCTTAAAAAAAGCAATGGCCAGGACATTGTTCAGCCTGAGTGACCTGCGCATTGTTCAGTAAAGAGAAATGGCTTTTTTTCTAACCTGTCAAGCATATACCGGATTATAAAATGATTCTCCCTCTCTGTTCTTTGGCTCATCAATTTGGTTAATTTGGTTACTGATATAATGTCCTCCTGTTTGCTGTATTTCAGTGTGTATTAACTCTTATTTCCTTATCTAAAACATCAGTTTTCTGTTTAGTTCTATTCATTTGTTCAGGCAACTGTTACCTTTCAGAAAACCTTATTTCTCCCTTGACACACCAATGGGACAGTATAAAGGTTTGGGAGAACAAGCAATCTGAGATTTAGACTACTTTAATTCCTGCAAGATTGAATTGGCTAAGTTTCTCTCAAAGACATGAGGTGGTGTGCCATCTTTCTAATTAAAGCTGAAATCATGGACATTTTAATGAGGCAGGAAATCTGGAATGAAGTTTGAAATTATGCTTAAAAGTAGGATCTTGAATGCCAATATTCAAAGGAGACAACTAATCTTGTGAATATTTTGACAAATTTCCTGTCTACTGCTTTTCACATCCTGAAAAAACTTTGAGAAGAGTTAAAGCAGCAAGTGACTAACTGTTACCTGGATAATTTTGTTGTATTTTGTTCAAAATTATTTAACAGGACTTACAACAACAACAACAACAACAACAACAACAACAACAGAACAATATTATTCATACAATTTTATTTATTTATACAATACATCAAAACAGCTTACAGCACATATAACAAATCGTAAAACATCAGACATAAAAAATTTCCCAATACAGGGCTGCCTTCAGATGTCTTCTAAAAGTCATATAGTTGTTTATTTCTTTGACATCTGATGGGCACCACTACCAAGAAGTCTTGTTCCTTGTAACATCACTTCTCACAGTAAGGGAACCGCCAGAAGGCCCTTGAAGTTGGACCTCAGTGTCCAAGCTGAATGGTGGGGGTGGAGATGCTCCTTCAGGTATACTGGGCCTAATGCAAGCTACTAATGCAATGCAAGCTTCTATGTTTTAAATAATGTTTTCTGACATAGTGTCTAAAGCTTTATCTAATATGGTTAAAGTTATTATGATGCCACCATTATTATCTTGCCACCACTGGTTCTGAGAAAAATGTTAAAGTGCTGAAACCTCACAGTATTTTGGCAGATAAATTGAATTTTGTTATCTTCATGATTGAAAAAGGCTATGTCAGCATTTCTAGACAACCTGAGTCTTGTTCTGTAGATAATGCCATTAATTTTTTGTTTAATATTGATGATTCTTCTTCCAGTTCAGCACATGACAATGTGAATAAAGTTCGGGTGGCCATAAAGAAAATCAGTCCTTTTGAACACCAGACTTACTGCCAGAGAACTCTGAGAGAGATCAAAATCTTACTGCGCTTCAAACATGAAAATATTATTGGGATCAATGACATTATCAGAGCTCCAACAACTGAACAAATGAAAGATGTGTATCCTTTAAAGATGTATGCCCTTGTGCTCTCATTGTTTCAGCTTTCTGCTCTGTTTCACTGTTGATTGTTTATCTTGGTGTTATCCTAAATTATATGTTAAAGACTACTTCCTTGATCTTGTCATCCAGTGATTCTTGCTGTTTTAGTAGTTGTACTAAGCCCAAATCTTTCTGTGTGTAATGCAACAGAACCTTTTATCTGTTGAGGACTTCAATCCCTTGTGGGTAATCTGCTGGAGTGAGGGCTGCATGCTGACAGAGGGTGGGGTGGGGCCAAGGCTAAAAGTGGACTGAGTTTCAAGTGTAGCATAGCTCGCTCTTTGTATACCCCATCTCTTTTTCCTGTGCCACCCGATCTCTCTGTGCTTCCCTCAACTTCTGTCTATTTTGGCTCCTTCCCCCACCCTTCCAATGATAGAATCCCCCACCCACCCACACACGCTTCCATTGTTCCACTTGGTTTGATTGTACAATCGTACCTTGGAAGTCAAATGGAATCCATTCCAGAAGTCCATTCGACTTCCAAAACGTTCAGAAACCAAACCAAAGCGCAGCCTCTGATTGGCTGCAGGAAGTTGTGGAAGCCCCACTGGACGTTCGGCTTCCAAAAATAGTTCACAAACTGGAACACTCACTTCCGGGTTTGCAGTATTTGGGAGCCAAAATGTTCAAGAATAAGCTGTTCGAAAACCAAGGTACGACTGTATGCACTTTGGGGAGTTTCCCTCTCCTCCTTTCTTATCCTTCTAGGCCCATCTCATGGTTCACAGCAAGCCTTTTTCCCCATGTCCAGTTGTCATACTGGAGAGGATTGTTTGAAGCAGTCACACAAATTTTTCCAAGAGCCCAACTGATTAGCAAATTGTAATAGGATATGGAATCATGCCATTCTCAGTTCGTAAGCAGTCCTTGTACCATGCAAATGTTGCAATTTAGAATCATAGAACTGTAGATTTTGAAGGGACCATGAGGCTCATCTAGTCCAACTCCAGCAATGCAGGAATCTTGCCCAACGTGGGGCTCAAACCCTCAACCCTAAGATTAAGAGTCTTGTGCTCTACCGACTGAGCTATTTTTAAGTAAGACTACTATGACATTAGTTATGGGTGATGTGCTTCTTTATTGATTAACCATCCAGCAATATTGCACATTTTTTTCTTCTGAAAATGTAGAAGTGAAGTTTTAAAGAACTTGGGAGCTGAGCAACTCCAGTATTATGTAGTAAAATGTTGGTTTGTTTGCCTTAATACGATTTACAGATATATTGTGCAAGATCTAATGGAGACAGACCTTTACAAGCTCTTAAAGACTCAACATCTCAGCAATGACCACATCTGTTATTTCCTTTACCAGATCCTGAGAGGATTAAAATATATCCATTCAGCCAATGTGCTGCATCGTGACCTCAAACCTTCCAACTTGCTGCTAAACACCACTTGTGATCTCAAGGTTAGCAAGTATATTTTTGTCAATATAAAAGTACCCATGTCAATATAAAACTTACTCATTCGCTATTTTAAATCAGTGGGTTTCTATGCCAAGAAAGATCCCAAAAACTAAGCTGTAACAGAGACTATTAGAAAGGCATGTGTACCATTATTGTGGTATTTGGCAACGAAGTTTTAGCACACACACATAAGTTGTTTATGCATGGATTGAAGCTTTGTTCACTTTTTTTGTTCAGATGTTATCTCCATTTCCTTAAAGAATGGAACCTGTAAATGTTCCTTCTTGTTGCCATGGGACAGCTATTCTGCAAATTCTAAAAGACAGAAAGCATATTTACAGTTTTTATTGCAGCTTGAAAATCTGAGAGGGTTTTTGATGATAGAATCATAGAAATATAGAGTTGGGTGGGACTTCAAGGGCCATCTACTCCAATCCCCTGCAATGCATAAATTTTTGCTTGATTAGGAATATTGATGTGACAAAAAATAAAAAGAAAGCTGTCCCTCCTATAACATCTTTGTTTGATTTGATATTAGATCTGTGACTTTGGACTGGCTCGTGTTGCAGATCCAGATCATGATCACACTGGGTTCCTGACAGAATATGTAGCTACGCGTTGGTACAGAGCTCCTGAAATCATGTTGAATTCTAAAGTAAGAGCTATGTATGGAAGAGTGCCTCATGTGGTGCTTGAAAGATATAATAACAAATAATAATATATATTGTTATTCTTATTCTTATTCTTATTGCTACTACTGTTGTTGTTGGGCTGCCTTCAGATGTCTTTTAAAAATCACATAGCTGTTTATCTGTTCAACATCTGCTGGGAGAGCGTTCCACTACAATGTGGCTCCTGGAAAATCTAATTAAATCCTACATTTTGTACATGAACAAATTGCACCCCGATATTTAATTCACTGACTGTAGCCATATGAGAGATTGCTGGCTCAGTTGAATGTCTTGATTATGTGTTTAACCAACTGTGCTGCAAACCAGAGCTAGCTTTGACTTCAAGTAGAAATTCTTGATTGCCTATCATTGAAATTTATGTTGCTTTCTGAGAGATGAAGCTGCTTGCGTATGGCTTTTTATAGAATTACCAAATTGAGGCCACAGTACCTAGTGCTGCTACTTTTTAGCTTTGGAATGGAACTGTGATATGATAGGAATTAAACTAGCAGCCCAGCATTCCTTTGAAATTTTAATCCCTGGAAGAAAGTGAACATATGCAGGCATGCAATTATCACTGGTGAGAGACAGGAGCTGGCTAAACTGGCAGAGCACAGTGGAACACACGGTTGTGGGTTTGCATCCTAGTTTGCAGAAGCAGGCAAGTGGGAATTAAGGCAGTCTGAAGCTTAGTAGTAGTGGGATCCAACTCACATAAACCCAAAAAAGTTCAATGGACCATGTTCTAATGCTTGTCCATTCTTTTAGCATGTGTATATCAAATCTTACGCATTGAGGTATATCCAGAGTTCTAGGGCACTTCAGAAATCCATATTGTCAGGTTTTTAATTATTTCTGTATCATCTCTTTGTGTGCAAAATATGCTGTTTATTTTCATATGAAATCAGAAGTTAGTACCATTTTACACATGAGCAGCTCAGGCTAAGTGTGTGGCTTGCTTAACTCAGCAATCATTGAAGTCAGAGTTTCCTGATACTTTGTTTTATATCAAAAGATCACACTGGCTTTAGGGCTTGGAATAAAAAAAATAAGAGTAATCTTTGTGGGTTTCACATGGTAACAATTAGATAAAGTTTGTATTTTATGTTTCTAAGACTGCATTCCCATGCACACATGTCAGGGTGAGTGCAAGTGAGTCCAGCTGAAAGCAATGATTGAATATGCACCTTATGATAAACCATAGTTTAGCATGATGTGAATAAGCAGGAAATGGCTGTAGTGAGCCTCAGGCTTACATGCTCCCCTCCCCTTTTTTGTTCCTACATGACGATATGGAATCTGGTAGCTTTTACTTAGCGACCGTTCATAATGTTCTGAACCAACCAACTGTGGTTATTCTTAACGACAGCTAGTTTAAAACAAGGCAGCTTGACACTATTGCTACTGACGTTGGCTTGTTAAGACTAATTGTGGCTAAGCTTAATAGTAGGTCTCAGTCCCAACAGCATGGCAAGTTGTGCTTAAATCAAAAGAAGAAGCTTCTAAACTTCTCATGGCTGAACTGTGGTTTTCTGTGATAAGCAAATATAGACATTGAGACTGACTTAATAGTAATCATCCATAGATTGCATTGTAGGTGTCTTCTGTACTTTTGTGCTTACCCTTCATATTTATAAAACACAATGCTTGCCTCATTGTTCAAGAACAGTTATATAAATTCTGATTCATCACAAGTGCTAGGACTGGAATTCTGGATTTCAAAATTACCATATCTTGGCTCTCTTAAATTGTAGTATGTTGAACAGTACAGCAAATGCTAGCAACAAGTGATTTCCCCCAACTTTCTACTTATAGGGTTATACCAAATCTATTGATATCTGGTCTGTAGGCTGTATTTTGGCGGAGATGCTATCAAACAGACCCATCTTTCCAGGAAAACACTATCTTGATCAGCTGAACCACATCCTTGGTAAGATTTCTATATATAACTATAGGCAAAGGCTGCTTTTGTCTACTAATTGCCATTTCTCTCCAGCCTAGTGATTTGATTGATGGTACCAGCTGTGGCCATCTATTCATATTTTTATTTTAAATTCATGCTGATTTTCTCCCCTGTTCTCACCTCTCCTGCTCTGCATGCAGCATTCTGCACTCCACCAGGCAAGGGCACAATCCAGCAGAAACCTCCTTGATGTAAGCGCCACAGAAACAAGTAGAAAACGAACAAGAGCAAAATTCCTCTTCATTACCATCCTTTGATACAAATTTTCATTATCCATTGGTACACAGATATGAACTAGTTTGAGATAGTTAAAGAATACCACATAATTTCCCTTCAGTGCTGCTCCCAGTTAATTTAAGATACAGCTTCCAGATTACTAGCAACTGCTTCCAACCAGTTTCCAAAGTCAGCCCCTGAGCAGAGGTTGAATCTGGAGGTAACCAGAGCAGGGATAGTGTCAGGAAAGGCAGCAGCTGGTGAAATAACCTTAATTAGTGGAAGGTGCTCAGCACCACAAATGACAGGTGGTTGTTCAGTGACACACCTGCATCTATTAGTACACCCAATCTAGTAAATGATAACAGATTTAAGAAACTTGATATTAATTTAATCTTTATCAAATGCATTCAAGTGCTTTGTTTCCACAATAATACTCTTTTCTCTATTTTATTGAATTGTAGGAATACTTGGATCTCCTTCTCAAGAAGACTTGAACTGCATAATCAATTTGAAAGCCAGAAACTATTTGCTTTCTCTTCCGTACAAAAACAAGGTGCCATGGAACAGGCTGTTTCCAAATGCTGACCCCAAAGGTAACATGAAAAGATTGAGATAACAACTGGAATATAGTGATGCAAGATTTGTGACCATTGAATGTAGCAAGGGCTGAAATCTTACCCATTAAATTTCCCTTCGCAGAATATAACTATATAAACTATGTTATATTTGTGTTTGGTATCAGATTCATTGCAGCTTGTAAAGAGCTTAAATCACAAAAAAGTTAGAGATTTGTAGTTTGCTAATTTCTGTTTCCAGTTCATATTCATTGGGGCTAATCACTTCATGTGCTGGTGGTCAGTGGCACTCTGAAGGATGGTTGCTCACTCAAGGCATTACTTGGCCAAATGCTCATGAAACTGTTTTTAGCTGGTGCTTTTTTCTTTTTCTTTTGGAGTTGGGAGTGAACCTCTATCAACTGTGCTTGACTCCAGATTAACAAAGCTTGGAAATAAGGCCCAGGCGCTATGGACATGCACACAGTGCACATGGGCTTTGCATTTCATGTTTGGGTGAAATCTACACACACACAAAAAACGCTGTAAAAATGCTTTTTTAAAAAAACATTTTGAAAAAATATATTGAATTTACCATAGCTCACTGTCGCCATCTAGTGTCACATTTGTATTTTGCACTTTGCAACACACTTAAAACATTTTATTTGCAGCTGTATAGCTGAGTCCTTGGTGATGAGCAGAGGTAGGGAGCCTCCTTGGCTTCTTTTGCACCCTTCTGGGGCAGAAAGACATAAGTACACCGACTGTGGCAATGTCCAGCAAGATCAGAAGCAGAGGGCTAGCAAGTACCCAAGACAAGCACCCTTGCAAGTAATTTTCTTAGGAGCAGATGAGCAGTTAAGTCCAGTCCAAAGTCCCATAAAGCATTCAATGTTGCCTTGGAACCTGTTAGGGAGTTTGTGGGATTTGGTTTGTTTTCCTATAAACTATTTTTCTTCCCATCCTCCAATTTCTGTGTTCTGAATTAGGATATATATGTCTTGTGCTGCTTGCTAAACATATTCAGAACCGCTCTGAATCATGCATGAAGGGAAGAACAGTGCTGAATTAATATGGCTGCATTACAACACAAACTGATTCTAGCTTTCTCTACTATAGCTCTTGATTTGTTGGATAAAATGTTGACCTTCAACCCTCATAAAAGAATTGAAGTGGAAGAAGCTTTGGCGCATCCATATCTAGAGCAGTATTATGATCCAAGTGATGAGGTAGGGGAACATTTTATTTTACGTGGTTTGAAATCACTGAAATTCTTTAAATAGATGCTTAGAATAGTTTGGGGAATAGAGGAAGTTAGCAAGTAAATCACAAACAAAATTCATAATTTTATATGTACTAGTAAGTAAGTAATTTTATATTTACATTTACAGGCAGATCTGATCATTTTTACATTTCCCTCCTTTTGTTAGGCTTCACTAACAAAATCACTGTTAAAGTGACAAAATTCTGTGCAAGCACACTCACTAACATTCAGCAATCCATTCTAGTGTGATTGTGAGTATGTGACAATGCTCACACATCCTAGCCCTTTGCCATTCTCTTAATCCCAAATACAGTCGTACCTTGGATCTCAAACGCCTTGGCTCCCAAACAAATTGGCTCTTGTACGATCGAAACCTGGAAGTGAATGTTCTGGTTTTCGAACGATTTTCAGAAGCTGAACATCCGGCGCAGCTTCCAATTGGCTGCAGGACGCTCCTGCAGCCAATTGGAAGCCGCGCCTTGGTTTTCAAATGGTTCTGGGAGTTGAACAGACTCCCAGAACACATTCTATTTGAGAACCCAAGGTATGACTATAGTTGTTTACTGGCCTGGAAACTGTAAAATTGTTTTTGTTTGATTGTAATTTAATGCCTGATCTGTGATCATAGTAATAAAGATTGATATTTAGATATTTATGTTTAGATGGGTTAATATTAGACAGTTGACGCCATATGACTATCAGATGCTTTACGTTTTAAATTCTACTTGAGAGCAGTGCCACATTTTATGTAGCAAAAACAACTGTTCCATCTACAATAGCTACACCAATGTTTCCCATGACAAGTGTCTGTCAACACAGGTGAACATATGATGAACAATTACTGTCAGTCAGAGCCCCCAGATGTACGTACATAATTGTTTATGTCCATGTATCTGTCCAGACTTTGTGCATGTAGCATTTGTGTTTAGACCCCACAAACAGTGCCACTGTACAAGAGCCATACGCTCATGTTATTTGTAATAACTTGCTGTATTACACAGGAAAAAGATTTCATACACTTCATTGCGTTCTTACTTAACACATTCTGTTAGACACTTTCACTCTGACGAATAGACATGACTGTCTTCACATAACTAGAAACATCTCAGACCTAATCTGACAAGAACAATGCATGAAAAATTCCTATAAAAATGTAAGAAGTAACACACAGTTGGCGTCTGCTTCCTCTTTGGTTACTAAATGAATCATAAAACTAATTTTGCTATGCTTTATTTTTTTTTTAAGACTTATATCCTGCTTTTAAACAACCTAGTCCTCAAAGTTGTTTACATTTACCTCTCTGTTACTTCCCTGTTTCCTATGGTGGTTTGGAACAAATTTGTAAACAGGTTTACTAAAAGATTTCATGTTGCTGTTGTTGTTAGCCTGTAGCTGAAGCACCCTTCAAGTTTGACATGGAGCTGGATGACTTACCAAAGGAAAAACTGAAAGAACTGATTTTTGAGGAAACTGCTAGATTCCAGCCAGGATACAGATCCTAAATGACACACAGGTACATTGAATTTTAGCCTAACTCTGTAAAACTAGCGCAAGAAAATAACAGACACAAAATGTGTGATGACATTTTTCTAAAGTAATTATTTTATAAATCTTGAATTACTGGATATCATTCTTGAGTAATCTTGGGTAGCTTGGGGCCTTATGCAAGGGAATTCCCTGCTAAGCCATCCTAAAATCAAAAAGACAAAAGTTTGGCCCCAACTTGAAAAATGGTCCAAAAATAAAAATAATTAAAACCGCCCAAAATTCAAAATAAAGACTCAAAATCACAAAGATAAAAATCCAAATAGCCTCAAAAAGCAAAATAGAAGTCAAAAACCCTCAAGTCTCATTGCTGTGTTGCAAAGGAAAGGGGAGGAAAAGGGCAGGCGAGTTGGAGGATCAACACTAGAACAAAAGAGCCCTTGTGACTTTGAGGAAACAAAACAAAAAAATATTTCTCCAGTTTAAAAATCATTTTCAATAATTAGTAAAAAAACCTCAGAAATCTCTGGAATTCTTTCCTATACTAGGCCCATAACCTTATGATGGGCATTATTAGGTAAGTGATAGAATATAATTAACTATATTTTATTCCCCTACAGACCCAGATATGTGGGTTAGCAGCCAAAGGGATCAGCTTAGCGCTTGCACTTAAAAGCATGGGGCTGAGCAGAGTTTAAATCCCATCTTAAGCAGTTTAATTGAAAGCATAGGACTTAGCTGTTAGGCTGATATCTCCCTTTATTATCCCATTTATCAAAGAAACAGGCTACAGACTGAAAATTAAGTTTAAAACATATATTTTACTCACAGTCAAGCATTTGTCCTTAGCAGCAAAAACAAATGCAGGTAAAATATTTTTGGGGTACAAAAATAAAAGGTTATTTTCAAAATGGAATCTAGGCTTGGGGCAGGCCAAGACATGTTCATCTGCTCACATGGTATGAAGGAGAGAGAGGGGGGGGAACAGGAAATACTTATTTTGCTTCTTCCCCCCTAGGAGAGAAGGGGGAAATGACATCACACGTTTCTATAGTCTGAGTTTGCCTATCAGCAATACAGCTCTATGGTTTTAACCCCTTCACATGTTGACTAGCAGGAATATGCATTGTTAGATTTGACTGCATATCTCCCACACTACAAATTTTAGTCAAATGTGCTCTGGGTACACCTGGGGGTAGAGCATAATTTACAATTGATTAGTAAATAGTGGACACAATTGGATATTTCAGTAGAGTATTAAATCCAGTACTGTTTGGATTATTTACCTGCTTTACCCTTCTTAAAGATGTTGCAGAAGGTCTTTCAGAATATTTAAGTGAAGACAGGAGAGAAATACTTTTCAAGAATGTTGGTTCAGCTGCCTTGCTTTGCTTTTTTGAAGGCTGTAATTTGATGGTTGTGTCTCATTTCTAATCTCTTCTGCTTTATCAATAAATGCACACACGGTTCTTTATTAAAACTTGTTTCCTCTTTGCCTCCCCCTCCCCAGGAAAAAGGAGTTCAAGGGCTGGACATACTCCACATAGATGTTATCTTCCTGGTTCTTTATCTATGGTCATGCCTTGTGGCCTATTTCAGCTTATCCACTAACCACTTCAAGCCATTCAGGAGAACCATTTCTGGTAGTCCTGCCTTTTATGCTTTCAATGGATTCTTTATTTATGCCTGAAAAAATTGTCACTGATATTCCTGTGTGTAATGTCCATTACTGACCTTTATGCAGTACTGTACTTCCATATGCACCTACTGCTGACAATACTGCTTCCTTTTCTGTTTTGAAAGATGCAGTGTTTCATCCCCAGATTTTAACCTAGAAGGTGGCAGACAAAGATTTCTACATCATGAACTGTTTTATTTTCTAGATTTGTTTTGTTAGTAGCATTTTTATTTTTTAAAGAAAAAGCTACGATTTAGGGCACTTTAAGTCAGTGGCATCCTCCACTCTTTTGCACTTCTTTAAGCAGTAGTGGTTACTAGCATGCACAGTGCAGATGGACAGAGTGACAGCATAGGCGACATTAATATTAAAATCATGCGCTTGCTCTGATTTCTTCTACACATGTAAATTATTTATTGCAGGGCATTTTACTAGGACATCCAGAAATCTTGCTTTGTTAACCAAACCTTAATGATGGGCGGGGGGGGGGGCTGTTCTGTCACCTCTTTCTGCAGTCCTAGGTATGTCAACAATTTTCAATTTGAATGGTACTCCCAAAGCATCTACTGTCACATTTGAAAGATATTCATATCCTAAGCATGTTTACTCAGAAGTAAATCCCAGTGAGTTCAGTAGGACGAGTAGGTATTCTTAGAACGATAGCCTTGCAAGACAGAAAGTAGCAGCTCAATAGCAGTGAGAGAGTAATTTAGATAACCACATTTCATCCTCGGTAGTTTTCTGTTGTGGAAAGGCGCCATGTGGTATTCATTAGTGAGTGGAAATATTCATATGAATATGTGAACTCAGTCTACATATTAAATACCAATGAAACACTTCAGGTATCTTTACAATATTTGAATTTACACGGAGGGCTCTGACAAAGGAACACTGCATCTTTGAATAAGAAATTTAGAATTTACCTTGCTGTAATCTTCCCTGTGGTGATAAGCTCTGATTTGATCTACTGCTCAGTTAAATTGTTTATTGATAATGCTGATTTAGGGCCACCAAACGAAGCTATCACTAAATCATGTTTCATTGAACACTTTACCTTTTCTAATGATAGCTCTTTTAAGTATTTGTTTCTGAAACTGTATCATGTGGAGTTTACTAGGTGTAATGTTCCAGTGCAGTGCCTCCTTTACTTTCCCCACTGCTCTGTGGTGAGAAATTTGCCTTGTTTAAGATAATTACTGTGCCCTCGCATGACTGTTACAAGCTTTCTGTGCAAAGATGATTGTCTAAGTGCCACATGCCTACAATTGAAAAAGTTACCTCCGAGTTGTGTTGAATTAAATTCTATCCAGCAAATAACTTAGGAAAAAAATAGTTTTGTTTTAGCTGTTTTTTCTCTGCTCTGTTGTGTTTTGGCAGCAGTGAAGAATAGACTGTATAAAGAACGCTTACTAATGCGAACAAAGACGCACTTGTAATTAATCAAAAATAAATTTTAATCTTGTATCTTTACATTAACCTTTCAAATAATTTTATTTGCTCTTTGATAAAGCATTTAGATGGGAATCTGACGTCTGTTGTATTAAAGGACACTTGCTGGTGATAGCACTAATTTTATCTGCAGTATAATTTAGAAAGCATTAACCTAGACTCTTGGCAGCCCTATCATTTTATATATTTACTGAGATTGACAGAACAACTTCCAAGTAATGATACATAGGATGGTTCCAGGCCCCTATCCACCTCAAGTTAGTGATAACCAAATCCCATTAAAAGTATTGGGACACTGGTTAGTCACACCTAAACTAGTTTTGATTGGTTCCAATGGGGCATGCTGCACAATCCTAAGCATATTTACTTGTCTCATTGAGACTTAAGCTGCAATCCTATGCACTTACCTGGGAGTAAGTCCCATTGAACTCAATGAGGTTTACTTCTGAGTAAATGACTTTAGGATTGTAGCTACAGGCACTTTAACTGAATTCGGGGCCCAGTATAAAAGGGTGCTTATAGGACCCAGAATCCAAACATTTTCTTAATGAATAATTTAGGAATTTGTTTAAGCAGACTAACTTTTAGTAAACAAAAGTTTGTCTTCAAAGGGCATTTTCTATTAACTCTTACGGTCCATAGTACTACTTCTTTGTAAACCATGAGTAGGGGACATAGTTGGGAAAACTGCGAAGATGTCAGTTTTGTTAGGATTCTACACTTCGCTGTTTGTACTCGGGTGGAAACTTTTCTTGGTCGTTTTACAAATCATATCTTAGCCAAATGCCTGCACCTCATTCAGTTTATAGCCCTAGGCTCTGCCTGTACGATCATTACAGAATTAACTTGGTGAGTTTTGACTGTTAGAAAAGCTCTACTGAAATAACACCACGTTTTTATTAAGAGCTTTGCCAGCTTTTCATTTACTCCTTGCAGTTATGCTTTGGAGATTTAACTTTAGTAGTATGAACATTACCTTGGATTTACAACTCTACAAAAGAAGCCATGGGCACAATTTACTAATATCTGGTGCTTTGAGGCATTACTTCTGTCTGCTTTTAAAACAGATTGACTTGAAAGCACTAATTGCAGACATCAAATGTTTTAAGGAGTGAAATTCCACCTTGAGCATAAAAGCAGGATTTTCAACAGGAAATATTTTTAAGATAAATGCTTATACCAATGGGTTTTTATTACCTGTCTATTTCTGCATGACTGTCGAGGAATTCCTACTAAAGTGATGGAGAACATGAGGTCATGTTACCAATATAGGTATGCAGTTATACTAAAGTTTGTTCAGGGATCTTTGGTATAAGAAATGCATATTTTGGGTTTGATGTGAGTTGAGTGCAGAATGTGCATATTCACCGGTCACTATATGAAATCCTTTGGATAGCTTCATATTCAGCTTGGAGACTATGCATATTGATCAGGCAATATATACACTATTCATTCTGTCAGTTTGTGCACATTCTATGTTCGGCTCCTGTAAGCTGCAACATATGCAAGCTGCCAAACATTCCAGTCTTCGGCTAGTAAGACCCTGCAATTCACAGGTATAATCCAAGCAAATTATGTTTCCTGGCTGTGATTGATTGAACTTTTGCTTTCTGAGGCCTATTTCCCCCCCCCCCCAGCCATACGTGTGTGCCATACATGGGAAGCCTCGTAATGTGTGTTTTAATTGGTAACTGCATTATCACATAGGTAAGATATGAGAGCTGCAGGAGGACTTTGGTAATTGAAGGCAACCAATTTTGTTTCTGCTTTAAAATATTTAAATATGAAGCCGCCTTATAAAGAGTCAGATCATTGGCACATCTACCAAAGTACTTGCAGTGGCTCTCAAGTATCATTTATAGGGAGGTTTTTCCCAGCCCTGCTCTGCGATATTCTTTTAAGCCAGAGATGCCAGGGATTGAACCTTGGACGTTTGGGCCATGCAGACCTTATTGCTTCTGCTACTGAGCATAATGTACTATATACTACGTGCTACACTATGGTATATTTATAATTTGTCAGAAATACATCAGCCAAGAAGCTGTCATGGGGATTGTAAATTCTTAAAGGGTACGTTGGTTTCTGTAAGTTCAGTATCTATCCCAAATGCTTGCTTAATAAACCAATTTTTAAAATAGCTCAGATAGGGGTATACATACTTATGATTTCACTTTTAGTCCTTTGCATAGTACTTCTATATTTATAAAGCAATGTTTTGAAGCAATCCCAAGTTTAAGGGAAAGTATTTTTGTAAGTGTTGCAGTTTAAGTCCAAGAAATCCTTTTCACATAAGTCTAAAATGCATTTATGCTTTGGCTTGAATGATTTGTCTGAAATACAAGACGCTAATGAAAAGTGCACCTTGGTGAAGTTCATCCTAGCCATCAGTGTTGTAGCATGTGCTGTGATCAGAACTGAAGTGATATATTGAAAGAAATTCAACCATAGGACTAACCTTGTGACCCCAGAAGAAACTTGTAAAGGCTGCAGCAGGTTTACTTACTATTGTTGCCTTTTCTTGTGGTGTTTCAGCATAGAGCACTCCCAAGGAAATATTTCTGCTTTTGTATTTGCTTTGTACTGTTGGTGCCTTAGTCATGTACCCCAAACATCCCGCACAGCTAATTTTAGTTAATGGTAAGATTTAAAACCTAAAACGAAAGCAAAATTTTATAAAGGTTTTCTGTATGTTGTTACATTATAACAACTAAACGTTTATATTGTGTGACAGATTTGTGATTTGTTTATTATAATATGTATAGAATGACTGTGAGTAGAAAAGGTTTATATTTCATCTTCTGTTGATGTAAACGTATATACTTTTTTTTAAATTAAATGTCTTTTTAGTATATGCCATCTGATTCTTGTACAAACAAATGTGAATAAATCATTAAATTGTGATCCTGGATTACCAAAGTAAGAAAGTATTGTGCATATGTAGAATGAATGTGGCAGCTGCCTTTCTTTCACAACAACAACACCAAAAAAACCCAAGAACAAAATGTTAATTGAGGACACATGAAGATATTGTATTAAGATTTTCAGCACCCAAGTTAAAGCTGATTCTCTTAATTAACTTAAATCCATTTTTGCCTAAATAATAAACTAGCACTTCCAGGATTTAAAAATAGAAAAAGTAGTATAGTCCACTACTTATTATGCTCGGGTTAAGCTATTTACCAAATAACCCTGTGCTGAGGGACGGGGTGGGGGGGTGGAATATGCTGCCATTTTGCTTGCAGAGCAGCCACAATATCCTGTGTGTTCTTCCCCTTCCTGTGCTAACAACTGCTGGAACAGCACAAAACACCAGGCACCCTCCCAGTCTCCATGGAAGCACTGTCAAAGCCAACAAAGTAGGAATTACCCACGGAGTGAGCTGAGAAATGCCTGCCAATGCACACCACTGTGTCACAACCTGGTGACACAGCCAGCAAGTGGCCAAGTCTCCAGGCAGGAGTTTGAGTCCCTTTTGCTGCTCATGAGTACCATTTTGGAGCATAATATGCAAAAGGAAAAGACAGCTCACACAATGCCCACATCCCTTCCTGGGCAGGGGACCTGCAGCCAACCTAGGTGCACCCTCTTGGGGCAATATTCAAGAGCTGAGGGGGCGGGGAGACATTCCACCCCCCACTCCATAGCATGGCAGCAATTGCTAATTGCATGGCATGAGGAATCTTGTGTCATGGAATCGATTCAGAGTAGATTCCAATGTATGGTTAGGAGAGTAACAACTTGCAATACGCTGCAGGATTCCCCAAAAATGGACCAGAGGCAACTGCATTTCATCCAGCAGAGCTTTAATTGCTACTGAAGGCAAATGAGCATAATGGTCACAAATCCAATACAGTGGTACCTTGGGTCACATACGCTTCAGGTTACAGATTCCGCTAACCCAGAAATAGTACCTCGGGTTAAGAACTTTGCTTCAGGATGAGAACAGAAATCGTGCTCCGACGGCACGGCAGCAGCAGGAGGCCCCATTCGCTAAAGTGCTTCAGGTTAAGAACAGTTTCAGGTTAAGAACGGACCTCCGGAACGAATTAAAGTACTTAACCCGAGGTACCACTGTGCATTCAGGATTGGCACTGTCCGTAAGCAATTCAGTTGTGGCAGACTTAACTTAAACTTACAATAACTTATAAGAAGTCTAAACCTTGACACTAAGCATACTGTATAAAGAACACCACACCAGAAAGAAAAGAGATAGAAAGAGAAAGTGAAACCCAGGCTCCTCCTGGCCTATAATTATAGTCAGCATGAGCTTGACAGAAGAGATGACAGAACCAATTTAAGCCTGCTGTACTCAGCTTCTCTGAAGGAATAACCCAAACATCAAGAAGTTTCTGCTTGTTTCTTTCACACAGAGAAGCTTCCAGTACCCTCTTGAATTAATTAGAATAGGAAAGATCTCTACACATCAGGTCAATACTTTCTGTACTAAGAAATGCAAATAGACAATCTGGTCTTCCGACGTCGTATTACACCTCCCACCTTCCTGACCATTGGCCTTGTTGGCTGGAGCCAAAGGGAGTTGGGAGTCTAACCCACCTGGAGCACAACAGGTTCCCCACTCCTGGCTTACACTTTGCATGTATGTGTGCTGGGTTGGAATCCAGGGTACCATCCCACCCTAGGAAAGGGGGGGAGGGACCTGAGGGGCAGGTGCTCCTGAGCCAATCAGGAAGAGTGCTGCATGTGCCAACTGCCTTCCCCATGCATAGGACAGCCAATCCCTTCCCCTGACAACTCACATGACCAATCCACCATCACCCTTGCTATTTTGCCTGACAGGCCTGCCTTTCTTGGTAGCATCCCTGTCCTCCAACTAACTGACTGCCTCATGCGCTATAACAGCAGCTGCGCCAATTCTGCTTGTCCATCCTGAGACATCGCCTACCTCACAATTCAGACTAGAGAACCCTTGCCCTTGACAGTTACAGCCATAGGGCAGCTGAAGCCAGATCAAACTAGAGGGAGGAGAGGAGATGGGGATCCCTGTCGGCCACACCCTAGTAACAAAGAAATTGTGTGGCAAAATTAAAGCCTTTACCAAACATATGAAGGGCATCCTAAAAGGAAAAAGAAAAAGTGTGGAGTTCCTGCACAGTTACTCCTGTGCGTAGGGCAGCAACAGACATCATGATAACAGGTGTAAAGTCCCTTCGGGCTCCAGTTCCCCTGGTATAGGAGCATGCTTGCCTTACTGTTACAGAGCTTGCAAGGGTCCAGGAGCCTGACTGGAGAAAACACAACATCTAAAAACTCAGTAACAGTTTAATAAAATAGCAACCATGGGCTTTCCTTAAAAGGATGGTCTTTACAGCAGAAGACCATCAGGTATGGGAGAATCTCTGGGCCAGGGATTCCAAAGTCTATGTGCACTGAAAAGGGGCTTTTTTCAGATTGTGCAAGAGGGAGGAATTATACCTTTAAAAAAAATTGACCCACCTCCTTGAGAAAAAGAAGTGGGAGGATAGCCATATTCCTACCATATTTTCCTCCTACAAGCCTATCTATAGGAAGGAGTTAAGCCTATAGATGAGGTGTGATGAATCTTTGTCCCTCAAGCTGTTGCTGAACTGCAACTCCCATCCTTAGTGGCCATTGGCTATGCTGGCTGGGACTGGCTGGAGTTGTAGTTCAGCAATATGTGGAGGGTCAAAGGTTCAACAAACCTCCAAATTATTCTACTGCCGGCAGCTTCAATCTCAGGAGAACCACAACTGACTGCAGGCTAGCCCTACATATCTTGAAGTGGGTCCTAGAGACTTATGTCCAAAGCATATAGCCTAGCTTTTCAGGTTCTCCCGTCCCAAGAGAAACCTACTGCATCACTGGTGGCAAAAGATCTATGTGAAAAAGTCCACAATCACATGAACTTGGCAATTTGCTAATGAAATTGCTAAGCCCACTGCAAACCACAGAAGGGGGATGGGGAACCTTTGACCTTCCAGATGTTGCCAAACTACAACTCCCATCATCTGTGGCCATGCTTGCTTGGGCTGATGGGAGTGGAAGATCAGCGACATCTGGAGGACCAAAGGTTCCTCCTCTCTGCTGTAGACCTGATTCCTGTTCCTCCTTATGGCACAAGTTTTCAAAGGAAAAAAAGGTAAGAGATTAATAGATATGAAAACATTCAAGATGGATATATTAGCTCCTCCATGGCTGCAGCTGTATCCCCAGGAGACTCTAATGCCTATAGACTTAAAAGGATGCCTGCCTGCATTGCTACCAGAAGCTATAGCAGAAAAATGAAGCAGCAGTGTGGAAATAATAATCACTGTGCAGATCTATTTTTAAGCTGCTTACACTGCTTGTTTAGCGGGTTGTCACCGGCATGTGAACCCTGCAGATTACAATCGCTCTCCCAGCTGCAAGAGAGGGCACTCAGCTTGCAATTGTTTGCTTTTAGAAAGTTGATGCTGCCACCCTCTTAAACTGGCTTTTAAGGCAGGCAGCCAGCCAGCAATGTATACTGCATTAATATAATTCTGTGAAATGCATGAAGGTTTCCAGTTGTGAAGGATCGGGACTCCTGTGGGTCTCCTGACTAGGTCAAACCAGGCTTCTTGAAGTTAAAAAACTGCTCTGGTTCCTTCTCTCACACTTCAAGTGGTATGCTGGAGCTGTGCAGGAAGACTTAGAGCAGGGCTAGGCAACCTGTGGCCCTCTCCTGATGTTTCTGGACTCCAGCTCCCATCATCCCTGACCAATGACCCTGCTGGCTGGGGCTGATGGAAGCTGGAGTCCAACAACATCTGGAGGGTCACAAGTTGCCTACCACCTGACTGAGACCCTGGAAGAAGAAGAACAGAGGCGGTAGCAACCCAGCTGAATTCTGTGAGGCCTTTGTGTGTGAGCTGCTGGTGGTGGATCTCTGCAGACTGTGGAGCCAGGTGTCATGGAAAACAAAGCATGGGTGTGTTCCTCCAGATGCTCCTGAAGTATCACTTCCACCACCCTTTGGTCATGCTGGCTGGAGCTGATGGAAGTTGGGAGTCCAACAGCATCTGGAAGGAAGCCATCCCTGGACTAGAGGCTGAGTCACATGTAATGCCCTGGGTATTCTCATGCAAGTGGTAGAGTCGCCATTTATCCATCACCAAAGACGACGCTGCTTTGCCTGTATATACTCAATTTATATAAGAGACAGTTTTTTTTGGGGGGGGGGGGAATAGCCATAATTTAAATAGAATTGCAACAGGTTGTATCCTGTTCAGAGTACATCCATATGGTGCATTGATTACAGTGGGTCAGCACTGAGTTGGCTGCAAGAAAAGGACATTTAACTGTAATGTCCTGGGTGCCCGCTCAGTCTGCTGTCTAGATGCTGACTGCTAATGGACATCTTCAATGATTCTGCTTCCCTCCTTTCTTAGGGTTCTGGGCTGGACAGTTCTCCAAACAGAGGGCTGTTCTCTGTAACGGAAGGCATACAGAAAGCCTGGCTAGCAGTCTACTCGCTTGAGTAGCGTCACGTGTGGAGTGAGCAAGACAGTTAAGCACAGCAGCGGTAGCTATTGCACTTTTTCTGCTATTAATTCATGGCCCATCACAAAAGGCTTGTGGCTTCACAAATATTGTACAGTGGTACCTCAGGTTACATACGCTTCAGGTTACATACGCTTCAAGTTACAGACTCCGCTAACCCAGAAGTAGTGCTTCAGGTTATGAACTTTGCTTCAGGATGAGAACAGAAATTTTGCTCCGGCAGCGCGGCAGCAGCAGGAGGCCCCATTAGCTAAAGTGGTGCTTCAGGTTAAGAACAGTTTCAGGTTAAGTACGGACCTCCGGAACCCGAGGTACCACTGTACTCATCATTAGGGACGAGTCAGGGCCAAAAGAAATGTGACCCAGAAGACATCCATTATCAGGTCTCCTAAAGTGTCCCCCCCACCCCCGCTCACACACTCCTTAGGGAAGCTGCCTTATATCAAGTCAGAGCAATCGGTCCATCCTGCTCAGTACTGCATACACCGAGTGGCAACAACCTTCCCACTGTTTTTGGCAGAGGACATTCCCAGGTTTACCTGGAGATGCCTAGGATTGAACCTGAGACATTCTGCATACAAAGCAGATGCTCTACAACTGAGCCCCGCCCTTTCCTAAACTTGTGGTCCTCTGTGGTTAAACAGTAACTCCCATCTTTCCCGACCATGGACTATATTGGCTGGAGCAGATGGGAAGCGGAGTCCAACAACAACTGGAGAGTTACAGGATCCCTAGCCCTGGTTTAAAGCAACTGCGAGAGGATGGTTCTTATTGCAGCAGTGATGCTGGAAAATGCGTCAGGCTGCTCACCTGTTAAGATCTTCTCTTGGGACCCTTCACAAGCTGCCTCTATGTTGCCAACTGAAGTGATACCAATAAGGTTTTTCTTATTATTATTAGCAATAAGGAAGGATACAAATGTACAGATAGATTGTCCTTTCCCCATGCCATTATCCCGATCTAAATCACAACCCACCCACCCCTGAAGCTGCCTCTAGAACATGGGTAGGCAAACTAAGGCCCGGGGGCCGGATCCAGCCCAATCGCCTTCTAAATCCAGACCGCGGATGGCCTGGGAATTGGCGTGTTTTTACATGAGTAGAATGTGTCCTTTTATTTAAAATGCATCTCTGGGTTATTTGTGGGGTATAGGAATTTGTTCATATATTTTTTTAAAAATATAGTCTAGCCCCCCACAAGGTCTGAGGGACAGTGGACCGGCCCCCTGCTGAAAAAGTTTGCTGACCCCTGCTCTAGACTCAGTTTGTAAAAGGACACACACTTTTATCGTGTCTGTATTCCTGCCCCCCAGTGGGAGTACTGGCAGGAGAGTGGGTGGGCAGGGGGTTGGGGGGGGTAGATCAGGAAAACAGCACAAGTGGAGGAAAGGTTCAACATCCCCTCCTCCAGTAGCACTGCTCTAATCAGAATTGGAGCCGCTCTCCACAAGTGCTTTAAAAACCGTGAAACATGTTGCAGCGTTTAAGGGCTTGCGCAAACTAAAAATTAGAAAATGTGTTGGGAGTGGCCTTTGCAAAAAAAAGGAGAGGGAGGAAGGAGGTCTAGAAAGTAAGGAAAATAGTAGCTGGGTGAGGTCACTGGCTTGATGGCTATTTGCATACTTTTGCTCACAGATGCTAAATTTAAGAGCCCCCATTATACAGAATTGTCTCCTCTGTAAACAGGTTCTTCTTGCAGCAGCAGCTGCAAAGATAGGTGCAGCCGTGACATCCAAATAAGGAAAACTGTGTTCTCTGTACATCAGAAATGGGTTCTAGTTGTTCCGAAGGCTGCTTCAATAAATGCAGAGCTATAATTACAGTATATAATTAGATGAACCAGAATCCTTTGCACTAGCACCAGAGGAAGAGGTTTAGGTTGGAGAAGTATGATGTGGGAGACTCCTTTCAAATGCCTGTTAGTTTTGGCTGCTAGAAGTCAACGATGGTCTGTGACTCATCTAAGTAGTGCATGATGTATGTCCCACTCCCCCACCCCAAGAAAAAATCTCCAGACCCGGCCCTATTGTTAGGAAGAGAGAGGCAGTCACCTCGGGTGGCAGAAATGGGAAGTGGCGGGTATGTGCTGGAGGGCAGAACTGTGTGCGCCACGTAGCCACCCTGACCCTCCTAGGCTAGGATGCTGCCTTCTGGGAATGTGGTCCTGTCCACAGTCTACTTTACAAACAAAAAGACAAAAAACCTGACATATTTATTTTCACATGCTGTGTACAAGCAAGTCACAGCTATCCAGCGCAAGCAGATAATGCAATGAGTAGATACAGGGAAATGATGCAACAATGATAATTCAGCATCTATAAGTGGGAAAATAACAAAAGGAATACACATTGATCCAGTACTTTTTTTCTTATAAACAATGTTTAGGGGTACTCTCATTTTGACTCAAGAAAATCACCATTTTATAGTTCAAATCGGGGAAAATAGATACAATAAATGGACAAAAGTACAAAGATTCACAAAATGTTTAGGGGTATGCGTACCCCCAGAAAAAAGCACTGCTTTTATCCCTCGCTTCCCTAGGCAATGCCCCGCCAGCCCTAAAAGTGGGCATCTCCTTCTGGAAGCGCTGGCTTGGCTGGCCTGCTTTTTAAAAGAACTATTCTAGGGTGGATGTCAGAGCGAAGTTACTTGCGAAGGCTGCCTTGCCAACAACAAATAACGTGGTTTGTGACATCCACAGGGCAACGAAGAACATAATGTTTCCTTGCGAGGGACAGAATGTTGGTGGTTCTGTTGGTCGTTGGTGCGTCTGCAAGGCCATTAGCTACAGGATGGCAAAGTGCAGCAACCCTTTGGCTCAGCTCTTGATGCAATAATTATATGTTTAAATGGTTTGAAACGCCACCAGCTTTTTTTCGCCACCGGCTGGTGAGATGGAGGGAGAGGCGGAAGGGGGGGATGCATTTAATTTATGGCCAGAGAGAACAATATAGAAAATCTGTTGCTGTGGTAGCATGCTATCTTACCAGTCCGTTGGCTGCAAATAGGAGATAGTCAGTTTTTCACGCTACTAAGAAATTGTCAAAGGGAGGGGTGGCAGAAACAGGGGGAGGACATCTTTTTCTTTTTTTTAATTTACAGACTTGCTTACTTAGAAGCAAGTCATTCTGTGTTCAGTAATGACAGGGGGAGAAATGCGACTCAGTTTGCATTTGTAGGCGAACCCACCTCGGTAATCCACACTTTCCAAGCCAATTACCAAACCAAAACACAGCCACCTTTGGAAATCCACACTTCCCCAAGTTTTGCAGTGCAGTTCTTCAGCCAAGCATGGGGTAATGTGTCCACTGAAATGCATATATTAGTGAAAGTAACATGCATTATTCTGGAAAAATTGCTCTGAAAAAATGTGCATACAGTATTAGGCAAAACTGCATGGAAACATGTATATTAGGAGAAATTTGTATTAAAATGTGGGTGGTTTTTTTAATAAGGACTTTTAAAAAATAAATAAATTGCAGACTGATATGGAAACAGGAGACGTGAACTTAAGGCTGAAAAATGAGAAGCTGAAATTGACAGATTCACCCATCCCTAATGGTCAGTGGGGACATACTCCCTGGTAAGTGTGGACCTTTGGCTGAATGTGAATTGTGAACCCCACTCACTTCTGTTAATTCGCCCTTGTCCAACTAATGCTCTCCCATGCTTTCTCCTTCCTAAACCAGATGATTCCCTCTGCAATCGATGCAGCTCCCCTAAAGCACAAGTAATCTCTGGATTTAGGGCCGCTTTGATCTGTGGAACTGGCACTGCTAAAGGTGCCACATGATACTCGTTCTGCATTGGTAAGAAATTGATCTTTTTGTGCACTCGTACCTGGAAACTCCCTGTCCATTGACATCAGGCAGGTGCCTTCACTGTCCTCTTTCCAGCTCTGGCTAAAAACTTTTTTGTCTAGCCAAGCTTATCCAGACACATAGAATATTGAGAGGCATTTTAATCTGGCTTTTAGCTTACCATTTATTTTAATTATTTTTAAATGTTTTATATATTTGCTTTAAAATGTTTTTACTGATAATTCTATTGTTTTATTCTCTTTTTACAAACTGCTCTGAGGCTGTTGCTTTGTTTACAATTAAACGGTGTAAAATTATTGTGGAACAATTTTTTGAAAAAATTTATCAGAGTTTAATACCACATTTCAGCCAGGTCCATAAAACGCTCAAGGAGGGTATAAAGTAAGGCTGGGGAGGGGTGTGATCAGGGGAGAAGCTGAGGTGAAGCTGTGGCCTAAGGAGATTCTTGAGGGTCAGATATGTAGGCTTGGAGGGTCATATCTAGGCCCCAGGCCTGAGGTTCCCCAACCCGGCAGTAAAGTATAGTCAACCAGTGCTAGGCAAAGTAAAGGTAAAAAAAGGTCAAGGACCCCTGGACGGTTAAGTCCAGTCAAAGGCGACTATGCGGTTGCGGTGCTCATCTCACTTTCAGGCCAAGGGAGCCGGAGTTTGTCCACAGACAGCTTTCCGGGTCATGTGGCCAGCAGGACTAAACCGCTTCTGGCACAACAGAAGACTGTGACGGAAACCAGAGCTCATGGAAATGCCGTTTACCTTCCCGCTGCAGCAGTGCCTAGTTATCTACTTGCACTGGTGTGCTTTCAAACTGCTAGGCTGGCAAGCTCTGGGACAGAGCAACAGGAGCTCACTCAGTTGTGGGGATTCAAACCGCTGACCTTCTGACTGGCAGGCCCAAGAGGCTCAGTGGTTTAGACCACAGCGCCATACTAGGCAAAGTATGGGTTGTAATATGACTGCCTGCTGATGAACCTATCAGAGTCTAAGAGCAACATTCTGCACTAGATGCAGTCTCCAGGGAAGCCCAATGTAGAGGGCACTGCAGCAATCTAAGCAAAAGTTTCCAAGAGCATGCAGCAGAATGGCAAGACTATCCTGGTCCAAGAATGACCACAGTTGGTCTCACCAGCTGGAGTTGGCACCAGGCCCTATTTCCCACCTGGTTCTCAAATGGCAGTGCTGGATCCAGGAGTACCCGCCCCCCAACTATGAAGCTGATGCTCTTAGGGGGAATGTGACTCCACCAAGGGCAGGTCATACATCCAGTTTCGCGTCATGAAAACCGCCCATCGGTACACCCTCTGTCTCGATAGGATTCAGCTTCAGTTTATCAGCCCTCAACCAACCCATTATTGCCTCCAGAGCTGTTGTTAGCCCCTCCTTCTATGATAAATGTTTGCCCATTAAGGAAAAAAAACCCTGGTTGTTGCCTATACAGTGGTACCTCGGTTTTCGAACGTAATCAGTTCTGGAAGACCGTTCGACTTCCGAAACGTTCAAAAACTGAAACCTCAATAGCCGACAGCTATCTTGGACTCAGCGGAAGCCGCGTAGCATGTTCAACTTCCGAGGTTTGTTCAAAAACTGAAGCATTTACTTCTGGGTTTTCGGCGTTCAAAAACTGAAATGTTTGACTTCTGAGACGTTCGAAAACCAGGGTAGCACTGTATAATGATTTATCATTTTTAGCAGACATACAAAAAAAGACACACAAAATTCCACCACAAGATGGAGCCATCGTAATACTATATCTATGCATGATGGCCTATTGCTATAACCATGTTGTCTGGATCCCACCAGCAAGACATGTCGTAGTACAGTGGTACCTTGGGTTACAAACACCTCGGGTTACAGACTCCGCTAACCCAGAAGTAGTACTTCGGGTTAAGAACTTTGCCCCAGGATGAGAACAGAAATCATGTGCCGGCGGCGCAGTGGCAACAGGAGACCCCATTGCTAAGGTGGTACCTCAGGTTAAAAACAGTTTCAGGTTAAGAACGGACGTCCGGAACGAATTAAGTTTATAACCAGAGGTACCACTGTATAGTGAAAGCAACAAAGGGTATTGAGGCACACTAGCGAATAACACATCTATTATGGTATAATATTCTCTCAGCCCCAGCCAGTGTGGCCTAAGCTCAGAGATGTCGGGAGTTGTATAGGAATGCAGGGGAGATAGGATGTTGCCTTATACTGAGTTTATACCATTGGTCTGTCTAGCTCAGCAGTATCTACACTGACTGGCAGCAGATCTCCAGTATTTTGGGCAGAGACGCTCTCCAAGCCCTACCTGAAGATGCTAGGGATTAAACCTGGGACCTTCTGCATGCAAAACCGATGCTCTACCACTGAACTATGGCCCTTAAGAAACCATGTTGGCCCAAATGGTCAGGGATGATGGGAAGTGGACCCCAGACTCTCTTCTACCTTCTTCTTCCCAGAACACCCTGCTAAAAACTCTCTTTTCCTGTCAACTCACACCCATTTACCCTGACAACTTTCCAAACTCTGTTCACAGGGCAAGGGTCTTGCATTGCCGATGGCTGTCAATGGCCCTGTATTGTTTCTTAATGTCCATAGCTTGGCCGGGTCATTTTGCATAGGCGAGCCCATGAATTCCTCTATAGCTGGTATTTCTAGCTGCACATCCCAAATAATCAAAATCCTACCGTTTATTCATTTTTAGGGTTTAAGGGAGTCCCCCCCCCAAAAAAAACCTACTATAACAATATCTAGCGTATTTAATGATCCTTAAACATCACAGCCTTCTCTTAAATTACTGGGCTCTTTTTATCTCACTGCTCAGACTCTGATTCACTCTTTGAATATGTGAACAGGGGAAGAGGAATCTGTGGCTCTCCTGATACTTCTGGTCTTCAGCTCCCAGCAGCCCTGGTAATTGGTTTCACTTGATGGGGCTGATGGGAGCTGGAGTGCATTCGGAGAGTCCCTGGTTTCCCAGCCTTGATATAAGCCTAACCAATTAAAGGTGAGCTCAGGAGTTGTTATTCCTGGATTAGAGCCCATGTAAAGGGCTATGGGACACGGGTGGCGCTGTGGGTAAAACCTCAGCACCTAGGACTTGCCGATCGCATGGTCGGCGGTTCGAATCCCCGCGGCGGGGTGAGCTCCCGTCGTTCGGTCCCAGCTCCTGCCCACCTAGCAGTTCGAAAGCACATCAAAGTGCAAGTAGATAAATAGGTACCGCTTTCTAGCGGGAAGGTAAACGGCGTTCCGTGTGCTGCTCTGGTGTCGGTTCGCCGGAGCAGCTTCATCACGCTGGCCACGTGACCTGGAAGTGTCTGCGGACAGCGCTGGCTCCCGGCCTCTAGAGTGAGATGAGCGCACAACCCTAGAGTCTGTCAAGACTGGCCCGTAAGGGCAGGGGTACCTTTACCTTTAAAGGGCTGGGAAACCAGTTGCTGGTAACTGCAGGAGGGGAACGCGCTCTTCTTAGGTCATTATGGCGTGTCAAGTACTTTACGTAAGTCCTGTTTGGAGGAAAGGCTGTGTGCATGGGTGTATTCTGGGGGTGGGAGAGAGCAGTTGCCTCCCCAATCAAGTAAATAAATAATAATACTTAACTAAAAATAGAAATTGCAGAAAGATTTTGACAGATTTTTCTGAGCACTTGGGGACAAAATAAAGTAATTTAAAACAATTGTTGTTGAGACATTTTATTCCGAATTTGATAGACAGAGCCAGACAGAGGATGATGACAGGTGGGCGCCCTGTCTCCCTAACATAAATCCTGGCTATTGCCTATGGCTGTGCCCTTTAATCTGAATGGCAATTAAACCTGCTCTGCTTTATTTATAAAACTGCCTTTCACCAAAAATGGTTGCAGGGTTCAACAACAAAAAATTAAAAGGTAATGTAAATCATAATAGAAAATAAGCAAAAACGTGTTTTTTTTAATTCTAGTAATGTACATAAGTAACAACAAAAATGACTTAATCCTTCAGACTCAAAGCTTGACAACAAAATGTGAGTTTTTACCTGACACCAAAGAGAATAAAAAGTTAGGTCAAAGTCATTCCATAGATGACAGAGTCACCACCACAAAGGCTCTTCCACAGGCCTGCACAGAACTCATCTCATTTAACACAGGGACCACCCAGAGACTGTCTTTGGTTGATCTTAACACACCAGGTTGATATTGGAAGTGTTAACAGGACCCCAGCTATTCAGGGCTTTAAATGCCAACATAAGCCCCATAAACTGAGTGTGGAACGTTGGATTATTGTTCATTATGAAGTGGTCCAGCATTAAATGAGAGTGTAGTGAATTAGCAAAGAAGAGCCTTCGAAAAGGTCTCAAGACCCCTTCCCATGCTGAGTGGTGCATCCTTCTTTCAGGGGACCCACTGTGCATGTGGTAAAGAGTGACATCATAAGTGCTCACAAGTAGGGCTTTTAAGTCATGTGCATCAACCTACCTCCCCATAGTATGGGCATCCTGAACCTGCCGTCAAGTCTTCCTGTAATGTTTTGGCCGTGCATTGCTTGGCATAGGACACTGTGGTTGTGGAGATTCCTAAAAGTAAAGGTGAGGAAAGCTCTTTTAATTATGCCAAATGTATATGAAGGTAAAGATGCATACTTTATAAGGCAACTGAAAAGTAGCTAACTTCCTGCTATAGAGTACGTCGCCAACACTGGTGCAATGGTACCTTTGAGCTCTTTTTTTTTTTAAAAAAAAGCTTTTGTACTGCTGAATTGATTATAATTGTTTCATTGTAGATGTTTTAGTTGTATTTTTTTATTTGTTATTATTTGATTGCTATATGCATACCTTCTGTGCTATACAACATCTCTAAATAAATAAATAACATTAAAAGGTTACAAGGTCATAATCTTGCAGATTAAAAACCGTTACCTGTTCCAGATGTTTATTTTCCTTACATTATTGAGCTTCACTTCACATAAGGGGGCTTCTTAATGCATCAATGTGGCCATGAAGAGGAAATGCACCACCAAAAGGTGCTGGTTTGTATAACATTTGCATATGCTAATTAATATGCATAGATTTACATTTCAAAATAATTCCTTTTGTTTAAATATAAACTTCTCCAACTTTGACTATGTAATAGCAAGGAGACAATACAAATCAGGAGTTGGGGGCTCCGTTTATGTAGCCAGCTTCACAAAAGATTTTCTCCCAAAGAATCCTGGGAATTGTAGTTTACCCCTCAAAGAGCTATAATTCCCAGCACCGTTAACTACAGTTCCCAGGATTCTTTGGGGGCAGTCATGAACTTTAAATTCTTGGCATGTGCGCAGCCTGTGTAATCTTATGCTTGACTATTTAAGAAGGAAGTCCTTACTGTGTCCTGTGTAGACTTATCCATGGGAAAGCATGCATAGGATCATAGCCTTACAGTGCAATCCTATTCCAGCCTATTCAAAAGTAAGTCCCTTTGGCTGCTGCCTAAATTAGATAAAGAGCAAAATATACACCAGGAGGCTTAGTTTGGTCAGTATTGAGTATACACTTCCAGAGTTAAAGCAAAATACATTACTTCTGGTGAATGAGTCACCATAGCTGCTAGTGGGCCGTGAAAATTTGGCCCTGGGTTTTCTTAGATATCTACCCATGTACTACCTGAAACCAGAGGGGCACCTTGGTTTCCAGATTTGACTTTTTTCAGCTCTCCACCCCCACTATAAAGATTTTACCTGAAGGACATCAAGTTGATGAAGGTTGGCAGACAGGGGTGCTCTTCATCAGATGCACAGTTGTTCTTGAACTACCAGTTTATCTGGGAAGAGCGGGGGGGGGGGTTAAATGAAGAGGCCAGAAGGAAAGGATATAGAAAAGTACAGTCAGTAATAATTATTAAGAGCAGCCATTCAGGGAAAGCACACAAAACAATTGTGTCGAAACAGACATCCTGGTAACAGCAAGGCAATTAACAAATGTAGTGTGATAACAATCCACAAGTGAAAGCACTGAACCTTACGATTAATTTATGTATCATATTGATATATAAAAACACAACCAACACACTCAACATCTCTCCCTCTATATTATATATCACAGCAAAAAAGGACAAAAATTGACAATTCAATTTGAGCCTGAGAAGTTTACAAAATAATCACAGCGACTCTTCACAAGGGCTGTGGTAGGTGAAAACTATACAAAATACTCCTCTGGAATTTGTCTCCACATATTTCCTTGACAAAGAGAAATTACTGGTTGTTATCTTGTTATGATAAATCTTTAATAAAAGTAAAGAGAAATTATCTAAACGTGTTGGGAATCCACACAGTGAACTTTGTTTCTATAACAACCCAAAGTTGAGTGGCACCATAAAGCATTAGCGTTTGTGGACTTCATCAAAGCATGAACTGTTATTGTCAGGGCTGACACCCCTGACAGTTATCCTTAAGATTATCCGCGCAAATAGTTGCCAGCATAGGAGCCAACTCCTAGGGGCCAAGGTCTCTTTGGCCCTCCCAATAAAATATTTGATGGGACTGCACCCTCCGCAAAAAAAGTTGATGGGCATTCAAACTGTGTGCATGCACCGTGTCTTGTGATTATGTGGGGCAAGGTTTACCTGCCCTCCCCCCAATATTTTAATCAAGATGCTGCTGTTTAAAGGGCTGTAAAGAGCTGTATTATAATATGCATCATTCATGGGGCATTTTAATATTAGCTGGTATCAATAAGTGCAATAAATATCTTATCAGCTAATTAACACGTGATGTCATTTTAAAAAAACCTTTACCCATACCGCCCTCGGTAGATCTCAGGGCAGTTCACACAACATAAAAATACAGTACAAAATGAAAAGCACACAAAATACGTATTTATCTATGTATTCTGCATCATTATTGCATTCCCCACACGTTGCCCTTTGCAACAACTGCAACATTGTTGTTTTTAAGAAAGTGGGGAGAGGGAGTTTATGACTCGTGATTGACAAGGTGCGACGACGGCGGCAACATCCCATGTCTATTATTTATACAGTATTTATATATTCATTTAACGGCTACAAACTCCCGCCTTTCCCAGAGGCGCATGCGCCTTGCCTCAAAGTCCGCGCGCGGGCCAAACGTCGCCGTACTGCCCCTCCCCCCGGCCCACAGCGCTTATTAACGGCAGCGCGCAAACCTCGCGCGCCTTAGCTGCGCGCGTGCGCCTCCCCTCGAAAGTCCGCGCGTGAGGGACAGAGAGCGCTAAAAGGGGGCGGGGTTGTTGTTTTTTTAAAAAAACCCACACAACCCGAAAGACCGTGTGGGAAGCGGAGGGGGTGTTTAAAAACCACGAATCCACGCTTTTTTAACGGCGGCTCAGGAGCCTCAACTGCGCGCGCACCAAGTGTGGGCGGAGCTAGAGAGAGAGAGAGAGATGGGGAGGGGGGCTGAGAGGGCAAGGCAAATCACGAGTCTTTCGCGTCGAAGCGCGCGCGCTCAAGGGGGGAGGAGCCAAAACGCGAGAGTTCTCTCCCCCCCCTTCTAATAAATTAACGACACCGCGCGTGCGCCTTGGGCTGAAGTGCGCGCGGGAGCAGAGGGGGCGGAGAGAGAGAGAAGGGGGAAAGAAAAAGCAGAAGAGTCCAAGCAAAACAAAAGCCAGGCGAGGGGGCGGGGCGGCGTTAAACCTGAGGGGGGTCGTGAAGGAGGAGAGAGCGGCGGCGGCGGCAACAGCAACGACGACACCGGCGACCGAAGGACGAGCAGGATGACTTCTCGGTCGCTTCTGGGCCCTGAGGAGAGCGGGGGGGCCCGGCTCGGGAGCAGCAGCGGCGGCGGCGGTTGGCGCTTTCTATGACCCTCCCTCACGGGACACACAAGCCCACCCACCCCGCTGCCCGCCTCGCGTTGGGTCATGGTCGGCGGCGCTCGCTGAGGAGGCGGCGGTGGCGGCGCGACCCTGGCCCCCCACAGCAGGTAGCCGCTCTCCACCTCCACGGCCGCTTGGTGCTCCCCTGCCCTTTTTTCCCGGCTGGGACGAGGAAAGACGGAAGAAAGGGCGACTGGGCTGTGTGTGTGTGTGAGTTGGTGTTTGGCGGGGGGGGGGGCATCTCGATAGGGTGGGGGATACGCTCCCCACACATTCCAGGGTCTTGTCTCCCTCCCTCCCCCTTCTCTTTCATTCCTCCCCCCCCAAAAAAAAAACCACCTGAGGATTGTGAGGAGTTCAGGTAGTCCTTCCTGGAAGGGTTTTCATTGATGGGGGGCAGGATCAATTTATAATTGGGGTGGACTTGTCCTTTTCTCCGCCCCAACATTTGTGATCCAAGAGGTATTTTGGGGGGGGTGAACTTTGGGGCTGATGAGGATCCCTTTATCTGTATGGTTGCCTCTGTTGAAGGGAGATAGAGTATTTATATTTTGTGTGTGTCCGGTCAACTTCTTTATTGACTATGTTTTCATATTCCCTGGAGGTTCAGAGGCTCTTAAAGCAACTTCCCAAAATGATGTTTGTTGTTTGGGCGATGATATCCTGCCTCTACGTAAACCAGCCAAGGCTGCTAAAAAAAAAAAAGAGGATTTCGAAAATATGAACAGGCTACAATTCTACAGTTTATGTACTCAAAATCCACACTCAAGTTAAGTGGGACTTATTCCCAAGGTGTAAGTATGTAGGATTGCAGCCTAGGAAGACAGCAACAGTCATACAAAAGGACAGGGAAGCAAATTGCATTTAGATAATGAGCAGCTGACAAACAAGTGTTATAAAAGTAATTCAGAAAAAATACTTTAAAAATTACTCTGGGATAGTGATGGCCTTGACTAATACATATTAATTTGCTAATAACTGCAATGTTTATATTCTATTGCATCCTCTTGGCAGAAGCAACTTACAGCAATTTCAACATCATCTGACCTCTTGGAACCTCTTGAGATGAGAACCTTAAGTAATGTGGTCTGTTTGGCCTGAGGAGAAAGAATTAATTAATTTTTTAAAATTTCCTCAACTTAGTGATATTATGAGCCTCGTACTAGTCCTTGAGTGCTAGATTTATTTACTTGGATTTTTGTGTGTGTCCTGTTGTGACACTGAAAGTTTAGAATGGCTAAAACCAATTTTAGGGGCGTCTGTGGGCCCCATGTCTCTTCCAAGGGCTCACCGTTAGAAGATAGATAAATCCTGAACAAAAGAAGAGAAACCTCCAACACATGGAGGAAAAAAATAGTTGTTTTTCTATTTGCTGTAGAAGGAAAAGAATTGTGCATCCTTGAGAAAAGTCTGATCAGAGCTGCTAGCCAGGGACTCCTGTTACCAGTTTGTCTCAAATGGAAGTCCAGTTTCTTAATAGAATTACTATAGGTGAGTGTGTATTGGAATGTACTCTGCACAGGCTCAGAAGCCCAATAGCATGCAACTTAATGCTTTGTGTGTTCTAGAGTTTTTTTCAGATTCAAATTTAAGCATCAGTTTGCATATACATAAAAGGCTCCACTCTTCCTTCTCCCTTGTTTGAGCAGTCTGAGAAAGGAGTGCAGGGGGATTTGGCTTTTGCAGCCTGTGGAGGTAATAGGGGACACAATAGCCTCCATGAGGGTTTTTTGTTTACTTGAAGGTTTAGAAAGAAATTGTTTTGCAAGGTGGGTGTTGTTGTTTTTAATTAGCATGTTACCGAGAGGGGGACAAGAGCTTATCCTAGCCAATTCAGTTCTGTAATCTTCTGTATGCGTCGGTGATTTAATTTCCTTCTCACGCTCCGCACTCCCTTTGCCCCTCCATCTTTCAGGGCTGCGCACCACAAGGGCGGTATGTTTACCCCTGATCATAGCATCGCAGAAATTCCCTGCAAGATGCAGGCGGTCCTTGAGCCTGTTATCTGGGGCAGTAGAACAGTAAACATCTCTGGGTCGGTTTTGTGTCACTCTGCCTCCGCAAGCTCTTTGTCGGTTTGGAGCTGGGATGCGGGGGGGGGGCGTTTTGTTTGCTGCTCGGATTCGCACATTTTTCTATGACGATCGTGCTGAGCAGCTGGGGGGGGGGTCGTCTATACGTGCCGCCCCTTCTGCAGTTTCTTGTGGTTTTGGAGCCTGCTAGGCTGCTATTCAATGGCTCGAACAAGTAAGCCCCAGAGGTAAGGGGATTTTCGTTCAGCTTCAGCTGCAGAACCGGATCTGTTTTGCTTTGCTTTGTTTGTGACTGCATGCTGGCTTGCTCTTTTCCGTCAGCCCTCGAGGCTTTTTCCTCGCCAGATCTTTCGCTTTCATTGATTTAACCGCAGAAAAGAGAACTTGCCCTTTCTCCCCCTCCCCTTTCGGTTTCGTGGTGGTTGGAATTCGGGGCAAAGTGGAACTGGAATTCTGGCTCGAGCTGATCGCCCTGCGGCTGGACAAGGAAATGAAGCTGGAAAAACATCTTTCCTCCCCGACCTTGTGCCAGACCTGGACACCCCCCACCCGGGGCAAGTCGAAGCCAGCGTGCTTCGCTGCGCTCTAGGTCGACCCCACCGGGGGCGCTCAGACACTGTTTGTAAACAGTGCCAGAAAGTGAGCCGTTTGCAGCCGCCGTTGGCCTTTTGTTTTGATCCACCGGGCGCGGACTGGCTGTGGCAGGGGCTGGCTGCTGCTGTTGTGGGTAGGCTGGCTGGGACTTTGCTGCTGCACGTCCGTCTATCTCCCCTCCCCTCCTCCGTGCTGTAATGTCCAAAGCAGACTGGAGGTGCACGTTTATTTTTAGAATGTTGCTTCTCGCAGTGCCCTTGCCTTTCTCCATGAAAAGTTGCCTTTTCCACAAGGCTCCGAACCCGTTGTTTCTACACTTCAGAGGAAGAACAGGCAAAAGAAAGGGTGGGAGGAGATGTTTTGGTTAAAATCAGAGCAGGCAGTTGATGTTTTGCTTTGTGGTCTGAGCGTGTAGTGAGGAGTTTTCAACTCCACTAACAACAGCCCTTGAAAGTGAAGATCAAATCTGCACAAATCTTTTGTCTCTATTTTAGCATTGTTTGAAGTTTAGTAAGGGTGAGGTCTATTAAATGGTCTTATGGAAATATGTTTTCACAGAAGCCACTTTAGCACTGTCTACAATGCAGCAACATCTATTTCTATGTATACATTTGATGCAGTCTGGATTGCTGGTGGATCAGAAAGGTTCTTTAGTGTTAACAGACTTCATGGGAAAGTCCAAGACAGGAAAACAAGATTGATCTTTCTGAGTTCTTGGTTACTGTTAATGGGGGGTGGGAAGCAACTTAGCTTCAGTTAAATGAACAATTATCCAGCCACATTTTATGTGTCTTACATAGCAAATCTTAGAGGTTTTAAACTTAGCAAAAGCCAACTGTGCATGTTTCTTCAGAAATAAGTACTTCTCTGCTTATTGCAGCTTACTCTCAGATAAGTATGGATAAGGGTATAACCCCGATTTTTGTAGTTCATATTTAATAGAAGCCCTTTTAGTAGCTTAGTAAAAACATGAATGAAATTAAGGCTTGTTATAGTACAAAACCTCTATAAATATAATGTATGAAATAGCAGTGGGACATGCTGTATAGTAGAATCAAATGACCTGTTGCTTGTGTTCCTGATAAAAGCTATTTAATACTTTGAGAATATCTTAATATTCTGTAGGTCTGTTGTATGCTGATAACGTTCTGTTGCAGCTAACATGCTTAAATATTTGTTTATACATCCGGGTGCAGAATTAGGACAGCCCACTATGCTTAAGATTGGCTGCTGCTTGCCTACAAAGATTACGCTTTCCTTCAAATGACATCATGCTGGTAGACAGAAAGAGCTAACATTGTATGCATTCAGTGTATGAATTGTAATATCACATGAAAATAACACTTATTTATCCATCTAATAAAATGGGTAGCATGTTCAACTGAGAGTAGCAAGGGCATAATGAAAATGAAAATTGTGTCTTAATTGCGTCTAGAATGAATGTTTGAAAAAACATATGTTTTTGAAAAAACATGTTTTTGAAAAAACATATGTTCCAATGCTTGAACCTGTTTTCACATGGGGCTTGGCAGAGAATATCAGATTTGTACAGCATGCCCTTGTGTATAGTTAGTATTTTAGGGGAGACAAACACTTTGATGGCTTTTAAAACTCCTTTACTGTTGTGAAATGGAATGGGGGGGGCTTGGGTAGTTGTTATTACAATCTCAATCAGTTTTGCTTACACATTTAAAAGGGTAGTCTCTTCATAGTTCAGTAAATTTGAGCTCTACTGTATTTTCATCTCTCTCTTTTTGGTACTTCTGTAAACCTCAGGATTCGTCCACACCTGTAGTGTGTGGATGGTGCTGTTTTGGTTGCAGTGGGTATGGCAATTCATGTAGGTCTGTTTCAAGGAAACTACTGTTGGTTGGTTGTTCCTTTCTATACCACAAAACTGAAAGCTATGCAGTGTACAATATGACTTCAGTTTAAAACCAAAACAACACAACAAATACAATTGAACCAAACAAACAAACAGAAGCACAGAATGGGTCACCTAACAAGAAGGTTCTAAAAAAAAAGATAATCCTTTTCATCAGAATGCTCCCTGAAATAATTAAGTATTGGTGCCTAAAACTCATTATAGTTGCTGCCAGCTTGATTTTATTAGGTAGACTGCTTATAAACCGGATGCCACCACACTAAATGCACAATCTGTCACTGCCAGTCACTCTTAGATGTACCTCAATGGCAGATTGCAGATATCAGAGAAAGGTATATGAATAGTACTTGATCAAATGTTCAGAAATCTTTGGTTTAACTTATTAGGCAGCTATTACCCTTGAGCCCTCCTTTACCCTATATCTTCTGTCTGTGCCTGTGGCAGTGGAGTTTGGGAGGAAAAAACTTCGTCTTGAAGATTTGACAGATGGTTCAATCTTATGCCCAGTCAAAAATACAGAAAGACCCAACCCTTGATTCCAGTGCTTTATACCGGTAAATGCTTCCAGAGACTGTGGGGAAGCACTGAGAAGGTCCCATTGCTTTTTCTGAAGATCTGTAAAAGATGAAACAAGACCCCTCCCCACCCCCAAAGTTATCTCTGCATGCCAAAGAACATGGGAGGGGTCTATTCATGTTTCATTTCTCACAGGATTTTTGCACAATGCAAAACTCCACAAAGGAAGTGCAAAGGGAAGCATATTCCTCCATGTTCTCTGCACTTCCTCAAGAACTCAGGGAAAGGACTAGTCAGCAGAGGGGTAATAGGGGTTATTGCACTTCCTTGCACCACTGGGGGGAATCTGCATCCCTGGTCTTAGTTAACAAGAAACATAATTGTGAAGTTCATGAGCACACTCTGCACATAAACTTTAAAGTAGAATAGTTGAAAACGGATGAGTTTACAAATTTAAACCAACTTTAAACAAAAGTTAAAATGAAGCCAGATTAAAATATCTGAATGTAAAACAAAAAACATGTCCACACAAATAATCCTTTAAAACTGAATCTGTGACATTATCTCATGCATTGAAGCATGTAAACTATTTTTATTGATTTTCAACTTACAAAACACAATTAATAAACTTTAAATGTGCTGCCATTGGCAATACAGTATTAAAATTCCTTTACTTTAGAATTCCCTTCTCTCTCTCTAAGAACTGGATTAATTACTGCCATTGATTTTAATAAATTTAATTTTGAGATTTGATTTTAGGTAACTGCCTTGCCTCATGTTGCCTACCTTTGTTCTGCAAGGCACAGGCTCATTAATTTTAAGAAGGTTTGTGAATCCAACATTATATCTAATTATACATTTATATTGTCCAAAGACTGAATTACTGCTTTCTCCTCTTCCCCACTCCCCCATTTATCTTGTTACAGGAATTATTCAGCCACCACTATGACTGAATAATTAACCAGAGGCTCAGAGCAGTCACTGCAACTAACCATAGTTTAGGACCTAAACTATGATTTGAGCTTCCAAACATTAAGCAAGCACTTTTATGGTTTAGAACTGTTTGCTATGGCCCTCCTTTCTCCCAGCATACAAGTTCACAATTTCATTTCCCATCTCTTTGTTGAAGCAGCCTCTGTAGTGACACCCATATAACAGCAGTTTTTAGAATTCAGACATTGCACCAAACCATGGCTTGCAAACCCCATATTACCTTAATGGTTGTCTCCTGTTCTTATTTGCTGTTTATGGCTGCATAATATATGGTACTGTATTGACAACAGTCCTTTTTGGGGGGAGTTATTGTTTACACTTGTTATTGCTACCACACCATAATCTTTGTGCCTTTCTAATTTTTACTACCAATGGAAAATCCCAGGTTTCTTGACTGTCCTTGATGAAATTGATAAAGAAATGGTTAAAATGTTGATAGTGTTTTCCCACCTCTATGTTCATTCGGATTGATTTATTATGGGATACAGCATTGGTACTAGATGTCTGTGGTCTCCAGACCCTAAGTTCATTATTACACATTAAAATCAAATGAGACCACCCTGAAGCTCAAGGATCTGAAAAGAATGTGTCTCTTGCTTCAGCTGGCTGATAATGAACAGAGGTTTATGAGTGTCCGGCATTCATGGAGTGATACCATCTGCCAAGCTTCTGGAAATTATCTTCCTTTTGAGCAGTAGTATTTCTTATAGAAAGCTGTTTGAAGAGGCTACACTACGACGTTTTTGAATCCACATAGTTAGTTCAGTATTTATTTGGGCTTTGGCTGTGTTTAAACATCCTTATAAACTATGGCTTATTGTGATGGAAATGAGCCAAGGTGAGCCTTGGACTCATATGCTCCCTGTCTTTCCCCTCCTTCTCCAGTGTGGCTGCAAGTTGCTTGTTTCATTCAAACCTGACAACCTGTGGTTAACTATGGTTTGATTTAAACAAACAGACTTCAGAATGCACTTACTTTGTGAGGAACCTATGGGCAGAAAGTTTCATAGTTGGCCTACCCAGCAACTATTTTGTGTTGGCTGAGTGGAATGTTAGTTACGCTTGCCTTTTGTTCATCCAGCTGTTTTACCACCCTTAAGTTTCCAATGCTTGTGTTTGCATACTGCCCTCTGTTGCAGTGTTCCCATCTCCCTTTTGGATGGGAGGTTGGGAGCACCTCAGTATTACAGTGCAAGTGTAGGGCTCCCCTCCCCTCCCCTCTCCTCTCCTCTCCCATGTAGGACTCGGTGGCATATACATGCAGGCATGATATTTTAACAGGGAGCAACACTGCATGTAACTTAAGGTACCCATTTTATTTTTAACTTACACTAATGATGAAATGGAGAAGTTAAATGTTTAATTAGAAATATGTACTATAAAAAGACTTGAAGTGGCTTATATGCTTCTTTCTTCCGTTGCAGGTTTTGATTGTTTCTTCTGTGGCGTTTGTGTGGAAGCTGCCACACACACTTCAGAACAACAACGGCTTTTGCTTGCATTTTCCAGTGTTTCTTTTGTCAGCAAGTTCAGCAGAGTTGTAATTCTTCAAGTGCCAGCCCTGATCAGAGTGAAGAACTGGCAACAGAGATGGTAAAAATGACAAAATCCAAAACGTTCCAGGCTTACCTACCAAACTGTCATCGGACCTACAGTTGTATCCACTGCAGAGCCCATCTAGCCAATCATGATGAACTAATTTCCAAGGCAAGTGGCCTGTCTCTAGACCTCATGAATGCATGATCTGGTGCCTGTTTGTAACTGCCATAATGAGACCAAAAGATACATCAAAAGCTGTGTTTCAGGGTCTATTAGAAATACACTGCATAAGAATTTACATAATGTATTTCCTGATTACATTCTGTTTGTGTTCAGGTGCTACTTCTTGAGGTGTGTTTGGTCTCTTCTCAGGCCTGAATGATGTGTAATTGATATTTTAAAAGAAGTGCTCTTAATGTGAAGCACATTGATCATGGTTGTGGTCACTTGAGGTAATGTGACTAACCTGCTTGTTTTAGTTTGGTAGCATTATTCTTCTAAAGAGAATCAGTGTGTAACTTACACTATGTTCAAATGTTAATGTGTTCTTAATATTCAAGTACAGAAGATCTAGTATGCAGACATGAAATCTAAACCAACTAGCCATCCATGTGAAGAAAATAGTCAATGGATTGAAGTATGCAGAGATGTATATCTGGTCAGCTGGAAAAGAAGGGTGGGTGGGTTTCTTATTCGGTGTATGTTCTGCAGCTAGACCTGTCCAGTGAGAGCATTCCTGAAGTGAGGAAGCATGCTTTTCAAAACTACAGTGGTACCTTGGGTTATATACGCTTCAGGTTACATACGCTTCAGGTTACAGACTCCGCTAACCCAGAAATAGTGCTTCAGGTTAAGAACTTTGCTTCAGGATGAGAACAGAAATTGTGCTACGGTGGCACGGCGGCGGCAGGAGGCCCCATTAGCTAAAGTGGTGCTTCAGGTTAAGAACAGTTTCAGGTTAAGAACGGACCTCCGGAATGAATTAAGTACTTAACCCGAGGTACCACTGTACTTTCTTTTGTTCCTTGTTTTTCCCCCTTTATGCATTCTTTTGAAGGACTTTTGGTAACAACTGTGAATCAAGGCTCTTCTTTGAGATCTGTATATATGAAGAAACCTCTCACCAGGCAGTTTTCCCAACTCCTATGCAAAGATTTGGGAGTTTCTATGTTTCTAAAATGAGAGACGATATTCTTCCAAGCATATATTCATATTCACCTGTTCTGTATCCACTCTTCATGTGCATTGGGGAGGAATTTTGACCCCAGGAAGAGCATCATGTAATATTCAGTTTTCCTTCACAGCAATGGGGTCTCTCATGATTGCTATATGCTGCGATCTACGTGCATATATTCTGAAGAATAAGCATCTGTTAGCAGTTGCTACAGCACTGGTTTGTGCTGCAGATTTAAGCTTACCACACAGAAACACAATAAAGGAAAAATGGCAAGAGAAATACTCCCTCCACTGATTTTTGTTTCTCCCCCTCACCCCCAGCCAATTTTGCACCAAAATTAAGGGAATAATTTTTTTAAACAAAGTATATTCTGTAAAGAAACCTCACATAATTTTGTACTTCCTGTGTGTTAAAAATAGTATTGTATTCTCAGGTAAAAGCATAATAAACAATCTACCAAACATTAAAAATGGTTTCAGACTGACAATTTGTCTAACACCCATCTTTAATTGTTACAAGTTTAGTATACTGTGACTAATAAGTTGGTGGGACAGGGTCATGTAACTGTAAAATATGCCTGGTAATTAAACGTTGTACTTAATTAGGTTAATTGGTATAGTTTTTAGATGACAGAGAGAGGTGAGGGTTTCCGCTACAGTTATGGATTTTTTCAATGCCTGCTTTTCCTAATTAGGTATGTTCGCAAGACTCTGATGGGATGAAAATTGAATACATAGCAGTAATTTAAAGGTGTAAATGACTGGGTATGCCTGTTTTAAAAACAAACACTACAGTGCAATTAGTTGACTCACTGTTGCCCTTAAAATAAATCCAAACACTCCCTGGTTTGCAAACTACGTGGCATGGTGATATGTGGATCACTCACGCTGCTGAAAAAATGGGAGGAAGATTGCTTTCCAGTGTATCTTGCAACCCATCAATTCTGGTGCTCATCCGGAATTCCTGTTTCTTCCAGCAATGAATATTGGAGGGCAGATTTCCTAGGAACTCCCACTATTGCAGTAACATACTGGGTAACCTTCCAAAGAGAGCTATTAGCAGCTTAGCTTCAATCATCCTCATGCACTGACATTGAAACAAATATTACTAATTGCCGAGGTGTGTGTGGGTGTGTGTACACTTTGTACACAAATGGCAATGGCTAGTGGATGGTACAGATATGTGTGATACTGTGATTGTGTTGCATACAAATTCTGTAAAGAAGGGGTGTAGCACCTTGTGAATCTGATCTTACTGGCTTAGCTTCATTTCCCTCCCTCTAGCCCTCCCACAGGCTATTTATTTGCCAGAATAGTGGTACCTCGGATTACAAACACTTCAGGTCACAAACTCCGCTAACCTGGAAGTAGTACCTCGGGTTAAGAACTTTGCCCCAGGATGAGCACAGAAATCGCGCAAAGGCCCCATTAGCTAAAGTGGTACCTCGGGTTAAGAATGGTTTGAGGTTAAAGACGGAACTCTGGAACAAATTAAGTTCGTAACCTAAGGTACCACTGCAATTTTTAATCTTATTTTTTTATTCAACTGCAATACCATTTTACCCTGATGATGTATATTGGACATGGGACTTCTTAATAGCTCTTGAACAATTAAATAATATGAATCACAGGAGCCAATACTTGGAAAGGCAACTAAGTTGTAATAAAACAGGTACTAATAAAATTCTTAACCCTGAGTATTGTAAGTAACAATAACAACTTATGGCTATAAGCCATAAATTTGTGACTCACAATTTTGCTGTTTGCTGCACATCAGTATTTTGGCACATGTTTTCTCAGGCACACCATATGTTAAAATATATGGTGTAACTTTCTCTGATCTCTTCTGACAGGGTGGTAATGAAAACCAAATGAAGTAATCTTGGAAATTTTGCTGGTTTATGAAATAGACATCATTTTACAGCCATTTTTATGTATTCAAATTCCTGTTTGAGATCTGTATTCCCCTTTGACTTATTAGGTAGCAATGATGATGAATTCAAGAGATTCATTTCAAGTACTGTATATATCTAGGAAGTATAGGAAGGTGCTTTGATACAATTGCATTCCATATGAATACAATGTGGTTTCTAGGTGGTGCAGAATCCCATCTCCTCCTGTACAAATTTGCATGTAGTGCGAAAGGGGCTGTCACCTCCTGTTTTTTTCTGCTCGGCATCTGGTACTCTGAGGAGAACTATTAATACAGTGGTACCTCTGGATGCGAACGGGATCCATTCCGGAGCCCTGTTTGCATCCTGAAGCGAACGCAACCCGCGTCTGCGCATGCGCGTGACGTCATTTTGAGCGTCTGCGCAAGCGGCGAAACCCGGAAGTAACGCGTTCCGTTACTTCTGGGTCACCGCAGAGTGCAACCCAAAAATGCTCAACCCGAAGCTACTTCAACCCGAGGTATGACTGTATGGGGATTCTTATTTCAGATTTTTAAAATGGATTGTACCACTGTGTAGCTGGAGGTTCCTAAGGGTTGACGGCATCTGTTTCAGTGAAACTTGTGAATGCTCTAGCTCATGATAATGTTAGCATGTTTATGTGTTACTCTATTCTTTATCGATGTTCCCTTTTAACTGTAAATGGACACAGACATTCCTTCAGGAATTCTGAATCTTCCCTATGTGATACTTTTTAGCATCATGGACTCTAGAGTCTTTGTGTCTCTGCCATCTACACACTGCAACATTTTCTGCCACTTAGTTAACAATGTTTCAAGGACTGACAGTGTTTGAAATAAAAATAATTATATAGGAATAATATACATGTTGTATTAAATTTCTGACCTATGTGAACTTTTACGTGCTCTATAATGGCAATCCTGCTGAATCTGGGCATTCACCAGGTCATAAGTAACCGCATAGAGCTTATTTGTAAGAGGTTGCTAGATAACTGCTAGGAACAGTTTTACTGAATACAATGGAACCACGGGTTGTGAATGTGATCCGTGCAGGAGGCATGTTTGCAACCTGCAGCGCCGCATCTGCGAACACGTAGATCGCGATTTGGTCTTCTGTGCATGTGCAAAGCGCCAAAACCTAGAATCAACCCGTTCCGGTACTTCCGGTTTGGCGCGGTGCGCAACCTGAGAATGCGTTACCTGAAGCGTCTCTAACCCGAGGTACCACTGTATTACCATTTTGTCTCAGATTGGTTCCTTCTGACTTTGTTCACTAAGAACATTCTCAGATTCATATTATCTCCTTGATGGCCTGATAGCTTCGCACAAGAATGAAAGACTAGCTTTAGTTGGTTTTTTGCGAGGCAGGGGGATCTGTTTTTTTAACCAAAAAAGGAGCCAGCCAGATTGGTAAAAGGGGGAGATGAGGACCTAACACTTGCTGCTTGTTCTGGTGGGTTGATTCTAATTTGTTTCCTGCTCCCCATTCATCATCTCCTCTTCAGACAGTGCTTGACCCAGGGGTGCCAACTTGAATAATATATGGGGGGCAGGTGAGCACCCCCCAATAATTGATCACATGACATGGTGCGCACACACCATTTGAATGGCAATTCCTATTTATTTATTTATTTATTTATTTTATTGGGGGGCAAAGACTCTAGGAGTTGGCTCTCCAGACTCATTTTTTAAAGCACCAGTTATAACTGAGTGTCAATTTTTAAATCTCCAGTTTTAATGGTGTCCCTTCTCCTAACACATTAGAACCCTTTGGTGGGGTGGGGAGCACTTTGACAGCTTCACACACGCACCCCAACGTGAAACTCTAATAACTCAAGAACCAAATGGAGAATGCCCAGTGAACTCAAATGTTTTCTAGTTATCCAATTTTAATTTTCTGTAATCCTATACAATTACACCTGTATCATTTTTTGGCTTAGTTTAGGAAATAATGACCAAAGTTAATTAAAAGCAAAACTTATTTAAAACTTATTTAGCTTACTAAATAAGCAACACGGAAAAGTAGAGGGCAAACTGAGTGCAATAAATTATTGAGAGGCAAATCCATGTACTTTTCACATGTTTTATTTCAATAATGTTTCAATAATATAAGGTAGATTGTTACTGTCCCCATATTACTGATGGGGAAGGAAGAGAGAGTGGATTGCCTTAAAACAGTGTGTGTTAATGGTAGAGTGGAGCTACAGACTTCTATAGCTAAGGATTTGAACTGTGCCAGATCTTTCTTTGCTATAGTACATTATGTTAATTACCATCCCTTTTCTTTTGTCTATTGCAGCAGTGTCAGACACTGTTGGCTTAAAGAAGGCACTATACCTAGCAGTAGTTGCACAAACACTTGGGGAAAGATTTGGTTTTGAGATTAGAGATTAGACAATGAGTTTCCAGCCCCATGTGGCAGATCGGAAGAATAATTACTTGGAACAATACATGCAGCTGAATTTGCACTTAGCATACAATGTGCTAGTTTCAAAGTTCAGGTGGAATGCTTTGATTTGCCTCTTCATTGAGACAATGTTTTAGTGTTTTTTTAAAAAAATATTTATATATATATGTCTTCTTCTTTTTTTTCTTTTACAGTCCTTTCAGGGAAGCCAGGGGCGAGCCTACCTCTTTAATTCAGTGTAAGTGCAATTATTATTTTCTATGGACTAGGAGGACTATTTTACAACAATCTCATGTGAGTGGATTGGCTTGTTGCCTTGGTTTACGCAAGGACCCAAGTCGAGCCCTATGGGATCAACCCAGCGGTCCGTCTAGTCTAGCAGTCTGCTTCCCACAGTGGCCGGCAGATGTCTTGGAAGCCATCAACATGGCTGAAATACGGTAGCCCTTCTTTGCTGTTGCTCCCTAGCATCTGGTATTTTGTGGTTATCAAATACTTTGGTGTGAGAGAAGGGTTTTGCTCTGCCTGCAGAAGGCCACACATCCTTCAGTCAGGCACATGTGGAAGGCTTCTGAGGGCTGAACGACTATGACTCAGTAATAGAGTGCATGCTTTGCATGCAAAAGAGCCACAGTTCAATCAATTCTAGATGAGAAAGGTTCCTGGAGAGATGCTGCCAACCAGTGTAAACAAAACTGAGCTAGGTAGACTAGTGGGCTGACTTGATATAAGACAGCTTTCTATGTTCCTCTTAATTAGCATTGCCAAAAAAGTTATGTTTGGAACCAGCGCATATGGAAACATAATTCTAACTAACTATAGATTTTACAATGCAACTTTTTTCTTCTTTAGAGTATCTATTAAAATCCTTTCAAGGTAGGTAATAACTTCTGTTGGTGGCATAGTTAAAAGAAACATGGGATGCTGATGGTGCTGTGGTCCAAACCACTGAGCCTCTTGGGCTTGCTGATCAGAAGGTCGGTGGTTCGAATTCCTGCGACAGGGTGAGCTCCCATTGCTCTGTCCCAGCTCCTGCCAACTTAGCAATTCAAAAGCATGCCAGTGCAAGTAGATAAATAGGTACCACAGTGGTGGTAAGGTAAACAGCGTTTCCGTGCACTCTGGTTTCCATCATAGTATCCCATTGTGCCAGAAGCAGTTTAGTCCTGCTGGCCACATGACCCAGAAAGCTGTCTGCGGACAAACGCCGGCTCCCTCCGCCTGAAAGCGAGATGAGCGCCACAACCCCATAGTTGCCCTTGACTGGACTTAACTGTCCACGGGTCCTTTACCTTCACCTTTAAAAGAAACATAAAAACAAAGCCATAGTTAAAACCAGGGCTTTTTTTTCTTCCAGCTGGAGCTCACCAGAGCTCAACTCCAGCACCTCTCAGGTGGGCACCATTGCCATTCTAAGAGAACAAGGGAGAACTTCGTGATGAGCTCCAGCACCTCTTTTTCTAGGAAAATGGCACTGGTTAAAACAATTTACCTGGTAATTAATACTAGGTTGGAAATCACACAGATGTTTAATTTGGTTTGTGTTCAAAAGCTTGGTTTATGTAAGGAGGAACAAGCAAAGCATCTTGGCTTTAAAATAACTTCCTTGTGTGATGTTGGAAATATTTGCCAAAAATCTGGTGTGAATGATCTTGAGATTTTGCATCTAACATTTGCATATATCTTTATATTAATGGGAGGGGAAGGAAGATTCTTATAAAATGACTTATGCTTTTCCCACTCTCTCTCTCTTGCAGGGTGAATGTGGGCTGTGGTCCTGCAGAAGAGAGAGTTCTTCTGACAGGCTTGCATGCAGTAGCAGATATTTATTGTGAAAACTGCAAAACCACTCTTGGATGGAAATACGTAAGCATTTGCCCATTTTTGGACATGCAACTGTTTGGTTTTGTCTGGTCATTGAAATAGACTATGTGCAAATGTGGGAATATCTGGGTTGTCGCCAACTAAGTACTACTTTGAGCAGACTCACTAAAGTTGAGTCTACTCTACACTAAAGTTCAGTGGGTCTAGTCTGAGTACCCCAACATCGATACCCTCTGGATCTTGTCAGTCCCTTTTTGATGCCTTTTCAGACTCGTGGCATGATAAGAAGCCCAAGGATAAATTGACTAATTCTGGCTACAATTCAGATCCATGGGTAAAAGTTATCCACATCTTAAAGAGGCAACCCGATCTTCCATCACCAGTTGGCCTTCCTCTAGTAGTAGTAGTAGTAGTAGTAGTAGTAGTAGTAGTATTTATTGTTGTTATTACCACCCACCCACCCCAAGAAAGGCACAGGGCAGGCTACAGCAATGTAAAGAGCAACAGTTTAAAGCAAATTGCATTCAGACCTGGAATGGGCCCTAGAAATATGAATTTCAGTTCATATTTGCTGCTTTGAAGTGTGGCAGGTGCCTGACACAGACCCTGCTTACATGTGGTGAAGGGCTCATAACAAGCAGTTTTCAGAGCCACTGAATTTGCAAGGGAATCTTTTATTCCACCTGCCAGGGATTCTGCTTATGTTACTGATGCAAGAGGACCTGTCCTTCTGCCATCCCTCTTACTTATATCCCTCTTACTTATCCCTCTTACTGCCACTGGGGATGGGGGTGCTGTTAGGGAGAGGCTGGGTTCCTTCCTAGAATTTTCAGTTTTCATAGTACGTAGTCTTTTCTTTGCAAAATGTAATGAAAAGTATACTGGCAAAAGTCTTCCCAAGTAAGAAGTAAGTTTCGCATTTCCCAGGAGCATAAAGGCACTTGAATGAAAATTTATTTTATTAACATTACCTGTACTTTAAATTCAAAGGGTTGTATCCAACTAAGGTTCTGTTCACACTATACAATTAAAACACCATGCTGCCACTTTAAACAGCCAAGACACCTGACACCAGGAGCTGGTTAGATAAAGCTGTGGCTGCAAAGGAGCAATCAGGAGCCTTTGAGTTCTCCTGCTTTTGGCGCTGCTTAAATATGGTGCCAAATACAAGCCCTGCGGCTTTTACTCAGGTCAATCTTCTGATCATATGGAATCAGGTGACTGGTGCTCACCTGACAAATATGCCCATGGAGGGTTGGCCACTGATTGATCTAGTCCTCTGGTTGAAAGTGGTTTCCACTCTTGCTTTAAATCAACAGTCATCTGCTAATAATTTAGTCCATTGCTCACCTTTGTAAGTATTGACCTGTTGAGGTTTGAACCAGGTCATCCCTCTTTCATTCATACAGTGATGCCGAAGTACATAAAGTACAGCAGTTAAGCTGAGCAATACTCTTGCCTTGCCCCTAACGGATACGTTAAGAAGCGTTCATATTTGAAGCGGCGGATAACGGAATCTAATATTTTATTTTCTTGCCTAGGAACATGCGTTTGAAAGCAGTCAGAAATACAAAGAAGGAAAATTCATCATTGAACTTGCCCACATGATCAAAGACAATGGCTGGGAGTAAATGGGAACACTTCTCTCTCTCTTTGGACAATTAACCTGTGGAACATGCTTTATAAAGACTAATGCAAAAAGGATTTTGGTTCGGCTGGCTGAGAAAATCGCTGCGTTTTTGAAACCTCCAAACTGAGTAGTGTAATTTTGTGCCCCCCCTCCCTTTCCCCCAAAGGCCATCTTTTGCCTTCCTCTTTGTGTAAGTTTCCCTCTTTTTGTATATGTATTCCTGTGTGAACAGTTGTTTTGGATCGACTTTTTCTACAAACTAGAGGAATAATTCCCTAATTTCAAATTACTTTTAATAGCTAGCGCTCTCTTTTGAACTGTGCTTTTTAAATGCTCCTTCTGTGCATGCTTTTTGCCCATCACCTGCCACGGGATTTTGTTGAAGGCCTGCGTGAACAGTCCTAGAGAGAATGTAAGGCATGTTCCTTCCCCATGACCCCAGACATAGCAATTTCTGTGCTCTCTTTGCAGTGAGAAGGACATAACATTGTAGTAACCATTAGTTGTTTTCTTTTTCTTTTTTAAAGTACTGCAGCTTGTGTGTATCTTTGGGCAGGTTGGTTAAAGGTTTAGTCATCTGTAGTGGCTGAGGTTTATAAATCCTTGCTTTTATTTAAAGAAAATGAGAAGGGAGGGTGGAATAATAATTTACAAGGTCAACTAACTTATAAGGTCTGACCGAAATCAAAACATTCCTAAGAAAGTTAAACTTTGCTCTTTTAAGAAAGAATGTCTTAGCAAAGTTTTCAAGATCAAAGGATGCAACTATATGCAGCTCTTATTTTTAATGTCATGTAAAATGTCTCGGTACTGTACCTTTAACAGGGACTTGTACATCCACTGAAGTTTTTATGGCTGGTTCCATGTAGCTACATAGTTTTTAATGCACTGGATAAAGAGGTTGATATCAGTGAAGTGATTTGCTCTTGCAGTCCTTAAACACACAGGATTATTTTTGTGTGTGAAAGTGGCCAGAGCCTCTAGCTGTTACCTGTGGGAGGTTGGAAGTTGGGGAGCAGGTTAAAAAAAAAAAGCAAATTGACTTCTTCATGCTAGGTTTTTTAAGGGGCGTTTGATTTGCTGGCTGAATCATCCCTGAGCACATTTTGTAATAAACAGTTATGTGAAATAAGCATCAACTTGTAATTTCCCCCAGCTGCTGCTTTTTGTGGGGTGACTCAGTCAGACACTTCCACTATGTGTGTGTGTGTGTATGTAAAGTTCACTGATGGGAACTTTTCTGCACACTGTTTCAAGAGATTTGAATAATTTTTATGTCATGATTTTTGCATTAATATTCTAAAATTTATGAGAGGAGGAACGGATTGGAGGATATTTTACACTAACACAACATAGCTGCTGATAGCATGAATAATATGGAAAGCCTTACATTGGGAAATCTGCTCCTTTCTAATACAATGTCTTTTACATAGCGTAAAAAAAACTTTGCATTGTTCCTCTCTGCTGGCTGCTGCTATCCTCGTCTGATGGGCTTTCAAGTCTCTACTGCACTTTAGCTATACCTTTCATGTTAAAAGTAAGAGTAATCTTTCCCTAAAGAGGAATTGTCCCTTCCCTCTTCTGTTTGAAGAATTATTTCCCAAGCAAACCATCTGGGAAGTAGTATGGTTACACTGTGATGCAAAAAAAGGATATTGAATATATCTGTTTAAGTGTGTGTGTACATAGTTACCTCTTAGGCATTCAAATCCAAAGAGCTGTACTAGTGACAGCTAGATTCAAATTTTGTTTTGCTGAATGACCTTTTATTCTGGTGCTTAATTTAATATGAATGAGGGTTTGTGTGTTTTTTTTATCCATTAATCTTCAGTACAGTACTTGATCTAAATGTACACTAGAACCAGGCGTTATCTTGACTCATGCCTAGACAGCAGCAGCTTCAGCCACCCCAATCGACCACAAGCCGCTGAAGTTTCTCTTAAGAGGAGCTATTTCCTCGTGAGAAGACTTGGCTCTCTGGTATCCTCCTTAGTGCTGCCATCACAGATCCTTCCAGTCCCCTTGGACTAGGAGTAATCAGCATGGGAACATAGAATAGGCAGGCACTGTGTGTCTTGTGGGTTAGTGACTTGTGCAAACATCTGTCTGGTGTGCCTCGCTAAATATCAGTAAACTGACTTTATTTATTTTGTATCGCTTTCAAATCGCTTTATCCGAAAGGTCTGGTTTTCCTATCTTCCCTCCACTGCTTATGGCTGAAATAGTAAATAACTTGAACTATATTCTAACTGGTACAGTATCCACTGCCAACCATGTAAGTACTGAAATCGTAAGCAGATGGGCACTGTTGTTGGCTCACGATGCTGGCTGTAAGCCGTACCAGCTGTGAAACTGTCGCTAGAAGCATATCTTTTTCAATAGCATGGTTCCTCCTTGGTTTAAATGTCTCTCACCTAGTACTTACAGGAATTAGAGGACAAATTTTGGTCAGGTCTTTTGGGCAGGAGTTTGAGACTCTAAAGCGTTTGAGAGACAAAATCCAACCTCTTTTTATCAGTGCATTATTCATATTCTAAACCTAAATCACTTAGGTCTAAACTACATGTTGGAGGCAAGCATGTAACTGTAGCCTTCCTTAAAAGTTGAAAATTCACTTTGGGATGGAAAGAGTAGAGACGGGAGATGCTTAGACTTTTCCCTGCTCCAAATCATTTCCCCAAGTATTCTTCCTCTGCCCCCAAGGTTTCAATTGTATGTTTGTATTTTGGGGGCAAGCCGTGGGTAGGGCGTGAAGAGGGGCTGGAGTGGAGCTCCTCTTCTCTCTCTTGCTTTTCCATTCTTACTAATTCTCCCAAATGTTTTATGATAAAAAAGAGGGGCTTTTAAGAAAACACACTTGCACATATTGTGTAGTTTGGCCTTCTGGGTACAAGGTTTCACCTAAACCGTTTGTTAAACCTGGATGCCAAAAACTTGAGATTTTTATTTTTCAGTTGGCACCTGGAGTATCAAATTGCGGGTAAAAATCTAATGCAAGTCATTTGTAGTGATAAGGCATTTAAGAATACCAAATAGAGCAATATTTTTATGGATTTTGAAAAGGGGATGGGAAGGGTGGTAGAGAACTCTAAATCTAAAAATGATACTGTAGGTATCAAGTAGCATTGCATATTAGATCCTTTGGGGGAAATGAATGATTTTACTTGGCATTGTAGGAAGGTCTTTAAAACTGGGTGCTTCAATTTTACAGGTTGGGTGTCAGTAGGATCCAGATACTGCTGGATGTTGGTTGATGTATAAAAGGTCAGTCTGGTTACTGAACTTTCCAGCATTACATAAGCATAATACTTGAACATTTTTCAAAACATTTACCCTCTTAACCATTTTGAGTGTGTGTAATGTATTCTATTTAAGGTTTTGTGTGTTCTTTCTGGGTAAGTTTACGCTATCCCTTCAACTTGAGCACTTTTGTTACCTGTTATTTTTATTACTGTTGGTCTTAACATTTATTATATATATATATATATTTTATAAATTGTAACAAGGATTTTTTGTGAACTTCTGTGCGCTACCTACTAGCTCCCCCCCCCCCTTTCTTTGGACTAGATGAACTGACTACAAGCTGGTTCTTGGGAAGAATGTTCATTCGCACAAACAGAAAATGTGCTCGCAAAGTGTACATGTATTGAGGTGTTTTTCCCTTCGAACTCAATAGCCACGGTTAGCATAAACTAACCAAACAGTATGGCATGACTGAGGGCCAGATCAGGCAATTTAATAATCTCCTTGTGGAAGAAGGAACGTCTAATCTTGCAGAACCACATTGGCAGGCTCCCAGCAAAGTAAACGCTAGGAGACATTGCCACGACGTGGTCATGCTAGATCAGATGCTAACTTCCTCCATGCAGATGTATCTATAAGGATGCTGATGTGAAGCTTTTTTGTGCATCTGAACACTCTGCAACTTTTCCCCCCTCTTCCATTTTTTCTAGCTCCTTTGCTGTGAGCGTTACGGTAGTATGAACCAATTTCATGTGGCAGTTATTTCTCTTAACAGCTGTGGACGGCTTTTAACCACTGGAAGAAAACACCAGGCTTCCAGAATATTAAGTTGCATTATTTCACCACTCGTCCCAATAAAAGCTTGCTTCTCGGCCTAATCAGTCTTGTTATACATATGGATTTGACTTGCTGTTCTATTGCCATGAATCCTACTATGTAACAACCCAGAACAACTTGAACTCGCCTCGGCTAGAGAGCATTGCTTTCCTCACGGCCCAAGTTTAACTATATTATGTTGTGAAGTTGAAATTACCAATGTCTCTCTAAATTGCTTTATTACCTGTATGATGAACCTTATGTCACAGGACTGTGTTATGCATAACCATTACTGAAAGCTCCGTTGGTATCGGGTGAAATTAAGACTTAAGAGGAGCAGTGTTTCCCTTTTGAGGGAAAGGGACAGTGCACTTTGGTCCTTAATATGAATGTCAGCATTAATTGGGCTGTACCATTTTGATTTCTAATAAATCTGAAATGTGAGATTTACAAAAATATGCTGTTTTTTTCAGAGAAGATTATGGTCTGCTATGATAACCTGTTTTATGACGACTCAACCCAGATAGCCACAGTTTCTTATCCAGCTTTGTATAATGGTGAAAGGAATGACAGCAAATGTTCAAGTTAATGGTACACCATTTGTGTAGAGGCAACCACCAGTAATCTTATGCTACCATGAACAGGGATTTCACAGAAGCAAGGTAGGGTCAAAAACACAGGAGTCATAGCAGGTGCCCATTGACTTGTGCCTCTTTGCTGGAACGCTTTTGGAAAAACGCTTACTTTTTGCGCAGCTGATGTGGCTTCTTTCTGGTTTTTGTCTTGGCAATACTGTACACAAGTTGTTTCCCTTTATTGTATCTACTTGAGGTATCACAATAAACGTTTTCAGTTTTGTTGAATTTTGTGCTTCCCCCGCCCCTCCCCCTTTAAGAGGATGGAGAAGAGTCACATTTTAACAAGAAAGCAATTCTTACACAAAACTTGGAAGTTTTTGTTTGTTGCAAACCTTTAAAGCTACGCTTTATGAAAGATTCTAGTTCCACTTTCCCTGGACCGCTATTAGGGTGTAAAGGGCAATTGGTGCTGGCTGCTACTGATGTGGGAGAATGATCTGCTGGTCGTGGTGTAAAATCCAAAAATGAAAAAGAAGCATCAGGGCCAGCACCTGAATGTTCACGGTTCTAGTCAGCCATGCCTTCCCCCCACAATTGTCTCTTTATCCTTTCCAGCAGTCAATTCTCAGTCCATGGCAACTGAGCATGCTTGGCGTTCGCTGAGCTGTTTCCCTGTAAATAATTATGTCTGTCCTACTTCCTTGCAAGCTTAGGATTCCCTTGAGTTTGCTGGTATGGTTTTGGCTGCATAAGGCTCAAAACCTGGAAAGCTGAAATCATCATCAGTATGTCCTGTTCTCGATCAGTCTGTAAATTCAGTGCCCACCACTGGTACCTTATGTATTCCATATGCCAATAAAGAAAAGAAAAGTATGGTAAATTTTCTTATTCAGCTTAAGTATAGAGGTAGGAAGGAGATAGTGGCGGACCAGCTATCCCAGACTAATATTGAAATGCTAAGAAGTGTTGGATTAAAGCACAAATGCAAATTCGTAGGCAAAAGGAAGTTAGGAGTCTTAATTTTCCTCCATTCTTGGATTGACCAATCATGATTCCAGAATTAGGTATCACTGCCTGCCTGCAGATGGTCCTTTCACAGGGAAGGAGGCAAAAGTTAGAGCCTATTTTTTCCACCCCATATAAGGCGGAGGATTGCATGTCTGAAGACTGCCCATAGGTTTGCAGAAGAAGGGAAGGAATCCAACCAGAGTCAATAGAGGATAAAATGTCAAGCCCACTGTGTTCAAAATAAAACCTTCCCCAGGGGCTCTGTAAAAACGAGTGTTTGCTTCTCAAATACTAGAAAAACTGGAGCATAGGCAGGGCAGAGAGAAAGGGGTGCCCTGACCCCACCAGTTCTGGCTCCATTCACTACCAACATGCAGCCCTTTGACATATTATGCAGCCTTCAACTGCTGGAAAAAGTCCCTCCACTTCTTCTATAGAGGCTTCTGTTGGGGAAATAACACCAGAAGGAGCAAAGGTGTTCACTCAGAGCCATATCCTCGGAGGGCTTGGGAAAGGGTTCACCAGTACAACCTCCTTCCAAGGACAGCTGCAGCATTCCTCGCTGTCAGGAAAACACATGACTCATAAATTTTACGGCTAAGCAGGAGCACCAAGTATTGGTCACTGTAATTTTCCACCCACTCTCCTCAAGTTCGTATTGTCTTTCTTTCTTTCTTTCTTTCTTTCTTTCTTTCTTTCTTTCTTTCTTTTTCTCTCTCCCCTTCCTCTCTTCTCTTCTCTTCTCTTCTCTTCTCTTTCTCTCTCCACTAAAGCCAAAACATAATTACAAAAGATAATGGCAATCGGACACTTTTTTTTTTTTTTGAATGATATTTATTAAAGTTTCACAAAGAAAAAATCACATCAACATAAAAAGAAAAATTCAAGAATAAAAAGAAAAATACACAATGCAAAATACAAAAAGAAGAAAAAACAATTAAAAACAATTCCCTCTTTTCATCACTACTTTTACATTTACTTGTTTCCCGGACCTCCTCATACCTCCCTCTTTTGTATTCCAATTCAGTTTGTTAGTCCAGCAATTCCTTTCCCTCTTTTTTAATCCCAATCCTTAATCTTGATATAGTATAACATTAAATTTTTACCTGTTAAAAACCAATTTTTCCATTCTTTTAACCTTTTTAATCCTAATCCTTAATCTTGATATATTTATAACTTTAAAGCCTGTACAGCTAGAAGCCACTTAATTTCAATTCAACATCACTCTAACATTCATTAATTTTGCAATATTTCTGTAAGTAATCTTTGAATTTCTTCCAATCTTCTTCCACCGACTCTTCTCCCTGGTCACGGATTCTGCCAGTCATTTCCGCCAATTCCATGTAGTCCATCATTTTCATCTGCCATTCCTCCAGTGTGGGTAGATCTTGTGTCTTCCAATACTTTGCGATGAGTATTCTTGCTGCTATTGTAGCATACATGAAGAAAGTTCTATCCTTTTTTAACACCAGTTGGCCGACTATGCCCAAGAGAAAGGCCTCTGGTTTCTTCAAGAAGGTATATTTAAATACCTTTTTTAATTCATTATATATCATCTCCCGAAAGCCTTAATCTTTGGGCACGTCCACCAAAGGTGAAAAAATGTACCTTCAGTTTCTTTACATTTCCAACATTTATTATCAGGCAAATGGTAGATTTTTGCAAGCTTGACTGGGGTTATGTACCACCTGTATATCATTTTCATAATATTCTCTCTTAGGGCATTACATGCCGTAAACTTCATACCTGTGGTCCATAACTGTTCCCAGTCAGCGAACATGATATTATGTCCAACATCTTGTGCCCATTTAATCATAGCAGATTTCACCGTTTCATCCTGAGTGTTCCATTTCAGCAGCAAGTTATACATTCTTGACAAATTCTTAGTTTTGGGTTCTAACAGTTCTGTTTCTAATTTTGATTTTTCCACCTGAAAGCCAATTTTCTTATCCAAATTGTATGCCTCCATTATCTGATAATAATGAAGCCAGTCTCGCACTTTGTTTTTAGTTTTTCAAAACTCTGCAATTTCAATCTGTCTCCATCTTGTTCCAAAATTTTCCAATATTTTGGCCATTTGACCTCCATATTGAGCTTTTTCAAGGCTTTCGCTTCCATTGGTGACAGCCACCTTGGAGTTTTGTTTTCCAATAAATCCTTGTATCTTATCCAAACATTAAACAGTGCTTTCCTGACAATATGGTTTTTAAATACTTTATGTGCTTTGACCTTGTCATACCACAGATAATGCATGCCACCCAAATACGTTGTTAAAACCTTCTAAATCCAAAATGTCAGTGTTTTCAAGAAGCAGCCATTCTTTCAACCAGCAGAAAGCTGCTGATTCATAGTAAAGTTTAAGGTCTGGCAGGGCAAATCCACCTCTATCCTTTGCATCTGTTAGTATTTTAAATTTTATTCTGGGCTTCTTGCCCTGCCAGACAAATCTAGAAATATCTCTCTGCCACCTCTTGAAACAGTCCATTTGGCAATCGGACACTTTTGGACCTTGACACAACATGGATGCTGTGTAAAAGTTGTTAGCAGCTCAACGTTTAAGTTGCCTAGAGAGATTAGAACCAGCGTGGTGTAGTGGTTAAGAGCAGTGGACTCGTAATCTGGGGAACCGGGTTCGATTCCCCGCTCCTCCACATGCAGCTGCTGGGTGACCTTGGGCCAGTCACACTTCTTTGAAGTCTCTCAGCCCCACTCACCTCACAGAGTGTTTGTTGTGGGGGAGGAAGGGAAAGGAGAATGTTAACCGCTTTGAGACTCCTTCAGGTAGTGATAAAGCGGGATATCAAAGCCAAACTCCTCCTCCTCCTCCTCTTCTTCTTCTAGACAAATGCAAGGATGAAGCTGTGTTTCATTTCCACTGTTGGGAGGCAACATGCGTCTGAATGCCAGATGCTGGAAAATCACAAGGGGGACTAACAATGTTGCGCTCAGTTCCTGCTTGCACACTGGCCACACTGCGAACAGAATGCTGGACTAGATGGGCTACTGGCCTGATCCCAGGTGCCCCAATGGGAAGCCTGCAAGCAGGACCTGAGCCCAATAGTGCTCTCCCCTATTTTGGTTTCCAGCAACTGGCTTTCAGAAACCTTACTGCCTCCCCAAAGGCCAAATGTGGAGAAAGAGAATACCTCCATAATGGCTAGTGGCCACTGATTGCCTGATCCTCCAGGAACTTGTCCAATCCTCTTTTAAAGAATCCAAGTTGGTGGCCATCACTGCCACCTGTGTGTGAGAGAGTTTCTTAGTTTATGTGCTGTGTACTTAATTTTATCCTGAACCTTCAAACAACCAGCTTCATTGAACCTCCCTGAGTTCTAGTATGATGGGAGTTCATGAATTGTTGGCAGTAACAACTGGAGGATTGCGCCAGTGTCTACTCAAGGGCTTCCCAGAGGCATCAGTCAGCTACTGTGGAAGCCAGAGGCTGCACTAGATTCCAAAAGAGCTCTTCAACATTGCTCTGATCCTATAGGGCTCTTCCTACATTTTTAGGATTTAAACCGCTGTGACCCTCTTGAGTAACCGGTTCATGCTAAGTTTCTCTTGCTGTGACTTGGTTGGCTCTTGATCACATAAACTATTGCCTTTTGGGACAAGGAGGTCTTTGGCATGATTAAAATTTGCCGGAACTGAGCTCTCACAAAAATAGCTAAAAGCATTAGGGAAGAGATTTTAAAATAAAGCCGCTGATATGTTTATAACACCCTTATACAAATCTACGATGCGGCTATACTTAGAATATTATAAACTGCTCTGGGTTGCACCATTTAAAAATAAAATAAATCTGTTTCCCTGGAAAAGGAGCAGAAACGATCAAGGAATCAGTGTGCCTGCCCTATCAGAAAAGGCAACAATATTTGGGGCTTTATTTGCTTAGAAAGATAGCCGCAATAGGAAGTTTATAAAACATGCAGCGGATGGAGAAATTGGGCCTTCTGGACAACCGCTTCCATCACCCCCCTGGTCATTGGCCATGTTTGCTGAAGCTAATAGGAGATGTAAGTCACCAACATCTGGAGGGCCAGAGGTCCCCCACCCCCGGCCACCAACCCAACCTTATTTTGAAAGAGGAGCCAATAAATTAATGGAGAAAAAGCTGCTGGCGATTAGTCAGGTTTGCCAAATGGCACTTCCAGATTCAACAGCCTCATGCTCCTGAATGCCAACGGCTGGGGAGGTGGCAAGAGGAGGAAAGGGCTGTCCTCTTGGCTGCCCTGCTAAAGCGTTCACCAAAGCCATCCGACTGGCCCCTGTAGGAAGCAGGAAGCTAGATTAGGAGGCCCCTTGGGTCTGATTCAGCCGAGTGGCTCTTATCTTAGTTCTGTATCCCTGTGGTTGGAATGTACGTAGGTGGCCACCCAGACAGCTGGCTGTAGACAGAAGCAGCACGGATCGCCCTATATGGAACCTTGGCCTCCATAACAATTTGTGGTGTGGGAGGTGCGCATGTTGGTGTGAAAACAGCTTAGGCTCTTGTGAAATCCAAGGCACCTCTCTACTTGTTTGGTTTCTCTTCTGTAATCTCAATAGATGCTATCGGTTTTCAGGAGGCATCTCTTCCCCCATGGGGAAAAAATTCCCCTGGAGCTCCATCTGCTGCATCCATCGCATTGTCAAGATAGCGGCCAGCTTGCTTTGCACTTCAGTCTTTTATCAATAATTCCAATGGATTTTTATGCAAACCCCTTTGAGGTTTCGACAATTGTAAAAGGTAAAGGGACCCCTGACCATTAGGTCCAGTCGTGGCCGACTCTGGGGTTGCGGCGCTCATCTCGCTTTATTGGCCGAGGGAGCCGGCATACAGCTTCCGGGTCATGTGGCCAGCATGACTAAGCTGCTTCTGGCGAACCAGAGCAGCGCACGGAAACACCATTTACCTTCCCGCCGGAGCAGTACCTATTTATCTACTTGCACTTTGACGTACTTTCGAACTGCTAGGTTGGCAGGAGCAGGGACAGAGCAACGGGAGCTCACCCTGTTGCGGGGATTGGAACCGCCGACCTTCTGATTGGCAAGCCCTAGGCTCTGTGGTTTAATCCACAGCACCACCCGTGTCCCTTTTCGACAACTGAGCACCCTACAAAATTCTGTAAAATAAATGAAATGAAGAGACAGCACCGCCCCTGCATGCAAACGCTCATGTACAAACGAATTTGCTGTTATCAAAGCTCTCTCTGTATTTATCGAAGAGATGATTGAATTGGGTGTCCAGTTCTAGGCTCAGAAGTATGCTTGCGAAGGCCTTGGCCAGCAAACCCATCTCAGTAGATGCATGACATAAAATTATTTTTTTGCCGTCTTTCTTGTTATTTAACTGTATGTGAGCATGCACTGGAGAATGAGAGAGAGAGTGCACATTATTTTAAAACCACATCTTATGTTTCAGCCAATTTAGGCTTTTATGTTTGAATGGCATATACACTGGGTCATAATGTCTCAGAGAAATCACCCTGATCTTCCCATCAGTCTCCCTCCCTCTTTGTTTTCTATTTCCAGCAGAGTTGTTATCATCCTCATCTTTGGGGAGGGGGAATATTGGGGGGGGGGGGAGCGCAGCAAAACAATACTTCCTTTGGCGCCTGTTCCCAGAGGGGTGAGGTCATCCTCAAAGGCAGCAGTTTTTCAGCTTGGTGGAAGATGACAGAGATTGGATTGATTCATGCCACATGCTAGGCAGAAACAGTGAGCAAGACATATACACTGGACTGCAACAGCGGCTTATTATGACCTGATGAACCAGAGGCTATAAGCAAACAGCCTGGGCAGAAACCAAGCGAGGCCTTTGCGGATAAAAGCTTTTGGTCCTTGCACATGGCAGATGATGGCCATTGACAATCAAGTGAAGCCAAACAGGCCAAAAAAACACACCAATGCATTTGCTCCTTTTTCTGTAATCACTTGTCCCAATCTCCTCAAAGGCTTCCCTCGCAGCTTCAGGAAGACGCAGGGGGTTGCAGCACGGCCCATAGTCCTGCAAAGTGCCAGCTGTGAGGAACAAGCAAAGTAAGCAGTGGCGCAGTTCGATTAATTTGGGACCATAGATTTTGAATGGTCGTGTGGGACCAAGGTGGGTTGTGGGAGAGTCTTTAGGTAGTCAGGCTGGAACAGTCCTGGTTGAAGAGGGGAGCAGAAGTGCTTCTAAGTAAATACATACCGTATTTTTCGCTCCATAAGGCGCACCGGACCATAAGACGCACCTAGTTTTTAGAGGGGGAAATCCAGAAAAAAAATATTATTTCCCCCCCCCCAGCCCCAAAGAGCAAAGAAGCCAAGACAGTGAGCAGGATGGATCCCGCTGGCTGTCTTGGCCTCCTCTTTAGCCGCATGCAGCTCCTCCAGCCGGGAGAGGCTGCGCACGGCTATGGCAATTCCCCCACCTCCCGCAAAAGCCCACAGGAGCCGCGCACCCTTTAAGGAGCACGCGGCTCCTGCAGGCTTTTCTACGAGGAGGGAGAAGGGACTGAAGCGACCGCAAAAGCCGCGCGGAGCTTGTGTGCGGCTCTTGGGGGCTTTTCCTGCCTGCCTCCCCCTGCATTCGCTCCATAAGATGCACAGACATTTCCCCTTACTTTTTAGGAGGGGAAAAAGTGCGTCTTATGGAGCAAAAAAATATGGTAATTTAAAAATGTGGTCATTTATTGCGCCTATCTTTGAGGACTCTGTTCATTATCAGTTCTTTGCCCCTTCCCCTCCATCCCCACAGCACAACTGAAAACAAACCATTGACATCTTCATCATCCAGTTTGTTTGATAAACCAGACATTAGTACTTTCCACTCTACAGTCAGTGAGTGAGTGAGTGTGTGTTGAGGGATAGGTTAGAAAGTTTCATAGCTCAGTGGTAGAGCATTTGCCCTCATGCAGAGGGTCCCTGGTTCAATCCCCAGCATCTCTAGGCAGGGCAAGAAGAGACCCCTGCCTGAGAACCTGGAAAGCCGCTGCCAAACAGTGCAGATAATACAGTCGAACCTTGGAAGTTGAACGGAATCCGTTCCGGAAGTCCGTTCGACTTCCAAAATGTTCGGAAACCAAAGTGCAGCTTCCGATTGGCTGCAGGAAGCTCCTGCAGCCAATCGGAAGCACCGTCAGACGTTCAGCTTCCAAAAATAGTTCACAAACCAGAACACTCACTTCCGGGTTTGCGGTGTTCAGGAGCCAAAGCATTCAAGAACTAAGCTGTTCTTAGAAAACCAAGGTGCAACTTTACTGTTCGGACTCAGTGCAAGGCAGCTTCCTATGTTATAGGGATATTTAAGTAATTGGTTTCCCCATGACATCTACGATTTGATCAATGGGGGGAGGGGGGAGGGAAAGCACAGCAAAGTTTCAAGAGTGCCATAGTTGGGTATATAATTCTGTAAGGGAAACAGGAATATTTGTCTTTTCTTTCTTTCTTTTTACTTTGCCCTACTTTCATAACCCAATAACATTACTGTCTGTACTTCACATCCCTCTGATCTCAGAGTTTGCAATTACCTACCTGCAGAACCCTGTATATACATAACCTGCAAACTGAGGATGACACTTCATGCATCTGATTCTCGTCCACAGAAACCTATGCTACAATAAACTTATTATTCAGAGTTTTATGTTGTGAACCGCCTTAAGATCTACGGGTATAAGGCAGTATAAAAATTTTCTAATGATGATGATGGTGATGATGATAATAGCAGCCACTATTAGGAGTCTTCTGGGGGCAGAATACAGCTTTTATGAAACTATGGTTGGTCACCTTGAGCCCCCCAAAACTATCAGACATAAATGACTATGGTGAACAGATGGTGAAGCCTTTTCAGTGGTGGTACCCAAATTCCTTCCTATACATATTTTGTTCTGACAAATGGCATGGAGCAGCTTAAGGTGTCAAGAGCTATAACCAATGTTCTGTCTGCTAGCGCAAAAGTCCTAGTGTCAGGGGAAGACAAGGATAAAGGTGGCCCACTAAAGGAATCCAACTCAGCTTTTGCACTACCGAAGTTTGCAACAGCTGATTCTTGTGCAATCTGTTGCACACTATTTTGATGATGTACCTGCTTTTTCCCTTGCATAACAACATTCCATCAGAGCAACAACTATACCAACAGGCGACTTTAACATAGTACTGCACTGGATACAACGCAGAGTGATCGTTGGCCCAGTGGCAGGGCTAACTTCAGCTACTTTTCTTTCCACAGATTGAGGAGGAGGGCCCAACAAGCAATGAAGCAAGCATGTAAAGGCACCATGCATATTGATGGTGCTTATATAAACAAAGGGAACAGTGTTCTCCTGTGATCTGTGAACAGGGCATAAGATAGACATGACCTCCTGAATAATGATCCCCTATAGCGTTACTTCACTGCTCACTTGAATGTTGTTGTTTTAAAATATAGAGTCAATTTTGGAGACTACAGTGCCAGCGACTGTATCTCACTGGAGCCCCAGCCCCACCCTCCAGCCATGTTTTGTTGAAGTACTTTTAAACAGGAACTTCTGATGCACAAGTTAAGCAGGCAAACTTTTCCCTGGCACAGTGGTAGTAATAAGCACCTGCTATGCCAGCGTTTCCCAAACTTGGGTCGCCAGCTGTTGTTGGACTACATTTCCCATCATCCTTGACCACTGGTCCTGTTACCTATGGATGATGGGAGTTGTAGTCCAAAATCAGCTGGAGACCCAAGTTTGGGAAACCCTGAGCTAAGCTCAGGCTGCAGTTAAGCCCTGGAATATAAGGCCATCTGAAACAGAATTTATGGCTTTCAAACGGAAGACAGTCACATGTTGTGGCATCACTGTGACTCATGAACAAGTCCTCAGTTACATAGTGCCTGAAAGTGTCACCAATTAGGGTAAGAAATAGTTTCTGCCAGCTTTCATCCCTTCCCAACCCTCTTTTGTTTAGCTGATCAATGATTTTGAGCGAGAGGTTCTAAAGTCACACGGAAAGAGGCACTGCCTGTCTTCTTCAAGATAACTATTTCCTTTGCATGTCCAGCCACAAATTGAAAACCAATCTGCAGCAAACAGAATTAATTGCTTTTTTTTATAAACACACTCTCTCTCTTGTCTTCTGCTTCATACATCTGGGTGATTTTGTATTCAGTTCCAGGCAGCAAGCCTCTTGTCTCAGAAGCACTTTTGATGTAGACAGTTTTGATTTCCTTTTGCTCATCAGACCTTTGCTCCTGCTAAAACCTGCTTTTTCCTTTGTAATAGTGCTGTCCGTTTTTAAAGCACCGGTTTGGCTTATATAGTCTAATTACTGCATCTTCTGTTCAACCCTGATATATTCTACCCCCTGCCCCCAGGAAGCCACCTTCTGTGAGGACAGAACAGAAAAAAGCAAAGGAAGGCTGGTTACAGATTTTGGGAGGTATTTGGTGTGAGGCTCTCCAAAGCAGTAACTTTCACAAACAACGACACACACCTCTAGTGATGACAGATGACCAAGCAGTGATTCCTTCTCTTTGGGGTTGGGATCAGTCTGGACTGCTGCTCAGAGGACAGGTGAGCAACTAGGCATCTTGGGTCCAGGATACCTCTGACCTCTTATATCCCTCAGGTCTATAGGGGAGTCACTGTTTGTGGTCCCTCATAGCTCCGATGAATGACTCATATGTACCAGGAGCCATACTTTTAGAAATGTAGGCTCCATTTTATGGAACTCCCCACCGGCTGAAGTCAAGCAGGCTCCCACTCTGTTGTTATTTCCAGGCATTTAATCAGAATTCATTTTAAACCATCTTTTCCCTTTTCCAAGTGCGGCATCCCTTGCACACAATTTGGATGCAGTACAGGCAATTCCCAATTTAAGCGGGGGTTACGTTCCAAGGCACCACACGTTTAGGTGAAATTGCGTATATTTGAAAAGATTCCATCAACAGTATCTCCGAAAAATTTTACATTTCACTCGGGAAGACAGGTGAACTAATGCCAGTGTTGAGGCAATGATTCTTCAACATCAACTTCGTTGGACTGGTCATGATGTGTTGGATGCCTGATTATTGTATTCCAAAGCAACTACTCTACAGTGGAACCTCGTGTTACGGATGGGATCCGTTCTGGAGGCCCGCCCATAACCCGGAACTGACCAAGCCGAAGTGCTGCGTCTATGCGCTGTGCGATTTAGCGCATGTGCGAGCAGCAAAACCTGGAAGTACCCCATTCCGGTACTTCCAGGATGCTGCGAGACGCAACATGAAAACATGTAACCTGAAGCAGATGCAACATGAGGTATGACTGTATTCCGAACTTACAAATGGAAAGTGTAATGCTGGTGGTTAACAAAAGAGGTTTAAAGACTCTCTCAAGGCAAATCTTCAAAAATCTAGGATAGACACCGACAACTGGGAAACACTGGCCTGCGAGCGCTCCAATTGAGGAACAGCCTTTACCAAAGATGTCATGGGCTTTGAAGACGCTTGAACTCAGGACAAAAGGGAGAAATGTGCTAAGAGGAAGGTACGCTTGGCAAACTCTCACCGTGATCAACTCCCGCCCAGAAACCTATGTCCCCACTGTGGAAGGACGTGTGGATCCAGAATTGGCCTCCACAGTCCCTCACGGCCTCACTGTTAAAACTGTGTTCGTGGAAGACAATCTTACTCAGCTACGAATGATCACTAAAGAAGAAGATAGCTTTTAATTAAACAGCAGTAGCAAGAAGCTTGGACCAAAGGCAGTGGACTTTTCTGGTGCACTAGGCTCCTCACACCAGCCGCCCAGAAGGCCAGCTGTTGACACTTCTTGTCTCTGCTTTAAACACACACACAGCAAATAAACTGAAGGCTCCATGTTCATCTTTTCAAACAAGGCTGAATTCCTTATAGAGCTGCAAACCATTTCCTCAAAAGAAATCAAGGCTCCAGAAAGAATCTTAGAAAATATAGGTGACTCATTTCCTGGCAAGCCAAACAAAAGAGTTTTGGCAGGGTCCTGGAAAAACTGAACGGGAAAGCAGGAAGCAAATGAAAATTTAAATCTTTAATGGAAAAAAAAAACCCTGTATCACAGAAATTGTCCTGCTACAATTTTGTGTCAAGGGGACTTGATGTTTTCTTTTTTCATAAACAATGTGGTACTGCGATATAAAAAGTTATTTTCTCAAGCAAGAGGTCCTCACTTCTTGCCAAGGGATTTCAGTTGATCAGTCCAAGCAGTAGAAGGAAATACTCCAATGTGTCTGGCCAGGGTGCTGCTATTATGATGGTCTGTAGGTGGATGGAATTCGGAGCCAGTATTTAGCAGCAATCCCTGTTGCTCAGTCTGCAAAGATCATTTAAATATTCTAGGCAGGCTCCCAGGGAGGGTGTGGTCTGTACATTGGAAGTGGAGGACTGGCCACTTTATTTGGGCAACATTCGCCAAGAGATGGTTTCACTGCTTTTGGATACCGGCCCAGGAAGCACATAACAATAACCCATCATTAGCAACTTCTGGTGCCCAGAAACCAGTTCACTCCTTTTGCTCCACCCTGCCAGTCTGGGGGAGAAACGAACCACAAAGCTTGATTCAGTATTATGTTAGAATCAGAACTCAGTTTGTTTCTCCCAGAGGGGACAAGGCAGAACAGAGAGGAAGCGACTAAGCAGCACACTGCTTGTTCAGAGTAAACCATGGTTTATTACTGACTACGGTTTACTGTTACATGTGAACACGGCCAATGAGTAAAAACAAATGTAATCAACAACTGTCTAGCTAGCGTCTTTCTTTTATTACAACTTCCTGCTAACAGCGAGCCCTTTTGATTGATTTCCTGCAATCCAGACAACTAGAAAAGTTGCACATATCTGTGCCGGTGGTGGTGGGGATACTTCTTTTCTTTACCTATAAATATAATTTTTGAATTATATGAAAATAGAAATACATATATACATAAGCAAACTTGTTTCCATTGGACTATAAACTGGCATTTGGCATTCACTCAGCCAATGCTTCTAAGCAATGTGGGGCTCCAGCACATCTTAACTCTGCCCGTATTTAGCAGAAAGGGCAGAATGCGGATTGCACAGAAATGCACACGGTGACTGCCGGGCGGCCATTTTTGTAAATGAGGATAGTAGGTTTAGGAGGGGCTAGCTTCAAGCAGAGAGAAGGCTCAAACTGCTCCTTGCTGACCGATTCCTCTCCAAATGGCATCTTCTAGCTGATTCTTCTCCTAAGGGTCACCCCAAAGGGTCAAAAGCACTTGGAGGGAACTTGCAAATGATTAAAATTGTGGGCAAAGGAGTGAGCAAACCCTCCAGTCTGGTCCCTGTGCTTCTTAAAGTGAGAGGTCATTTTTCTGTGTCCTAACTGGGCTGCAACCTCTTCATGCTGCACATCAAAAACGAGGGGGGACAGTGGAGCTTCGATTTGTGCCTGCAAGCAGAAGTTCTGAACTGAACTGATGCAGATCCCTCCGTCAAACCTGGTCGCTCAGAGCTGTATTCGTAAGAGAGGACGCTGGACTGCTGTGGCTCTGTTATGATCCCAGAGCCCACAGAGAGAAGGGGTGGATGCTTCTAAGCAGCAGTAAGGTTGCTCTCATACAGTGCAGTAGGTGGTGTGAAAGGGAGGGCGGATGCTCAGGCGGTGTTTACAAATTAAAACTGGGAAGGCGTAAAGGGTTACGTGTCTCCTGCAACAAGCGTACAGCACTAATGCTCTCGCCGCCTCCTCTGAAATCTGGCAATTACCCATTTAAGCCAGGAATAGAACCTCACTCATTCATCTGTTTTTAGCATCCTCTCGTGTTCTGCTGATAAATCTACTGAGCACCAATGCATTAAGAGTCCTCCTCGAATTAGGGAGCCCAGCATCTCACTGAAAAAGCAAAGCGGTTCTTCCTGAGAAGGGCTCGAGAGAGAGAGAGAAAGGCCAACGAAATCTGACTTAAACCATGTTAGGAAATTGTCTTGAACTGGTTGGGTTTCGTTTTCTTTGCCTGCTGCAGGAGAGATGTACAACTTGGGCTTTCTCTGTCCAGAGTCCAGGCTTGGTTACGGTTGGGTTTTTGGTCCCTACCAGGAGCTGAAGTCCCCAAAGCCTGTGCTCTTCTTCTCTTTCTTTGCAGCTGTGCTGGTGGACGGCCCATCGTCTTCAGCCACTCGCTTCCTGTAACAAAAACCACACCGGTCAGGGCCCAGGCTGTGAGCCTAACCCCACCCGCCTGGGGAAATGAACCCCAATGAGTTCAACCGGACTTCCTTATGAGTGCATGCAGCTAGGATGGAGGGCAGCCCTTTTTATTTACATCTTCTGCCCCACCCATCAATCCAAAGAGCAGCACTCCTCCCTCCTCTTGATCCTCACAACCATCTTGTAAAGCAGGTTAGGCTGAAAAAGGGTGGCTGGTCACTCGGGACTGTTCTGTTACTGAATAGGGTGTGTGAATCTGGGCCACCCCAATGAAACCACGGTGTGGGTGTGGCTTTCCCATGAACACATAAAGCTTCTGTATAGTAAGACGACTTGTTCACCCAGTCTCGTACTGTCCAGTGGAGCATCTGAACACTTGCGAGTCCTCCAGACGTTTTGAACTACAACTCCCATCAGCCACAGCAGTTGTGCCGTGTGGCTGATGGGAGTTGAAGCCTAAAACATCTGGAGGGCAGCAAGTTGGCAAATGCTGGTCTACTCCGATCAGCAGCACACTCTATGGAGTCCCCCACAAAAAGTCCACCTGAGATTCATTTTTTAGTGTGATGCTGGGGATTGAACCTGCCACCTTCAAAGCGGAAAGGTTGGGCTCTAACCCTTAGCTGTGTCTCAGTCCCCATTGCCATCTGCTCAACAGCAGAGTACTGACCTCTTCTCTTGCTCAAAAACATGAACAACCTGAGGTACTGTTTGCTTTTTAAAAATTTTTAAAAAACCGTATTTTTCGGACTATAGGACGCACCGGCCCATAGGACGCACCTAGTTTTCAGGGGGGGAAATCAAGGAAAAAAATATGATTTCCCCCCCGCAGCTCTGGGAGCAGCGGGCAGCCTGTCCGCTACTCCAAGACCTTCTCCCTGCTTTTGCGGGAGGTGGCGGAATTCCCCCACCTCCCGCAAAAGCCCACAGGAGCCCCGCGCGACTCCTGCGGGGCTTTTCCCCAAGAAGGGAGAAGGGACTGAAACAGCCAGTCAGTCCCTTCTCCCTCCTCGGGAAAAGCCCCCAAGAGCGGCGCTCTTTAAAGGGTGCGCGGCTCCTGCAGGCTTTTCTAGGAGGTGGGGAATTCCCCCTCGTAGAAAAGCCAGCAGAACCGCGGAGCCCCTTTAAAGAGCACGAGGCTTTGCGGGCTTTTGCGGGAGGTGGGGAATCCCCCATCTCCCCCAAAGCTCCAGGAGGAGAGAAGGGACTGACTCGGCCAGTCAGTCCCTTCTCCTCCTTGGGAAAAGCCCCAAGAGCCGCTTGCTCTTTAAAGGGTGTGCGGCTCCTGCGGGCTTTTCTAGGAGGTGGGGAATTCCCCACCTCCTAGAAAGCCGCTGAGCCCTTTAAAGAGCGCGCGGCTTTGCCTGCTTTGCGGGAGGTGGGGAATTCCCCATCTCCCCAAAAGCCCAAAGGAGGGTTGGAGAGTAGCGGGAAGGCGTTGCGCGCCTTCCCACTGCCCCCATCCTCTGGGGCTGGTGATGGAGGAGGCGCTGCTTCCCCCCCCCCAGCCTCAAAGAGCAGACTCTCCTGGCTTCAGCGGAAGCAACGCGAAGCCTCCGGAGCGCAGGCTTCGGAGGCTTCGCATTGCTATCGCTGAAGCCAAGGAGTCTGCATTCGCTCCACAGGACGCACACACATTTCCCCTTCATTTTTGGAGGGGGAAAAGTGCGTCTTATAGTCCGAAAAATACGGTATTTCGTAGATTTCGTAGAATACATAAAAATTATGTATTTCGTAGATTTTGTAGAATACATAAAAAAATTGTATTTCGTAGAATAAATTTTTTATTATTTGTACCCATCTGACTGGGTTGCTCCAGCCGTTCTGGGAGGCTTCCAACAAATATAAAAACATCCAATATTAAAAACTTCCTGATACAGGGATGCCTTCAGTTGCACAGTCATTTATCTCCTTGACATCTGATGGGAGGGTATTCCACAGGGATGCAACTCCTGCAAAGGCCCTCTGCCTGGTTCCCTGCAACTTTAATTCTTGCAGTGAGGGAACCACCAGAAGGTCCTCGGAGCTGGACCTCAGTGTGGCTAGCAAGTCTGGGTGGGTGTTGGCCTTGAGCTGGCCAAGAATACCAGCTGGCCTTGGAAGCCCCAATGTATTGCAAAGCTGAGGCTGCTCTTGTCTCACACTGCATCCTACTCTTAGTGCCTTTGCTCAGGGAGCAAGCAGTGCTGGGTTACCCAATGGGCAGACAAAGTAGTTGCTTAGGGCACCAGCGAAGCAGGAACACACACACAAATTGAGAAGATTTTGAAAGGATTTAGTATTTTTTTAAAAGCACCAGTATGGATATCATGGTGAAAACCAGAAATTTGTTAGACTTCCTTATACTCCATTGCGCTGTCTTTCCCCATTTCCCCCTGTTCTCTTTTTATCGTTATGTATCCCCACTGAAACCAAACCAAAAAAGAAACCAAGGGGCCATCCTACCAATGTAGATTTAAAGACTGTGAGGAAATTGGTACAGCACAAGACTCTTAATCTCAGGGTCATGGGTTCGAGTCCTACCACACTGGGCAAAATATCCCTGCATTGCAGGGGTTGGACTCGATGCCCCTCGGGGACCCTTCCAACTCTACAAACTATTCTATGAAATCAGATCCCATCATGGGTTGCGTATAACACGAATACATATGCATTTTGGCACACGCATCAAGTCTCCTGTCGTTTCAAAAAAGTAAAAAGTTGTCGTTTCTCGTTGGGTTCATTTTGAATTACAAATGGGGTATCGTAATCTTTTCAGTGCTTAAAAGGTAAAGGGACCCCTGACCATTAGGTCCAGTCGTGGCCGACTCGGGGGTTGTGGCGCTCATCTCGCTTTATTGGCCGAGGGAGCCGGCGTACAGCTTCCGGGTCATGTGGCCAGCATGACTAAGCCGCTTCTGGCGAACCAGAGCAGCGCACAGAAACGCTGTTTACCTTCCCGCCGGAGCGGTACCTATTTATCTACTTGCACTTTGACGTGCTTTCGAACTGCTAGGTTGGCAGGAGCTGGGACCGAGCAACGGGAGCTCACCCTGTTGCGGGGATTCGAACCGCCGACCTTCTGATCGGCAAGCCCTAGGCTCTGTGATTTAACCCACAGCGCCACCCAAGTCCCACTTTCAGTGCTTAGGAACTCTTGATCTGTGTGCAACGCTGGATTTCCTAGGAAAGGCAGCTGCTAAACCCTTCAGCTCCCACCACCACCCACCCCTGCTATTCCTGACTCCTCCTGAGGCTGCCACCATCTCCTGCTCACACTCACAGTCGTCTAATGACTAAGTGCCCAAAGGCGGGGCAGGCTATGGACTCCGAATGTTCCTCGCATCAAGCCACACTCTCCCCTTTTAAAAAACGGAACTTAAGACTGGAAGAGAGAAGTGAAAGAGAAGCACGCCAGAGGAGCCAGACTCCCTGCGAACAGGCATCAATTATTTTCCCTCCGCATCTTCATGGCAAACCAAGACTGGAGGAGAAAAAGCAATTTTAAACTCAATGGGCTCCTGGCATGGCTTCGTATCAGAGGCAAGAAGCAACATCGGTCAACGAAACATCACACCTTCGCCTCAGGCTGTTTGTCTTCAACTGGTGGGCCCTAGTCTAATCTAAAGTGGATCACATCAGGGTAACTGCCATCAATTCTCTCTCGTTCACTCGCTCAAGTTTTTTCCCTCTCTCATTCGCTCGCTTTTTATTTTTTAAGGGAAGGAGAAAGAGACAGGAGGAACTTGGTGAAAATGGGCTCTCCTCTGCAAACCTCCTCAAGCGTTCCAGGCATTTTAATACTTTATAGTGATTTACTGGGATGAGCCCTTGAGCCAACACTATCATGAGGGAGAGGGGAGACAGGGAGGCCCAGCCCTTCAGCTCCACTCAGCTGCCATTCGCCTCCTTCCATCCAGAGAAGGGCATCTACAGCGATGGAGGAACCATAAGTCCTAGATTCCCAGCTTGCTTTCTTTTAAAAGTATGTTTCTAGGACCCTTGTACCTACAGGACCGTCTCTCCTGGTATGCCCCACGGAGGACCTTAAAGTCCATAAATAGCAACACCCTAGAGGTCCCGGGCCCTAAGGAAGTTAGATTAGCCTCAACCAGAGCCAGGGCCTTTTCAACACTGGCTCCGGCCTGCTGGAACGCTCTGTCTCATGAGACCAGGGCCCTGCAGAATCTGATTTTTTCCCGCAGGGTCTGTAAGACAGAGTTGTTCCGCCTGGCCTTTGGCTTGGAGTCAATTTGATTCCCTCCCCCTCTTTCTTTCTCCTTTTTCCTCCTGTGATGAGGCTGCATTTTAATGTTTTAATGTTGTATTTTAATCTTGTTTTTAAGTTGTACTCATTCAACTTGTTTTTATTATTGCTTGTTAGCTGCCCTGAGCCTGGCCTTGGCTGGGGAGGACGGGGTATAAATAAAATTTATTATTATTAGTAGTAGTAGTAGTAGTAGTAGTAGTAAAACTTGTGATACGAGACAGGAAATGTTCTTATTTTGTGTGCTTGAGAGAGAAAATAACCTGCTGATGTCAGGGACTGTGCTGAGGAGGGCAGCAATGAGGAGGAACGGTGGGAGCCTCCTCCTGGGCCTGAACAGGATCCTGAATCTTCCCAGGAGCAGTGGGACAGTACAGATTTGGAACAGTGGAATGCAGAGGGACATAAGTTCAGAAGACAGAATAACTGGGTGGTGAACAGCTAGGACATGAGTAGGCAACCTAAGGCCTGTGGGCCGTATGCAGCCCAATCGCCTTTTCAATCCGACCCGCAGACGGTCCGGGAATTCTACATAAGTAGAATGTGTCCTTTTATTTAAAATGCATCTCTGGGTTATTTGTGGGGCATAGGAATTCGTTCATTTCCCCCCCTTCAAAATATAGTCCGGCCCCCCACAAGGTCTGAGGGACACTGGACCGGCCCATGGCTGAAAAAGGTTGCTGACCCCTGAGCTAGGAGAAGAACTGAACGAGAGAGAAAGAGTTAACAGATTCACTCTCACTGGAAAGCGTCCATCCACTCAGCCCAAGGTCAAGGAGAGCAGATAAGGTGGAAGCTCAGAAAAAGCACAGTGCTTTTGAGATCAGGTTGCAAGATGCAGAAGTGACGGGGGTGACTAGGGGGGATGTGGGTGGAACCCTTAATTGGGAGCACCTTCATCCTAGCAATGGATTCTCTGTTCTCTTGCTGTGCTCAGTAAACTTTCTAATTGGTAAGAGACTCCTATTGCTTTGTTCTGCTTATCTACTGCTGGGGGGGGGGGGAGCCAAGTCCCTGAAGCCTGACAGCTACTCACTTTCACTGTTTTACTCAAACACTACTGATATAAATCTAATAATAATAATAATAGTAATTACTCTTGTCCCCACTCGCCGCCTCCTGAAAACATTCCCATCTCCAACACCTTCAGCTTTTGAAGGTTGCACATGACACCCTCCCTGATATCCTGCAGAGTGTGCTGCCAGTCAGAGTTGACAACAGGTAAAGGGACCCCTGATCATTAGGTCCAGTCGTGGCCGACTCTGGGGTTGCGGCGCTCATCTCGCTTTATTGGCCGAGGGAGCCGGCGTACAGCTTCCGGGTCATGTGGCCAGCATGACTAAGCCACTTCTGGCGAACCAGAGCAGCACACGGAAATGCTGTTTACCTTCCCGCCAGAGTGGTACCTATTTATCTACTTGCACTTTGACATGCTTTCGAACTGCTAGGTTGGCAGGAGCAGGGACTGAGCAACAGGAGCTCACCCCGTTGCGGGGATTCGAACCGCCGACCTTCTGATCGGCAAGCCCTAGGCTCTGTGGTTTAACCCACAGCGCCACCCGTGCTGACAATACTGGGGGCCAAAAGGCAAACAGTCTGATCTTGCCTATGTAACAAAGATGCGGAGCAGTTTCACTTCTCAAGTTCAGTCGCGCAACTCACGCTGCAGCTATGTTGATGTACTTCCCGACACCCTCCCGGTACGTCTTCGGAATGTGCTGCTCCTTTTTTGGGACGACGACTTTGGTCTTCTCCTTGGCTGCCTCCTCCTCTTGCTGGGCCTTCTCTCTCTCTTTGGCAACCTTTGAAGAAGGAGGGGAAAAAAGACACAAGAGCAGGTAAGGTCCCGAAAGGCACGATATCAAACAGACCAGAGGGCCATCTATCTAGATATTGAGAGCCAGCGTGGCGAAGCGGTGAGCGTGCTGGATTAGGACCTGGGAGAACAGGGTTCGAATTCTCCCACTCAGCCATGAAGCTCACTTGAGTGGCCTTTGGCCAGTCACTGCCTCTCATCTTGACCCCCTTCACAGGGTTTGCTGTGGGGGAATTAAATGAGGAGTGGGAGAACCATGCCTTGAGCTCCTCGCAGAAGAAGGTGGGATATAAATGCAGAAAATCAACAACTAAAATAGTCAAAAGATGGGATCGTCCACATTTTTTAGGAGGATAAAATGGAACAGAGGGGGCAGAACTATGTACTCCACCTTGAGCTCATGGGGGGGGGGGAAGGAAGGTAAGAGAGAAAGGTAATCAGAAAGAAGCAAGTAAACTGTAAAACAATCTTGCCTAAAGGGCATGTCACGCCCAAATGTTGTAAATAAATAAAATCCGATTAAGTCAGGTTTTCTTCAAATTCAAAAGCGCGGACACAACCAAACACACACACACAGAACTAAGGGCTGCCTAGGGAGGTATTAAATTAATTTCCTGCTTGAGTGGCTCTCTCTGCTAGCCTGCTTATATGTCCAAGTTTCCATCATCACCTGAGCATCTGCTTCTTCATATGGATCAACGAAAACAGTCGTCGACGTGATTTTTATTTCTTCCTGGGGACAAAAGGAGACAAGAGGGTGGGTTAAGTAGATGGTGCGCTCCACGATCAGTGCCACCGCTCCTGAACTTTGGGCTTAAAGTGTGCTCAGGCGCAGTAGTGGCGGAGGACAAGGAAGTCACAAAGTTCAGGCAAGTAACCTGTTGCTGCAGGTGATGCTACCTTGGGACGGTCCGTTTTGGGATCACTCTCCACATTCTCCATTGCTGTCAGCGTCTCGAAGCCACCGACCACTCTGTAAAAGAAAAATAGACAATCTGAGTGGAGGGATGAAACAAAGTGTGGAGAAAGAGGGGGGCGGAACGCATCGTTCCAAAAACATTTGCGACATTTTGGTCACCTTCATAAAGCTATCACCTTAACGCGGACTTTGTGATTTTTTGTTGTAGGCCGACATGACTACTTTCGCTTTTCCAATATTTTAGATTTTCATTATGTTGCATGTATTTTAGTCGCTATCTGGAAGACGATTTGAACACTGGAAAAGTGACACAAAGGAGCTCTAAATAAAATTTATAAAAAATACCCCCAGGGAGCAGCAACTACCGCAAACTTTGGCCACCCAGTGGAAGGAAATAATCCTGCTCAAGTTTCCGTTTGAATGATACATGGTTCAGTCCTCTGCAAGGCAGCTTGAAAACACAAAGATCAGTGGATAGGGTCCTAATCTCTTCTTGACCAGGCAAGGGAGAAGTCTTAGGGGTGTTTCCACCAAGCTGTTTCCCAAATGGTTTCTATGTGCTTTAGAAAGTTCACAGCAGCAGCTCCTTTTTATGATGACGCTTCAGGCTGACAGCAACAGAAGAAGACTTTACACGACGCTGAAGACACAAAGCTCATCCAACAGATGTGCTCTACATTTTTAATTGCCCCCGATTTAAGTCCTGAAGCCTTCTCTCACAAATAAACTCAAGCTTTCTTACTGGGGATCTTTATTTTAATTGGGCTTTAATAATCCAAAAATAATACAAAAAATCCAGAATATCACATGCTGGCCGCCTCCAAAAAAGGGGGGAGGGGGGGAACCCTTTTTAGGACCCAAATCAAGCAACCCCACCCTCAAACCCCACTCTTCAGAAGCACATGGTTGAGTGTGGACTAGAAGCCTGGTCTCCTGGGACCTGGTATGACACTCAAACCACTCCACCACATGGTATTCATATTCAATGGTATTAATAATAATGATTTATATTATTACTAATTACCAATTCTGAATGCTGTTATTTGTACAGCTGCCAAAAGGAAATGCACCACTAAGGTCAGGCCTTGTCAAGGCACCGAAGTCTCTACGCTTATCCCTACATTCAGGGAGAGACCTTCGTCTGCTCCGCTGACATCTATGCCTGAGACGTTTTTCTTTCCACTTGTGTGTTTTTCTCTCTTGCTCCTAAATTACATCAATTAAGCAGCTTGCCATGTTGTGTTGGCCGGGGCCCAAGGCAAAACACAGTTTCCTGCTCAGGAGACAATGCAAAATAAAATAAATAAAGTATCTGGAATGCTTTAGGGAGAGAACACGTAGCAGAAGGAAGGGGGGAAGGGGACTTGCCTGAGCAAGAAAAATCTACATGTCCGCTTGGCAAATCTGTTTACCGAAAGGGAAAGTATTTTAAGATGTTGATCGGAAGTATGGCACCCTTTATAGCTGGAGGAGCCAAATTCTGAAGGTTGATATTAGGGCTGCCTAGAACTCAAAAAATTCGTTTGCAAATTTCCAGTGCGTGCAGCAAAATACATAATGCACTGCATTCGTTACGCAATGACCCATCAGCCTCAACCAGCATGGCTAGTGGCCCAGGATGAAGGGAGTTGTACCTTTGAAGGTAACCCGGAAACTACAACTAATCCAGAATGCGGCAGCCAGACTGGTGACTGGGAGGGCCGCCGAGACCATATAACACCGGTCTTGAAAGACCTACATTGGCTCCCAGTATGTTTCTGAGCACAATTCAAAGTGTTGGTGCTGACCTTTAAAGCCCTAATCGGCCTTGGTCCAGTATACCTGAAGGAGCGTCTCCACCCCCATCGTTCTGCCCGGACACTGAGGTCCAGCGCCGAGGGCCTTCTGGCGGTTCCCTCACTGCGAGAAGCCAAGTTACAGGGAACCAGGCAGAGGGCCTTCTCGGTAGTGGCGCCCACCCTGTGGAACGCCCTCCCACCAGATGTCAAAGAGAACAACAACTACCAGACTTTTAGAAGACATCTGAAGGCAGCCCTGTTTAGGGAAGCTTTTAATGTTTGATGTATTACAGTATTTTAATATTCTGTTGGAAGCCACCCAGAGTGGCTGGGGAAGCCCAGCCAGATGGTCAGGGTATAAATAATAAATTATTATTGTTATTATTGTTGTTATTGTTGTTATTATTATGTCTGCAGGGCCACCATTGACCCATCCCTGGTTTACATGCCCCTGAAGATCACTGGGCGAACTTGGACCAGGCATGGTCTCTCAACCTGACCCACCTCACAGGTTGTTGTGGGGCTCAAAGGAGGAGGGGAACCACGTACGGCACTTTAAGCTCCTTGGATGAACAGGCAGCATATAAATGCAACAAAGCATTGTGGGAACTATGGAAGCTGCCCCATACTGCATTAAGACACACTGATCCATCTATTTCAGTACCGTCTTCCCCAGGGACTGCCAACTTGGTGCCCATGGGCACCATGACACATGTAAAGCCTCTCACGTGGCCCTAGGCAGGAATAGCACACTCCAAGCTTTCATTAAAAACAAAACAAAACAAGTTTCTAGTCCTTCTAGGAAGTAAGTGATGGGGCAAAAAGTGCAGGTACCTCATAAGTGATTTCTGTGACTTGAAAATGAGTGTGATGTGGCCACGTTATATATTTTTCCTGGTAGTGAGGTATATTCCCTCTTGTTGTTAGATAGCAGGACCATTGGGGGTGAGCGTGTAAAATAAATATTGTGTGATATTGTGTGCAAGAGAAGCTTGCACGTCACCTTGAGCTCTTTGTTGAAAAAATGGGATATAAATGCAATAAATAAATAAACGCGACATCATTTAGACTGGTGCTCTGTTTTGTTTTCCATGGGAACCGCTTTGAACGAGGGATGCGTTTTCAGAAAACGTGGCATATACCATATTTTTTGCTCTATAAGACTCACTTTTTCCCTCCTAAAAAGTAAGGGGAAATGTGTGTGCGTCTTATGGAGCGAATGCAGGCTGCGCAGCTATCTCAGAAGCCAGAACAGCAAGAGGGATTGCTGCTTTCGCTGCACAGCAATCCCTCTTGCTATTCTGGCTTCTGAGATTCAGAATAATTTTTTTCTTGTTTTCCTCCTCCAAAAACTAGGTGCGTCTTGTGGTCTGGTGCGTCTTATAGAGCGAAAAATACGGTAAATAAAAATCGCAAGGACTCTTGCTCAAGTCTCCCCTTCCCCAAAATCCGAAGCCAGCACCTGCTGATTCATTGGCCTGTTTTATTCAAGCCAACGGTAGTGCTACCTCGCCGTCTGAAATATTATGCCAGGCTTATCAAAATGCAGAGGTCCAATCAACGTGCCAAATAAAAGCACTTTAATATAGAAGTGGAAAAATCAATTGATGCACAAAGAGGAGGTACTGCTTGTGGCCAGCAACCATCAGAATGGAAACCATTTTTCAAGATTTTCACTTGAACCCAGCTGGGTGGGATGCCAGGGCCCATATATCTGTTCATTCCCACTGTATCTGAATAGCATCGTTTCTCTAAGAGTACTGACCCCCCCACCCCCCACCCCTGTACACAGGGGCTGAATGAAGACCTAGGGGTCAAAATGGGGTCAGAAAGGGCCTGGAGCTGGAAATCAGGTTTACAAGGTACAGCGTGAAAAAAACTAATTAGGAACTACAAGCCGCAGAAATAAAGTGCATGGGCATATACAGAGTGCCCCTTCCTTGCTAATGGGAAACCTTTGCATTTAATCAGTGTGGGATACAACAGTATTCTCAGAAAATGCTGCTTCATTGCTTAAAAAAAAAAAAGGGGTATACAGCTGCTACTTGCTTTTTTGTGCTAGTTTTAATGCATATATGCGTCTGGCTTTTGGTTTAAAATACTGCAAGTCACTCTGAGTTGCCATGGCAAAAAAAGCAATGAATAAAATTAATCATCACTATCATTATTAATTTTATTTCCTTATTTTTGTTGTTTGTTTCAAAGAACATTTGTTATGTTCTTCAGAATTGGGGCTGGGTTCAAAGATGACTTTGTAAGCTCCTCAGGGGGTCATCGAATGCAGAAGTTGGGTAAGCCCTGATCTAAGGAGCATATGTGGGTTGATGCCCTTTTATGCTCACAACACTCTTGCAAGGCGGGCTAGACTGAAAGGCAGGGAACGACCCCAAGGCTCTCCAGTGGAGCTATTGTGGCATAGCTGGAGATCAAAAGTAGGTCTCCCCAGTCCTAACCACTCTAACTACACCAGCTACCGTATTTTTCGCCCCATAGGGCGCACTGGCCCATAGGGCGCACCTAGTTTTTGGGGGGGATAAAGAAAAAAAAATTATTTACCCCCCAGGCGCGGGGCTGGGGCGGGGGAAGCCCGAGCTTCCCCTGACCCCAGCCCCCAGAACAGGCTGCTACCCGCAAGCCTTGGGAGGCCAGTGGGAACTCCCGCCGGTCTCCCCAGGCTTGCGGATATCTGCCCGAAGCCCGGGGCGTGCTCCGCTGCGCTCCCCGGGTTTCGGGCTGCAGGCTGCTGTCTGCAAGCCTTGAGAGCCCGGCGGGAGTTCCCAAGGCTTGCAGATAGCTTCCTGAAGCCTGGAGAGCGAGAGAGGTCGGTGCGCACTGACCCCTCTCACTCTCCAGGCTTCAGCGAAAGCCTGCATTCGCCCCATAGGACGCACACACATTTCCCCTTCATTTTTGCAGGGGGAAAAGTGCATCCTATAGGGCGAAAAATACGGTATTTATCTGCTGCTCAAGTACATAGGAAAAATTGTGTATGTTGAAATAAACTTGTTTCTTTTACCTTCCAAACACTGTGTGCTTCCTGTCCAGGTATGCGCAGGATCGGAATGTGATGAAGCTGGAGAGAGGGAAAAACAGACAGACCTTACAAACCTGCCATAGAACACATCAATATTTCATATATATATATATATATATACTCTCATGTCTGGTTACGCTGCCGTTTCTACGGGGATATATGCTCAGTATTTATCACTCCTGTTATACAAAAATCTCCAAATGGGTCCGAACTTCAATGTCTAAAACTCCTGGTAGAGGACAAGGATCTAGAGAGCACGCTAAGGGTGGCCAAATTCTGTGCGACTGCCATACAACTTAGGGAACAAGCTGTACTACCAAAATGATTAAGGTTTTAAATGACAATTTTAGGTTATATTTTAGTGATGAAGATTTAATATATATATTTTAACTGCCGCTATATCTGTATTGTCTCTGTTATACTCAATTTCAATTCAATGTATTCCTGTTTGGTTTTATGATTTTCCTGATATTGTAAGTGAGCCGGAACTGGTCTATGACCGTAATAATAAAATTCATTCATTCATATATATAAAAATACCCTGGAGAATTTCAAAGACAGAAGCCAGAAGGCAAAAAATTAGAGAAGGGGTTCCCCATCCTGGTGGTGTTGGACTACAACTCCCATCAGCCCCAGGCAGTGTGGTTAATGGGTCGTGGATGATGGGAGTTGTAGTCCCAACCCGTGGTAAAACGACAGATTCCCCACAAGGATTCTACCTTTCCATTAACAGCCTTTCGGGTTGCTTGCAGAAAAATTAGAATAGCGCAAAGGGCAAACAAGAGGATTAAAAGCAGTAACAGGATCGCGTAAGCCTTAAAAACAGGTAAGAGAGGCTGTGAAGGGTGAAACTATTAGACCGAGTCCCAAGCTTTTCACAGAATTCCACATGCTCCTTAAATGGGTTTGAGATAGAGGAGAGCCAAGCGACTACTCACAACTGGGACTTGTTATTGTTGGGTCCGGTATTAGCCATGCTGAGGACGCCACGTCCTGTGTGGGACAGGTTGGGCTTGAACTCATCTTTGAAAGGCTTCCCCCAATATGACTCTCCCCCTGAAATAAACATTATTACTGTAAGTCCACACCTGGTCACGCCAGTCCCAAACACACAGGCACAAGATATGTCAAAATGCCACAAGGAAAGGCTGCACCATACTGAGACAAGTTGCTGGTCCATTTAGCTCAGCAATGACTCTCCCCAGCAAAACCCGCCTGGCAACTTTGCTGACACCAGGTTAGAGACTTCTTTTTCCCCCCTGGGCTTTTGCTATTGCTTTGTTACAAGCGATCCCCGCAGCTGTTATGAGGGACTGTTTTGTAAGACGGGTGGCTGTCCCGAGCACACCCAGCCCAACGAGGAAAAGCCTTTTGTAAGTGTATTTCTTTACAGTGGTACCTCGGGTTACATACGCTTCTGGTTACATACGCTTCAGGTTACAGACTCTGCTAACCCAGAAATAGTGCTTCAGGTTAAGAACTTTGCTTCAGGATGAGAACAGAAATCGTGCTCCGGTGGTGTGGCGGCAGCGGGAAGCCCCATTAGCTAAAGTGGTGCTTCAGGTTAAGAACAGTTTCAGGTTAAGAATGGACCTCCAGAACGAATTAAGTGCTTAACCTGAGGTACCACTGTACTGTGCAAAAGCAATACTGAGGCTAAAGAGGAAGCAGGCAGCCTCTGCCATCCCCTAAGTAAAAGAAGGATTGGAAAGGATCAAGACAGAGGTGGAAGGGGCTGAGCCCCGTTTCCCCAATGGAGCAGACTCCATTCCCAGTAGCTTCTGGTCTGCCTCTCCTTATCCCTTCGCTTGGATTCTTCTCCCCTGCTCACTTTGCAGCCTACGTGTTCCGAAAGCCTCCCGAGTACAGCAGAGGCTTTGGGAAGCGGCTGTTCTGCCAGTGATGCGATTCCTCCAGAGGATCATTAAGGTTGTTCTGCAAGCCAAGCCACCTTCTTCTCGGCTTGTTGCAGATGCGTTTTCTGGTGTTTTGTTTCTGGTAATGATGCAAAGTGTGGGGAGGGGGGAGAGAAATCGACTGTATAACTCTGGGAGTGACTCATCTCAGAATGTTCTCTCCTGATTAGGAATAGTCCTGGAGGAAAATGAAAATGTCACATCTGTCATAAATAACGTGAAAGTGAGGAGCCCAGAGCAGATGAGCTGCATGCACTCAACCTGAGGTTCCCTTTTGTCTCTGCTCAAGGTGGGGACCAGCTCCTTAGAGGGCTCAATTGCTGCAACATTGCAAGTCCCACATGAATCGGAGGGAGGTTGGAGATTTTGGGGGCAGCTACATATGCCACATGAGGGTTCTGGGAGATGGATAATGGCCACCTTTTGAGCAGAAGCTTCCGTGATCCCAGTGGAATCCAACAAGGCAGATAGCAAGCTCATTCTCCCAGGGGCCTGTCTTTTGTTTTAGAACTAGCTACCCTGTGGCTCTCTGGATGTCGTGGGACTGCAGCTCCGATCATCCCAGACAACTGGTTGTGCAGAGCTGCTGAGATTTGGTCCAGCAGTGGAGGGTGGCAGACTAGCCCGTTCTGCTTTATGTAGCCACAAACAAGAGAGAGGCATTTGCAGGAATGGGGAAGGTTTGCAGAAGTTCTCATTTATAATCGGTAGAAAGCACACAAACTGCTCACTGACTACTGAACATCCTCACTGGCCATGGACTGCCGACACTTAGTTTGAACTGGTGGGAGGAGGAATGGAGTGTCCTGGAAGAAGGCACAGCTAGATGGGACATTGAGCCCAAAGCACTCAGTGCTCCAGCATTGGGTCACTTCTCCCACTTGTATGCATAAAAAAATGAGCTTACCCTCCAAGAAACCTATCCCACGGGTGGTATGTCCTGCTTTGCCACATCCAAAATGGACTGAATCTTGCCCAAAATTGCCGGCATTTCTCTTGCCACTGGAAGAGGTGGGGGGGACACACCTGTGGGTGTGCCACCTATGAGACTTCTTCTGCCTGAAGCGGCAGCTTCACCTTACCTAATGACTGAGCCGGCTCTGGCCGATCCATATGTTATCAGAATGGCACCGATGTCTGGGATGGACAGGAGTCCAAAGTGGTCGGGGAACATGCAGGCAGGGGAGAGGATGTGCGGGCAGGGGAGCACAAGGACAATCATGGGGAAGGGGCCCACGATTTGTGGGGTTCTGTGCCACCCATGAGGCAGGTGTTGTGGGGCAGTGGAAGTGGGGACCCAAGGGGAAGAGACCAGGCAGCCTGAGACAGGCGGGACAGAAAGGAGGCGGGAGAAGAGTTGCAGGGAATCTCAGTGGCGGAAGAGGCTGCCATGGTCCCTGGGAGAGTGATGCCTTCAGAATGTCTCCTGTCCTCCCCTCCGCGGTCTCTACACACAAGGTGGGGCTTGAAGTGCAGGACTAGTTGGAATCGCTGAGAGTTTGCGCAGACCGCCTCAGACAAGGGGTTTTTGGTTAGCTGAAAGGGGCCTAGTCGCGCTGTTGGTTCAACTGTCTGGATTGAAGACCAGAGAGAAGACTGGTCCAAGACCAGAGAGAAGAGACGGTGGAAGAAGATTGGAAGACGTTTAAAGAATATTTGAAAAAATATGTTAATATTTAAATCTTAGAATAGCTTTGGAAGTGGATATACTTTTAGAAGTAGAAGATAGTGTATTTTAAAATAGTATCATTTGTAAGTGATAAAATGTGAAGATTTTTAATGGTAAAAGTAAGCGTGATTTTAAAAATGGTTAAAAATTATGATATATGTAAACTGCTAAAGATGAGGTAAAATGAAAATCAGATGGGGGGACTTGGAGAAGCCCACCTAACAATGTTTAGAAAAAATAAGGATAAGACAAGAATTTGTTTGTATTGTTTGCTTTTCTATTTGTGTTGTTTAGTTGTGTGATAAAATGAATAAAAAAAATTGTTTTGGGGGGGGGAATCAAATGTCTGGATTGGAGTGTGGGACTGCACAAGTAGATCACCTAGGCAGCTGGTGCTTTGCCAATACAGCGGTACCTCAGGTTAAGTACTTAATTCATTCTGGAGGTCCATTCTTAACCTGAAACTGTTCTTAACCTGAAGCACCACTTTAGCTAATGGGGCCTCCGGCTGCTGCCGCGCCGCCACTGCACGATTTCTGTTCTCATCCTGAAGCAAAGTTCTTAACCTGAAGCACTATTTCTGGGTTAGCAGAGTCTGTAACCTGAAGTGTATGTAACCTGAAGCGTATGTAACCCGAGGTACCACTGTAAAGAAATACACTTACAAAAGGCTTTTCCTCGTTGGGCTGGGTGTGCTCGGGACAGCCACCCGTCTTACAAAACAGGTTGAGAACCGCTGGTATAAGGGGTGAGGTATCTTTTCTGGTATCCCGCTCACAAGGTGGATAGGTGGCGTTATGCAACAGGACCAACCCTTTCAACTTTTCCAGTTAGCGAGCTGATAGCCAGGGCAATTCTTCCGGCAGCAGTCTAGCACTGTAGCCATACCGAGCAGACGAGCTGCTGCTTTCTGCACTGGCTGCTGCTTCCAGGCCAACCTCAAGGGCAGCCCCACATAAAGCACACTGCAGCAATCTAACTGGGAGAAGACCTCCAGTGCCTGGAGGGCAGTAGCCTGGCTATTCTGGGCTAGAAATGGCCTTCTCTTACAGAGCACAGTGACTGGCTGGCCACATAAGAGATGAGATACCAGTTTTTTAGGTAACCTAAAATAGTGACTTTTAAATAGAAGGAGCAGGCGAGTAACACAAAAATAAATGATGTGTTTGTGTGTGCGCAGGGTGGGAGTACTGGGGTGGGGGAGAAGAGACAGGCGTTTGCAATGCTTCCTCCCCAGAGATACTGAAGCGGGCCATGCATTCTCCAGACTGCTTCTCAAAACCATAGCAACTCAGCTCTGTTGCCACGGAAAAGATGTGCTCTCCCTTGCGAGCTTGATGCTTGCCACACACAGGTGCCGTTTTAAACGAGGGGGGCCTGTTAAAATAACAAAACCTGCGATATTCCAAACAAAAGGTGTAGGTGGGAAGCGCATCATGCATGGCAATTTCAAAATGAATTGCCACTTTACTTAGTTGGGTGGAAGGGGGGCGGATGTGAAGGAAGGGGATTGGGCAATGAAGTGGGAGGGCTTCTTGTTCAACCAACTGACAGCTTGCTTTCGTTCTCCCTTGTGACATTGGGGTTAACCTACACTGTAGGTGTTTGTAACAATTCCCCAGACGGCCTCTTTGTTAAAGGAAAGGTGGCTTCAATGGGGCTGGGGTGGCTTTTGAGCTGAAAAACAGCAAAAGATGAGGTGCTTAACCCTCTCCCCGTTATCTGTTTTTCTCCTACAAATTGGCCTCCCAAGTGTTCCAGCCACTGGCAGAGGAGGAGGAGTGGGGGGGGAGCGCACCGGCAATGCGAACCCGGTGGGGTGCCATTGTGACTGTCCCCCCACCCGCCACACTCCCACAGGCAGCGTGCTATGCCCACAGGATGTGCGCCAGCCCCAGCCTCCTTTCCGCCCCCCCCCCCAGTGCCGGAGCATGAAGCTCCGCCACTGGTTCCAGCTGCATGTTTTTTCTTTGCAGAAAGGGGGGGGTCCCCCAAATGGGAATCCCAAGGGGGCTTGGACGTCCCCCAGATGTTAATGAAGGGTTTCAACCTTATGAATGCTGCCACTAAACTAGTTCTGTGAAAAAAGAAGCCTCTGCTGCAGAAGGGTCTGCGCTAGCCTTGAGTTAATTTATTCTATCTCCGCCTCAGTGCACCTCACCTGTAAAATGGGACTACTCACTGAATGCTTTTGACGATCTCTTGGTGCATTTTTAGTGTTTGGTGCAAGAACTGCAAGCTCAGGTGTGCATTTGTTCCTGTATACACAGCTCACCCCGGAATATGGTGCTTGGGGTGCAGCGTGTAATTCTGATCCCCTGTGATGCCATTTTGAGACTGTCCTTAGCTGGTGAAAGATGGGATGCTAGTAAAAACTAAAAATCCTAGGTACAGTCATTGTGTTGGCCTATAGGGGATGGGGGGGTGGAAATCAAAAATCCACTTTAGGCCACCACCGCCACCTTTATTTGGACGAAAACAACAACAATCACAAAGAGCAAGGGTTTCATGTTCACCCCTTGGAAAGCGGGCTGCAGAATAAGGAAGGAGACAAAACCAGCTGCTGGCTACCTCAGCCCATGGTAGAATACCCAACCCACTGCCTTTGTGTACCCAGTTAATTAAGAATTAAAAATATGAGAGGTGGTGATGGCTAATGGGGATAATGAAGTGAGTTGGGAGTTGATTTGAAGGGTGATGTGTGTGAATAGGAACTGCCCTGGAGAAGAACCATAACTTAGAGGTAGAGCATCTCTAAGCAGGAATGTCCCCTGCCCAATAGCCTGCCAAACCACAGTCAGCCAGTGCCTACAACAGAGGTAAGCAAACTTTTTCAGCAGGGTGTTGGTCCACTGTCCCTCAGACCTTGTGAGGGGCCAGACTATCTATCTATCTATCTATCTATCTATCTATCTATCTATCTATCTATCTATTTGGGGGGAGAACGAATTCCTATGCCCCACAAATAACCCAGAGATGCATTTTAAATAAAAGCACACATTATACTCATGTAAAAACACGCTGATTCTCGGACTGTCCGTGGGCCAAATTCAGAAGGTGATTGGGCCGGATCCGGCCCCTGGGCCTTAGTTTGCCTACCCATGGCCTACAATATGGAACTAGATGAACTGATGGTTTGACTCAGTACAAGGTAGTTTCCTGTGTTGATTTGGGTACGAAATAATTTATTTGGGAGGTATTTGGATGGGGAGTCTATTGGCTTGTGTTTTGTGGAATTTAAATTCTAGACACATTTTCTGAATTTTAATCTATACTTACAAATTAGCAAATGCATCATCATCATTATTAAAAAAAACACAAATTCATACAAGATTGTGCCCTCTTTCTCAATGGCACACGTCCTCTGCTTCGGTGCGATGCCTAAGCGGGCACCTGAGATCGCCTGGTCGCCACACAGTGGCACTTCCCAGTCTTGCTTGTGGATTGGCATGGCAGTTAAACCCATTTAATACAATGCAGAGGGAGCCTTGGGGCAAATCCTCCCTAGTTTCTGGAAATGGAAGTCTCTGAGCTTTTATCTCTCTCCCTCTCTGTGAAACAGGGAGCAGCACAGCGCACATTACAGCAAATCCTTAAGACCGATTACCACAAGGAATTTCAAATGCCACATGACTCGTTAAGATAAAGGAATATTTCTAGTCTGGCTGCAATGTAAATCAGGCTTGCCTCAGGACTGAAATAGTGAATTAGATTAAGAGGAAGGTAACATTCTGATTGCTTCTTCTAAGCACGCATCTGAAGGTTCCCTCTTAAACAGCTGCATAGAGTAAATGGAATCTTAAATAGCTACCGTATTTTTTGCACAATAACACTCACTTTTTTCCTCCTAAAAAGTAAGGGGAAATATCCGTGCGTGTTATGGAGGGAATGCCTATGGGTGGCATGCCTACGGATTTTCCTCCTCTAAAAACTATGTGCGTGTTATGGTCGAGTGTGTGTTATAGAGCGAAAAATACGGTACATACCGTTAAGAGAACCAAAAACAGTATATTGAGCCAGAATGCCACTTATTCCACAATTGGCAATGTAACCACTCCAGTTCTTTAATACTCTTGGTTGTTAATTTTAAATATTCCATGTACCGCACTCCAAAGGCTTAGAATGCATAACATCTGCTTTAACACAACCTCCCCAAACGTATTGTTGGCCTCCATCTGTCCTGAGAGACAATGTTGTGTGCCGGGGGGGGGTGTTGAAGTCAAACTGCTAAGTGATTTCCCTGGGACGCAAGCCTGGGCGGTGTGTATGGAGGTCTTGGGCTGCCCAGACAAAAAGAGCCCACTCTCAGCCTCGCTGATGTGGCCCAAAGGAAAGCAGAGAAATACATTTGGCACCAGCTTGGCTGCAGATGTTGCCGGAAGGATGCAGACAAGATGCCATCCAACCATTTTAGGGACTCCAGTCTGGATTTGTGTAGAGATTTACCGTATTTTTCGCCCTATAGGGCGCACCGGCCCATAGGGTGCACCTAGTTTTTTTGGGGGGGAAATAAAGAAAAAAAAATTATTTCCCCCCAGGCACGGGGCTGGGGTGGGGGAAGACCGAGCTTCCCTTGACCCCAGCCCCCAGAACAGGTTGCTATCCGCAAGCCTTGGGAGCCCGGCGGGAACTCCCGCCGGGTTCCCAAGGCTTGTGGATAGCTTCCTGAAGCCTGGAGAGTGAGAGGGGTCGGTGCACACCAACCCCTCTCGCTCTCCAGGCTTCAGCAAAAGCCTGCATTCGCCCCATAGGACGCACACACATTTCCCCTTCATTTTTGGAGGGGAAAAAGTGCATCCTATAGGGCGAAAAATACGGTACTCCTTATACAGTCATACCTCGGGATGAATACGCTTCAGCTTAAATATTTCCGGGTTGCGCTCCGCAGTGATCCGGAAGTAACAGAGCACATTACGTCCGGGTTTCGCTGCTCGCGCATGCGCAGACGCTCAAAATGACGTCACGTGCATGCGCGGAAGCAATGAAACATGACCCACACACGCACAGACGCACAGTTGCATGTTACGTTCACTTCAGGATGAGAACGGGGCTCTGTTCCGGAGGTCCGTTTGTAACCCGAAACCGCTCGTAACATGAAGCGCGCTTTCGCTAATGGTGCCTCCCACTGCTGCCTCGCGACTTCCGCTTGCATCCCAGGGCAAAGTTCGCTACAAGGGGCATCTACTTCCAGGTTAGCGGAGCTCGTAACCCTCAGCGTTCGCAAGGAGGACGGTACGTAACACGAGGTTCCACTGTATATATTTAATCTGCAACTGAAAGCACACTCAATTAAAGTTATAAGTTCTTTAAACTGTAAAAGAGAGTGTCTTGCATAGTTTTTAAAGGGGGGGGGGGCAGGGAGAGAACGAAAGGGTCAAACGACCCAGGGCTGTCTTCCGCATACTCTGCAAATGGGAACTACAGTCTAATTTCCCACACTTTCCACAAGTCTCTTGGTCTCTGCTTCTGCCATCTGATAACCGCAGCAATAACTGAAACCCGATCCCTCAGGGATATTGTAGCGGGGGGCGGGGCGGCTAGGTACGCTGGTAATCTGTGCGCAATCACAGGTACAGGATCCGTGGCAGCGCAGAGCAGCCTTCCCTGCACAGGTCAAGAGAGAGTTTGCTCTCTTTGTGTCTGTGATTTAGCCACACGGCTCTGAAGCATGCAATAAGAGTGACTCCCCCTAATTCACTCTGAATGATGGTGGCTGCTGGGAAGAGCTCCTTTCCAGAATCGCTTAAGCGGCGGCTTTGCTACAAGCTCCGAGGGAGGGAACTGAGGCCCGCTGAGCCAGCAGGCGTACTCAAGTCGAATTCAAGGGAAGCGAGCAGAGATGGAAACAAGATGGAAACGTTGCCCTCAGTGTGGAGATAACTTATCTTCTTCTTTTTAAACAAAAGAAGAAGAATGAATCAAGTAAAGTCCCTTCTGGGCGTTTTATTGGCACTTGCAGTTCGGTTCCCTGCAATTCCTACTACGAGGATTTACAGTTTCCCCCCTCAGACGGTACTTGTGTCACGGCCCCAAACCGGGGGCCAAACATTCAAAGCACTATGACACCACTTCAAAAAGTCATGGCTTCCCCCAGAGAATTCTGGGGGCTATAATTGGTTAAGGTTGCTGTACCAGAGGTACAATTCCCATAGTGGTTTAAAATTCAACCCGTTTTCACAGAGAACTACGAAGCCACAACTGTTCAAAGTGGTGCTGCAGTGCTTTGTGTGTGCAGTGTGAATGAGGCCCAGGAATAACAGAATCACAGACGTGTACAGCTGGAAGGGGCCACAAGAGTCATCCAGTCCAACCCCTGCAATACAGGAAACTTTCATCCAACATGGGGCTCGAACCCATGAGCCTGGGATTAAGAGTCTCATGCTCTACCGACTGAGCTATCCAGCCTCATATGCAGTGTGCTACTCCAAAAGTAAGGGACGCGCTGTGGGTTAAACCACAGAGCCTAGGGCTTGCCGATCAGAAGGTTGGCGGTTCAAACGGGTGAGCTCCCGTTGTTCAGTCCCAGCTCCTGCCAACCTAGCAATTTGAAAGCACATCAAAGTGCAAGTAGATAAATAGGTACCACTCCGGCGGGAAGGTAAACACCGTTTCCATGCGCTGCTCTGGTTCGCCAGAAGCGGCTTAGTCATGCTGGTCACATGACCCGGAAGCTGTACGCTGGCTCCCTCGGCCAATAAAGCGGTAATGAGCGCCGCAACCCCAGAGTCATCCTTGACTGGACCTAATGGTCAGGGGTCTCTTTACCTTTACCTTTTACTCTAAAAGTAGCCTCAGGCTGAAGACTGATCTACTACCCGCTCCTTCCCACGTGGATCTGTTGGCACCAGAGCCTGCATCTGAATCCCTAGAAGACACTTCAGCCAGCAGACTCCGACTGGACCGCGACCCTTTGGGGGAAAAAGGACTGAGCGCTTGACCACATGATGGGCTTTAAAAGACATGTCAGAAAGCACCTGGTCCAAAGAGGTGAGTGAGGAGGCTGAATTTTGCCCCCAGGACCCCCAAGCCAGTGAACTAATCAGATAAGTCTTCAGCTTGCTTTATTACCTGCCCTGCAAATGTTTGGGTTGGACTAGATGGCCCTTGGGGGTCCCTTCCAACCCTATAGTTCTCTGATCTGCTATCTGCAAAAGAACCGTGGGCGACCTGAAAGCATACAAAGCATCTAGCAAGTCTAACGAGACAGATATTTGATGGCTCTTGCTCGGATGCGTCCTGAGTCACTGATTCTAAGAGATAGGACGGGTCAGCTGGGTTCAGGAGAGTGCCCTTGAGAATATAATAATAATAATTTATTATTTATACCCCGCCCATCTGGCTGAGTTTCCCCAGCCACTCTGGGCGGCTCCCAATCAAGTGTTAAAAACAGTACAGCGTTGGCTCACGCCCACTAGCATCCGCGTGGGGCTGGCTGCAGCCCCGCGCGATCAGGGGAATCCTCGGGCCGCATCACACCCTGGGCCAGCCAATTGGCTGGCTGCAGGGGCGGAGCTAGCTGGGTCATTTAAGGATGGCGCGGCCCGAGAACGCCCCTTTTCCTCTTCACCCACCCTCCCTCGAAAATATTAAAAATTTCCCTGAACAGGGCGTCTTCAGATGTGTTTTAAAGATAGGATAGCTGCTTATTTCCTTCACATCTGAAGGGAGGGTGTTCCACAGGGTGGGCGTCACTACCGAGAAGGCCCTCTGTCTGGTTCCCTGTAACCTCACTTCTCGCAATGAGGGAACCGCCAGAAGGCCCTCGGCGCTGGATCTCAGTGTCCAGGCTGAACGATGCGGGTGGAGACGCTCCTTCAGGTATACTGGACTGAGGCCGTTTAGGGCTTTAAAGGTCAGCACCAACACTTGCAGATCTCTCAGGACCGGTGTTATGTGGTCCCGGCGGCCACTCCCAGTCACCAGTCTAGCTGCTGCATTCTGGATTAATTGCAGTTTCTGGGTCACCTTCAAATGTAGCCCCACATAGAGCGCGTTGCAGTAGTCCAAGTGGGAGATAACTAGAGCATGCACCACTCTGGCGAGGCAGTCCGCGGGCAGGTAGGGTCTTAGCCTGCGTACCAGCTGGAGCTGGTTCCCCACTTCATTCATGGGGCATCTGCCTTTGTCTATGCTGTTCTTGACCGCCTTTCAAGGTGTCCACACCAGCAAAGAAAGCAAGGGCAGATCTGGGGAGTGGGCAGGAAGATGCGGGGGGAGTATATGAGGAACAAGAAAACTTTTGTTCTTAACTTCACGACGCGATCGAGGGACTAATAGCAAGATTTAACTTGGATGGAACCGGCCATTCTTGAGCCAGGAGCAATTCCACAAACATCTCTTTCATTCTGAACATAACGAAGGCCTTGCTTGAAGTCAAAGCATCTCTCTCTGCCCCCATTCTGCAGTTCTCAAAATGACCTACTCTGGAGTGGGTTTGGGGCGAGTCAATGCAGCTAATGCACAGCAAACAATTTAAGAACTGCAGTTTGGGTGAGGTCTGTGGCTCAGAGAGCTGCTGCCAGTCAGTGTTGGCGGTGCTGAGCTAGAAAGACCAATGATGTATCTCGGTATTTCGTTCAACAATTAATTCAAGGCATGTGAATCATTACAATGAACCTGAAAACAAATCACATTTCCATTTCCTAAAATCCTAGAGGAAACAAGCTTTAACATTCTATAATGTAACCACTTGGGTTGTCAATAAAGCAAAGGGCCATCAAGGAATTCCAATTAGTCCCGTTAAGCTTAATGCTTCCGTTCCAATAACCGAAAAATTCACCAAGCACACTTATCCTGCCAATTTGCTTTACCTAAAATAGTCTATCCCCTCCCCTTTCATAAATGGTGGGCATAAAAATATAAACAGTACGCCGAGACTGAATTAAGGTTGTTGCACCCTGAAGTGTTGACTGTAAACAGAAGGGATAAGCAGGCAGCCTGTTGCAACCACCGGCTGAAGGGGTTTCCAGCTTTAAAAGATGGGATTCATTTCAAATCATGAGCGACCCAACTGCAGGTAAGGAATCGACCCATTTTGCTTACCTGTTCCTGTTCCCGTTGGATCTCCTCCTTGGATCTGTGGAATCAAAAGATATAGAAGGTTTAGGGTGGGAAGAGGTGGGGAGAAAGGATGCAGATGGAATAATTGGATGCCAAGGAGGCAGAGCTGCTGTGGATGGGCAGACCCCGAGTCAAGGAGCTAGATAACTTGTTGTGGATAGGGTGGTACTCCCTTGGAAGGATCAAGTGTGCGGTCTGGGGGTACCCTGTATTCAGCTCTGTCATTGGTTGGCCACCATGAGAACAGGATCCTGAGCTAGGTGGGCCACTGACCTGATCTAGCAGGTTCTTCTTATGTTCTAATGCAGCTGACTTTTAGAAGACATCCGAAGGCAGTCCTGTTTAGGGGAGTTTTTAATGTCTGATGTTTTATCATGTTTTTAATACAGTGGTACCTCGGAAGTCAAATGTAATCTGTTCTGGAAGGACATTCAACCTCTGAAATGTCTGTTTTCCAAGGCACGGCTTCTGATTGGCTCTTGCAAATAGGAAGAGCCAATCAAAAGCCACTTGTCTGCTGCGTTGGACATTTGGCTTCCGAAAAACGTTCAAAAACCAGAACACTTACTTCCGGGTTTTTGATGTTCTGGAGCTGAAATGTTCGGCAATGGAGACGATCAAAAACCGAGGTTTGACTGTTTTCTGTTGGGAGCCGCCCAGAGTGGCTGGAGAAGCCCAGCCAGATGGGCAGGGTATTAATAATAATAATAATAATAATAATGGCAGCAAGGGAATGGGACCCTTGCTTCCTCTCTTGTCTTTGCTCTAGTTATCCCCACAACAGAACCAACGGACAATGTGTGGGTTGTGTGGAACTGATGTATATGCACTGGCAATTTCATGTGCTAAAAGGTAATTATTGCTACATCTATATCCCTCCATTCCTCCTAGGAGCTCAAGGTGGCAGACATTGCTCTCCCCTTCTCCATTTCATCCTCGCAGAAACCCTGTGAGGTAGGTTAGGCTGAGAGATAGAGACTGGCCCAAGGTGAGCCCAGCAAGTGGAGATTTGAAACCTGGTCTTTGGGGTCCTGGTCTGGCACTCTTCGCACCAAGTCCCTTAGAGTAATGCAGTTCAGAGTCTGGCCTTTCATATCGCCCAGTGAACCCAAGTTTCAAATGTCACAAGCCATTGAGTCTGAATGAAAACTGAGCGATGACAACATTCTTCCTTTCTGAGTGCTTGGAAACGGCTGATGACAGCCTGACTTATTCAACGCAGGTTGCTAGGCAATCAGATGTTGCTCTTACTCCAGAAAAGTGATCTTGTTCTCAAGGAATATTCTCTTTCTATTAACATCAGCCTTATTTTTTTGTCTGTGGCAAATTCTAGTCCAGAAGGAGATTTGAAAAAAACACAACACACACACAAAACCCCCACAAAGAGTGAAAATTAATACCTCTTGACATAACTATAGTTCTCTGCTCTGGTCATAAAACACTGGAGATAAAAAAGCTTTCTCCCCCACTCCCAATACTCACCACAAAATTACGAATTGATCTGTGAAAAATAGTCCCGTCGTAGTAATTTTTCTTGCACAGTTTAATGAAGTTTTCACAGGTTTTAGGAGTCTGGAAAATAATATAAAAAGCATTAGGCAATTGTAATTAAAGAATGTCTTTCACACAGTCAAAACAATGATTATGTGTTTCCATTCTTCTTTTTAACGCCCATTGTATCACACACACAATGACGCATTACCTGGCTGGAATTGTTCCGGTCTGATTTACCAAGCAAAACAATATTTCTACGCAGGTCTCAACGTATTCCTCCCCCCCCCCCAACAATATTGTAGACTATTTCCCATCAAACTAGCGCTAACATGTCTCTGTTCTTTATTCCCTCCTGCCAGCTTTCTATTTTACCATTTCAACAGCAATTTCTTTTCGGACGAAGTTGTACTAAACCTAGGCAAACTGTAATTCAGATGAAATCATGAACTTTCCCCTCCTGGAACTTTAAGAACCAAGACAAGTCCTGCTGGATCAGACCAAAGGCCCATCTAGTACAGTAATCTGTTCTCCAAGTAGTCTCTACTAGATGCCTCAGGGAATCCTCTAAGCAGGACGTTGAGTGCAATAGGACCCTACTTCCTGATCTTCCATAGCAATAGAATTCAGAGGCATAGTGCCTCTGATCTTGCTAAATTCAACAGACCTGTAGGAAAAGAGGCAATCTTTCAAATATTTGTATGGCAGTAGATTCAACGCAGACAAAGTACCAGCACACAACTATGTAATTCTCTACCACAAGATCTAGTGATGGCCACCCACTTGGGTGGCTGTTAAAAATTACAGAAATTCATAGAGGATATCAATGGCTGCTAGTCTTTATGGCTATATTATTTCCTCCAGGATCAGAGTTGCCATGTCTCTGAATACAAGTCACTGGGGAACAACAGCAGAAGATGGGCAATTGGGCTTCCTGGAGGCATCCAACTGGCTACAGAGGAAAACGCATCTCTGGATCCAACAGGCCTCTGGTCTGATCCAGCGGGGGATTCTTTGTGCATTCTTACGAGCACAACTAACTGTCTAACTGGATGACTCTGTTTTTAAGTGGTGAATGATGGCATAGTTGAAAGGGCAGATTAAGCAAGTATGTTCATTTTTGTCTGTGAATCAAAAAGAAAATAAGCAGCTTTTAGCAATAGCTGGTGCACAGCCTGTGATTTTTTTTTTAAAAAAGGAGCAACACAGTTGGGGCAATAAACACATTTTGCGATGACTCTCTTAAAAGGCAAGGAGGGGAGGAATGAAATTAGCTGGAAGCCGAAGTGCCTGTGAGAATACAAAGTCCCACTTCAGCATTCTAGAAACCAATAACAAAACCTACCAGAGGTTGATAAGAGACAAATTGCTTCTTTACTTTGGAACTATTTTGTGGGCTGCAGCTTGGTAAATGAGGACAACCACTTCCCTGCAATTTCCCCCCTTCCTCCTGTAAAAAGCTATCAGTGCGTTCCCATGGCCACTGCGTGCATCGCGCAAGGCAGACAATGCTCCGGCAAGCAAGTGGTTTCTTAGCAACCTTATCAGAACGAAGCGCGGTTAGAAACCAGCCCAGGTTTCTTTTCCCTGTCGGAAAGAGAAGTCAATTTCATCCTTCCAGCAGGTACAGAAGTGACACCTTCATTCCTCAATTACGTAACAATCTTATGCTCTGAATCTTTCCTTTACTTTCTTTCAAAGCAACAACAACAACAACAACAACCCAGCTGTCACTATATAATTGGACCCCACCTGAGAGGGTCCATAAGGAAGGAGGCAGTTTTGGTAGGGGGGTGTAAAGAGTATGGGTTGCTCGTGCGTAAGTTGCCGCCTCTCCTGGCTTTGTTGCCTTGTTAAACCTTTCAGTCTGGACAGCCCTTCACTTCGTGGCTGCCTCAGTCGCTAGCAGAATCCGTCAGTGGGCGTTTCTTACCCCTTTTCCAACATAAAAGTTGTTTGACACCCAGTCTCCTCCTACTCTCTCTGCACGGAAGTCTTCTGCGCAGGGAGGGCGTGGGTAGCGGAGGACCCGTGCTCTCCCCGCTGGTGTCCGGTGAAGAGTCTGGGAGCCCTCTCGCCGATTCCCCCATCTGCCCCTCTTTATTCCTGGTGTTGCGCTGAATTGCTTCCCCATCTGCTGAGCTGCCTCTCTCCCTGCTGGGCCCTTCTCCAGCATCATTTGAGAGCCTTCCCTCCGCCTCTAGCTCCGATGTCAGTTCCCTGACAGGGGGTCCCGAGTCATTTAGGACTTTAAAGGTGCTGTAACAAGCACCTTGAATGAGGCCCACAAATGAACTGAGAGCGGTTTTAAAATGGGGTTGCATGGGATCTAAACGGAACCTCAGCCAGTAATCTGGTTGCTGCTTTTTGAACCAACTGAAGTTTTTGAAGTCACCTTCAAGGGCACCCCATAGAAAAAGTGCATTGCAATAATCCAGTCTGGGAATTAGCAGAGCATGGAGTACTGTGGTCAAATCATCTCTGTCCAAGAGGGGTCATAACTGGTTGAATTCAGGAGCACCCCTAAGCTGTGAACCTGCTCCTTTCAGTACAACCCCACCCAGTGGCTCCTAGCGATGGTGTCTATGTCCTACCTCCACTGAATGCCACTCGCTGGAAATCACAGGTGAGGAGAGCGCTGCTGCACTCAAGACCTGTCTACAGGCTTCCTGTAGGCGTCAGGTTGGCTACTGTGAGAACAGAACGCTGGACTACATGGGCCTTTGGCTTGAGCCTGCTTTTCTTATGTTCTTGTATACCATCTTTCTAAACCTCTAACTATTGATATCCTAGCTATTTCTCACTTATACAGTCATGCTCAAGCAATGACATCTGAATCTTTAGGTATGAATCAAGACAAGCACATGTACCTTACTGATGCGCCAACCAGGGATATCCCGTTCTTATATCAATGGCATTTATTTTCCACATTTTATTATTATTATTTTTTAAAGCATTTATTAATTTTCCAATAAGAACATCTAATTAACATATATCAAATCCAATCCAATTTTCCACATTTTATTATTTTTATTATTGCACATTTTATTATTTATTAATAAAGTAGTATCTTAGCTTCTAATACCAACAGATGCCGATATTAAGCCATGATCATCAGCCCACCTGTCAGTCCTTATTCCTGCTACCTTTAATCAACCAACCAATAAACTAATTATAGCCTGTAGCCTCATAAAAATACAGCCGTGTGGAATGCAACATGATAAACAGCAACAATGCAATAAAATCAACAAAAGCATCAATCAATAAAGATTGGTTGGCAATAATGAAACCCTCATTTCAAAGGTCTGTTTGAATACAGTTTTCAGAAGAGGTCCAGCAACAGGCAGGGATAATTCCTGTTAAACCTCTACTGGCAGGGACTTCCACATGGCAGGCTTGCCACGCTACAGAGGAAGGGTCTGGAACATGGAGTTTAGGTTCCATCTAGGTCTACTCTACTGTGTGCGTTATAATCTTCAGTGTTCCCCTATGTTTGTTGTTTTAATTTTAAAAACTCAGTGCAAGAAAGAAGACTAGGGCAAAACATCTCCCTGATGTGCTGGTTTTTTGTTTGTGCAAAGGTTTCTTTTTTAAAAAAGTAAATGGGAGCGTTAAAAAAAAAAGACACCCCCCCCCACCCACTGGTTGAAGTGCTACAGTCAATTCTTGCCAACTTGGTCTACTACTATCATTCTACTGCACATGTGCAGGCCACAGGCAGGGATAACCCCAGGCAGGGAAAACCCCTGGGTGGGGTTTCACTGAAAGGAGCAGGTTCACAGCTTAAGGGTGCTCCTGAATTCAACCAGTTATGACCCCTCTTGGACAGAGATGATTTGGCCACAGTACTCCATGCTCTGCTAATTCCCAGACTGGATTATTGCAATGCACTTTTTTATGGGGTGCCCTTGAAGGTGACTTCAAAAACTTCAGTTGGTTCAAAAAGCAGCAACCAGATTACTGGCAGGGGTTCCGTTTAGATCTCATGCAACCCCGTTTTAAAACAGCTCTCAGTTCATTTGTGGGCCTCATTCAAGGTGCTTGCGATAGCATCTTTAAATGACTCAGGACCCCCCCCCCGAAAACTGCCTCCTTCCTTATGGACCCTCTCAGGTGGGGTCCAGTTATATAGTGACAGCTGGGTTGTTGTTGTTGTTGCTTTGAAAGAAAGTAAAGGAAAGATTCAGAGCATAAGATTGTTACGTAATTGAGGAATGAAGGAGTCACTTCTGTACCCGCTGGAAGGATGAAATTGGCTTCTCTTTCCGACAGGGAAAAGAAACCTGGGCTGGTTTCTAACTGCGCTTCGTTCTGATAAGTGCTTCATCAACTCTCAGGGGTCAAAAGAGAGTGCTATGCTCACACCTGTGTTATCACATCGCCACCATCATCAACACTGCAATGGATTTTTACATCTGTTGGATTTCAAATGGCTTTAAGCTGCTTTGGGAGCCAATCTTAACGGAAAAGCATGTGCAAATTAAACAGGCAAGCCTCGCTTGCAGCCAGGAGGCCGCGGCTCGAGCCAGACAAAATCCATGTATTCGCAGACATGCCAAGTCTACTGATTTTAGCATTTTCGCAAGTCGACTACTGACGTGCCTGCCTCTCTGCAGCCCCGCTGCTTTTTTATCGGTTGCCGGGGCTTTCAAAGGCAGAATGTGCCAGCAGTTCAGTCATTAGACCAAGAGCTTTGTTATCGCTGTGCGCCTGGGGGGCCCCCTCTCCCCACCCCCTCACTTTCTCCAAGGGGATATTTTCAATCAATTCTGCCCAGCCAGCTGTCAGATACTGTGAGATACTGCAAAACCTTTGGACGTCAAAGATGGGGGGGTGCTTCAGGACTGGGGGGGGGGGCCCTTTCGGCACTACCCAGTCACTGCTCTTCTTCTGTTAGTTACAAGCAGAATTGGAACTGACACTTGGCTGACACAGCTCATATTCTGCCCAGTCAGGGTTTCCCAAACTTCTGAGTTCGTTGACCCCTTGATGAGCTTATAAAAGTTACCATCAACCCCAACCTGAATTCTTAGGATGCTGTTGGACTCCAGTTCCCAACAGTCCCAGTCAGCATGGCCAGTGGAGGGCAATGCCTGGAGGGCCACAGGCTCTGCTTCCCTGACATTAAGGGCTCACACTTGCTTTACAAGTAGGGGTCAGAAACCTCCTCCATCCTGAGCGCCACATTCCCTTCTGGGTATAACCTTCTGGGAGAGCAGGAACATGCCAGTGTGGGCGGGGCCAGAAACAAAAGAGGGTAGAGCCATGGATGCAAATTTTGACTCGAGTTTCTACATACAATACTCTCACACAGTGTTAGACACTCAAGAAATATAAACTAGGAGACAAATGGCTCTTTAAGCCAAGGCTACAGTCCCCAGACCCCTTCATGGATCACTGCCTTGCCGTGGCGAAGGGGCATGAATAACTCAGAGAAGCTATGAACTATGCCATGCAGGGCACCCAAGATGAACAGGTCATAGTGGAGAGTTTTGACCAAACGTGATCCACCTGGAGCAGGAACCGGCAAGCCACTCCAGTATCCCTGCCAAGAAAACTCCATGGACAAAGACAACAGGCATAAAAAGCAATGACAAACCTAGGCAGCATCTTAAAAAGTAGAGACATCACCTTGCCAACAAAGGTCCGTATAGTAAAAGCTATGGTTTTCCCAGTAGTGATGTATGGAAGTGAAAGCTGGACCATAAAGAAGGCTGATCGCCAAAGAATTGATGCTTTTGAATTACGGTGCTGGAGGAGACTCTTGAGAGTCCCATGGACTGCAAGAAGATCAAACCTATCCATTCTGAAGGAAATCAGCCCTGAGTGCTCACTGGAAGGACAGATCGTGAAGCTGAGGCTCCAATACTTTGGCCACCTCATGAGAAGAGAAGACTCCCTGGAAAAGACCCTGATGTTGGGAAAGATGGAGGCACAAGGAGAAGGGGACAACAGAGGACGAGATGATTGGATAGTGTTGTCGAAGCTACCAGCATGAGTTTGACCAAACTGCGGGAGGCAGTGGAAGACAGAAGTGCCTGGCGTGCTTTGGTCTATGGGGTCACGAAGAGTCAGACATGACTAAACGACTAAGCAACAACAACAACAACACAGTCACCAAAACGGTAATATCCAGTTGCCAGTTTGGGGGCAAGGCAGGTAAAATACAGCTGATAGAATTCTACAGGATGTGGCATTACCATGTAAAAACAGTCAAGATCCAACGATCTCCAGATGGTTGCAAGTGGTCAAAAGCCAGGTGCATAATGTGCCTGACACCTGACTAATTTTGAACACTGCTCACACACCCCTCTTGATCCTCCATCTAAGCAAACAAGAGGCATGGTCAGAGTTGAAGGACCCATTCCAGCCAAGAAAATATATTCCAGGAGGGCATGAAGTGGAGCCAGAAGGGAGTGTGTAGCCTGGGAAAGCCCTAAGGGCCACACAGGGAGACTTGGAGGGCCACATTTGACCTTCAGGTCTGAGATTTGCCACCCCTCCTTTGAGTGCTCCTTGTAAAACAGAACATTTTTTCCACACCCACGAGCCGGGTCTGCTTCTCTCAACTGTCCTAGTTTCTCCTCCCCTCAAGATGCTCCATTGGCCCCAAAAAGACATCCTTCAGCAACACCTAACACTTCTTGGCTCATGAATACTTCACAAGTACAGGCCAGGCTCTTCTGTGTAGGCAAAAGGCTATTTAAAATCTGGCCAGATTTCAACACTATAAAGGCGCGATAACAAGGCCAATAAAAGCTCTCAAGAATGCCATCCTGGAGGACTCTCTGTACAATGACAGCATGGGGATGGACTTGCTTCCCAGGAAATTTAGACCACCACCTGTCCTGCCAAGAACAGAAGCGGCCAGAGAACCAGTACAGCAACCCCTCAACTTACGTGCATTTGACTCGCACGATTTAAGCGTAACCCTTGAAACCAACCCCCTGTGTAAGATGACAGATGACAGATGACTGTACGACTGTACAGTACCTTGGAAGTCAAACGGAATCCGTTCTGGAAGTCCGTTCGACTTCCAAAACGTTTGGAAACCAAGGTGCGGCTTTCGATTGGCTGCAGGAAGCTCCTGCGGCCAATCGGAAGCCGCATCAGAGGTTCAGGTTCCAAAGAACGTTCGAAAACCAGAACACTCACTTCCGGGTTTGCGGCGTTCGGAAGCCAAAATGTTCGAGTCGCAAGGCGTTCATCAACCAAGGTACAACTGTATCTGCATTGTGAAGCCCAGCTAAATAAATGAGGCCCCATCCGCACTACACATTTAAAGCAGTATCAAACCACTTTAAACATTCATGGCTTCCGCCAAAGAATCCTGTGAAACATAGTTTGTTACGGGTGCTGAGAGTCATGAGGAGGCTCCCCCTGCTGCCAGCTCACATAGTTACCCTTCCCAGAGCGGTTTAACAGCCAGCCCCTCTTCTCAGGGGAACTCTGGGAACTGTAGATCCGAGAGGGGAATGGCGGCCTCCCGACAACTCTCAGGACCCTTCACGAACGACACTATTTGAGTGGGAAGCCATGTCTTTTCAAAGCAGTATGATGCTGCTTTAAATGCATAGTGCAGATGGTGCCTTACTCAAAACATAGACTGTTCATTCTGGTGCTGTTCCAAATAACTAATACCCTAGTATCCTTTGGCTTTCATCCTCTGCTTTCAATGTGACTCAGCGAATAAAGAGAAAAACTGTTTTTTTTTTCCCATCATAAATTTCCAAGAAATGTTATCAAAGGCCTTCTCCGCATCTATAAAAATTAAAACAGCTTTTGTATTTATGTCAGTTTGGAGAAGTTCCAAAATATCAATAATGTTCCTTGTGTTAGCAAACAAATGTCTACCTGGGAGAAAACCGGCCTGGTCCTTATGAATTACTTCATTTAAAACTTTTTAAATCTACTTGCCAAAATATCTGCAAATATTTTGTAATCCACATTTAAAAGGGAGATGGGACGGTAGTTCTTCAGTTGTGTCTTTTCAGTTTCTAACTTTGGTATCAATGTGATAAACGCTTCCTTCCACGAATCCGGTGCCCTCTTCCCCTCCATAATTTCATTGCTAATCTCCATCAAAGGTTGTATCAAATAGTCTTTTAGTGTCTTGTAATACTTGGAGGTCAGCCCGTCTGGCCCTGGAGATTTGCCAAGTTGCATGTTCTGAATAGCTTGTTCAATCTCCTGTCGTGTTATTTTAGAGTTCAGGATTGTCCTATTTTCTTGTGACAGTTTAGATAATCCATTTTTGCCAAAAATTGTTTAATCTCAACTTCGTCTTGCGGCCCTTGGGTATATAACTTTTAAAATATCTCTGGAAACACTTTCTAATGTCCACTGGATTCTGAATGTTTCTTCCATCAACCTCTAAATTTGTAACCGTGTTTAATCTTTGTCTTCTCTTCAACTGCCAAGATAGCAGTTTTCCACATTTATTCGCCGACTCAAACGTTTTTGTTTCATTAATTTGATCTTCCATTCAATTTCCTGATTTATCAATTTAGAATACTGTGTTTGATAAAGTTTAATTTCTCTCAGAGTTGGCTGTGACTTTGGATTCACTCTTAATTTCTTCTCCAAATCTTTTATTTTATCCAAAATCTTGTCTTTTTTCTCATTTTGTGTTTTTTTCTTTACTACATTCTGTTGTATCAGAAAACCCCTCATGACAGCTTTGCTTGCGTCCCAGACGATTCTTTTTTCCACCGAATTGTTCATATTTATCTCAAAATAATCTTTCAAAACTTTTTGGGCCTTCTTGGTAATTTCCTGATCTCTAAACAAATTGTCATTCATCTTCCATCTAAAGGATCCAGTTGGTAGTAGTGTCATGTCCATCTTTACTGCGTTGTGGTCAGAACAGGTCTTTGGGCAGATTTCCACTTTTCTAACCCTAGGTGCCAGGCCTCTAGAGATCCATATTTGGTCGATTCTTGTCCAGGTCAGTTGGGCTTCAGAAAAGAATGTTCCTTCTCTACCTAGTGGGTTTTTGTTCTCCAAATGTCGATCAAGTCCATATTGTCAGTCATTTCAAAAAGGTTTTAGGTAGTCTGCCATCTTTTGTGATGTTTTGACTTTGCGACTTGTCCATGTTAGTTGACACGAACCCGTTCATGTCTCCCATCATTATGATGTTGTTGTAATCCAGATGATCCAGCATTGTCCCCTGCAACTTCTTGTAAAATTCCGATTTCCCTTCATTAGGCGCATAGATTCCTAATATCAGCAATTTCTCTCCTTGATATTGTATCTCAATAGCCAAAATCCTTCCATGTTCATCTTTAAATAGAAATTTAGGTGACAGGCTCTCTTTTGCATATATCACCACTCCTCTCTTCTTCACTTTATCCGACGAAATAAATTCCTGGCCCAATCTTTTATTTGTTAACACTTTTCTGTGGAGCCTCGTCACATGTGTTTCTTGTAAGCAAATAATGTCCAATTGTTCTTTTTTTAATATATGAAAAATTTTCTTCCTTTTCTCCGGGATATTGCAACCATTAATATTCCAGCTCAACAGTTGCAGAGACATCCTGGATCTATCTGGTTATTTCTCCTGGGGTGGTGTCTTCTCTTGATCTTCAAGTTCCCGAGGTGGAGGTATTGATGCTGGCTTTGCCTCAGGCCCGGAAGGTAGTTCAATTCCTTTATGTAGGTCCTCTCCGTGTGTAGCCAGAAATTTATCTCTCTCTTCCAATGTTCTAATTTTAACCTTTCTCGCTCTAAAGGTAAAAGACAATCCCTGGGGAAAATCCCACCTGAATGGAATTGCGTTGCTCCTTAATAGTTTAGCTAGTTCAGAATAGGCGGCTCTAAGATCCAACAGTTGTCTTGGGATATCTTTATATATCTCAATTCTTCTATCCAAAACTTCCAGTGACTTTTCGTAATGTAGGCCCAAAATCTTATCCCTTTCCTCCTTCGATCTCAATGTAATCAAACAATCCCTGGGCCTCTCCTTCTTTATAAATCTTCCAAGTCTGAAAGCTGACACAATTTTAAAGTCCTTTTCTTCCAAATTCCAGAACTTGGAAAGTTCTTTGGTCAAAAACTCAGTTAGATTTCCTTCTTCTGCCTCTTGTAATGATCTAATCCTCAGATTATTCTCACGATTTCGCAGTTCTATCATAGAAAGATAAATCTGATGTTCCCCAACTTGTTTAGTGAGTGGTCTTACCTCTTGCTCTAAATTTTCCAATTTTTGTCTGGTGTCCTCAGCCAATTTTCGATTTTCTACTGAGGCCTCCGTCAACTGTCCAATTGCTTGTGTATTCTGTCCCACCTGTGTAGTTAATTTGTTTAGACACTCTGTATTTTTATCAATCTTTGCTGATTGCGCATCTACTTTCTTGTCCAAAGCTTCCAATTTATCAAAGTATTTTTCTAGCACAGAAGCAGATGCTCCTGAGGCCATATCTTCCAATTGTAACTGCTCTACTTCACCCTCTCCCTCTTTTGCCTGTGGCAAGGCAGCTTCTTCAAGTTGTACTTCTGAGGGCAAAGTAGGCACAGATGATCTACGTGTCTGCGAGGCTGAGGTTAGATTTGTTAGAGTTGTTTGTCTAACTCTTCCTCTTCTTCTTGTACCACTCATTCCAATGTTATCTATCAGTCAAGGTCACACTGAGTTTTTCCCACAGGAATAGAGAGTCCCAGAGCAAGCAGACAACAAGAGAATCGAAAGTAAATGTTTTTATAAAGTCACTGTTTTAATCCAATCCTCTAGAGGGAGCTTAAAATGTCTTTTCAGAGTCTGATTTAATGTCCCAGAACCTTCCAATATAAGTATTAAGCAGAGTTTAAAGGTAATCACTTTGTTGCAGACAGTGCTTATTTGTCTCCAAAAAGAATGTTTCAAATTTAAAATGTCTCAATGCCCTCAAATTGTTGCAACTTCCAGTATACAGTATCCAAGTCAAACACTGACAGCCCACTGTTACAATGCTCAAGCAGTCCTGACTCTGGGTTTCACCTTCCAATTTGTAATCCAATAAATGTGGGAAAGTCAAGTGCAAATAAAAGGTCCAAATCTTTAACTTGCTAATTTTACTTTAAATTGTAAGTTCCATAGATGCTTGGCTGTGTAGAGTTTAAAATCTCTTTCTTTCAGCCTCCACTCCTCCACCTTAGTTGCTTTTTTTTCCAAGTTCAATGGCAGCGGAAGACGGACTTCCTGTTTCCACGTCTCTCCGCTTTCAGCCAAATTCAAGTCAATTTAAACCTTCTCATTTAAAATTTGTAATTCCAAGTGATTCAGTCTTTACTCACGAGTAAGTTGTTTTCTTCCAGGTCCGAATTTTAACAGGAAAAGGGATCAGCGCTCACCGGCAGCAGCAGCGCGGCTTCACTCCGCTGACTGTGAAACGGCTCACAGCGCCGCAGCCCCCCTCCACGCTCCGGAGCCTCTTACGAGGCTCCTTCTGCAGTTGGAGGGCTGCTCTTGGCGCCCGCCGAGCCTCAGGACCCCAGGCTCTTGCTGCCTGGGGTTTTTCTCACTGGGTCTCCGCTTCGCCGTAGCGGACGACCCGGTTTCAGCGGAGCTTCTTCTCCGGTCGGGAGAAGACCGCCATTACCGTTCGCGCCGCCCCCGGAAGTGAGAAAAACTGGTCAGCATTAAAAACACTTGATGAAGGCTCCTGAGAACCACCCCGGCACAATGTGGTTCCAAAATGTTTGCATCACCCTGCCACATAGCTGACGACTCATCACGTGCTGAGTCGATACCACACAGGCCACCTGCCACTTGCATCCATCTGGGAGAAAAGCGCATAGATGGGTGGCTGGAGAAAAAACTGTCCCAAAACCTCATTGCTGCTCCCACCCATTTCTCCCTGGGGAGGCCCTTCTGGAAACTCATGGAATATTACCACCCTCCCCACTGCTGTTTTACAGTGGTTCTTCTGTATTATAATTCCATCGGCCTTTTAAATATTTCTTTTGTTTTTTGGACTACTTAAATTATACTGAGTTTTTTCAGTGTAAATAATGGCAGGCAGATTCCCCCATTAGGCCCACTTCCATTCCCCTTTTAAAGTCTCCCTGGGTTCTCACTGCAGGTAAGGCAGCCAGTAGATGGTAAAAAAAATGTTCTAGAGCACATCCAGATGATTCATATTTAATTTGTATTTGATTTTTATGCATAAACTAAAAAAGACCAAAGCAGAAATTAATAACCCTGCAAGAAAACCTCTCTCTCTCTGTGTGTGTGTGTGTGTGTGTGTGTGTATGTGAGACACACACACATGGATATACACACACTGTATGTATATATAAATAAATAAATATACAAATACTGTATACACAATTATATCTCCAATGGTACATAATCATTCCAAATTTCCAAGCAAACTTCAGGAAGCTGTCAAAGAAGGCCTGCACTGGTAGCCTATATAATAAAATCCCACCATGTAGCCCGAAAAAGTTACCTATTAGCATGAATTGCCATTAGCATACAGTAATTTGGATAGCAAACCCTATAGATCAGAGAGGGGAACCTTTTTGCCTCAGCAGGTCAGATCTGCCTCGTGGGCCAAATTTAACAAGTGGGTAGTGTTGGAACGATGCCAGGTGACTGAGTGCTCTGAAGTTCTGGAAGATCCTGGAGCAATGTCTTAAAATGGCTGAGGCTTTGTCTCTAATGCCCACCAGCTGACGGGCAGCAGAGTCTCAGCCTGCTTTCCCTTGCCAATTCACAATTGGGAGTGCACTTTAAGGATCTCAATTGTGCACTGGCAGGCATGTCTCTCTACCCGCCCAACACTGGATGAGCCTCTGGCCTGATCCAGCAGGCTTTTCTCATGTTCTTATGACACCACATGTGACGTAGGGCAGGTGGGTGAGGTTTGGGAGTAATGTCCTCAATGGTTAAATTTGTCTCACAGGCCGAAAGTTCCCCACTTATGCTGTAGATCAGTGTTTCCCAAACTTGAGTCTCCAGTGGCTTACAGGCTACAATTCCCATCATCCCTGACTATGGGTCTTGCTAGCTATGGATGATGGGAGTTGTAGTCCAAAAAACAAACAGAAACAAAACAAACCACAGATGGGAGATCCAAGTTTGGCAAACACTGCTGTAAGTCTGACATCCTTCTCTGTTCATTCACAAATGCAAAACCTTGATAACGCAGCAATGAAAAGCAATGGCACGGCCCATTTTATTATTAGTCATTTTTACCAGTCTGTGACAGTGTAGTAATAGCATTTGTGATGGCATAATCGAACAGCCACGTACCATGTCGCAGTGCAATTCCAGGTTGAGATCCCCTTTGTTGGTGTGAAGTCGCACGTAGCCCTTCTTCTTCTTCAAGTACTGGTATCGCACCGTGTCGTCATCAATGGCAGCTGCTCGACGAAGTAAAGGGTGAAATTATTAGCACTTGTTAAATGTGTCTCAGTCATCGGTGACGATAACAATGAGTAAGACGCAACCTGCTACAGGGAACATCTTCACCCTCCACCTTTCAAAGGTCACTTGAAATTAGTCCTGCTCCCCCGTGCTTCTGGAGGCCAAGCAATGTGACTCGAGCTCAGAAGGGTCAGATAACCTTCCACGCGAAACGTCATTGTCGCCCGCTAAAATTAAGGGAATTAAGCCACAGCTTGCCATGCATATTAAACGGCAGGCTTAACAGTGTTTTCAGAACAACTCGTCCTTTTATCATCTCCCCAATGACCTATGATACTTTCCCCCCAGGCAGTAATACATTTTTTTTAAAAAGCGTAGGTCATAGAATCATAGATTTGTGGAGCTGGAAGGGACCCCAAGGGTCATCCATCCCAGCCCCTGCAATGCAGGAATCTCGACTAAAGCATCCATGACAGATGGCCATCCAACCTCTGCTTAAAAACCTCCAAGGAAGGAGAGTCCACAGCCTCCCAAGGGGGACCATTCCACTGTCGAACAGCTTTTACTGTCAGAAAGTTCTTCCTGAAGTTTAGTCAGAATCTCCTTCTTAGGAACTTGAAGCCATTGGTTCGAGTCCCACCCTCCAGAGCAGGTGGAAACAAGCTTGTTCTCTCTTCCACGTGACAGCCCTTGAGATATTTGAAGATAGCTCCCTCACAGTCTCCTGAGCCAGTGTGGTGTAGTGGTTAAGAGCGGTGGACTCATAATCTGGTGAACTGGGTTCGATTCCCCGCTCCTCCACATGCAGCTGCTGGGTGACCATGGGCCAGTCACACTTCTCTGAAGTATCTCAGCCCCACTCATCTCACAGAGTGTTTGTTGTGGGGGAGGAAGGGAAAGGAGGAGGTTAGCCGCTTTGAGACTCCTTCGGGGAGTGATAAAGCGGGATATCAAAGCCAAACTCTTCTTCTTCTTCTTCCTCTTTTCCAAGCTAAACATACCCAGCTCCTTCAACCTTTCCTCATAAGTCTCGGTTTCTAGGTCATCTGAGGAACTTTTAGAAGAGGAAGGGGCAGCCCTACAATGTACCTTCTGCCTGGTGATATTATTTTTAAAGTGGAAACCGAGCCTGGGATTTTCTACATGCAAAGCATGTGATTTGCTTTGGCACTAACGTTGTGCCTTCATTTGCAGCTGCTTGTAGGGTTTTTTTACAAGAGGTGCGGGTTGTGTAGAGAGATGCACCCCTCCCCCTGCTACCTTGCCACAATGGGAAAGGGGTGTGAGAGAGAAGAGGACAAGCCCCGCCACCCTGCATGACGCTACCTGCTTCGTGCATCGTTTCAGGTGCCATGGCGGTGGACGTGAATGAGGCACTCACTCTGCCTGTGGAATAGTGAGCCTGTTGAAACAAACAAAATTACGTAATTCAAGATGCTTCTGTCTGGCCTTCCTTTTCAAAACAAAGACAGCTAACCATCACATGTGCGGTGATACAAAATCTTCCCACCTGCCCACACAGAATAATAATTTAAAAATGGCAAATGTTTAGCATATACAGTGGTACCCTGGTTCTCAAATGCCTTGGTACTCAAACAACTTGGAACTCAAACACTGCAAGCCTGGAAGTAAGTGTTCTGGTTTGTGAACTTTTTTCGGAAGCCAAATGTGCTCTGTTTTGAGTGTTATGCTTCAAAATTGAGTGCCACGCTTCTGTTTTGAGTGTTACACTGGGGTTTGTCTGTTTTTGCTATTTATTTTGGGTTTTTGTGACTGTGTGGAACCCAGTTCATCTACTGATTGATTGATTGTGTGACTGCAGTACATTGTTTATTGCTTTCATTTTATGGATCAATGGTCTCGTTAGATAGTAAAATTCATGTTAAACTGCTGTTTTAGGGGTTGTTTTTAAAAGTCTGGAACAGCTTAATCCATTTCGCATTACTTTCTATGGGAAAACGCACCTTGGTTTTGGAACGCTTTGGTTTTGGAACGGACTTCCGGAACAGATTAAGTTTGAGAACCAAGGCACCACTGTACCAACAAACGTGTAAAACAATATGTAAAAATCACACCACAAGAATTAATTTCACTATTGGGGAAGGGCGTCATTTCATCATTTAAAATCCACACTGTGCACCTCCAAACACATTTCTGCTAAGTTGGGCAAAAGGAGCAGGATGTTGCAGATTTGGTTGGTGCAAATCTACTACAGGCAGCAACCGATTTGCACAGGGGTTACCTTCTGGACCCCCGAGCACAACAGTGGGACCCCTTTTAGTGATGTCTTCAGGTCACTTCCAGATTTGGCATGACGCTTGTCTGCGCAGCCACACACATATCAGACATGCTTAAAACGGCCGCTGCCTGTACTTGCTTGCATCTTGGGGTTATATACAGCGTTGCTCATGCAGCACACTTCGGGTTGTGCGACAAAACTCCCTCCTCCTTTTCCCTGCATACCCTCAAAATCTGCTCCAGAGGGTTGGGAGACCGTCCCGAGCAGACTTCTTTGGGGGGTGCAGGGGAGAGGAGAGGAAGGTGACATCCCATTGGACACAGCCCAATGTGTGTGATCCTACACAAGATGTACTGCTGACTGGCACTATTTCCTTTCAGGCCGCAATAATATAATCAGCAACACTCGGATGCACCATCAAGCCACAGAATCTGCATTCCAGACCGACAGAAAAACCAGGACCCCATCGCTGTGAAGAAATGACATACGGCAATCCTGCGCCACAACACTTCCCACCATAAACCAGGAGCCGTTGGATCCTCCAGATGTCTTTTGAGTTGCAGTTGTGTAACTGAGCTGAAATTCTAATTATTTTTACAGGCAATTCTCATGACTGTCTAACGCAGCCCTTTGAATCACTCTTGCGCATGGGAGGAATAGTGATGTTAAATCAGGCATAGGCAAACTCCAGCCCTCCAGATGTTTGGGACTACAATTCCCATCATCCCTAGCTAACAGGACCTAGCTAACAGGAAGATGGGAACTGTAGTCCCAAACATTTGGAGGGCCGGAGTTTGCCTATGCCTGTGTTAAATTCTCAAGAATAATCTTTTGGAGAATATTCTCAAGGAATATGCTCAATTAATGAGGTGTGTACATTTAAAGCAGCTGTGTAGACGACAGAGAATTTACAGTTTGTGGAGAATATTCTCACCTCACATCACCAGGGAGGAAGGAGGAAGGTTATGAAACCTCAGGATAGATCCCTTAATTTATGGGTTTTCAGAAGTTGCCAAGTGTTAGGAATGAAGGTTGGGTCAGTGCTCATTTACTTAAAACAGGGATGGGAAGTCTGGGCCCACAAGGTGCTGTTGGAGCTCAACTCCCATCAGCCCTAGAGAGCACGGCCAATGGTAGTGATGATGCGCCACAGGCTCCCCACCTCTGCCTTAAAGCATACCCATCAGAGCATAAGGCCACATCTGCACTGCATCATAAAACTCTGAGCAGTCATAGCAAAGAATCTTGGGAACTGTAGTTTGTCAAGGGTGCTGTTAAGAGGTTCCTATTCCACACCTATAACTACAGTTGCTAGAGTGGTTTAACAAGCACTCTTCCCAGGGAACTCTGGGAACTGTAGTTCCCTGAGGGGAACGGGGGCCTCCTAACAACTCTCAGACGCCTCAAGAAGCAGGGCTGGAGGACGCAGGGAAGGGAGGTGGCAAGACAAGAGCCTGGTGTCTTGCATAATGTACAGTTTGATGGCACAACTACCAACACAGAGGCCAAGGTCCCAGACAATCAACGGCTATTGGGGAGATGTGAATCTGCGGCTGATTAGCCAGGCTGCTTCCCTGCTGCTGATGCATCCAGCCTCTCTCTTTTATACTGAAGATGCCTCCTGCCTTTCCGCTAGCCATTCAGAAGTGGCCATTTACCAATCAGCAAACGCAACTCACCGCATTCAGCTTATCAACTTTCTTCTTCTCTGGTCCCCTCATTGTTGCTGCCAAAACTTCATCCCCTTTGAATTCTTTGTAAAGTTCCGACAGAGTCTCCCGGGTCTCGACATTTGCATTTTTCAGGTAGTAGGACGGGTCTGACCTTGCTTTTTCATCATCTGCAAAACAACATCAACAGGAAAACGGCTTCTTGGCATTCACGGTTTTGCTGGTGTTTCGTATCTGACAATCTCTGGCACCCACAGCAGGTGCCTTAAGGCCAGGGGAACGGAATGGCCTCCCTAGTGAAGTGGCTCTGTCTGCCTCATTAAATTGCTCCCAAAAGTTAATAAGGAAGCAAGAAAGCCCAGCTCACTAGAGATGCCATTCCGTTACCCTGGCCTTAAGACACCTGAGGTATGTGTTTTGAGGATCCACCGTACTCCTCTGACAGTAATTGGTTTCAACTATTTTCAAAACTGAATTTCAATTTGTTGTCACCTTCTCTGGAACCTGATGGTGAAGGATGGGTAAGAAATTTAAATAATAATTCAACATTACCAAGGAAGCCCTGTCATGAGTTACCTCTCCCTGCAACCAGGAGGCGCCATCAACAGGCCCTGCTGATCGTAGGGCCCGAGGGGGTTGATCTTGGGGAAAGCGGAGTGGGTTTTTTTAGAAACTTGGGTGTGAAGATTCTTGTGGCTTTGTACACCAGTACAGTGGTACCCTAGTACAGTGGTACCTCGGGTTACATATGCTTCAGGTTACATACGCTTCAGGTTACAGACTCCGCTAAGCCAGAAATAGAGCTTCAGATTAAGAACTTTGCTTCAGGATGAGAACAGACATCGTGCTCTGGTGGGGCGGCGGCAGCAGGAGGCCCCATTAGCAAAAGTGGTGCTTCAGGTTAAGAACAGTTTCAGGTTAAGAATGGACCTCCGGAACGAATTAAGTACTTAACCTGAGGTACCACTGTACTTGAATGGCTTGGCTCCTAAACAAATTGGCTCCCAAACGCTGCAAACCCGGAAGTAAGTACTCCATTTTGAGGAAGCCAAACATCCGACGCAGCTTCCGATTGACTGCAGGAAGCTCCTGCAGCTAATCGGAAGCTGCGCCTTGGTATTTGATCGGTTTCGAGAGTCAAACGGACTCCAGGAACGGATTAAGTTCGAGAACCAAGGTACCACTGTATTAACAGCTGGAACTGGGCCTGTTAGCTCACTGACCGCCAGCACTGCACTTTCAGGACAAGTAGCCCCATTGGGCTGTTCCACCGCATTTTGATGCGACAATGGCTCAGTCTGCTTTCCATTTAACGTTCTGCTTTGCTTCTTTCATGGCCTCCAAGCCTCCTGACAACCGTTCTTACCTGGATCGGTCACTTTCAAGTTGTTCTTCACATGGAAAAAGCCGGAGACGTTAAATTTGTCCAAATTGGTTGGATCCTAAAAACGAAAAGGAAACACAATGCAAAAATATGTGAAGGCCAAGCCATCTTGAAACGTCAAGCCAGGATGCTGATAATCCAACCATATTTATGCCGTTGTGGGGGGAGGGTGTTGCATTTTCTCCAGCAACAGCTTTAAATGAAACTCTTCATGCTAGGGTGCTCTATTTGAGTGTGACGAAACTTGAAGTCAAGTGGGGGGTGGTGGTTTCCAACATGATTTGATGATTTTCTAGAGGCATATATCTTAACAGGGTAGTAAGGAGGACAGAGTGTGGCCTCAAGTCCCAAAGCAACGCTGGGAGAACTGTCTGTCGATATGAATGCAAATGGGGAAAGTCAAGATGAATGCAGCATTGTGACTTTAGATAAGAAACCATCCAATATTCCATCACCACTAACTCACCAGAGAGCGCCAACTGCTCTGCCTCTCATTAAATAACATAATTATGTCTTTCATTCATCCCTGAAATTGTTTGCTTTCACTGGTGAATAAATCTTTAGTTTTACGGCTGGCAGTAAAACCAAAAGACATTTTCGAAGTCAAGCAGTGCGGGCCGGCACCCAACCGGCAGCCCACTGGCTTCCTTTCTCTCCCCTTTCTGCACGCTTGTAAATTATTTCCCTTTGTTTTCTCCTTTAAGAGCTGGGCGGCAGCTGAAGAAAATGGATTTTCATTGCACAGAACACAGACAGGCATAGAAGCTGCATGCAGAAGATTATTCTGCAGCTTGCTCTTTTCCAAATCACGTTTTATTACTTCCACAGTTTTTGAAAAGAGATGTGGAAGATCAGGAATGGTGGACCTCAGCCCCAGGGCCCGTATGTGGCCCCCCACGACCCTTTATGTGGCCCTTGAAACTCTCCCCGGGCCACAACCCCTCCCCAGCCACACTCTCCACAGGCCTTGCTTCACACCATCTTTGAGTGCTTTTGCCTTGACGGAATGTGCCTCAAACTCAGATTTTGCGTCTAGCTTGCCTAGGCAGTTAGTTAGCTAATTGTTGTTGATCAATTAATTTATATACCACTTTTTTGCCAAATCTGCTTCCAAGCAGTTTAGAACTATTAACACAAGTACATAATTAAAATGCATAATAACAAATCCATTAGAGCAATCAAACATCCTTAGCAGGTTGGCATCCATCTGTCTCAAAAGACAATGGGATTGTGCCTCAGGGGTGAAGTCAAACCGCTGCCTTGGCAGCGCCAAAGTGACCTCTGCAGGGTGCAAGTCTGGGCAGTGTGTATGGGGGTCCTGGGCTGTCCAGAGGACCAGACCCCCCACTCTCAGCCTTGCTGATCTGGACCAAAGGAAAGCGGAGCAATATGCTTGGCTGCAGGTGTGGCCGGAAGGAGCAATACAAGGTGCCATCCAAACATCTTAGGGCCCCCACTCTGGATCTGCGTAGAGTTTACTCATTAGCCTTCTCTTCTCCCGAAGATATCCAGCAAGACAGCGGAAGTGTAGGGTCAGAGCTTTCCTTTTCCTAGATGGGGTACTTTCCCAGGTGGAGGAGCCCCATCTGCTCCTCATTTCACTCTACTGCACATGCAGAAACTGCCTTCTGGACGGCTGGACCCACTATTGGTGCTGTCTGCTCAATCTGTCAGAGCCTGCTTTCTCATGCAGTGGAAGTCTCACTGAGGGTTTGAGACCCATCGACTACCCTCACCTGGTTTAGCTGGCCAGTCAAAATCATTTCTTGGGTATAGCAGGTGACAACTTCTTGGAGCCACAAGTGAGAGCTGAGTGCAGGGTGGGGACGAAAGGTGGGCAAACTACCCCCAAAGGATGATGATATCCCCCTCCCCTAATACCCCATACATCCCTTATTTAAACATCCTTAATTAATTAAAACAGTGATAACAGTATCTTACCTGTAGCGTGATAATATCTTGCCTAGTAAAGGGCTCGTCACTTAAGAGATCTTTGTAGGTTTTTGTTTTTATGTTCAGCTGTTCAACTGCCTTAAAAAGTGAGACAGAGAAAAAGACATATGAAGTCAGAAAAGATGTCCCAAAAGCTCAATGCAATATTTTACCTTTTACAATCCTATAAGGCAACAGCAGGGAACCTGTGGCCCTGTGGATGTTGTTGGACTTCAGCCAGCAAGGCCATTCAATGGACAGGGATTGTAGGAGCTGTAGCCTAGCTATAAGAGCAGTTCTGCTGGATCAGGCCAGTGGCCCACCTAGTCCAGCATCCTGTTCTCACAGTGGCCAAGCAGATGCCTCTGGGAAGCCAACAAGCAGGACCTGAGCACAGAAGCACTCTCCCACCCTCTGTTTTCTATCAGCTGGGATTCAGCAGCACTACTGCCACCAACCAAGGAGAAGAAAAGTGTTTCTTCTGGTTCTTTTGGGTGCAGGGGGAAAATGAAAACACTAACTTCTAAAGTGCTGTGTTTTAGAGTTCAGTTAATCCATGCACTAAGAATACTGTAACCACAAGCATTAAGAACGCTGTAGGCACAGACCCAACTGCCAGGGTTTAACAATATTTTTGTAGGACTCAAAAGCTCATGAACCTTAAGTGGCACCTCGGTTTTCGAACGTAATCTGTTCCGGAAGACCTTTCGACTGCCGAAACGTTCAAAACCCAAAAACCTCAATACAATAGGAAAACTCAAATTGGAAGCCACGTAACACGTTCGGCTTCCGAAAATCGTTCGAAAACCGGAGCAGGTCCTTCTGGGTTTTCAGCGTTCGAAAGCCGAAATGTTTGACTACGGAGGCGTTCGGCAACCGAGGTTCCACTGTACACTGTAAAATTCCAAGTCGCGCGTTAGCCACACGAAGGGAAGGGCCAACACATAGATGGGGAGCAGTGACACAAAAGTTCCCCCTGCCTCTGTCATTGCGTGTGACACCAGTTCTGCCCCCAACTTCCACACAATGAGCTGCATGTTGCAAAGAGGAGCCCAAGAAGCACTCAGCACGATGGACAGATCCTGTGCAGAGCCTGTACACCCTGGGCAGTAGAGTAGACGCCCTTTTGCAGATGAAGGGCTACCACATGAAAGATGAAGTGTGCTCGTTTTCTGCCACTCCAAAGGTTAGCACCCAAACCCACGGATTCAAATTAAAAGAAAGGCAATTCCGATGAAATATAGCTTTCTGGCAGTAAGAGCTGTTCCACAGTGGAGTGGACTACACTGGAATGTGTTGGACTCTCCTTCAAACAGAGGTTGGATGGCCATCTGTCAGGGATTCCTCAGCACTGCAAGGGGTTGGACTAGATGGCCCTTGGGGGTCCCTTTCCAACTCAAAAAATTCTATGATTCTATGTCTGTGTGTCGAGTGTGAGGCCAGTAGTGTATGTTGATCATACCTGGTTGCATTTCCCTTTCCTATTTCTTCCAATTTTGTAAACAGGTTTCGTTCTTTACTGCTATTTTTAATTGTTACTTGCCTTTTCCTTTTAGTGAGCTTATTTGGGTTATGCCTTGGTTCTAAACCAGTGTTTTGGACGTCTTTAGCCAGATCTGCTACAGTGTAATCTGGCTTCTTTCGCTTGAGGCCCCAGAAGCAGAGCGTGGTACTTTGGATTTTCTCTTTGGATCTTGGGGACACCCAGAGCACAGCTTGAGATCTCCTGGCTCCAGCTGGGTGGACAACTGCCCTACCCAATAGGGATGGTTTTACACCCTGGATGTTGGCACCATCTGAACCACTGAGAACCAAGGACTTGGATTTTGGGCGAGGTTTTCTTGACAGCATGAATCGGGATTGAGAAATTCTTTGGACAGCAAAGTGCATTAATGATCAGGTGATATCAAGGAGAGGTGTTCTGACATCAAGGATCAGCATGACGAAGGAGCAACACACCATTCCGAGTCATGGCTGGAATATTGCTAGGTGATGCTGCTGGGTATTTTTTAAGCCTGGGCATTCTTTGCCTCCATTGTGCTCTGGAATGTGCCCTGTTCCGTTTTCAGAATCAACACAGAGCATTTAAACAAAAGGGGTCAGGAGGTGACTGCGTAGCAAGAATTCGCGTCAAAGGAGCAGAAATCTCAGCACCCAAAAGCTCCCGACAGGAAAAAGGGCAGCTGCAAGCAGAAGTACAAGTGCTTGTCATTTATAGCTTATCGTGGTTTTGAATAAGGAACAGGTATATATGCAAGCACGGCAGAACCAAAGCACGATTCAAAAATTATAACCAAGCAGAAAGGATTTAAGGGTAATATTCAATTAACATTTATCATTCAAAAGTGGCTTGTTTGTTTTTAAGCCACCCTTTGTCTCCCTCCCAGTGCAGTTCAGCAAGCTGGTACTGCCCAACTTCCCCACCCCTCTGTAGCCCCTAGACACATATCCCAGGGCCTTTTTGGGGTCCTCCTTCCATGAGATGCTTCTGGGGCAGCAGAACTGTCTGCTGCTGGGAATACCCCTTTTATGTGGAGCCAGCTGTAGAGCAGGTGTGAGGAACCTTTTGCTCTCCAGATGCTGATGAACATCATCCCTGGCCTTTGGCCATGCTTGCTGGGGCTGATGGGAGTTGTAGCTCAGCAACATCTAGAGGGCCCAAGCTTCCTCACACCTGCTCTGCAGCTGGCTCTGTGTAAAAGCATGTGAGATGCAACCTGCTTCAGCAGGCTCCACAGAGTGGGGGGAGTGGGGCGGAGAGAAGGTTGTATACTGCCTTTCATAAGAAAGCATGATTAAATATACCAACAAACCAACGATCCAGGCACCAATATTTTCTAACAGGGTAACTTCATAACCTGGTTCAGTAGAGAACTCACCTCATAAGCGAACACGTTCCCAGTTGTCTTGATAGCCACTATGTGAGAATTATTAGTGAACACAGTGAAGAGAACCGGGCAGTGGTATTTACCTGATTTGGAGAAGGAAGAGGGTTCAGAAACGAGTGGCAATTATTACATGCATTGTGCAATGTGCAGCAGATGCTACAAGCAACTTTGTGAATAATATACAGAATTATATATGTGTGTTTGTAGTTATATACAGATATTGTCAGGGGCTGGATTGAGGAGGAATGGGGAGGACTGTCCCTCCTGAACCTTCCTGGGAACAGGAGGATAGATTTACAACAGTGGTTTGCAGAAGGTCATAGTTCAGAGGTTGCAGAGGGGAGAAGCCGGGAAATACTGGGAGAGGAAGAAGCAGGAAGAAGCAGCACCAGGGGAGAGACAGCTGACAGATTCAGTGTCTTTGCAAAGCATTCCTGATCCCCCCTCTCCCAGGACCAGGCAGGCACTGAGAGCAGTAGAACAGAAAGCTCAGAGGCAGAAAGCTCAGATCAGCCAACACGGGGATGACGTAGAATAGGAGAGACAAAGGGGGGTGGGACTTTACTCAAATCAATGCCATTATCTAAGAGATACTGCATTTCTTTGTCTCTCTGTATGAATACTGAATAAAGTAAAGGTAAAGGTAAAGGGACCCCTGACCATTAGGTCCAGTCGTGGCAGACTCTCGGGTTATGGCGCTCAACTCACTTTACAGGCCGAGGGAGCCGGCGTACAGCTTCTGGGTCATGTGGCCAGCATGACTAAGCCGCTTCTGGCGAACCAGAGCAGCGCACAGAAACGCCGTTCACCTTCCTGCCGGAGCGGTACCTCTTATCTACTTGCACTTTGACGTGCTTTCGAACTGCTAGGTTGGCAGGAGCAGGGACCGAGCAACGGGAGCTCACCCCGTCGCGGGGATTCAAACCGCCGACCTTCTGATTGGCAAGCCCTAGGCTCAGTGGTTTAACCCACAGCGCCACCCGCGTCCCACTGAATAAAGTACTTGGTAAGAACTCTTCTTGTTTATCTGCTTCTTGGCTGCCACCGTGGGAGGGATCAGATTCCCCGAAGCCTGACAGACATATAGATATAGATATATAGATATATAAGAACACCTTCCAGCAGAAGCGGCTGATGGCTAACAAGTCCAACGGTTGCTCCTCCATTCCTTTCTTCCTCAGAACAACCCTGTGAAGCTGAGAGTTACTGGCTTTTATGGGTAAGTGGAGATCTCAGGTCTCTCTTGTCCTATTCTAATCACTACACTGCACTGGCTCATCACACAGCATTCCAAAAATTATGGCCTTTTCAAGTGCAACAGCAGCAACCTAATGGTACGTGTGCACCACAAAGCAGAAATATATTCACGTATCAATCCATGTTCTTTTGCAGTTCTCGAAGTGGTCTAACAATCAATCCCTATCCCCAGGGAATTCTGGGAACTGCAGCTTTCTGTGGGGAGAATAGGGGGGTCTCCTAACAACTCTCAGCACACTGGACAAACTACACCTCCCAGGATTCTTTGCAGGTAGTCATGACTGTTTAAAGTGCATAAGCAGATGGGGCCTATGCAAGAGAAAGAGAGAGAGAGAGAGAGAGAGAGAGAGACAACTTCAGATTGCATAACCCATCTGGGCAATGGTCTGTGTCACTCTGCATTCTGTGTGGCATCTATTCACATTTCCAGCTCCTTTAAATAGAAGGGGGAGGGGGGAAGCTTTCAAAAGACTCAAGAGTGCCGACTCACCATTGCTGTTTTTAGCAAAGTTCAGTTTGATGAGAGATTTGGCCTCCAGCTTCTGCAGGGGGTAAACAAACATAGCGGTTAATCATCGTCCCTGGCACTGACCCCAAAGAGAAGCGAAGAAAGTAACCATGGCATTAAGTGACTCAGAGCGCAGCGCAGATGCTCTCGCCACCACACAGATACAGAGAGAAAACCATCCGCCCAAGATGTGCTGCTGAATTGAACGGGCATCCTGGACATGACACCATCCACACAATTACATGACTTGTTTATTTATTAATTTGTTTCTTTAAAGTAAACCGGAAACAGCCCTCGCCAAATCCACATCAGGCCTCTGTAAGGGAATTTTTTTATTTTCTGCACCCAGCATAGCTGCAATGCACCTTTTACTTGGGTTCAAGATTAAAGTTGCAGTTGGCACCAACAGCACCCCCCACCACCAATGAAAATAGCAATGGGGGCAAGTGTTCGAAATTCGAAACACGCCAGGTACATTTTGCTACTGGCGTTGGGTCCAACTGCAACCACGTGGAGATTTCTGGGCACCAGGTTGGTAGCCACAGTTTAAAAACCTCTGCTTTAGTCCATAGTTAATATCATTTCCATTTCTACTGTGTTTCTCTTTCTTGCATACCGAGACGAGTGAACTGTTGTAAGAGTAAAGAACAATCAAGCGATGGGAGTTGAGATCATAGAATCGTAGAATTGGAAAGGACCTTGAGGATCACCCTGGCGAACAGACATTGCGCTGCAGCAACCACAGCCTAGAATTAAGATGCCATTTGACACCCAGTTTATATATCTGAGTTTCTAACACTGAATTGGGGGGTAGGGTGGGGCGCAAAACTGCACTGAGACCTCAGAGAGGCAAATCACACCAGAAAACCAATGAAAATGAGGTCCTCAACACCTGTTAGGTTAACATTAGGGGAGATATTTGCTTTATGAACAAAACCCAATTGTCCCCCTCTTAAAAGAGCAAACCCAAACAAAGTCATGTTGGGTGTGTGTTACTGTTATTGTTTTTTATTTTGATACGTATTTTTGAGTTTTTATGTTGCAAACCGCCATGAGGTCCTCAGACAGAGGATTAGTATAGAAATTTAATAAAGAATAAAGAAGAAGAATAAAAGGGACTGCACTTTCTTCAAAGAAAAAGCTTTTTAAAAGAAAAAATCTTGCATGGTCATGGTGAGGAATGTGTGTTGGTCTTGGGTTAGGGTACGTTTAGGGATGGTTGATGCAAGGGGGACTGTTGCTGTTACCAATAATTGTTTGTATCCTTGTTTTTAAATCTTGCTATGATTCATGTGGAAATTGTTTGATTTGGTTGTGTACTTTTTGTGTGTTTTATTTATTGTTTTTGACTATTACAGTTATATTTGTTAACTATGTAATTTGTTTCCTGCTGTAAGCCACCTTGAGCATGGTTTTAGCTATGGAAAGGTGGCATAAATAAATATAAATAAATAATTTTTTATTTATACCCCGCCCTTCCCGGTTCAGAAAACCGGGCTCAGGACAGCTAGCAACTAATTTAAAACACTTAATTGTAATACAACATAGAAGCGGCATAAAATACAGTATAAAAGCATGAATAACAATAAAATTCAAAGTTCAAAAATCAATTTGGGGGAAATCCATCCAATAAGCATTAGATAGTCACCAGGGCTAGCTGGCTGAATTAGTCCTACTTGGGCCAGCGAGGAGGCCAGGGGAGAATTAGCTGTCGGGTCTCAGAGCGGGTAATCTTCCTAAAAGGGGAGGGGGAGGGAAAGAAAATGATGTATGTATGTATGTACCGTATTTTTCGCTCTATAGGACGCACTTTTTCCCCTCCAAAAATTAAGGGGAAATGTGTGTGCGTTCTATGGAGCGAATGCAGGCTCCTTGGCTTCAGTGATAGCAACGCGAAGCCTCCGAAGCGCAGAGGGAGCGCTCCCGCTGCGCTCCGGAGGCTTTGGGTTCCTTTTGCTGAAGCTAGGAGAGCAAGAGACTCCTGAGTTCAGCAGAGAGGGAGAGCTGCGCAGCGCCCCTTCAGCGAAGCAGGAGGAGAAATGGAAGGGGCTCCGTTTCTCCTGCCGCTTCACTAAAGGGGAGCTGGGCAGAGAGGGGGAGAATTTCCCCCCCCTTGTTCTCCCCCTTTAAAACAAGGTGCGTCCTATGGTCGGGTGCATCCTATAGAGCAAAAAATACGGTATGTATTATTACTTTAAAAATGCATGCTGTTGGTCAGTGGCATGGCATTTGCTTTGCACGCAGAAGGTCTCGGGTTCAATCCCTAGCTACCTCCAGAGAGCTGAGAAAGTTCTCTAAAACCCGGGAGATTCATTGCCAGTCAGTGGAGACAGTGCTGAGCTAGATGAACCAACAGGCTGACTCAGTAAAAAGCAGTGTTAGAAACTGGGATAGGAATACTAAGAGCCATGTGGCTCCTGGGACATAGGTTGTGGGTGCCAAAACAAAATGTCTAGGCACCTTCTTCTTCTTTTTGCTGCCCCACTACCAGACCAGGCAGCCCAGCAGCAAAAAAATTTTTTAATGCTGCCGGGAGAATCAGGGTGTCTGCAGGGTAGTGAGGCAGCAAAAGATGTGTCTTTTGCTACTGCTCCACCCTGCCAAACACCTGATTCACCCAGCAGTGCGGCAGTAAAACAACAACAACGGGTGCATCTTTTGCTGCCACTGTGCCTGGCAGACCAGCTGACTGCAGCCAGGCAGGTGGAGATGCCAGGCGCCAAGTATGGCTCCATCCATTCACAAAAGGCTGGCTGCCAGTTGCAAAATGTGCTCGGCACCCGGCTAATTTTGAATGCTGGTAAAAAGCAGCGCTCCTATGTTTGGGAAGGGTCATGGCTCAGTGGAAGAAGAGCTGCTTGGTCAGCAGAAGGTTCCAGGTTCAACCACTGACATTTCCAGATAGGGCTGGGAAAGACTCCCTGCCTGAAACCTTGGAGACCTGGTCTCAGGCAATGTGGGCAACAGTTGTTGGAACAATAGCCTGACTTGGTAGAAGACAGTTCCATATGTTCCTATGCTAAATGGAATGTAGGACATTCACATCTAGCTTGGTCCTATATCAACTCTGTTATTAAGTGCAATACTAGAGGACCCTTCTAGGTACTTCCCAATTTCTGAAGGACAGGTATAGGGCTACTACAAAGAGCCTTTTCAGTGGTGGCACCTCTGCTACGGAACCTCCTTCCTTTAATAGTTCATTTGGCATCAAATCAGATGTCCTTTAGGTGCCCAGTTGAAATGATCTTGATTTCATGGTCTTTTATTTTTAGACTGCACAACTTCTTCAATGGATATAAACACACCAGACCAAGACAAAAGCACCAAACCATTAGGAAGCATGCATCTCCAACCTTCCCCTTTGCACTCTAAATGATTAAGGCTAGCATATCAGTAAAAACTGAATGTAAGCAATCCATACAAGATGGAACACACCCAGTTCCAATATCAGACAGTACAAGAACAAGATTTTAACCTTCTTTCTCTTTTAATTCCATTAACATCTTATGTAACAGATGGGGAATGTGTTTTGGCCAGAGCGCCACATTCTCTCGCTTGAGGGATCATCTGGGGGCCGCATTCCATGGATGGGTGAGGCCAGAGGCAAAAGATGTGACTCTCACCTTTGCACGGTAGGCTGCGTTCCAAAATTCATTCATCCAGAGGATGCTACACACACTTTTCCATCCAGGCAAGCAAGAAGCATTATCTTAGGTCAAGGACACATTCCAAGACAGGCAAAAGTACTCAAGGAGGACATGCAGAAAGGCTGGTGAGGGGTGCAGCTTGTGAGAGTCCCAAGGGCCAGGAAAAGTCCTGGAGGGCCACATTTGGTTGCCCATCACTACTTCACACAACAATCTTAGAAAATAGTTTTTTATTTTACTTCTTCATTTCTTTCAGGGGAGATTATCATAACTCCTCCAGCATCACTCCACTTTTCCTTCCTTTTTCATTTCTTTTATTGGGGTTTCAGATTGCCAATAAAACCAAAGCAGAGTCTTAATCGCTAGCCGAAGATAAATGAAAGAACCCCCAGAGTGAAACTTGCATTTCCAGCTTGCTGCGGCCCAAATTAAAAGGACTTTGCACGAAAAGCAGAGCAGGGCAACCCTCGCAGCAAAGGCATTCGTATGAGAGCCAGCCAAGCTGATTCAAAGTGACAACTCCAAAAAGGATTTCCGCTGGAAGGTTATAGAGTGCGCTAGTTATTACTGCAATTAGTCTTATTAATTTGACCACTAAAATAACCACCGATATAATTTTGGGGGGCTTAGAAAAACATAAGCGCTGGATCCAATGCCTATCTTACTCCATGGAAACTAATGGATATAACTAAGTCATCTCTAAGTGTCTACTTTCAGTAGAACTAAGTGGGAGAAAACCCACAGACTGTGATTTCTCTCTTGGTTTTGCAAACGAGATTCAGTAACTGATGGATGGGCTCTTCATGTAATCCAGGTGTTGGGAGCCAGTCTTCCTCCAGATGTTGCTGGACCACAGCTCCCATCAATCTTGACTACTGGCCATGCTGGCTTGATAGCTCATAGCAGCTGGAGACCAACAACTGAAGGGCCATATGTTTCTCATCCCTGACATAAATAGTAAGCTAGATGAACCAATGGTCTGATTCTGTGCAAGGCAGCTTCCCAGGTATGGGTTGAAAACAGGGTGCTGCAAGGACACCCGCTTTACTTTCATGAAACACAGACAGGCATGCTGGACGTCTTTGCTAGAACACTGCAAAACATGTGTCAAAGGCTCGGAATCAAAAAATCTCCCTACCTAAAGGAGTGGCAAAGGCTTTCCATTGACCTACAGGCTTTCCCCAAAAACAATCCTAAGACCTGCAGTTTGTTAAGGGTGCTGAGAGCTGTTAGAAGACCCCCTCACAGATTGATCATTCCCATCACCCATAATAAACTACAGATCCCAGTATTCTTTGGGGTGAAACCTTGACAGTTAAAAGTGGTATAAAAGTGCTTTAAATGTGATCTACCACTCCAAAGCACAAAGTCCCACAGATATTGAGGGCCAGCTCCAAGGGTCTTCTGGTGGTTCCCTCACTGCGAGAAGTGAAGCTAAGGGAACCAGGCAAAGGGCCTTCTCAGAACTGGCACCCTCCCTGTGGAACGCCCTCCCATCAGATGTCAAGGAGATAAATAGCTATGCAAGTTTTAGGAGACACCTGAAGGCAACCCTGTAAAGGGAACTTTCTAATGTTTAATGTTTTATTATTTCTTTATATGTGTTGGAAGCCGCCCAGAGTGGCTGGGGCAACCCAGCCGGATGTAAATAATATTTTTATTTATTTATTATTAGATAATTATTTAGGGATGGGTTCTCAGGGTGAAGGTCTACTAGTATCACTCCCTAACAGAGGTAGCAGGTAGCTGGCCAGGGATTTTAAAGGCAGTGCATTATCACAGCTAGGTGATAATTGCATTGAACATAGGAATAGTTCCTTTGAAATGTAGCTATTAGCAGAGCACTCAGATTCAAGCTTTGGCATTTGAAGAGCTGTAGTCTATCAGCTGGCGATGAGCTAGCTCACAGAATCCTTCTTTCAGCATGGCCTAGAGAGGTTGTCTCTTGGAGGGATTTCTCTGGGTCCCCCCCCCCCAATACTGTACACTATTGTGTCAGCCAGTAAATTAGGTCCCATTAATTTGCGATGGTGGCATTCAATGAGAAAGGTCATAGCTCAGTAGGAGAGCATCTGCTTTGCATGCAGAAGGTCCCAGATTCAATCTCTGGCATCTCCAGGTAGGGCTGGGAGAGAAACCCCGTTTGAAATCCAGGAGGGCTGCTGCCAGCCAGTGTAGACAATAGTAAGGTGGGTGGACCAGTAATCTGAGACTGGTTCCTACGTTCCTAATGTGACAGAGGTCAGAGTCTCACCACTGCAACCTTGGTAGTCTGTGAGGGAGAATAAAATATTGAGACTCTTCCTTGGGTCAAAGGGGCTCTAGGTGAGAGAAGTCAGCTTAGAGAAAAGTGAAGAGGATTCATGGTGATCTCTGGCATTAACACCAGTGAACTCTAGGATCAAAAGTTGTCCTGAAGGTGAAGGACTCCCTAGGCTTTGCCATAAGCAATAAGGGTTGCTGGGAAGGTGTTTGTTTGTTTGTTATTGGAATTTTTTGATCAAAATGCATGGAATACTGCAAAGTACAAATGATATTCAAACCAGAATGAAGTCCTGCCTGGAGATCTTGAGGAGATTAACTTGAATATAGTCAGAGTGGAGGATGAAGGAGGAGGAGCTTGCTCAGTGTTCCTGCTTTCCGTCTCCAACAGGCGAAAAGGAACAGAAAGCGACTAGGTCATGTTGAACCCAAACGATTCTAAAGCTCTGGGAGCCAGGATATAATCGACAGATTGTTCCAAGCTCATAAAAGTAATGAAAAGATTGCAAAGAGGTTCTTGCAGTAAACAGCGATGATTCAGACAAGAACTTCCTTGCAACAGCGCGGTCCATATGGACTCATGCTACTCCCACACGATCCTGTGACTCGGAGCCATCTGTAAAAAAAAATATGCAGCGTAATTTGTTGTTAGCAGCATGGATAATACAGCTGCTGGTAAAACTACAGGGGCATTGCGGCCCGTGGAAGCCAGCCAAATAAATGCAAAGGTTTACAAAGCCTGACGGTCCAGGAAGTGCGTGAGAATATTAGGGAAACAATGCTGCCCAGTGATCATTTCTGTCTTTTTCCAGGAAATGGAAGGCAAGCCAATCATGCATGAAGCTGGCAGCACTGCTTCATATTGCAGAATCCGGGTTATCATGACGCAGAATTTAAATTAATGTGCACAGACCCAGTTTGACATGCATTTTTTCTTTTTAAAAATTAATTCTGGATGGGTTTACCGCACCATTTATTTAGATAAAATGGAAATCAAAATCACGGCATGTCATACGGCTGATGCTTGGGGTACGGGTGCTGCCTTTTATCCCCCCCCCCAAAAAAAAACCCACACCAGCCAAGAGACTTTTGGCAAGGCAGCCTCCTTTCTGGCAATTAGGAGCAAGCCTAGGGACTGAGCTCTCTCTCTTCCCGTCTGCCAGCTGACACGGCTCACCCCTCCCAGGACTGAGGAGGGCAGCCTCTCCCGCCCCTCCTGGCTGCCGCCATCACACAAAAGCAGGAGCTCTTTGACTGTGTAGGTTAGTGGGGCACCAGGGCAGACCGAAGATGAAACAAGCCGAACGGCTGAAATTGATTACCCTTCTGCCACGGACAAGCGTGTGATGGATGAGCCAGCCGACAAATTCTCACACGGCCATTTGTCACGCACGTAGGGTGCCATGCTGCATTAAAAGGATTTGTAGCCAACGACATCAAAAGGCTGCGCCAGGCACTGAGAGAAAAGGAGGTCTCTTCCTTCCACCGGGCACCCCACACAGATAAGGGGGCAGCCCATGCATAACCGCTAAAGGAGGGTGGGGGGTACCTCTTGAAGGCAGCTTGGAAGCTGCAGCCGGCACAGAAGTCTCATCTCCTGCCTTTCAGGTAAAAGGTAAAGGGACCCCTGACCATTAGGTCCAGTCGTGACCGACTCTGGGGTTGTGGCGCTCATCTCGCCTTATTGGCCGAGGGAGCCGGCGTACAGCTTCCGGGTCATGTGGCCAGGATGACTAAGCCGCTTCTGGCAAACCAGAGCAGCGCACAGAAACGCCGTTTACCTTCCCGCCGGAGCGGTACCTATTTATCTACTTGCACTTTGATGTGCTTTCAAGCTGCTAGGTTGGCAGGAGCAGGGACCGAGCAACGGGAGCTCACCCCGTCGCGGGGATTCGAACCGCCAACTTCTGATCGGCAAGTCCTAGGCTCTGTGGTTTAACCCACAGAACTGCGTAACAACAAACCAACATAGGAAGTTGCCTGATATTAAGTCAGAATACTGAGTCACCTAGCTCAATATTGTCTACACTGGCTGGCAGCAGCTCCTAGGATTTCAGCTGGCAGTTCTTACCCTGGAGATGCCACTGCCATGCATTGAATCTGGGACCTTCTGTGTGCAAAGCAGATGCTCTACCACTGAGCTGCAGCCCTTCCCTCAAGGCACAGAAATAGAATTGTAGAGTTGGAAGGGACCCTGAGGATCATCTAGTCCAACCCTCTGCAATGAAGGAATATGCAGCTGTCCCAAACAGGGATCGAACCTGCAACCTTGGCATTATCAGCACCATTCTCTTATCAACTGAGCCTTATACAGAGGCATACTTAAGCATTGTCTACACTGACTGGCAGCAGCTCTCCAGGGATTGAGGCAAGGGGTCTCTCTCCCTGCCCTGCCTGGACATGCCAGGGATGGAACCTGGGACCTTCTGCATGCAGATTCTCTTACTACTGAACTATAGCCATTCCCCAAGCAACGTATCACCCACCTATTCTCATGTTTAAGCCAGTGCACCATTGTGGTTGGAGTAGCAGACTAGATTCAGGGAGACCCAAGTTCAAATCCCCAATCGGCCATGATGTTCTTGGGCCGATGTCTACTTTACAGCCAAAACTACATTACACAGTTGTCTGCTGTGAGGATAAAAAGGGGAAGAGAAAGGACCAAGTGTTCCGGCCTATGCTCCTTGGAAGAGAAGCAGGATAAAATAAAGTATACATCACCAAAAATATGCACCTGTCCGTATTCATCAGCACTAGATGCCAATACAATGGTACCTCGGGTTACATACACTTCAGGTTACAAACTCTGCTAACCCAGAAATATTACCTCGGGTTAAGAACTTTGCTTCAGGATGAGAACAGAAATCATGCTCTGGTGGCGCGGCAGCAGCAGGAGGCCCCATTAGCTAAAGTGGTGCTTCAGGTTAAGAACAGTTTCAGGTTAAGAACGGACCTCCAGAACAAATTAAATACCGTATTTTTCGCTCTATAAGACGCACCGGACCACAAGACGCACCTAGTTTTTGGAGGAGGAAAACAAGAAAAAAAATATTCTGAATCTCAGAAGCCAGAACAGCAAGAGGGATCACTGAGCAGTGAAAGCAGCAATCCCTCTTGCTGTTCTGGCTTCTGGGATAGCTGCGCAGCCTGCATTCGCTCCATAAGACGCACACACATTTCCCCTTACTTTTTAGGAGGGAAAAAGTGAGTCTTATAGAGCAAAAAATACGGTACTTAACCCGAGATACCACTATATAGCTCAAGGCGCAAGTTCTAAATGTCTATCAGCTACCAAGCCAAGTTCAATGGGTTGGTACCAAAATACAAAGCCCTGTACAGCTCAGGACCAGGTTACTTGAGAGATGGCCTTATCCCTTAATAGAGCCTTATGATCTGCTGGAAATTTCTAAATCTCAGAAGCCCGCTCTGCAGCAACTTAGTGTAGGCTTTTAGTGTGGCTGCCCCTGTTCTGTGGAATAGCATTCTCTTCAAGATACAACACATCACAACAGCAGTTCTCTGGGTGGCGTGGAAAACAAAACAGATTTTTAAAAGATCGCCATTCCCCAATAACAAGAACAAAGAGTTAATAGACCAGCAATCCTTCACTGACTTGCGGGATATCTTCCAAGAGAAGAAAAGACTAAGGAGCAAACCTTTACACTAATCTGGAGTGGAGTCCCTAAGACGGTTGGGTGGTGTCTCGTGCGCCTCCTTCTGTCAACTCCTGTAGCCAATCTGGTGCCAAATGTATTGCTCTGCTTTTCTTTGGTCCACATCAGCGAGACCAAGAGGGGAGCATTGTTGTCTGGGCAGCCCAGGACCTCCAGACACACTGCCCAGCCTTGCACTCCAAAGAGGTCGCTGCTAACACAGTGGTTTGACTTCACCCCTGGAGGCGCACTTCTTTGTCTCTCGGGACAGATGGATGTGGCCGCCACCAACAACAAATTAAAGCCATACGAGGAAACACCCATTCCAAATCCAGTTGGAGTGGAGTTGGCTCACAGCAGTGTGCAAATTGTAGGAGAAGCAGAAGATTTACAGGGCCCCTAAAGGCAAGATGCGCTGCACCACAACTCCCATCAGTCCCATTAGAGCAGGTATAGGCAAACTCAGCCCTCCAGATGTTTTGGGATTACAATTCCCTGACCACTAGGGATGATGGGAGTTGTAGTCCCAAAACATCTAGAGGGCCGAGTTTGCATATGCCTGCATTAGAGCGTCCAGTGGTCAGGGATGATGGGAGTTGGAGTCCAACAACATCCACAGGACACAATGTTAGCTATGCCTGCTTTAATGAAATCCACAGATCTATTCCCAACTGCCACTTAAGCCAAAGCATGCTCACCTGCAAGCTATCTAAAAACAGTAGCTAAAGGGGCCAAGCCAAAAGTCCAAGTCAGTCAGATCTACTGAGCTGTGCATGTTCTGCAGCTGGGCAAGAAAAATAGAGAAATCACAAGACACACCACAGTGTTCTCTTGAACTGTAACCATAGTGCCGGTATCAAAGCCCAACAATCCAGGTAAGGGATATGACATTATCCCTTGGAACAACTCTGTGGAAGCCGGGGAGGATGTTGCAAAGGTCAATTAATAATGTTTCTCCCCTAAATGGACAGCGGCAGCACTGCACACTCCCATCTGCAGGAGATGACAATGGGAAAAGCATAACAGAAAAACAAGTATGGGAGTGAGTGGGAAGGAAGGCATGAAAATAACTCTCTAATGCACTTGGGGAAGGTTTAGTCATCCCCAGGCTACATTTCAGGAAGAGTTATCAGCATATTATTATTATTAACACTGCATTTGCCAACCTGGCCCCCTCCAGATGTTTCAGAGTACAACTTCAGCTTGCTGGGGCTGATGGGAGTTGTAGTCCAAAAGGGCGCCAGGTTGGCGGATGCTGGATTAACACATCATAGAAAAGGCGCAGATTTTTTTCCTGCTCCTTCCAGAATACCCATCAGCTATTAAAACCCCCACAACTTCCATTGGAGGAGAAAAACAAGGCAGACAACAGGCATTCAGAACCTATCACTGGTTTGCATGCAGCTCATGCAAAATTTACTAAGAAGCCCCCTGCTAAAGTAACACTTATCCTGTTTGGCTTATGGACAGTGTTGCAGTTCATAATCATGAAACAGTGGTTAATTAGAGGGATTCCTGGATTGTTTGTTAGCGCCACAAAGGGGCTATGTGCTCAGGGAAGAGGCTCATTATTACCTAGACTTATTGAGCTGAGCTGTGACTGTGAGAACACGGCAACTGATTCATCTGCTGTCACAGAGCTAGAAATAATTCTCAATTTAAACTAAACATGGCATATTGTTGCAGCGCCACCTTGCACCCTTCAGCTCAGATTGCACTGAGGTGCTAAACCTTGCACATAGGATGTATCACTTCAGACTGTACTTGGGGGCTCACTCTGACAGAAGATTTTCCATACCAAAATAACAAAAGAAACCCGTGCAGACAAAGCTAGCACATCAGGAATAAGGCTCAGCAATTTGAACACTTCTTGTCACCAATGTACTATTTTCTCCATTGGGGTGGGGGTGGGGTTTGTATGGAGGAGCATTCAGCCATGGCCAACTTGCACCTCCCAGTACGTTTCCGAGCACAATTCAAAGTGTTGGTGCTGACCTTTAAAGCCCTAAACTGTCTTGGTCCAGTATACCTGAAGGAGCGTCTCCATCCCCATCGTTCTGCCCGGACACTGAGGTCCAGCTCTGAGAGCCTTCTAGTGGTTCCCTCACTGCAAGAAGCCAAGTTACAGAGAACCAGGCAGAGGGCCTTCTCGGTAGTGGCACCCGCCCTGTGGAACGCCCTCCCACCAAATGTCAAAAGAAAAACAATTACCAGACTTTTAGAAGACATCTGAAGGCAGCCCTGTTTAGGGAAGCTTTTATTGTTTAATAGACTATTGTATTTTAATATTCTGTTGGAAGCCGCCCAGAGTGGCTGGGGAAACCCAGCCAGGTGGGCAGGGTATAAATAATAAATTATTATTATTATTATTATTATTATTATTATTATTATTATTATTACAGTCTGAAGATACAGGTTTACCACCTCATTGGGAATTACGCCTCACAGAAAACAAAACCAAATACATTAAAAAAACCTTGTTTCTTTATGGGGAAGCTCTGGCCACAGGCCACATTAGGTCCCACAGCTGCAGAAGAACAACAGGCAGCCTTAAAGTCAGCGGTGAGGAACCTTATGCCTGACAAGGAGTCCCCTCCTGTGGTTTCTTGCAACTGGGATTCAGAAGCATTACTGCCCCTGGCAGTGGAGGTAATGCACGGCCATCGTGATTCATAGCAGCTGACAGCCTTTCTCCTCCATGAATCTGTCCGGTCCTCTTTTAAACCCTTACAAGTCAGTGGCCATCACTGCCTTCTATGGGAGTGAGTGTCACAGTTTAACTCCACATTGTGCAAAGGAGTACTTTCTTTCTTTCGTCTACCCTGAATCCTCTTAAGGTTCAGCTTCATCAGATGCTCACAAGATATAGTGTTATGGGGGGGGGGCGGCTTTTCTCTTTTCCACTTTCTCCACCCTGTGCAAAATTTCATACACGTCTATCATGTTGTCGCATTGCTTCTCCAGAGTAGACCTGCTGAAGTGAACAGGCACGGCTAACTTAGGTTCATTAATTCCAACGGGTCTACTCTTGAGTAGAACTTTGTTGGATACAACCCAACGATTCTAAGCATGCACAGGATCACACTCCTGCTCACAGATCGCTTCTCGGCCAGAATAATTCCAAAAGCACACCTTGGAGGGCGGCTACAAGTTGCAAAGAAGAGCGCCATGTGCACATCTCTACAATAGACAAAAACCCTGGTACAAAAAGATTTTTTTGGGCCAAACCTTTCACACTCGTATCACAGCTGCCACCTAGTGTTTAAAAGAAATCTCTGCAGATTCCAGCAAGACAGCCTCATAATAAATGTCACGTATTTCTGGACTGTCCTGAAAACAAGAGCAAAAGGTTGAGCTTGGGTTTGACTGTGAAGCACGGAATAATTGCAACCTGCAGCAAATAAAAGTCTGTTCTGTTCAGATGCTATTGGCACTACTAGCCTCAATTTAGGCAAGAGATACAGTGGTACCTCGGGTTACATACGCTTCAGGTTACATACGCTTCAGGTTACAGACTCCGCTAACCCAGAAATAGTACCTCGGGTTAAGAACTTTGCTTCAGGTTAAGAACAGAAATTGTGCTACGGCGGCACGGCAGCAGTAGGAGGCCCCATTAGCTAAAGTGGTGCTTCAGGTTAAGAACAGTTTCAGGTTAAGAACGGACCTCCGGAACGAATTAAGTACTTAACCCGAGGTACCACTGTAACCGCTTTAATCCCAGGAGAGCAAAAAGTTTTCCAGAAGGGTTAATTCAGGCAGCAGCAGAAGGCAGCAAACAAGGGAGAAAAGCAACAATCCACACATAAATATAAATGTGTGAAATGAGTTAAATTTAAAACGAGGCTCAAGTTAACAAAGAAATTGAAGGCAAGACGTTTGGGATGGCTTCATCAATAAACAGAAAGGAGGAAAAGGAGCACACAGGCAGGGCCGGATTTAGGTTTGATGAGGCCCTAAGCTACTGAAGGTAATGGGGCCCTTTATATGTCCAGCGGTCCTTTGTCACCAACAAATTGTTGCTGTTTTTTGTGTTGAATATATGCTATATGGTAATTTATGGACCTAATAGGTATCTAAAGCCATTTGCACATAACAAAATATGTATTTTATCAATTTTATTTGTTTTTTTAATCTTGTATTTTGGAAATGTACATCCAGTTGGTTTTTTCCTTTAATTTTTTTTGGGGGGGGGGCCTCCCAGAGAGTGGGGCCCTAAGCTATAGCTTGTTTAGCTTATATGTAAATTTGGCACTGCACAGGGCACACATAGCAAGGATACCATCTAGAGAAACTCAAGGAATGAAATAAGGTGCCTATCAGTCAGATAGTCTTTTGCATATACAAAACCTTAGCTGACTGGAAGAAGCTTACTGGGGCTTTGGAAAGAAGACTTTCCCAGCCCTACCTGGAGATGCCGGGGAACAAGCCTGGGGTTTCTGCGTGCAAAGCAGATGCTTTGCATCTCTTTGGGCTTTTCTTTAAATCTAGGAGGACCATGTGGCCAATTTCAAACCGGCATGCAGGCCACAACCGAGAAGCATGGTGCATGCTCTCAGAAGTCAGGATAGCACATGCGCACATAACTTTCAAATCAGAATCAAGATAAAATGCAGTGAGCCGAATCTTGGGATTAATGCATGGGTAGGCAAACTAAGGCCCGGGGGCCAGATCTGGCCCAATCGCCTTCTAAATCCGGCCCGCCGATGGTCCGGGAATCAGCATGTTTTTACATGAGTAGACTGTGTGCTTTTTATTTAAAATGCATCTCTGGGTTATTTGTGGGGCATAGGAATTCATTCATTCCCCCCCCCCCAAAAAAATATAGTCCGGCCCCCCACAAGGTCTGAGGAACAGTGGACCAGCCCCCTGCTGAAAAAGTTTGCTGACCCCTGGATTAATGGGTGGACAACAAAAGTGGATTTTGAGAGTCCTTATGGTGGCTAAGAGATTTATACTTCAAGCCTGGAAGGATAAATACCCATTGTCTATTACACAATGGTCTACGGCAGTGGTTTTCAACCAGTGTGCTGTGACACCCTGGGGTGCCTTGAATGACTGTCAGGGATCCTTCCTTCCTTCCTTCCTTCCTTCCTTCCTTCCCCTCCCTCCCTCCGAAGCTCTCTCGTGTCTCTGCCTCCCAATGGTTTGCACAGCTGTTTATTGCAACAGCCCTGGCTATAACCTCAGTAAGCAAATGGTGCCTTTGGGAGGCACCTCTCTTTAGGGTGGGGTGGGGGCAGCTCAGAGACCAGGGGCAGCAGCAGTGGCTGCCCAGAAGACGCCCAAGGAGAGGGGAGAGGACAGGAGGCTGAGGGGAACACTCCGCAAGGGAGGGTGTTCGAAAAAGGGTGAGGGGCTGCCAGCTCTGCAGGCAAGAGGTGGCATAACTGGGTTCCTGAGCCCCACAGGGGTGCCGCAGAAAGAATGTAGTTTGTTAAGGGAGCCATGTACTCAAAAAGGTTGAAAACCTCTGGTCTAAGGACCTCACAGTCCTGGCAACGTTTAAATGAATATCATATATGCATAATTTACATGTGGATACCTATTTGAACATCTGCAGGGCCTACATGAATTTATTAATTTACTCCTGTACTGATGGTCACTGTATTCCCAAAGTGAACAGATTGTGGTCTACCGTTATTACTAGAGTTATCTGTATATTATAATTTGCTTTTCTCTCTCTTTTATTTCTTCCTTAATTTTATTTATTCTATTTCCTTTCCTCGCTAAATTGGGAAACAAAAAATTAATTTTAGAAAAAGCAGAGTACACCAAATCAAGAGTAAATGTGAAAACTGGACGGAGGCTCGGCAGCAGTCTTGCTGATGGACCACAATCCCCTTCTTCCCAGCTGCTTGCTACGTTGGCTGGGGCTCATGGGAGTTGGGCTGCCATCAGCTTCTAGAGGAACACAGCCCGCCCGCCCGCCCCCCATCCAAGAAAACCTACCTCTCCTGTGCTTGGATTCGTCCCATACTTCTTTATCCAGGGAACGATATTCCTAAAACAAGAGCAAAAAAGATGCAGCGAATCAGAAATGCCTGGTTCCTCCCGAAAAGTCACATGTGTTCTGGTACAGCCTAGGGGCTTAGGAAAGTGAGCTGAGAAGCCCCCAACTTAAATAACACCTTGGATATGAACTCACTTTCCTAATAATAATAATAATAATAATAATTATACCCCAACCATCTGGCTGGGTTTCCCCAGGCACTCTGGGAAGCTCCCAATAGAATATTATTATTATTATTATTAGCGATAAAACATCAAACATTAAAAACTTCCCTAAACAGGGCTGCCTTCAGATGTCTTCTAAAAGTCAGATAGTTGTTTATTTCCTTAACATCTGATGGGAGGGCATTCCATAGGGCAGGTGCCACTACCGAGAAGGCCCTCTGCCTGGTTCCCTGTAACCTCGCTTCTTGCAGTGAGGGAACTGCCAAAAGGCCCTTGGCGCTGGACCTCAGATGGGGGTGGAGATGCTCCTTCAGGTATACTGTTGATTTAAAGCAGAGTCTCTGGTGCCCAGCGGAAGGATGAGTAATACGTGCTACATACTCTATATTGCTTTATTTACAGTTCAAAGCTGGTATATTACAGAAAGACATCTTGCCTCTGCAGGAGCAGAGAAATGCATCCTCTCTCCTCGACAGCTTGGAGAGAAACACACAGTGAAAAAAACAGGAAACCAGTGTACGTCACATCCAGTCTCCCTTTCCCGTGAGAAACTCCAACAGTAACTCTGACTGTGGAATGCAAAACAATGTCTTGTGACTGCAGTTGCTGCTCAGTGAGGGAAATAGAAACCAACATCCTCCCCTTTCTGTGAACATCACTGGGCAGCGTGTTCGTACAATATCAGTACAAACCCAACTTCTGCACATAGGTACAGTGTTGATCCCTTGATACAATCTTGGACAATACATCAGCAGGAATTTCATTACCTGGCATATAGGACACCGTTACGAGTCCCTTCTGAATACATTCCCTAGCATGCTGCAACTTTAATTGCAAGTGCTTTGTGCTTTGCTTACAACCTTCAGACTTGAGCAAAGCCAAACATGCTTTGTTGTCCTGGTAAACCTGGATTGGACATTTGACAGGAATTTTCATATCTTTGCACAATTGTACTAACCATTCACAATCCTTAAGTGAATAAGACAGTGCATTCAGTTCGGCTTCACAAGTACTTAAGCTAACTGTTGTTTGCTTCTTGCATGACCAATCAAACAGACTCTGATTGTACATGTAGCAAACTCCAGACGTACTTTTCCTGTCTGTAGCGTCACTTCCAAAACTTGCATCTGCAAATATCTCAAGACCACCAGACTTCTGATTGTTAAATCTCAGTCTGTAATGCATAGTGCCTTTCAAATACCGCGCTATGCGTTTCAGAGCTTTCCAATCCTTGACACTAGGATTGTTGACTTGTCTGCTTAGCAAATTACAGCTAACAGCAATGTCTGGTCTTGAACATCTGGCAATGAAGTTTAGCTTGCCTAGCACACTCCTGTACAGTGTAGTGTCAGAAAATGCTTCTTCAGTGTCATCTACCTGATAACCTGTTGTCATCGGTGTGTCTACAGGGTTAGCATCCATCAGATTTAGTTTGCTTAACACATCAGCAATTTTCCGTGACTGGTGTACTAGAATGTTACCATCTTGATCTCTCTCTATTTCCAGAGATAGGTAGTTGTTTACCTCACCAAGATCTTTCATGTCAAAGTGCTCTTTCAGTTGAGCTAGGCGCTATTGTACATTGCAACATCTTTCCAAAAGAATAATAAATCATCAACATAAAACAAACAGTACAGTTTCTTTTGCCCCTCCTCTTTGACAAATACACATGGATCAGCTTTCCCTTGCTGAAAACCTAGAGAAAACAATACTTCAGTGAGTTTTGTGTGCCAACACCGTGCACTTTGTTTGAGACCATAAAGGGATTTCTTCAGAGCACAAACAAATCCCTGTTTTACCTGTACGCCATCAGGTGGAAGCATATAAAGTGATTCATCTAGAGATCCGTACAGAAAAGCTGTATTAATATCATGGTGACTAATGTGTAGATTTTCCTCTGCAGCTAGCTTAAGCATAAGCCTAATGCTTTCATATCTCACTGTGGGTGAATAGGTCTCGTGATAGTCTTCACCTGGTACCTGTGCAAAACCTCTGGCTACCAATCTGGCTTTGTGTCTGACTATCTTGCCATTTTGATCTGTCTTCGCTTTGAAGACCCATTTGCTTCCAAGCAGTTTCATTCCTGGAACTACTGGAACTAGCTCCCATGTTTTGTTCCTTTCTAAGGAATCAAGCTCAGCCTTCATGGCATTTAACCATGGCTCAGCTTCCTTTGAATCCAAACCCTGGATTTCTTGGAAACTTGAAGGTTCAAATACCTTCTTGGAGCTTTTAACAGCTGTTACTGCTATCTTAGCAAACTCATCAGCAAATCTCTTTGGAGGTTTGCCTTTGTGGCTCTCTGTGACCTACGAATTAGCCTTAAGTCTTCAACACTCTCCTCTTCCTTCTTAGGAGAAAAACGACCTATTGTGAACAATGGTTCCTCCAATTCTTGATCAGAGCTTTCAGAGGGTCGCATAGAGGCTTTCGCACTCTTGAAATCCTCTGAATCACCCGATTCAGTTTCAGATTCAGACTCAGAACCTTCATCAGTGGGTGTGGGCTGTTGTGGTTGCTTTTGACTATCCTCAGTCTCATCACCGTCATCAGGATAACATTGGAAAATTCCCACATTCTCCCCCACTTTGCATTGTACTCAACACTTCTCGTGAGCTTAATTGTCTTAGAGTCAGTCATCATTATTCTGTAAGACCCTTTCTGATAACCTAGAAAGATACCATGCAATCCACGCTTGTCTAACTTGGAGTTTTGTGGTGAGCGAACCCACATGTCAGAACCAAAAATCTTCATGTGTTTGATGTATGGCTTCTTGCCAAACATCTTCTCATAGGGGGTACAACCAATCGCTGAAGATAACCTGCGATTGTAACTGTAAACAAAACACGAGAGAGATTCGGCCCAATAACTCTCTGGAAGATTGGCATCATGCAGCAAGGTTTTTAACCCTTGAAGCAAAGTCTGATTTGCCCGTTCCGCAAGTCCATTCTGCCATGGCGAGCGAGGACTAGACAAATCGTGTTGAATTCCTTTCTCAGTCAGAAAAGCTTCAAACTGCTGAGAAGTGAATTCCCCGCGATCACTGAAAAGAGTCTTTATCTTCTTACCATGCACATTTTCCAACCAAGCACAGAATTCCTTGAACCTAGGAAAAGCCTCCGATTTCTGCTTGAGATTGTACACAAAAATATATCTAGAAAATGCATCAATGAGAACCATGAAGTATCTATTTCCACCCAAAGAGGGCGTTAGTGGTCCAACCAAATCAGCATGAACAACCTGGTATGGTTCTGTAGCTTTCCTACTAGACACCTTACCTTCGCAGCCATTTTCACCTTGTTTGCTGCGCATGCTTTGCACTTCATGTGGTACCTGCAGGGTTTAATAGTCATACCTTCAACCAAGGCAGGCATTTTAGATACTGCCTCAAAATGCAAATGACCAAATTTTCGATGAAAATCGTGAATACATTCTGCATGCAAACTTTTGTTAGAACCTGCAATGCAACAAGTGTCATCCTGCACCACATCATCATAATACAAAACAAACAAATGATCAACATATTCTGCATGCAATACATAATCATTTTTCTTTGTGATGATGCACTTCTTGTTCTTGAAGGAAACGTCAATGTTCCGCTCATTCAGCTGTCCAACGCTGAGCAGATTATGTTTGGCGTCTGGCACGTAAAGCACATTCTGTATCGATAAGTCCAAACTGTGAAGAACAACAGTTCCGTAGCCTTTACTGGGAATAGTGTGGTCATCCGCCTGGTGAATCGCACCTTCCTGCGGTGTAAAAGACACAAACAGTTTCTTATCGTTGCACATGTGGTGGGTGGCCGCTGAATCAACAACGAAGAAAGATCTAGACGTCTTCTGGACCTCTGCAACCTTTGGAGTGAAGCGTGAAACCATAGCCTTGTGCTGCGTTGTCCTAGACACCGGACCTTTGCCTTTGCCTCGGCCTTTTCCGCGCGATGAGCTTCGCTGCGCTGCTCTGTCTTGGCCCTGGGATGTCTGCATTCCCTCTTCATATGGCCTAGACGTCCACACGAGTAGCATTTCACTGCCTCCAAAGCTTTGGCGCCATCTGGTGGTTCCACTGCACTATGGGATGACGTCTGTGAAGACTCCCCTTGCCCATGCAGCTAGCACCCCGGCGATCTGCTTCATTTAAAATCACGGCAGTAACAAAGTCCACTGTCAGCTGAGCAGTTGGTTGCACAGCAATCTGGGTTGCAACAGACTCCCAACCTGAACCCAAAGATTGTAGTATCATGAAAGAATACACAGCCTCTGGAAAGTTGAGTCCTCTCTGTTGCAGCTCATGTCTCAGATTTTGCATCTGCATCAGATGTAAACGCACATCTCCACCTTCAGCAAGAGCCATATTATGCAGCTTGTTAAAATAAAACATAGTGGATCCAGCTTCTGTCCTTAAGTGAGCCTCTCTCAGAGCGTCCCAAATTTCTCTGGCTGAGGTCTTATCACGCAATAGACAGAGCTCTTCTGGGGATACTATCAATGTAAGAGTTCCCTTGCTTTGGAATCCTTAGCTTCCCATGCATCTGTAACTGGAACTGGGGGTTCCTGTAATCACCTCAAACAAACCCTCTTTCCGCAGAATTGCCTCTGCATACTGAACCCAGTCGCTGTAATTTTTCTTGTTGAGCTTAGGAATCCCACAAGCATCCTGAAGGGCCATCATGACTCTGGCATTAGCCTTCAGCGTCATATGCTGCTTTAAATCTTGCTGCGTCACTGCTGCAGCTGCTTTATCACAAAGGCACACTTAAAAGTTACTTTTGATTTCCCCAGCATAGTGACTTGTGCCTGGGAGCCTTTTGCCTATTCCCGGCAAAACCGGCTTTAAAAGTTCAAAGTCCAGCCATAAAGCCATTAACTTGAAGCTGGCAGGCTGCCCGGAGCAGTAGCACATACCTCATCAATCACTTCTACGCGCAGAGCAGATTCCTTTCCGATCCGTCCCTCTGCATTCCGATCCTTTGCCGGCACTCCGATTCGACCTCTGGAGTCCATAACCACGTGTTGATTTAAAGCAGAGTCTCTGGTGCCCAGCGGAAGGATGAGTAATACGTGCTACATACTCTATATTGCTTTATTTACAGTTCAAAGCTGGTACATTACAGAAAGACATCTTGCCTCTGCAGGAGCAGAGAAATGCATCCTCTCTCCTCGGCAGCTTGGAGAGAAACACACAGTGAAAAACAGGAAACCAGTGTACGTCACATCCAGTCTCCCTTTCCCGTGAGAAACTCCAACAGTAACTCTGACTGTGGAATGCAAAACAATGTCTTGTGACTGCAGTTGCTGCTCAGTGAGGGAAATAGAAACCAACAGTTTAAGGGCTTTAAAGGTCAGCACCAACACTCTGAATTGTGCTCAGAAACATACTGGGAGCCAATGTAGGTCTTTCAGGACATACATTATTCTCCCCACCTATTAGCAACTTGTGACGATAAGAACTGTGCATCCTAGATGGCAGATTTGCTCAATTTTCCTTCAAGGAGAGAAGAGCTATACTAATGGGGGGAAGAGAGGGAGACCACTGAAAAAGTAGCAACTTACAGCAAGTCAAAGATGGTGCCTTCCGGTGTGCATACAGGATATTCAAATGGCTGCAAAGATAAGCTAGGGGGGAGAAAAACAGTAATGTGGCGATTAAGTAAATGTGAATTAAATATCAGCAGAAGAGCACAATGATAAGCCAGCAATGCAGTTTTACCTAAATCCTGGGATGGGGACCCCGTGGGCCATGCATGTTCTGTTGAACAACAATTCCCAACAGAATGGAGTTCAACAACATGCCCCATTCCTGACCTAAGCAATGACCACAAAGAAATATTTCTGGATCGGATATTCTGCAATTGGAGCTCCACCACCCAAAAAACAGCCCTGTTCATAGTAGATCCTCACTTAAAACTCTGGGGAAGCCAGTGCGGTATAGTGGTTAGAGCATCAGACCTGGACCTGGGAAAATGGGGTTCAAATTCTCACTCGGGCCATAAAGCTCACTGGTGACCCTGGGCCAACCTCTGCATCTCCACCTATCCTACCTCACAGGATTGTTGTGAGGGGGAAAAGGGAAGAGGGAGGATATGGGCTACACTGAAGGAAAGATGGAATATAAATGCAATAATAATAATTATATAAAATAAACAAATAAAAATAAAGTTGGGTAACATGGAGAAAAGTCTCAGATGAAGACATGGGCATGTTCTGACGAGTGCTTATAAGCTTCCTCAAAAGGCAATTAGAATCATAGAACTGTAGAGCTGGGAGGGACCAAGATGGTCATCTAGTCCAACCCCCTGCAATGAAGGAATCTTTTGCCCAATGTAGGACTCAAACCCATGACCCTTAGATTAAGAGTCTCATGCTCTACCAATTCATGTGCTATCCCAGTGCCAAAAGAATGCTAAAGATGGCACCAGGTGGATCTCACTAGGGAGCCACAGGTGATTAAGGTGCAAAGGGGGCTATTACGAATGAACATATTAATACTGTCTACAGTTCTGGTCACCTCAACTAAAAAAGGAGAGTGATTCAAAAAGGAGGGTGATTCTAAATGATGGATTCTAAATGAGTGATTCTAAATGATGAAGGTTCCAGGTTCAATCCCTGGTATCCCAGGCTGGAAGAGATTTCTGTCTGAAAAACTGGGGAGCAGCTGCCAGTGTATAGTATACAGTTCTGAGCTTCAAGGATCAAATGGTCTGACTCTGCATAAGGGAGCTTCCTATTTTCCCCATAAGAATGATAAAGGAATTAAATTAGAATTTAATATTTCTTCAGTGCTCACCTGCAGTGATCAAAAGGTAGACGTCTGAAGTTGGACTGTGGAATTTCTGTTCAATTAAAATAAAATAAAAATATTTCACACACACATCGTGTTCAACCTGGGATAAACAGATTGTTTTCCTGATTATAATGCTAGAGCTTCTGTCTCAGTTTCTAACATTCCTTTTACAATGCATTAATGAACCGTGGATTTCTGATCGATACACCACGTTACCCTAAATATCATTCACACCAGTGGGCATGCAGCAGACATCATGGATGTCATTGGATAATGTCACACACACACCCCTTATGCACATTACTGATCCCAATGATGCACCCATGAAAACAGTAGGAAATAACTGTATGTCAGAATACCGTGAATAAGAGGCAACATGATAGTTCCTGCATGGAGTCCACAACGTGGAGAAACTGGACGCAGAAAAGTTTTTCCTCCTCTCTCATGGCACTAGAATTCACAGGCGTCCAATGAAGTTGAATGTTGGAATACCCAGGACAGAGACAAGAAAATACTTCTCTACACAGCACACTGTTAAACTATTGAACTCGCTCCCACAGGAGGCAGTAGTAGCCACCAACTTAGATGCTTTTAAAAGAGGATTGGACAAATTCATGCGGGAGAAGATTATCAATGGCTACTAGCCATAACACCTATGCTCTGCCTTCACAGTTGGAGGAAGCAATGCTTCTAAATCAGGCATAGGCAAACTCCGGCCCTCCAGATGTTTGGGAATACAATTCCCATCTTCCCTAGCTAACAGGACCAGTGGTCAAGGATGATGGGAATTGTATTCCCAAACATCTGGAGGGCCGGATTTTCCTATGCCTGTTCTAAATACTAGTTGCTGGAAGCCACAAGGGATTTTGAAGCTTATGTGCTTGAATCCTGCTTGTGTGTTTCCCACAGGCTTCTGGTCGGCCACTGTGAACAGGATGCTGAGCTAGATGGGCATTGGCCTGATCCAGCAGGCTCTTCCCATGTTCTTAAAATAAAAGTGCTGTAAATCCAAGCCACATACCTGCTTTCTTTCCTCCATAAAAATGTGTGTATTCTGCACAAGTTATGTACCTAGAGAGAGAGAAAGACAGTTAGGGGGACAACAGTTATCGCCCCAAGTTTTGTTTCCAGAGCTTGGAACTGCTGCTGCAGTTATAGAACCTTCTGATACAGAAAAAAATGGGTGTGACATCCAGATTTTGCAACACAGCTGAATGGAAAAGCCATCTAACAAGAGCAAAGGAGAAGGAAGCTTGTAAATAGCCAAAAGATTTAGGCTACAATCCTAAAGGCACTTAACAAGAAGCAAGCCCCAGTCAGGACCCAGACCCTGGTTCAAATATCACCTTGCCCACAAACTCACCAGGAGACTTGAAGGCAAATGGCTCTCTCTTTTCTTGGTTCCCCATCACCATCTACAAGATAATAGTACTAGCTTTCCTTATACGGCTGTTGTGTGTGTGCATGAAGCTCTCTGACCAGTAAAAAAACCCAAGAACCTGTTTTAGAGATGTCAAGCCTTATTTACTGAGGTCACTTTCTGGGCAGAGCTTTGAGTTGCCTAAGCATTCCTATACCTGTACCAGTACAATTTTATATAGCTTTTAAAACGACCAATAAACAGCCAATACACATCCAGTGACATAGCTGGATTTAAAACAAACGCAACCAGTTGAAAACCAGCTGCACTATTCTTGGAACGCATGTGGCGAGAGGGCAACTTATGCAACCCACCTAAACCTCACAGCCTTTTGGACTAAGATACAGAACTATGATCTAAGCCTCGTGAACGATGCAGTTGGTGCACTGCGCTGTTGCAAGTGCTCCAGTTGGAGAACAGCCTTTACCAAAGGCGTCATGGGCTTGAAGATGCTCGAACTCAGGACAAAAGGGAGAAACGTGCTAAGAGGAAGACACGCTTGGCAAACCCTCACCATGATAAACTCCCGCCCGAAAACATGTCCCCACTGTGGTAGGATGTGTGGATCCAGAATTGGCCTCCAGTGTCACTTATGGACTCACTGTTAAGACCGTGTTCATGTAAGACAATCTTACTCAGCTACAAGTGATCACCAAAGAAGAAGAAAGAAGGTGTAAAACTGGAAAACTGATTTTAAAATGTTATTATTAAAAAACAAAACAAAAACAGCAGTCCAGCAAAACCTGGTGGATTTTTAGATATAGATAGATATATTTATATATGCGTGTGTGTATCTATATAAGGTAAAGGACCACTGGACAATTAAATCCAGTCAAAGGTGACTATGGGGTTGAGGCACTCATCTCGCTTTCAGGCTGAGGGAGCTGGCGTTTGTCCACAGGCAGCTTTCTGGGTCATGCGGCCAGCAGGACTAAACTACTTCTGGAGCAACGGGACACTGCGATGGAAATCAGAGCACACGGAAACACCGTTTATGTGTGTGTGTGTGTGTGTGTCTATATATAGAGAGAGATATAGAGAGAGTATCTCTCTCTATATATAGACACACACACACACACATATATAAACGGTGTTTCCGTGCGCTCTGGTTTGGTTTCCATCGCGGTGTCCCATTGCTCCAGAAGCGGGTGTGTGTGTGTGTGTATAATGTATTAACCAAATCATGGGCACAGGCATGATGTTTGTCAGGAGGGGAGCAGAACCTCAGATTTGTATTGATTTAGGCCTGCAACGCGCCCCTCCCCTTGGCTACACCCATGAACTGAATACAAAACCTAAGAAACTAAAGTGACACAACAGCATTCAGAGATTGTTGAACATATTTTGTTGCTGTTGTTGTACCCCGCCCCTGCATTTATATGCCGCCTTTTCTACCGAGGCACCCCAACAGCCCCCCCCCCCGCCGTGTGGAACAACCTGACAGGAGAGGCTCAGCGGCCCCCAGCCTGACCACAACCGAACCAGGAGGGCCCTTTCGCTTCGGGTGTGGGAAGGGGAGAGCCGGAGATTTCCACTCACATCTTGTCCTTCTGGTGCTGCCTTTTCCCCATCCTGGCTGCCGAGCTTGGTCACCTCCACGGTGGCCTCGGGGAGGGAGGAAGAAAAAGCAACGCCACACGGAGCCCAGCCGGTAATCCAAACGGCGGAGAGAGAAAGAGTCTTCTGAAGAGAAAAGCGGAAGTTGCCGCTACTTCCGGTGGAGCGGAGTGCGCCGCTCATAGGGGTCCCCCTAACCGGAAGCACCGAGCCGGCACTTTAAGAGTTCCGCGCTTCTTCGCGCTCCCTCTTCTCTCAACTTTAAAAAATAAAGTGCCGGATTTACGTATAGGCTAAACAACCTATAGCTTAGGGCCCCACTCTCTTGGGGCCCCCTAAAATTTTAAAGAAAAAAAACTTAAGTTACAGCTTAATAATTATTTCACTATTAATATACTTCTTTTTAATTGTATTTCAGTTCAACAATTACTTTGATAAAATACATATTTTGTTAGGTGTAAATGGCTTTAGATAACTATTAGGTCCATAAATTACCATATAGCATATATTCAACACAAAAAACGACAATTTGTTATTGCCAAAGGACAGCTGGACGTTTAAAGGGCCCCATTACCTTCCAGTAGCTTAGGGCCTCATCAAACCTAAATCCGGCCCTGGATAAATAAATAAACAAAAAAAGCTTGGGAATCACATTTCCTGGGAATATAAAATAAGCATAGGTGTCTCTTTCGGCTCCTGGGAGACTGAGTAGCTGTCACTATTCTGCACAATAAATACTCAGCAATAATAGCCCTGTATGAAAGTGAGTGGTTTACCTACATTTTTTCTCTTTCGGGCCACTTTTATCATATTTGCTGTTTGCGCTCCACAGAGTTCAGATTGCAATAAATAAATGAAGCAATTAAAAACCAAACTGTATTTAATGCGAACATGCAACACTCCACTTGAATGAAGCCCCTGGTAGTCCACTGGCCACAGTTGGGAATTAATATATTGCAAGGGCTCCCAAAATCCGTTCTCTTGAGTACAGTATCCTTATATAGCCGTTATCAAGAGAGACATATAAGCCAACAGGCTTGGAGGAACCACAAGATTTGCAGAAATATAAGTTTATACAAAATGTAGTAGGCTATTAGCATTTATATAAGCACTAGGACAATAACACTATACCAATGTATGGGAATATCATATATTGCTTTTTTTTTGCATATTTCCTCTTTTATACATGTCTTTGTTGTTGGTTTTCCTCTCTCACACTTTTCCTTCTTTTTTCTGTATCACTTTATTTATTTTAACTGAAATCACCTTAATAAAACATATTTAAAATATTACATTAAAAGAAAAAGATTTACAGAAGTATTAAAGAAATAAACTCAACCCGCCACTGCCAATAGCCCAATCAAGAATGATCATGCTCTAGTGGCTACAGAGGGTTAGTATCTAAGGGCAGAATTCATTGATGGGTGAATCCCCCCCCCCCCCATTTTGTAAGTTCATTAGTATCAATTAATGGATGATGGTGGAAATGAATATCTGGCAATTGTGGCAGTTTCAACATTTCAGCTTTGTTTACTAAATACTAGTAGAAATATTAGATCACTCTCTAAGGCAGATGATGCTGAACTAAAGGTAAAGGTAAAGGGACTCCTGACCATTAGGTCGTAGTGGCCGACTCTGGGGTTGTGGCGCTCATCTCGCTTTATTGGCCAAGGGAGCCGGCGTACAGCTTCCGGGTCATGTGGCCAGCATGACTAAGCCGCTTCTGGCAAACCAGAGCAGCACACAGAAACGCCGTTTACCTTCCTGCAGGAGCGGTATCTATTTATCTACTTGCACTTTGACGTGCTTTTGAATGCTAGGTTGGCAGGAGCAGGGACTGAGCAACGGGAGCTCACCCTGTTGCCCTTCTGATCAGCAAGTCCTAGGCTCTGCGGTTTAACCCACAGCGCCACCCGTGTACATCCAGCCTAATGCTTTCCTTCATCACAAGTCTCTCTCATGTATGTGAACCTATGCCAATAATAGTCAAGATATTTATTGAATGAAAAAGGAGCTGGGGGATGTACACCCTCCTTCCAATACATTATGGACTACTACAAAGATGCACCCACACACCCAGAAGGTTGTCCTGTATGAGAAGGCATTGAATCACATTGAATCTAAACTTTCTGTGGCTGCAAGACTCTTGTCAAATATGGCACCCTCATGCCGATAAGAACAAAACATGTTGGAATGAGTCCACTTTTGCCTCTAACTCCACCCACATGTTAGGTTACCCACGAGGGATACCTGGATAGCTTACAATGATTATTATTATTTTTAAAAAATCAATATAAACATAAAACAAGCTATAAAATCAAAGGCAACATAAATACAGTATTATTATTATTTTGTTAAAACACAGGTGTAAAAATGGAGAGCCATTCTGAGTTTTATAACTGGTTTATTTAACTGGGTTCAAGTTTATACATGACATGGGTTATTTGATGGCCATTTGGGAAGGCCGATGTATCAATTGACAGATCATCTTGCTTTGCATAGAGGTCTTGGGTTCCATCTCCAGATAGAATGGGAAACACTCATGTCTGAAACCACGGAGCGTCACTGACAGTCAGTGTACCAGTGTTTCTCAAACGTGGCTCCCCATCTGTTGTTGGACTACAAGTCCCATCATCCCTGACCGCTGGTCCTGCTAACTAGGGATAGTGGGAGTTGTAGTTCAACAACAGCTAGGGACCCACTTTTGAGGAACACTGGTAGACTGTATTGAGCTAGATGGGCCAAGAGTCTGACATGCTATGAGACAGCTCTTCTTATGAAGGAATGGGGCCCTAGGCCCAATTCAATTTTTATCCTGCCTTTCTTCATGAAGCAGCCCAGAATATGCTGTGCCACTTGCAGCGGAGACCACCTAACAAAATACCATGAATGCCAAACTTCGGTGGTTAAAAGTCCATAACTGAATGTTAACCCTGCCCACCCTGGTGTTTGGGTTTCTGTAGTTTATGGTTTGCCCCTTAACTTCCAAAAGTAAATAGTCGCTCTGTGGCGCTGTGGGTTAAACCACAGAGCCTAGGATTTGCCGATCAGAAGGTCGGCAGTTCGAATCCCCGCGACGGGGTGAGCTCCCGTTGTTCAGTCCCAGCTCCTGCCCACCTAGCAGTTCGAAAGCATGCCAGTGCAAGTAGATAAATAGGTACTGCTCCAACGGGAAGGTAAACGGCGTTTCCATGCGCTGCTCTGGTTCGCCAGAAGCAGCTTAGTCATGCTGGCCACAGGACCCGGAAGCTGTACGCCAGCTCCCTCGGCCAGTAAAGTGATATGAGCGCCGCAACCCCGGAGTCAGTCACGACTGGACCTAATGGTCAGGGGTCCCTTTACCTTTTTTATACACTTGCCACTGGTTTTGAGAGCCAGCTGACTGAGAGCCAGTCTATGTCTAAACCACAACCAATCCTTCTTGTGTATGGGCAAGACTGGCTGATGTGCTCTTTATCCATTCCATGCATTCAGCCAGATCATTGGCAAGCTAACTATTTGGATCTAATAACTGTAGCTACTCACAGAATCGCTTTTATAGAACAAAGATATAATGTCATGCTCTCTGCTTTTTCAGATGGCTGTTATAAAAAAGAAAACCCTTGGAACTGTATTTTTGTGCCATGTGTAAAACCGCCACAAAGGATATGGTTCTTTATCTAAAGATCCCTGTCAAAAATATTCGTCAGGAGTTTAGTTGCAGAAACCTAGTCACACCTAGAGAGTTTGTTTTTATTATCAAACAGCAAAAAAAAAAATTTTTTTAATGCAGTTACTGTACTTTGGTTGTGTCTTTACCTACACTGATGACCGGGAAATTATGCGTGTATTTTTGGCTCAAGCTTTTAATTTATTATTATTATTATTATTATTATTATTATTATTATTATTACTCTCTGTTTTATTACAGCTTACAGCTAAACAAATACAGCTATTGCCTACCATGGATGCCTCTTCTAAAATTATTTATGACCAACTTATTTATGTAATCCCAATACTTGTGTGTTTGTGCGATATGGCTTCCTCCCTCCCTTTCAGGCTTGATTGGTAAAGATGCTTCAGTGATGACCCACAGCTGAAATAGATACAGTGGACACTCTGGTTGTGAACGTGATCTGTGTGGGAGGCACGTTCGCAACCCACAGTGTTTGCAACCTGCAGCACTGTGTCTGCGCACGCGCAGGTCGTGATTTGGTGCTTCTGCACATGCGCAAAGCATGACTTAGTGATTCTGCACATGCACGAGCGCCGAAACCCGGAAGTAACCCATTCCAGTATTTCCGGGTTCGGCGCGGTGCGCAACCCGAAAACCCGCTACCTGAAGCGTCTGTAACCCCAGGTATGACTGTACAAATGACTACCGACTGAAAACAAAGGCTGCATTCAGTTTTTGTTTTAAACAGGCTGTGGCCCGTACAGTTTAATGCTACTACAAGCAGCACAAGAACTTCCACTTTGTTCTTAGATCAATGCAATGTTCATTTATTATTTGTACTTACAAAACCCCTCCCCCAAAAGCCCAGCCCCTCCCTTTTCAGCTACCTCCCCATCCCACCTCCCCCACAAATGCCTTTTACAAATAGTTAAAAATCAAAAACCAGATGACATTAATTTTGGTACAGTTATTCAGCAATATAGCTGTCATAATTAATGGGTTACGTTTCATTACAACCAGGGTGATTTGGGTAAAGGGGGCGGGGAATTCTGGTTATTGGCCAAATAAAATTTCATATTACAAGTTAGCAAATTCTAGTACAAAAATAGTCCATGTGATAGAACAGCCTGTAATATTTTTTTTTTTAATTTTTATTGTTATTCACAGTTAAGAGAGTCTGTTGGCTGCATAATTCCTTAAGTATTTTATGAATTTTTCTTTTTCTTTTATGGGGCTTCTTCTTATATAACCCAAATATAGGACAGAGCCTCAATAAATCCTTAGCAAAGAACCCTAGAATGAGGGTTAATAAGATGTTCAGTTTATCTTCTTGTAATGTGCTTTTCACGGGATATCCAAAACCCAACTGGTTCCCCAGGTAGTCTCTTTGATATTTGTCCCTATGAGATCTAGAATCAAAAGGACCCCGAAGGACATTCTCCAGAACTTTTCCATGGCGGCCACAGGCCACGGTAGCGATGCTCAAATTCCACATGGGGAGGGGGGGTGCAAAAGCATGCTCTGTTCATCCCCATTTCCCCCACACATTCCTCTTGTCACCTCCTTTCAAAAAATCATCAGTATTTTGCTCATTAAAACACCCCGGGGCCTGGTTCTTCTTCGCATCTCTCCCAGGAGTATTCCATTCTATGGCCCCTTCCGTTTCCACCTGTTATTAATGCTTTTCTGCAATTGGTTTCTTTTTTCCTTAGGCCAGAGAAAGATCTGCAGAGGCGCTACTTGTCCCTCAAGATATCTAGCTGCTCTTGGTATTCGGTGAAAAGCCGTTGCAAACGAAGGTTCTGACCGATGACGGGAAGCAGTTCCTTGAGGAGCTCTCGCTTGCGTAAGCCCTGCATGGGAAAGGAAAATAAATCCTTTAATGTCCATCACATGGCAAATACCAGAGTTTGATTGTGGGATTACAGGAGACTCCCCACTTGTGACTGACATATGCACAACCACGTATGCACACTGGGAAACAATTGCCGTATTTTTCGCTCTATAAGACGCACCAGACCATAAGATGCACCTAGTTTTTGGAGGAGGAAAACAAGAAAAAGAATATTCTGAATCCCAGAAGCCAGAACAGCAAGAGGGATCGCTGCGCAGCGAAAGCAGCAATCCCTCTTGCTGTTCTGGCTTCTGGGATAGCTGCGCAGCCTGCATTCGCTCCATAAGACGCACACACATTTCCCCTTACTTTTTAAGAGGGGAAAAAGTGAGTCTTATAGAGCAAAAAATACGGTAATTTAATTCATACCAGGAAATGGAAGAGGAGAGCTGGAGTCCTTGTGGCTTGCGAGGAGATGTTCCACATAGCCCTAAGAGGACATCAGTAAGGACGGAGAAGAGACTGGATGCTCAGTGGGGCTTTGTTTAGGCTGCTCAGCCTCCCCACCTAACATCTAATGTGTGTGGTAGCGCAGCAGCAGCAGCAACTGTGTGTGTCCTCCAGCCTTCTGCCGGCCCCAGAGCTTCAAATCCAGTTGTGGACATTTTTGGTAAAGTGTATGGGTTTTTTAAATCTGGATTGGAGAGACAGTGGCAGAGAGGGCATTTCAAGGGTGTTTGGAGGGTGCTCTCCCCTGCGTAAGTGGGGAATCACCTGTATAGCTATGATAAAAGGTAAATCTAAAGGACCCCTGACAGTTAAGTTCAGTTGTGAACGACTCTGGGGTTGCAGCACTCATCTCGCTTTACTGGCCAAGGGAGCTGACGTTTGTCCAGTTTTTCCGGATCATGTGGCCAGCATGACTGAGCAGCTTCTGGCGAAAACAGAGCAGCGCACGGAAACGCCGTTTACCTTCCCACCGGAGCAGTACCTATTTATCTACTTGCACTGGCATGCTTTCGAACTGCTAGGTTGGCAGGAGCTGGGACTGAGCAACGGGAGCTCACCCTGTCGCAGGGATTCGAACCGCTGACCTTCCTATCGACAAGCCCTAGGCTCCGTGGTTTAAACCACAACGCCACCCGCGTCCCTATAGCTATGGTGGGCTTGTGCAGATTGGGGGCTTTCTCTTTCTGCGTCAACTGTCGCTAAGTAAGTGGCTGCCTGGAGGACGTATTGCATGAAAAACTAGAGGGTCACAGTTGTGCTGGAAAGTGCTTCATATCACTCACAGAGAATAAATTGATGCATAATGTTCCCAAGCCGGCACTGGCTCACATACATGCGCAAGGATAATCACAAAGGTAGGCGGGTGGGGGAACAGGACCCAACTGCTCATTCCTGGGAGCAGCCAGCAACATGCTTGTTGTTGCCTCCCGACATAAGACAAATTGGGTCCCGCGCTGGAGAGGCAGGTGACTTCTGCCTCCCGGCCTTGCCATCAAATTAACTCAGAGCTTTCCTAACTCTTCACTTTGGCGACACACATTTTAGACACAGTAATTCATTTTTTACTAGCAAACAGGACGTTAAACTAACCCCTTTCCAGCCCCAGAAGGCGTGCGGGATATGTTTGCGTGACACACCTACACGCTGCCGCTGACACACTAACATGTCGCGACACACAGACTGGAAAGCTGTGAATTAACTGATTTAAAATAAGGGACTATTAGCCCTCAAAGACAAGTGAGCCATGCCCTGGGTAGCTGGGTTTCCTTCTCTTTCTTCATAGGGAAAAAAACCCTAGAAAATAATAATATGCAGTCAAACCTCAGCTCCCAAATGTCTCCGTTTTGGAATGTTTTGGCTCCCAAACGCCGAAAACCCACAGCTAAATACTCCGGTTTTTGAATGTTTTTTGGAACGTCCGACGCGGCTTCTGGTTGGGTGCAGGAAACTCCTGCAACCAACTGAAAGCTGTGCCTTGGTTGTCAAACATTTCGGAAGCCGAACAGGCTTCCAGAAGGCATTATGTTTGACAACTGGGGTTTGACTGTAATAATAAATTATTATTTATATGCCACCCATCAGACTGGGTTGCCCCATCCACTTTAGACAGCTTCCAACGAATTAAAACACATTAAAAGCCTCTCCTCAACTAATGGGATGACAGTACTGACTATTAATACTTATGCTTTTCCTTGTTTTGTTTATATATACAGTGGTGCCCCGCAAGACGAATGCCTCGCAAGACGGAAAACCCGCTAGACGACAGGGTTTTCCGTTTTTGAGTTGCTTCGCAGGACGAATTTCCCTATGGGCTTGCTTCGCAAGACGAAAATGTCTTGCGAGTCTTGAGATTTTTTTCTGCTTCCCCCCCTTTATCTAAGCCGCTAAGCCTTTAATAGCCTTTTAGCAGCTAATCTGCTAAGCCGATAAGCCTTTAATAGCCGCTAAACCGCTAATAGCGCTAATCCGTTAAGCTGCTAATAGGGTTGCTTCGCAAGACGAAAAAACCGCTAGACGAAGACACTCGCGGAACGGATTAATTTCGTCTTGCGAGGCACCACTGTATGTATATTTACAAAAGCAACATTAATTTGTAGCTCTCAACCAATAGAATTCTCAGTGGCAAGAGAAAGGGCACAGATCTGACATCAGGAAGGACAGTATTCACAAGAGAGTAGCAGAGAATTTCAGCCTCCCAGGACACGATGTTGCGGTCCTTAACGTGGCAGTTTGTGAGCAAAGGAATGCCTGGGTAAAACTACTGAGTTCAATTTTGACGCTTGTGTTCTGAATGGAGATAATGGGTTTTTATTCTGCTGCTAGGTAATTTGACTATCCCCAAGTATCGCCATCTATTTTAAAGGCAGATATAACTGTCTCCCTTCAGCAATATTCGAAGGGCATCTTCCAGGTGTCCCGGATAAGGGCTGTCTGTGTCCCATTGCAGGTGAAGTAGTTGAAAAGTTGGGTCCTGTTTTCTTTGAAAGTGACGTTCATGGAGTAGAATGTAATAGACTACTTTGCCATCTCTTATCAGGAACACCCAGGAAGGACACCAGAATGGTACCTGAAACTTTTCTTGGCTGATATTAGAATATGATGCTCTCATTTAGTTGTAGTTTGTAACCCATATGTATATGTTTCACCTTGTGCATTGTATTGTGTTTTAAACAAGTGTGATTTTATTCTTTCTCTGCTCTGTTTTTGGTGGGTCTGTGACTGTATGATAAATGATTGCTTGTCTGATGAGTGGCTGGATTGTCAGAATGCCAGGACTGTATGTTTTGGACCTTCTCCTTGGTAACTTTGCCGCTCCGCAAAGGAAGAGAGAGAGGCAAGGAATTTGTGTAATCTATTCTGAAAGGAAGCCACCTTACCACAACAGTTGCTTCCCACTGACTTCCAGCTGAGCTGTGGACTGGACCCAATAAATCCTTGCATAATTCCCGCAATCGATATTCAAACCCTGATAAAAGACAGAAGGTGAAATCATGTTCAGAGGCATCACAATAAATCCTTTACATAAATCATATAGCAGAACGTAGTGAGGGCAGCCCTTACAAGATCCCAGGAGTACCGTAAATTGCTTGAGTAAGAAATAGGACAAAAACAAGAAGACAGAGCTAAGAATTTGTTATGAACTTGGTTTTGTGTTGTTTTTTTTAAAAAGTTGACCATCCATGTTCATGACAGTTAAGGTTCTGTCTATTGTCTGATTCACACTGAAGAACCAGAAATGGATAGTGACACTGCATATTATTCCATTCTTCGAAGGACTGACTTTGTGACTGAGCTAGCCAAGTTAATGTCAGGAAAAAACTCAGAGGCAGCTGAATTGCTTCAGTTGAATCCAAGCATATTTACTATTATTAGATTTGATTTCTTGCCTGCTCTGCACCATAAGGTCCCAGGGTAGGGTGCAAAAATTTAAAAACACAGTATGTAAAACAGTTTAAGACAAATTGAGAGTCATGGGAATAAGGTGGGTCCTTAAAATATGCATGTTCGGTGTCAAAGACAAGGGTAAAGAGGTTCATCTTCAACATATGACGGAAACTACATACAGTGGTATCTCTGGATATGAACTGCCCCCTTTGCGAATGCTTTGGGCTACGCACACAGCAAACCCGGAAGTACAGTGGTACCTCAGGTTACATACGCTTCAGGTTACATACGCTTCAGGTTACAGATTCCGCTAACTCAGAAATAGTGCTTCAGGTTAAGAACTTTGCTTCAGGATGAGAACAGAAATTGTGCTCTGGCGGCACGGTGGCAGCAGGAGGCCCCATTAGCTAAAGTGGTGCTTCAGGTTAAGTACAGTTTGAGGTTAAGTATAGACCTCTGGAACGAATTAAGTACTTAATCTAAGGTACCACTCTACAGTAGATGCTCGGGTTGTGAACGTGATCCGTGCGGGATGCACGTTCGCAACCCGCATCGTCCACAACCCGCATTGTCCGCAACGGCGTGTCTGTGCCCACGTGGGTTGCGATTCGGTGCTTCTGCGCATGCACAAAGTGCAATTTAGCGCTTCTGCGCATGTGCAACTGCCGAAACCCAGAAGTAACCCGTTCCAGTACTTCCGGATTTCGGCGGTCTGCAACCCGAAAAAACGCAACCTGAAGCACCTGTAACCCGAGGTCTGACTGTAAAGGAAAGGTGTCCGCTGCCGGCGCCTGTGCGGAAGCGGGCTACCGCTGCCCGTGCCTGCACAGAACAGCGCACCTCTGGATACGAATGTTTCAGGGTAAGAATGGACCCCCGGAACGAAGTTCGTATCCAGAGGTACCACTGTAATGATGGTTCCTGATGCACCTCTTGGAGAGGGAATCTGACAAGTTAGCAGCTCTCCTGGCCACCTCTATTCCACCCAAAATTCTGAGGGCAGCGGAGAGCCGCCTCTGCTCACTGTAACATCTGGGAGGGTCTGTAGGGGCAGGAGTTCCTTGAGGGTCAGTTTGCAGCAAGTCAGCGCATAAGGAGAGGGACCAGTTGCTGACCATGGTGCTGACAAGGGGGTTAAGGCAACAAAGGTGAGTTGGGGACAAAAACTCTCATACAAGAGATGCATAAGCAGCATGGAGAGAAACATGGAAGGGGGAGGGAAAGGTATCTCCCAACATTTAAACACCCACCATTTATTCTGCGGTGGTCTAAGGAGCTGACTGCCCTTGCTATTTTAATGCACTTCTTACAGATGTCAATTTTGTTTGGATACCTGCCAGGAAATCTGGATGGCATATATATTTTTAGGCGCCAGGTGAAAACGTTCCTCTTCAACCAGGCTTTTGGACAATTCATATTCTACAGCTTTTTAAATGTGATTGTGGGAGTGGGGGGAATATTGCTTTATTGTTTCTGCTCTAACCATTTATTTGTGCTTTTTTATCTTGTATTTTTATCTTGTGAACCACCCTGGTATCTTCTGATGAACGGTGGTATATAAAATCAAATAAATAAATAAATAAATAAATAGGATATCTATCAACTTATATACGTCTAAAGCAAGACGGATATATTAATGTTCATTAAAGTGTGCTAATGTTTTCTCTTTCTTTCTTTTGTTAAATTTGCTGAAAGAAGCACATGCATACACACTCGGAGCCTCACCTTCATTAACTAGATACCGTGCATAGATAAGGAGCCAGTGGCGGTATTCGTGACTTGACTGTAAAGTCAGTGCTGCAGCTACCTGACTCTCCAGATACGCCAGAGTCGTTTCCTGCTGCACCACATGAGGCATGGAGAACAATCTTGCCGCTTGCCTCCCGGAGCTGCAATGAAGAGCAGTGACAGGAATGTTTTCAGGAGCGAAGAAGCAACTGCTTCAACTGTAGGTGTCCGTATCGATGTTGTACTCAACAGCAACCTTGAGCTCACACTCTCTTCCCTGCTCCACCTCCACACAGCTTCGCCAAGAGATCAGAAGCTTCCGCTCACAAATCGGGAATGGAGGGGGACGAAGGATTGCACGAGCCAGAAGCTATCTGTGCTTGTAACAGCAAGCCAACAATAGCAGGTGCTTCTGAATTATTGCCATTAATATTGGATCGCCCCTGTAGATGGTGCTTCACAAAGAGGGACAGGTCCTTACTCAAAACAGCTCACAGCGTAAAGGGAGACAGGAGGGAGACAACAGAGGAAGGAAAAAGGGCACCAGGGTAAACGGGGTGACTATTAAATTACTGAAGCGATGAGGGTGGCGCTGTGGGTTAAACCACAGAGCCTAGGGCTTGCTAATCAGAAGGTTGGTGGTTCGAATCCCCGCGACGGGGTGAGCTCCCGTTGCTCAGTCCCTGCTCCTGCCCACCTAGCAGTTCGAAAGCACGCCAGTGCAAGTAGATAAATAGGTACCGCTCCAGCGGGAAGGTAAACGGCGTTTCCATGCACTGCTCTGGTTTGCCAGAAGCGGCTTAGTCATGCTGGCCACATGACCCGGAAACTGTACGCCGGCTCCCTCGGCCAATAAAGCGAGATGAGCGCCGCAACCCCAGAGTTGGTCACGACTGGACCTAATGGTCAGGGGTCCTTTACCTTTATTCAATTACTTCAGTTACACACACTTGGTCTTTAGTCCCTGGCCCTCCAGATGGGAACAGAATGCGGGACTAAAAAGACCTTTAATCCAATCCAGTAGGGCAGTGGCTCTATGCTTTTGTCGCTCTAGATTCTCATAATTAGGTTTTGCACCGAGAACGGCGTGTGAACCTTGAGGAATAAACTAGCCCCCAGCTATGCAAAATTCGGCTTCTTGTCAGGGATAACGCCACAGAAACTACTGGGGAGGCATCAACAACAACAAAAAGACAAGGTTTAGTAAGTCCATACTTAGACGTTTTCCCTTGTATTATAGCTAACGGTCCTGAACACAGCATAGCCTCCTGCGATGGCAAACTGTTCCTGAAGTCCGCACATTGCGCTAGAGTCTCCTGCTTGTCAGAAACAAGGTTCCTGGAAAGACAAAAAAACATTTGGAGGTGATTAAAAAGGAAAGGAGGGGGTGGGGAGGGGATTAAACTGAAATGAGAGGGGGGATATTTACTTAGTTTTAATATTTATATACAAGTAGGATCTCAACCGATGCGGGTGGCGCTGTGGGTTAAACCACAGAGCCTAGGACTTGCCGATCAGAAGGTCGGCGGTTCGAATCCCCGCGACGGGGTGAGCTCCCATTCCTCGGTCCCTGCTCCTGCCAACCTAGCAGTTCGAAAGCATGTCAAAGTGCAAGTAGATAAATAGATACCGCTCCAGTGGGAAGGTAAATGGTGTTTCTGTGCGCTGCTCTGGTTCGCCAGAAGCAGCTTAGTTATACTGGCCACATGACCCGGAAGCTGTACGCCGGCTCCCTCGGCCAATAAAGCGAGATGAGCGCTGCAACCCCAGAGTCGGCCACGACTGGACCTAATGGTCAGGGGTCGCTTTACCTTTACCTAGGGTCTCAACACAAAGTGCTCAAAGCTGTTTGCTTACGCAGGAAATTGTGGCTTGCAAACATGTTTTGGGTAAAGCAGAGGGTCACAAATGAGGCCATCCCCATCAGGCCTCTTCTACCTCAACTGTCACCTGGGACGGGGGTAGTCTGCCACTCCAGCAGACTGCCTCAGATGAAGAGATGAGAAGTAGGGTTCATTCCATTGGCTTTGATAAAAGCCCGGCTCCATCAGGCACCTCTTGCCCCCAAACCGTGCAAAAAGATCATTGTAAGAACAGCTGTTTAAGAACAGGTGCCTGAGTCTGATCCCCCAATTTCCCTCCCTGCCCATTTCCCCTATTGTGTCTTCTCTCTCTCTCTCTCTTTTAAGACTGTAAGCCTGCAGATAGGAACTATCTTGTTTTAATTGATTATATGCAAGACATTCTGGGAGCCTACACTGGCTGAAGAGGGAGGTACAAATGCTCTAAATAAACAAATAAGCAAAGGTTGGCTTTCACGTTTAGAGCTTCCACCCTTGGACAAAGGAACGCACTCAACAAACCCATTTCCCCCACTCCTTTAGGTGCTTACCAAGAAGACAGAGAAGGGTTAAAGCAATAGGCTTTTCCATCAGACATGTTCATTAAGGGGATGCCATGCTGTGTCAACAAGATCTGAGACACAGTTGTTTCGCTTCCTGTAAAAATCAAATCAGATAATGAGACTTCCTTGGAGCAAAGTCATAGCAGGGTTACAAGTCTGGGTAGAGCTTAGTTGGGTAGAATCCATCATGTCTAAAGAAAATAAATGTGGAGGGGGATGAAAAGGAGAAGGAGTAGGGGGAGAAGTGGCCATGAAGGGTTAAGGGTGACGTGTTTTGACCACACAGGACGTTTAATGCAGGCATAGGCAAACTCGGCCCGCCAGATGTTTTGGGACTACAACTCCCATCATCCCTAGCTAACAGGACCAGTGGTCGGGATGATGGGAGTTGTAGTCCCAAAACATCTGGAGGGGCGAGTCTGCCCATGCCTGGTTTAATGCATAGCACTACAAAGCACCCCTAACTGGAAATAATTTCATTACCTGCTAAAATTGTTTGCAGGGACTCGTCTTTCACCACTACTGCCTGTTTTTGAGCATTCCTGGAAAGTACAGAAAGGGAATGGCATTTCAGTTCAGCAAAACACAGAAGAGGCATTTCTGCAAAGGGAGAAACTGAAACACGGCACGGTAAAATATTAAAACTGAAAACCAAGGAATTGCCGCTGGAACTTTGGCAGCAGCCTCATAGGATGCTAAGTGTCACACCAATATAATTCTTGGTAGGATTCAGGGGACTATCACTTCATTGGCACCGGCTCACATGGGAAAGCCTGAAATTAACCAGGTCCTGCTTTTGAGAAGCTGTACTGAAACACTAGAGGATAAGGCTACCCATGGCTACCAGCTACAATGACTATGTTCTGCCTCTGCCATCAGATTCAACAAACGAGTCAGGCCAGAGGAAGCTCAGGCAAGGAGTTGTGCTAGCACAATGAGGTCCCCCTGCCGTCTCCCTTGCCCCCAAAATTGGCTTTTGTGGGGGGTGGGAGAATCCCAAGAACAGTGCAAGAGGGAAGGAGAGAGGGGATTGCTTCATTTGGTAAGCTGAAATGAATCAGCTGCCATTGCACTAGCTGAATTCCTCCCTCTGCACCTGTTGGCTGTAACCTTCCTGAGGGCCACTGAAACGACAACAGCTTAGTGCTTACCAGACAGAGAGGGTTGCAGCCGTGGTGAGAGCCATGATGTAGAAGCCCGTGCAGTGCAAAGTGGAGATTGGCGAATGCAAGACGATGGGAGGGAGAAGGCGGCGGCCGCAAGCCGAAAACACAGACAGGGTCCGCTTCTCACAAGCAACGCTCACTACCTTGCTGGAAAAGAGCCAGGGGACGGGGGAGAGAAATCAACTCAGAACTTCCAGTTATTCAATAAGACCGACGTGTCAAGCTTTGCATGAACAGTCTCCAAAGTGGCTTGCGCACAAAACGAAAACACAACAAGAAAGTAAGAAATAAAAACACATTTTAAAAAAGCACAACCCAACCTCCATTGTAAACAAGAGGGGAAAGCTACAAACATCTCCGTAATTGCATCCCAGAGAAAGCTTGGGAGAACGGGACAGCTTCCACCCGAAAACCTAAAATACTGTATTTTTTGCTCTATAAGACTCACTTTTTCCGTCCTAAAAAGTAAGGGGAAATGTGTGTGCGTCTTATGGAGCGAATGCAGGCTGCGCAGCTATCACAGAAGCCAGGACAGCAAGAGGGATTGCTGCTTTCACTGCGCAGCGATCCCTCTTGCTGTTCTGGCTTCTGAGATTCAGAATAATTTTTTTTCTTGTTTTCCTCCTCCAAAAACTAGGTGCATCTTGTGGTTTGGTGCGTCTTATAGAGCGAAAAATACGGTATATTTCTGAAAGACATTCCCATCCTGCCCTTCTGTTATCAATATGAAGCATTCCATCAGCTGGTGGAACACGCAGGATGTACTTTTAATTTTGTTTTTATCCTAATCAGAGAGCTGCCCTTGGGACTTGGTGGCACAGGAACAGGAAGTCACTGAGCAGATGGTTCCACAGATTGCAGCGCCTGAATAGGTGTTTATGGGGTAAGGTGATCCCATGAGTAAACTGATGCCAAGACATTAAGGGCTTTATACACCAAGTTGATGCCTTCAACATGCACACACAGAGACACACACACACACTCACCAGCTTCCTGCTGCCGAGAGAATTCGGCTGGTGAGGACCGTTTCCCATTCCTTTCCTTCCCGGTTACACTTTAACCTGCTGAGTTTTGAACCTCCCACTGCGGTGATGTCATTCTCCACTTCAATGTACATGGAGGGATCTGAGCTGACCTGCAAAAGTTGGTTCTCTTAAAATGAAAGCTGAGCAAGAGAATGTCAAATATATATCCCAATTCAAACAATAAAAAACCACCCTGGAAATGTGAAGGTGCTGTTATCCAGCATCGAAAACGGTAGATTCTTTATTTAAGAACACACATTGCTCAAACACGGTGTCTCATCTGAAATACCTGTCCATTCACAGCTACTGTATTATGTAGTAATAACTGAAACGCTATTAAAAGTGCCTGCCAGCGGCATTATTCAGAATCATCATTGTTACCAGGCCCTTCTCATATTTTATTTGCTTGTTAAATTTACATACTGCTCCTAAAAAAACAGCTCTCTGCGGTTTACAACTGCAGACTTGAGAGGAAAGGTAAGGAACAGCATTTAAGTACAGTGGTATCTCGGGTTAAGTACTTAATTCGTTCCGGAGGTCCGTTCTTAACCTGAAACTGTTCTTAACCTGAAGCACCACTTTAGCTAATGGGGCCTCCTGCTGCCGCCGCGCTGCCAGAGCCCGATTTCTGTTCTTATCCTGAAGCAAAGTTCTTAACCCGAGATACTATTTCTGGGTTAGTGGAGTCTGTAACCTGAAGCGTATGTAACCCGAGGTACCACTGTACAGTGAATCTGCTCTACTCTGTCAATGCAGTCCAAATCTTTATTATTCTGCCAAGGGTCAATTGTACAGTACATCCCACCCCCAATAAATCATCTAGGGCATAATACAGCAAAACAGCACATCTGAACTTCCATGCTATACCAATACTTAGCAACAAGGGCTCATTACAAAGGAAGTGAAATGCTACCATTCATAATTTAACCTGATACTTTAACCCAAAGTTAGCAACCACCTATTATCTGGCTTTTCCCTTTGTTTTCTCGCTACCTCTGTTGTTCTGAACCAAGCTGGCAAGTTAACAGAGAGGCAGTGGGGTGGGGTGGTTAGAGTGTTGGATGAACCTGGGAGACCAGGGCTCAAATCCCCACTGGGCGATGAAGATCACTGCGTGACCTCGGGCCAGTCGCTGCCTCTCAGCTGAACCTCTCTCACGAGGTTGTTTGTGGTGATTAAAAGAGGAGAGGGAGAACCCTGTAGGCCACCCTGAGCAACTTGGAGAAAAAGGGTGGGTTAGAAATGCAATAAATAAAGCATATGGGACTCAGTTCCATCCTTTTTAATAGGCACGAGCTGAAATGAGGAAGCTGGCCGGATCAAATATGGTTCTTTCCCCCCCCCTTTTTTAAATTTAAATTTTATTTCCAAAACCGAAAAAAGAAAAATTACAAACATCAAATTCAACATCCATATTCATTTTCTAACTTAAACCTATTACATAATTAACTAAATTAAAATATACCTAATTACTCTAAACTTCTCTTTGCTGTATACAAATACAACACAGTTAGAAATTTTATATTAAAGCTTTTATATTATAAATAATATTTCAAATTCCCCTATACCCCCCGTTCCCCTTCACCCATGTGTGATCTTATTTTATTTTATTTTTACTTCTTCCGTCTTGTTATGTTGTTATAATTTAATTATTGTTCAGCTGATTTTTTATTATTTCCTTGCTTACCCCTGCACATTTTACAGTTCCGGAACCATATTCTTTCATCTATTCCATCACTCCCTCCCGCTCTTTAATTATTCTCTGCTTTGAATGGCCTCTAATAGTTGCCGTCATTTTTGCCATTTCCACAAACTCACAGAGTTTACTTTGCCATTCTAATAATGATGGCATTTTCTCCCCCTTCCAGTTCTTTGCAATCAGTATTCTGGCCGCTGCTGTTGCGTAAAGGAATACATTTTTCTTATCTCTGGGAACGTCCGGGTCAAATATGGTTTTATGGGTCCGGCTTGTCGGCAGAAAGACCAAAATGTCATCTTTTCCCCAATCCCTTTTATACCCCAAACACTTTGCTGGGAACCTCTGCCTTGGGAAACTGTGAAGACTTTGCTCCTTATGCTCCGGAGTTTCCGCAGCTGGCTGTCCACGCCGATCCTAGCGCTTCTCTTGGAACTAACCTGCTGTTAACTGCAGAAGAGTCAGTGTAGTTTTTTGGTTTTCTTTATCCAACACTTACTTGCAATGCAAACGATTTCTGAGGGACTGGGGTTGGCAGTTTAAGTGCTAGCGGTGCACTGTGGCAAGCACCATCCTTCTCAGAAGCCAGGATTGCTGGAGACTGAAAGGCAAGAAGGAGAACTCAACCAGGTTGATTGGCGTAAAAACGCCTGTGTCCATTTAATTGCACACACCAGCTGGAGCCCTTGCCTTCCCACAAAGCGGTCTGTGGAAAGGAATCCAGAAAAGAGAGAAGGAGCAGGAGCAGGTGCACACTGTAGTCTTCACCTGCTTTTCTCCTTCCTGGAGATTCTTTTCCACGAAGCTCTCAGTGGGAAGGGGACATTTTTGCCACCTGCTCTTGCTCCACCAAGAGTTTTTTTTTGTTTTTTTTCACGGTTCTTTACATATCCGCATATTTTTTATTTTTTTAAAAATGCATATATTAAAGATTTCTTGATTTACAAATGTATGTGCAATGTCTTTTTTCAGGTTACATTTTCTACAGATCAGTTTCATTTGTTGAGACATCAGTGTTACATTAGGAAGAAAGGGGGGAAAGAGGTGGAGGGGGGAATGGTGAGTGGGGTGGGGTGGCAATGCTTCTATTCTACTTAGTGTATGTGTAGGGTTTTGTGTCAGCATCACTTGTGTGAGTTCTTTTTACTATTCGCTTGTATTCCTTTGGGGGTGAGAGAGGTTGGGGGGTGGCCTAGGGTGTGGCTGGTTGTCTTTGACTGGCTGTGGTGAAATTTGTTTCCGTGTGTGCGTGTTTGGATCAGGTTAGCCAGATGGATTCGAATGCTGTTGGCAGATTCTTGTCATTGCCTTGTTGGGCTGTGTATGTGATAAAAAGTAACCATACCGGGATGAAGGCATCTTCTTCTATTTGTCCCTGTGTCAGTTTCAGTTTGTTGGTTAGTTTTTCTAATAAGGTTGTTTCCCATACTATCTGATACCATTGGTCCATGCCATGGGTAGGCAAACTAAGGCCTGGGGGCTGGATCCGGCCCAACTGCCTTCTAAATCCGGCCCACGGACGGTCCAGGAATCAACATGTTTTTACATGAGTAGAATGTGTCCTTTTATTTAAAATGCATCTCTGGGTTATTTGTGGGGCCTGCCTGGTGTTTTTACCAGAGTAGAATGTGTCCTTTTATTTAAAATGCATCTCTGGGTTATTTGTGGGGCATAGGAATTCGTTCATATTTTTTCCCAAAATATAATCCGGCCCCCCACAAGGTCTGAGGGACAGTGGACCGGCCCCCTGCTGAAAAAAAAATCTGCTGACCCCTCGTCTATGCTTACTCCTGACAGGTCTCTCCAGTGTCTGGCTATGATGTTTCTGGCTGCTGAGAGTAGGTGGGCTATGAGCTCTTTGTGTATTTGGTAAAGGATGTGCCACTTCAAGGTTGCCAGTCAAAAGACAGGATGCAAATCGAGTACAGATAAATATTTTTTTTCATAAGCAAATGAACAAGAGAAGATGACAGGCACCCCAGTTACCTGAACTGCTAGCGTAACGGGCATCAGTCTTGAGTCCTTTCGAGGCCTGCCTTTCTTCTTCTTTTCTACTTCAAGGTCCAGTTTACGCTTGGACAGAATCATAGGCTTGGCTGGGATCTTTTCCTCACTGTCGCTGCTACTCTCCAAGATATCCTTAGGTTTGCTTTCCCTAATTGAGTTCTGCTCCTTCAATCTGCAAGAGAAACACAGGGTTACTCGACAAAGTTTCAAAAGCAGTTTCTGGGCTGGTTCGTGGGGGTGGGGAGTGGCCTAATGATTAAGAATCCACACGTTTTCAAACAACATTTGGAGACGTTTAATTTAGAGAAATGGCAGAGAAGACATGACTGAGGTATATAAAATTGTGCATGGTGTTGGGACAGTGGATAGAGAAACGTTTCCCCCCTTCTCTCACAACGCTAGAACTCAGGACCATCCAATGAAGTGGAACCCTGGACAATTCAGGGCAGACAAAGTACATTCGTACCTTGGATCTCAAATGCCTTGGCTCCCGAACAAATAGGCTCCTGAACGATCGAAACCCGGAAGTGAGTGTTCTGGATTTTGAACGGTTTTCAGAAGCTGAACGTCCGGCGCAGCTTCCGATTGGCTGCAGGACGCTCCTGTAGCCAATCGAAAGCCGCACATTGGTTTTCGAACGGTTCCGGGAGTCAAACGGACTCCCAGAACGCATTCTGTTCAAGAACCAAGGTACGACTGTACTTTTTCACGTAGCGCACAGTAGAATTACGGAGATCACTCCAACAAGAAGCAGTGATGGTTATCAATTTAGACGGCCTTAAAAGATGGTTATAGACAAATTCCACGCAGGCTAAAGCTACCAATGGCTACTGGCCATGAGGACTATGTTCTTCTCCCTCCACTGTTGGGGGCAGTAAGCCTCTGAACGCCAGTTGTTGGGAATCACAAGTGGTGAGACCGCCGTTGCACTCAGCTCCTGCTTTTGGGCTTCCCATACACACTGGGTTGGCTACTTTGAGAACAGGATGTTGACTAGGTGGGCTAATGGCCAGGTTCAGCAGCAAGCACTTCGGATGTAGCGTTAGCAGCAGCAGTAAGGACAAAATAAAGGTAAAGGTACACCTGACCATTAGGTCCAGTCGTGGCCAACTCTGGGGTTGCGGCGCTCATCTCGCTTTATTGGCCGAGGGAGCCGGCGTACAGCTTCCAGGTCATGTGGCCAGCATGACTAAGCCACTTCTGGCGAACCAGAGCAGCGCACAGAAATGGTGTTTACCTTCCCGCCGGAGTGGTACCTATTTATCTACTTGCACTTTCACGTGCTTTTGAACTGCTAGGTTGGCAGGAGCAGGGACCAAGCAACAGGAGCTCACCCCATCGCAGGGATTCGAACTGCCGACCTTCTGATCGGCAAGTCCTAGGCTCTGTGGTTTAACCCACAGCGCCACCCGCGTCCCGACAAAATGCACTACTCTAAACATGGTGGGAACGGCCATCCCATTCAGGACACAAATTGGCTGAAACCTAAATGGCCAGTTACAGCTCAGATGCAACAGATGCTTCAGATCAGGAACGAGCAACCTGGGAACCTTTGGCCTTGCTGATGCAAGTTTAATCTGGTGTCCAACCACATATGGGCAGCCACAGCTTCTCTGTCCCAGCTAGAGATCCTGTGGTCTGAATATGGGACAAAGCACGTGCTTTGCCCTGACCTAGCCACTGTGATCCGCGCGACGGTCACCTCTAGACTGGATTACTGTAACTCGCTCTACGTGGGGCTGCCCTTGGGACTGACCCAGAAACTCCAGCGGGTGCAGAATGCCATGGCGAGACTCCTTACGGGGTCCTCGCTGTGGGATCACATTCACCCAGTGCTATACCAGCTGCACTGGCTCCCGGTAGAGTACAGGATCAGGTTTAAGGTGCTGGTTTTTACCTTTAAAGCCCTATACAGCCTAGGACCCTCGTACCTACGGGACCGCCTCTCCTGGTATGTCCCACGGAGGACCTTACAGTCTTCAAACAAAAACGTCTTGGAGGTCCCGGGCCACAGAGAGGTTAGGCTGGCCTCAACCAGAGCCAGGGCTTTCTCGGCTGTGGCTCCAATCTGGTGGAATGCTCTGTCACAAGAGACTAGGGCCCTGCGGGACTTGACATCTTTCCACAGGGCCTGCAAGACAGAGCTGTTCCACCAGGCCTTTGGCCAGGGCACAGCCTGACCCCCTCCTTTGGCAATCCTCACAGAACTCTAGCCCAATGGTTGCCATTAATCTGATTTGAACTGATTTTATAATGAACTGATTTTAGAATGTTGTATCATTTTACTGTTGTTAGCAGCTCTGAGCCTGGCTTCGGCTGGGGAGGGCGGGATAGAAATAAAATATTTATTATTATTATTATTATTATTATTATTATTATTATTATTATTTTATATGGTCTTTAGGTGAAAACTAGGCCTTAATGGCTACAAATGCACACAGGGACAGTCTCCTGAAAAACAGAGGAAGACTGCAATGTGGTACAATTACAAAGCATTCTTATATATTTCTGTGTACATATTTCAGGAATCTTCTAGCTCCTCTGAATACCCTTCTCTAACTTTCCATTTTTAATAATATGTGATTGAATACATTCTTCAATGTCCTTCTTTATTAACTTCTGAATAAACACGCATTCTTCAGTGTCTTCATTCATTAACTTTTGATTAATTGTCTTATTCATTAGTTGTTTCTTCCTTGCTCAGTAGTCTAAGGTTAATTATAATGTTCTGCCTAGCTGATTTATTGCATTCCTATAATGTGCCACAGTGCAGGTTTCCATGGTTATTGCCCATATACATTTTTTTTTCCTGCTGGGAAGGGTTAGCGAATGTTCATTTGCATGTACCAGGCTACACAACAAGAAAACGGAGTCTTAAGATATTGCAACTTTGGAGGAAGTGGAATTTCCTCCTTCACTCTCACCTGGGCACAGCTCATTCCTCACCTGTCTATGGCAATCTGATTTGTGTGTGTTATGGCAGAAGTCCCTGAGGTGGCTTTGGATCGCTCCGTGAATCTCGAATCAAACGCTTTCATTGGCTCTATCTTGGAAGAGGCTGGCAGCACAGAGGGCGAAGATGCAGGTGGAGCAGCTGAAGCAGAGGTAGCATTTACACTGTAAAAAAAGGGGGGAAAAGCTGAGTTGGGGCAATATATATGGGGGGGGGGAGTGTTCTACAGGCCAACAAAACAACAAAATGAAAGTTCACAAGCAGTGGCGACATCAATCCCCATTGTTTCACATCAGTCCCCAGGATGGAAGCTGTTTTTCATCCTAACATGGTACATCTTGGGTAAAGTGTCCCCTTCTGCCCCCTCTGGGTAATTGAAAGGGCCTCCAGCTGAGTGAAGAGAACTGGAATGAAGCCACTGGAAGCCAGTGACTTGCCTTGTCCATGTCTTCCAGGTACTTCTTTGGGAAGGTTATTTTTAAATTTCATTTTATGAAATTACAGTGGTACCTTGGTCCTCAAACTTAATCCGTTCTGGAAGTCCGTTTGACTCCCGAAACCATTCAAAAACCAAGGTGTGGCTTCCAATTGGCTGCAGGAGCTTCCTGCACTCAAGCGGAAGCCAAGTTGGATGTTCAGCTTCCAAAAAACGTTCGCAAACCGGGACACTTACGTCTGGGTTTGCGGCATTCAGGAGCCGATTTGTTTGACAACTAAGCCATTCTAGAACCAAGGTACCCCTGTATATAAAACAGGGAGAACAATTATAACAACGGGCAAAAATTAAAAGATGAAAAAGGAAACTATAAAATGCGTATGCGGGATGAGTAGTTGCACGTGAGTTAAAATAACAAAGGGAAAGTAAAGACTATCAACTTCCAACAGATCATCAGGTATAGTTCCAGAATTGCCAGGCTTGTGGTGAAGGTACTTTTGACACCTCTGCATCTAGCACTTTGCATACTAGCAGTTGTAGGAAATCCGGCTGGTGTTTTCTACACTTCTCACTTCTGACAAAGTGGCTGGTGATTATATCACCATGAATTCCCGACTGCACTGGAAAGCGTTTACTGTATCTGACTCCAGCTTATGTATTTAAACAACTGATAAGTAATACCAACCGATATTGTGTTAGAGTGTGGGATATTGCCACATAGACCAATGGTCCGACTCCATATAAGGCAACTTTCTATGTTCCTAGACTATTTTTGTGACAAACTTAAAATATTATCAAGTTGGCAAGTGATGCAAGCAGGTGTGCAACCCTTAATGGGTCTGTGTGTGCTTTTGAGAATCCCACAAAGTTAAGACTGCACACACACACACCATACATTCAAAGCACGTGGCTTATCCAATAGAATCCTGGGGATTGTAGTTTACCTTTCAGAGTTACCCTTAACAAACTACTGTTCCCAGAATTCTTGGGAGTGTTGCTGTTGTGTGTTTTAAATGCATTGTTCGTACACAGCCTCAGTTTATGATTACAGTATTTTTTGCTCTATAAGATGCACTTTCCCCCTCCTAAAAAGTAAGGGGAAATGTGTGTGCGTCTTATGGAGCGAATGCAGGCTGCGCAGCTTTTGCTGAAGCCAGGAGAGCAAGAGGGATTGGTGTGCACTGATCCCTCTTGCTCTCCTGGCTTCAGGGACAGCCTCCCGAAGCCTCCTGAGCAGAGCGGGAGCGCTCCCACTGTGCTCAGGAGGCTTCGCATTGCTTTTGCTGAAGCCAGGGGAGCAAAAGGGATCGATCTCTCTTGCTCTCCTGGCTTCGCTTAGCTGGAGAGCCACTGCGCAGCTTTCCCTCTCTGCGCAGCGCCCCTTCAGCAAAGCGGGACGAGAAACAGAGCCCCTTCCGTTTCTCCTCCCGCTTTGCTGGAGAGGCGCTGAGCAGAGAGGGAGAGAACAATTTTTTTCTTGTTCTCCTCCTCTAGAACTAGGTGAGTCTTATGGTCGGGTGCGTCTTATAGAGCGAAAAATACGGCGGTGGTTAAGTGGTGTCTGACTATTTCCCTGTAACCATTTAACGTAGTCCCAAGAGAGATTTTTCCCCCCGTTCTGTTGCATTGTTAGAACTACACAGAATGGTTTTTTTTCAAACACATTTTCAAATCACTGAGGATCAGTGAGAGGCAATATGAAAGTTATTGCCGTGATGGGCTCATTCAGAAACACAAAATCATAGCTAACAAGAGTCGCAGAGCGACCGACATGCAGTACATGGACAGAGCCCCCAAGTCACAAAAAGTTAGAAGATGAGATCTCCGTTGCCCAGTACTGACCCATCTTTGTTGCCTGCGTCTTCGGTTGGTTTAACACTCACTGCCACCGGCTCTAAGGCAGGCTTAGACGTGCAGAGGATATTGGTTGCATTGTAATCTAATGACATCAGCTGATTGGTTTGAGAAGCTGACATCATTGAGCCTGCTAAGGATCCAGATATAGGAATACTATTGAAAAAAGCTGTAGAAAAATCTCTGTTTTTCGGGGGGAAACAAACAGACAACAGTCAAGAGATTAGCTGGATTATATACGTGCCACATAATCGAAGGTGTATACATTTTAAACACAAATGTATGCATTGAATTATATAACAAAAAGGAGGAAGAGATTGTATCTAAAGTAGCACTAAGAGACACGTTCGATCAGCACAAAGATTTATGCTGCATGCAGACTCAGAGGTGAGTTCATCAACCTCCTTCTGGGATTCTCAGCGTATCTGAGTCACACAATCAGAAATGGCTGCGTTCGATTTGGCATTGCGATTTTCACCATTGTAGCAACTGCCCCCCACCCTTGTGGTGTCAGAAACAGTCGGAGGCTACCAGTACATGTAGGGAACTTGAAATTCCCGGGAAGTCTTCCCAAGGGTAGTCCCAGGTACAGTACACCGCAGTAGTCAATGGGTTTGGCAGTTACCAGGGTGTGAGCAATGGCAACCAGCCTGCAGACCCTGAAAGAACCTAAACTGCTTAGGTCTAGGTTATCTGAAGAACTTGCACAGGGCTTCCGCTTACATAAGTCATTAGCTGACTCTCACCCTGAATCTTTAAGAAGCATCAATAACTTAGAAAAAGTACATACATCAAAAGACAAGTTGCAGAGTAGTCTAGAAGTATTTTCACAACAGGAAGACATGAGGGTTTCTTTTTAAGTATACAAATGATTTAAGAAAATCTCAACGGAAGAAAATATAAAACCTGTCATTTTATATTTCATAGATAGATAGATAGATATAGAGAGAGATATAGACACGGGTGGCGCTGTGGTCTAAACCACTGAGCCTAGGGCTTGCCGATCAGAAGGTTGGCGGTTCGAATCCCTGCGACGGACTGAGCTCCCGTTGATCGGTCCCTGCTCCTGCCCACCTAGCAGTTTAAAAGCACGTCAAAGTGCAAGTAGATAAATAGGTACCACTCCGGTGGGAAGGTAAACGGCGTTTCCGCTCCAGCGTTTCCGTGCACTGCTCCGGTTCACCAGAAGCGGCTTAGTCATGCTGGTCACATGACTCGGAAGCTGTCTGCGGACAAACGCCGGCTCCCTCGGCCTATAGAGTGAGAGGAATATATATACACACACATATACACATACATACCCAGTATCCAGCTGAGCTATGCAGAGAGGTGTGATTCTTCTCCGTCCATCTGCTGTCCGAGTCTCAACTTGTTTCTTTAAAAGATTCTGTTGGGGGGAAAGATGGCTGTTGGAACTTTTGCTTGTAATTGCTATAAAGGCCTATTGCAAAGCATCAAAAGTCTATAAACTGGACATTTTGTTTATTCAGCTTGTTAAAATACTCCTACCCCTCCCACTCATATAAAACAACAAGGCCGCATAGGACCTTTACAATAAAACAGTTATAATAAAATGTAAGGTACCATAAAGAGAATACAAAATAATAACGATAGCCGGCTCATCATAAGAAAGTTTCAGCAGGTAAATAGGCCTATTGTGATGAAAAAAGGCTTGAGGAGCTGTCTGAAAGTTAGCACTGATTACGCCTGCTGAATCTCCTAGAGCCCAAGTCCAAAACTCTGGATAAGCCCACTCCGCAGTTTCATGTAGATGTTAAATATCATAGGTGGTTTTCAACCCGCGTGCTGTGGCACCCTGGGGTGCCTTGAATGATGGTCAGGGGTGCTGTGGGCAACACTGGCCTCTGTCCCTCTTTCCTTTCTCCCTCTGATGCCCTCTTGTGTCTCTGCCTCTCAAAGGCTTGCACAGCTGTTTGTTGCAGCAGCCTTGGCTGCAAACTCTGTAGGCGAATGGTGTCTCTGGGGCTAGCCAGGGGGTGCTGGTTGCTAGGAATCGAGGCGGCCTTGGAGTAAGCAAGCAAGCAGGCGAGGGAGCCCAGCTAGCAAGTCCACCAGCTCTTGCTGTTGGGAATGGACAGACAAGTACCAGACGCCTGTGGGGCAGTGTGAGGAGGCACCTCTCTTTGGGGCGGGGCAGCTCAGAGACCAGAGGATGGCAGGGGCTGCCCGGAGGGGAGAGGATAGGAGGCTGAGAGAACACTCCACCAGGGTGTTCAAAAAAGGGTGAGAGGCTGCCAGCTCTGCAGGCAAGGGGTGACATTACTGGGCTCCTGAGCCCCACAGTGGTGACGCAGAAAGAATGTACAGTGGTACCTCGGGTTACAGACGCTTCAGGCTACAGACTCTGCTAACCCAGAAATAGTACCTCAGATTAAGAACTTTGCTTCAGGATGAGAACAGAAATCGGGCGGCGGCAGCACAGTGGCAGGAGGCCCCATTAGCTAAAGTGGTACCTCAGGTTAAGAACAGTCTCATATTAAGAACGGACTTCCCGAATGAATTAAGTTCTTAACCTGAGGTACCACTGTAGTTGGTCAAGGGAGCCATGGATTCAAAAAGGTTTAAAACCTCAAACATCGGGGATAAAACTGAACCCTGAGGAACCACACACCCTTAACTCGGACAGCAGCTCCAGTAGGATACCACGGTCAATGATATCAAAAGCCACTGAGAGGTAAGGAGAATGAAGAGGAACACATTTCCCCTGCCTCTGTCCCGACAGAGGTCATCATACAGGGCCACCAAAGCAGTTTCTGAGCCAAAGCCCGGCCTAAACTCAGATTGAAATGGATCTAAGAAATGACTGAATCGCTCAATGCCTCACCAAGGCTCCAGTTGTCCATGTCACAGCCTCTCCAGGACTAAGCATGAGTGGCTGGAGGTCTGTGTAAATGACACATGGGAACCACACCAACAACCCTTTTGTGCTGCGTCAAGGAGGAGCCAGATGCCAAACTTTCCCCTTTTGCAAAGGTGACATGAAGGAAAAGAACCACCATCAGGGTCACCTACCTTCCTAATGTCTTCCAAGCTCTCCCCATTCACCATGCTTGCTACTTTAGGTGCTGCTGCTGAGCCAGCTGCATCTCTCGCTGCTTCGTTCTTCTTTTCCACCTGCTGCTGCCTTTGCTGGTACTTCAGCATCTCTGGGTTCTCAATTATAGCAGTAGACAGGTGTGCCTCGGTCATTATAGCCAAGCTCTTGCCATAAGTGGTCTGGTGGATGTTGCTCTAAGGGGCGCAAAGGTGAGAACACAAAAGCAGCCGCTTAAACTGCGTGCACGAATCTTGATCAAAAATGACAAAGAACTCGGGCAACGGACTAAATATCCAAATAATGCAGAAACCTTCAGCTGTACTGACTCATTTATTTCCGGCTGCATTTGTCTGCCGGCTTTCACCATTATTTAGAAATGATTCAGGTGCTATGCAAAAATAAAGGCAGGAGACGGACTCTGAGAAAGAGGTTTAGAGTATGCAGACAGGAGGGACCAGAAGAGCAGAAAAGACAGTAGACTAAGGAAAAGCAAGAGATAAATGAGAATTTCTGAAGGAAGCAATGGAGGACATTTCAAACACCAATGATTCTGTAGACTGAGCATGCAAAGCATGTACAACCCTACTAAGCTAGCCTTCTCCAGCCCAGTGCCCTGCAGATATTTTGGACAGCAAAACCCATTACCCCTGCCCAGTGGCCATACTGGGTGGGGGGTGATGGGGGGAGTCCAAAGCATCTGCCAGCTACCAGGTTGAGGAATGCTGCGCTGAGCTAATGGACCTCCCCTTTCAATGATGGCAGAAAAAGAAAAGACGACTTGAAAAGCATAGGGATGTACACAAAAAAACAACAGGCATCTGTTGAGTGCAGGAATACATGCACATAACCTGTTTATAGTGCACCTGCCACATTTTCCCAGCTGTGATCCAAAGGATGTGTTAGAACTGGCAACATGACCCCCGCCCTGGCAACAAAAGGTTCTCCCAGATGGGACTGATCAGCACAGTTCTAACCATGTCTACTCAGAATCCAATCGGGATTACTCCCAGGTAAGTGAAGTTAGGGCTGCAGCCTTAATTAGCAAGCCCATCCAAAATAGCGCAGGGTTATATGGCTTTAGTAGAAATGTTATAAGGAATTAAGTATAAATAGATTAATAGAATATTAAAGGGAAAAATAAGGCAAGAATGTGTTAAGATAATTATAGGATAGAAAACAGAGGAAGATGGAAAGGAATTGCTGAAACAATTAATAGAAGTGGAATACAAAAAGGGAGGTGCGAGGAGGTCGTTGAAATAAGTGAATGAAAGATAAGATATTGAAATTGTTTGATGTGTTTTAAACTGTTTTTGTTTTGTTTTGTTAGTTTAATGTGTTAGTGTTATGTAGTGTTTGTGTATTGTATTGTATTGTTCTTTTTTTTTAGTGTTTAAATTGTTGGAAAAGTAATAAATATTATTTTTTTAAAAAAATAGCGCAGGGTACCTTCTCTTCCTCGCTCAGAGGGTCGCCAAGCTCATCTTGGGAAAAATCCAAAAATGCTACTGATCCATCCATGGAGCACACCAAGATGCCAAGCCCATTTAAGGTCCTGGGAAGACAAAGATGGAGGATTTTGATTAGTACCTTAGACTGGAAAGAACAGCTCATGTAACTGGAAGACCAGCGGTTTGGTGGGATGTAGTTAACCTGCTGGCAAACTCAGAAACACACACACACACACACAAAGTTCTCACATCAACCAGCCCGCAAAATTATCAGGCATCCTGAATGATATTCCTGAGAAACTTAGCAAACCCAAGCAGCGTGCAGTATGCTTTCTGAGCCCAAGTACTCATCATATCCTGGGAGCTGCTGTAGAAGTTGCTCCTTCCTGCAATGCCAGGATTAACATGGGGAGACCCAAGCACAGTGGGAGAAGTCCTCCTGGCAGCCCCTCCTCGTACCAGCATGAGCCAAAGTTGACCGCTAGCAGGGTGAAACTCCACATGGCAGGTCTGGAATTTCTAACATGACCCTGGCGGAGCGGGAAAGAGTGGCACTGCAAAAGCTCTCATGCCATCGAGGCAACAGGAACACCCAGACCTAACTCCCCTACTACTGAAGAAAGTCTTGCAGAAGATAAATGGGTGTTCAAATACCGGAGCAGGATAAGAAGCTCTAAGTTCTGGCCTTTTTTTGCATGTGCTCTTCAGGTGGCCTTGGTTTTACACAGTTCAGCTTCAGAGCACGCACAAGCTGCACTCCTTAAGAAAGGAGTCTATTGCCATGGAACTGTGGTCAGAGGAATGGCTTTATGTATATGGGGCAGCAGGCAAATCATGCCCTACTGACCCTATGTTGTGCTGTCACCATTCCCTGTGCAGCTATTCAAAAATGGAAGCTGGCCGTCCATGTTGCTTTATACCATAACAACGTGCTAACGGACCGACAAATCAGCCAAACACTCACAACACCATTTCAAGCGAAAGCGGGAACAACTGGCGAGTGACTATGCTGCTGTTATGATCGATACCATAGTATTTCATACATGAGTAAATAATGGTCATTACAGAATTCATAAGATCAACAGGAAAAGACTGAGCCATCTCAAATACTTCCTTCCCACAACAAATTTCTATATTATGTCTACTTTTTTGCCAGGATAGAAAAAGGTTCAGGCCAACGGTTTTTGAAACATATTCCAGAGACTCTGGAGGTTCTTCAGCAGCTTATAGGGAAACTCGCCAGAAAAGAACCACAGATAAGCTTCCGGAAAGATAGCTTGTGGTGTGCAAATGCAAAATGTGTTGGGGTGTGTTACAGACAGTACCAGCCTTCCCTGGAGCTCAGCAGGTGCTTTCTGCATCAGCTTTTAAATACCTGCTGCAAACTTTTCTATTCAGTCAGGCTTATGCCGGCAACTCAGAGCACATCTTTCCACAACAGTTATCCAATTTCACCTTTCTCATATAGTTTTTATTGTATGGTATTATGTACAGCTGTCGTGAAACTGTTTCAGTATTTTCTTTATGAATCAGCAGCAAGTAAATATTTCTTATAAATAAATAAAATGAGCTTCTTGGGAAGGTGGGTGGGATACAAAAAAGTAGGATGCTCACAATGAAAACAGCCTGCTTTAAAACAAACCTCCCCCCCCTTTCCTTTTTAATATACGCAAACAGGAATAAAATGTAAATTCAAACCCTCAGATTTCCTGGGAGATGTTAACGTGCTTTACTTACTTGGGCGCTCACTAAACAAGCCAGGCATGGCAACCTACCCTGACATCCGCCAGACTTCATTTGATTGCCGTTATCAGTTTTATGGATGGTTTCATTTTACTTTGCCGAAACCTTCTTGGGCATTTTACAGTGTTGTTCTCTCCTTTTAATGCGACTAAATTTGTGGTCTTACGTTATACTATTGGTATTACCGGTGTGTGTGTGGTTTTTTAGCAGGAACTCGGTGGAACTAAGTTCCCTCAATTTTTAAAAATTAAATAATAATATCTTTTTTCTTTTTGTTTTGTTCTGGAATGGATATACACCCAATGCCTGAGCCAAAAATCCACCTATATCTGTAATCAATAAAGTTGTGGCCAATCCAGATCATTGTCTGCTTGAGTTTATTAATCGCATCTTACATTTAGCCACTACCTTGGGGGGGGGGGGGGCGGCGGCGCTGCGACTGGGCCTGCTATAAACTAAACTAACTAACTAACTAACTAAATAACTAACTAACGAACTAACTTCATGGTGAGTTCCTCCACTTTTTTTCCAGAAAAAAAAAAGCCACTGGGAATTACTACTCTGGTTGTACACTCCGCCCCGAAAGCAATGCTGAAATCTGCAGCCTAAAAATCTTTTAAACAAAGGGGAAGGGAAGCACTTTTTCTAACCACCCACTTCCTGCTTAGGCACACCTTTTATTATCGTGCTGAGCTCAATTAAGGCCCAGATCATCAGCTTTGCTTCTCTTACCACCTAATCATTTCAAACCAGCAGAGGGAGCAACCAGAAAGAGGAGCGAGGGAACGGGCTTTTTACTGAAACTGAAGTAGCACTGCGGCGCCTTCAAGTGGCAGGGAGGTATCATTGCAATGTGGCATAAGAACATAAACGTAGCCTCCTGGGTGAGGGAGTTCCATAGTTTAACTGAGCACTGTCAAGTATGACTTGGAGTCCAGTCACCGCACCTGCCTTTCCAACCTGAACAAAGCCCTAGAAATTTATTCCATTTGTTTTTGCACTGACTGCCGTCTATTAGACTTCTTATTGTTTTTAAGGCACTCACCATGGTACCTTAAAGTAAAGGTAAAGGGACCCCTGACCATTAGGTCCAGTTGTGACCGAGTCTGGGGTTGCGGCGCTCCTCTCGCTTTACTGGCCGAGGGAGCCGGCATACAGCTTCCAGGTCATGTGGCCAGCATGACTAAGCCGCTTCTGGCGAACCAGAGCAGTGCACGGAAACGCCGTTTACCTTCCCGCCGGAGTGGTACCTATTTATCTACTTGCACTTTTATGTGCTTTCGAACTGTTAGGTTGGCAGGAGCAGGGACCGAGCAATGGGAGCTCACCCCGTCGCGGGGATTCGAACCTCCGACCTTCTGATTGGCAAGTCATAGGCTCTGTGTTTTAAGCCACAGCACCACCCGCATCCCTACCATGGTGCCTTAGCCACAAGCAAAAGGCAAAATCAAGGATATGTTGTAAACCACAATGTTTTTATTTTGTTAAAAAAAAATAGCTGAAAACTTGGGAAGCCAAACATTACAGAATTAAATGGGAACTGATGGCTGACCACAAGGATACAGTTTAATGAAACTGCAGAATGACTGGGCTTGCTGGCAACGGGAGATCACTATTTCCCAGTGAACAGCAAAGGAAATATATTTTGTCTCAATCAAAGCCATATTTTGACAGCCAGTGTGGTGCAGTGGTTAGATCACATCACAGAGGTGCAAGTTCATATCATGAAGCTCATGGGTTGAACTTCGGCAACTCTCTTTCAGCCTGACCTACCACACAGGGCTGTTGCAAGGATAGAATGGAAGTGATGAGAACAGTAGCCGCTACCTTGCTCTTGAGAGGAAAGGGGGAATTTAAAATGTAGTTAATGAATAATATCTTACCACGAGATGTCCATGATTGACTTGTCAAACAGCTCATGTATGACAACCAAAGGCCTTTTCAGACACGTCAGCTAAACAACAGAAAGTTGCATGGTGGTTATTGTCATACACAAGTCTCACATCCCATTCTCCAAGATCCATCAACGTGTGGAAGATCATGAAACATATTAATTCATGCAAGCTGAATACCCAACAATGGAAAACCTAGAGTAAGGTGGTCCAACGCACAACCTATGGGCCACATGAGGCCCTCAAGGCCTTTTTTTGGTGGCCCTTATCAACATCTGACACCACACGCCCCCCCCCCCAGCCTTCAAGCTGTCTTCCCAAAGGCGGGTAAGCGAGGTGCTGGGCGTTGGGTAGGAGGCGTGAGGGCTCTGAGAGGGTCCTAAAGTCATCCTTCCTTCTTCCCAAAGCCTAGTTAGAGGCCTTGCTTCCCCCACTCCCTGCGTGACAAGGCAGTTTGCGGCCCACGGGTTCTGTGTTGGGCCGCCCTGACCTAGAAGGAGAGAGGGAGGGAAAGTGACGTTCCCAGTAAAACAGCAACTGGGCCATAATGCACCACACACTAGCAGAGACAGACATAACTCCTAGGAACAAGCACGGGTTTTACTGTTGTGACTCTCCCCGACCCCTAAGCTTCGCTTTTTTACTGCTAAATATACAGGAACATAAGAAGCTGCCCTATACTGAGCAGAACCGTCTTTCCCATTGGGTTTACTGGCACGTTGCGCCAGGGCACCAGGCTCCAAGGGGCGCCTCAGCAAGTAGGGGAGCTGCGCGGCTTTGCCGGCGGCCTCCCCTTTCCCTCCTGTACGCCTGCCAGCTGCGCCCCGTCAACTATATGGCTGGCGGGCGTGCAGCTTCCTTCCCAAGCAGAGGCTTGGGAAAAGGTTGACAACTCTGGGAAATGGGGGGTGGAGTGCCGGAGGAATCTTTGCACCACGGCGCCGGATATGCTTAAGACGGCCCTGATACTGAGTCTGACCACTGGCCAGTCTACCTCAGTATCGTCCACACTGACCGGCAATGGCTCTACAGGGTTTCCAAGCAGGGGTCTCTCCCAGCCCTGCCTGGCAATGCTGGGGATCGAACCTGCGATCGTCTGCTTGCAAGGCAGAAGCGCTATAACAGATCTACATCCCTTCTACCACTAACAGAAATTCGTTCCCTGCCACCACCCATGTTCTCTTTCAGGAACTTAGCATATTCATCCAATTAAAAAATTATTTAGACTAGGGTTACCAGACGTCCCCGGTTTCCGGGGACAGTCCCTGGATTTGCAAATCTGTCCCCGGGAAACATGGCAATGGCAGCCTCAGCAGCCCAGAGCCAGCCTGGTAGCGCAGTTGGCTCTGGCTGGCTTCAGGAGCTGCTCGCGGTGCCCACCATTTTCCCTCTCCAGAAGTCCCCATATGATGTGTCTTGTGCGCAACACTTCATATGGGGACTTCCGGAGAGGAAAAATGGCGGATGCTACAGCTGCGAGCAGCTCCTGAAACCAGCCAGAACCAACAGTGCTACCCGGCTGGCTCCTGGCTCCTGGCTGCTGCCACTGCCGAAGGGGAACCGGGGACGTCCGGCGGTACAGATCTCCTGCCCCCTTCCCCCTTTATTTTGACTGATCGGGGGAGGCTCGGGAGTCACAGGTGGGCGGCTGTTGCCCATTATTTTAAAATACTGCGCATTTATGTTTCACAGGCTGCAAAAGAAGGGCTTTGCACCTTGTCTGCCAGAGAAACCGTGCGCCTTGTGCCCCTCCTGGGCAATGGCTGCCCACGCATGACTCCTGAGTCTCCCCTATCTGTCAGAACAAAGGGGGAAGGGGGCAGGAGATGGAAGAGGCTCAGGAGTCACGAGTGGGCCGTTGCCCAGTTTTTTTTAAACTGCGCATTTATGTTTCACTGGGTGCGAAAGAAGGGCTTGGCACCTTTATACAATATGCATGTGTGCTTGGGCCCAGGGTCTTTTGCCTCACCATCCCCACTACTGACTCCCTGTTGCTACTCAGCTTCAAAAAAACAAAAAAATTGTCCCTGGATTCATTGAAAAAAATCTGGTAACCATAATTTACACCTCTTTTCTTAAAAAAAAAAAAAGAGCTTCCCAACCAGCTAATTCAGTATCACTTAAGCTTTCTTTAAACAGCCACAACAGGGTGGTTGGTGGCAGTATTGTGATTTCCACAAGGGCCAGCCAGTCAGCACTCTCCGCAGCCTGACAGGAAGGCGGGAGAAAGGTGGCTTCATGATCATAGAATCATAGAGTTGGAAGAGACCACAAGGGCCATCGAGTCCAACCCCCTGCCAAGCAGGAAACACCATCAGAGCACTCCTGACATATGGTTGTCAAGCTTCTGCTTAAAGACCTCCAAAGAAGGAGACTCCACCACACTCCTTGGCAGCAAATTCCACTGTCGAACAGCTCTTACTGTCAGGAAGTTCTTCCTAATGTTTAGGTGGAATCTTCTTTCTTGTAGTTTGGATCCATTGCTCCGTGTCCGCTTCTCTGGAGCAGCAGAAAACAACCTTTCTCCCTCCTCTATGTGACATCCTTTTATATCCTTTTATATATTTGAACATGGCTATCATATCACCCCTTAACCTCCTCTTCTCCAGGCTAAACATGCCCAGCTCCCTTAGCCGTTCTTCATAAGGCATCGTTTCCAGGCCTTTGACCATTTTGGTTGCCCTCCTCTGGACACGTTCCAGTTTGTCAGTGTCCTTCTTGAACTGTGGTGCCCAGAACTGGACACAGTACTCCAGGTGAGGTCTGACCAGAGCAGAATACAGTGGCACTATTACTTCCCTTGATCTAGATGCTATACTCCTATTGATGCAGCCCAGAATTGCACTGGCTTTTTTAGCTGCCGCGTCACAATGATGGTCGCAAAGACTAGCCAATCAGCACTCTGAACAGCTGGCTTACAACCAGCTGCTCCTATGAACAATTTGATTAAGTTCATACACCTGTCCTAAAAGGCAGAACCAGAGTGGGGCCCACTGTTCAAGATACACGTCTACCTCAGCCTGAGCTGGGCCGTGTCAGCTAGAACAGAAGACTTACTTACCCAGACAGAAAGAGACCGGTCTTTGCTGCCAACAGCACAGCAGCAATAAGGGTGGCTAGATTTGGTTGAGCTCCCATTCTTCTGCTTCTTTTTGAAGATTTTTGGATTGAATTTCTAGAAAAGGGAAGGGGAAACAACCAGAGGGTCCTCTTAAAAATTAATTTGCTTTAAGAAGCCGAGCTAAGGTGCAAAAGAGGACCGAGCAGGTAGTTTTGGTCCTCACTAAAACTTGTATGTCAGGCCTGACCCAAACAAAGCATTATATAAATCTCTCCGAACATGCCTATTCTGTGTATTTCTGGGATGGCTGCAATGAAATACTATTGCAAGAAAAAGAAAAAGAAAAAAAGCTCTTTTGGCTCCTGTAGCCTCCTCGACTACCCTCCTCCTTTCTTTCAAGACCTTAATAATAGCTAAAATAAGCACATTTGTCACTTTTTGTTCCTGAAGCCTACTCTTCTATTATCCCCCCACCCCACCCGCCACCCCATGCAAGACCTGGCTTAATAATTACCTAAAATAAGAACAATTGTCTCTTCGGTTCTGCTTCACTTCTGTCTACGATCAGGACAGGGAGTAATTTAGAACATTTGGGGAAATTCTAGGGGTGGTGCCACACCTTAAAGAAATAACAGGGCACTGACCTGAAAATAGCCATGTTCTGCTATTGCTCCTGCACTATAGGACAACCTTCCCCCGCCATACGCACAAGGTAGCAGCTTCTCACCTGCTTCAGGTATCTTGTAAAGGTGTAGCTTTTTGCCTGACTGGTAAGATCAAGCCCTATCTTCATTTGTTTGAATGTCCTGCATTCCTGTTTTTATTTATTTCTATATGTTTTTATGTTTTATTATTAGTTTAATAACATTGTTTGTTTTTGATGCAGTACGTTGCTTAGTTTTTTAACACAGTGGTACCTTGGTTCTCAAACGTCTTGGTACTCAAACAAGTTGGAACTCAAACACTGCAAACCTGAAAGTAAGTGTTCCAGTTTACAAACTGTTTTCGGAAGCCGGATGTGCTCCATTTTGAGTGTTACGCTTCCAATTTGCGTGCCACACTTCCGTTTTGAGTGTTACACTGGGGTCCGTCTGTTTTTGCTATTTATTTTGGGTTTGTGTTTTTGTGGCTCTTTTTGTTTTGTTTTTGTGACTGTGTGGAACCCCAGTTCAGCTACTGATTGAGTGATTGTGTGACTGCAGTACATTGTTTATTGCTTTCATTTTATGGATCAATGGTCTCGTTAGATAGTAAAATTCATGTTAAATTGCTGTTTTAGGGGTTGTTTTTAAAAGTCTGGAACGGATTAATCCATTTTGCATTGCTTTCTATGGAAAAGCATGCCTTGGTTTTGGAACACTTTGGTTTTGGAACGGACCAGGGTACCACTCTGTGTGTGTGTGTGTGTGTGTGTGTATGTGCGCGCACACGCGTATGTATATGTGTATGTACAGTCATACCTCGGGATAAATACGCTTCGGGAGGAATATTTTCGGGTTGCGCTCCGCGGCGACCCGGAAGTAATGGAGCGCATTACTTCCGGGTTTCGCTGTGCGCGCATGCGCAGACATTCAAAATTACATCACACGCATGCGCGGAAGCGCCAAAATGCGACCCGCACACGCGCAGACACGGGTTACGTTCGCTTCAGGATGCGAAGGGGCTCCGGAATGGATCCCGTTCGCATCCCGAGGTACCACTGTATATATATATGTACAAGTGTGTGTGTGTGTACATATATATGTACGTGTATTTACATATCTCTCAGTTCATAAACGCTTTTAAATAAATGAACCTACCACCACTGTCACTGCTTTGCGATGGCCAACAAAATCCATGTTGGTCTTCCACCCGTCTCGCTCAATGATCTGTGCCGTGGGACCAGAATTATTCATGGCATGAGCAGAGACGAGATAGTGTCCGTCGGGTGACCAGCTGAGACGTAAAACATGGGTCGTTCCTCCACACTGAAAAGTAAAACCAGGCCACAGAAAGGACTGAGCATCACGTTTGCCAAATGTTCATGGATGATAAATGACACCCTTATCTGTAACCAGATTCAACACATATTATCTGTCACTGGCAGCATCTGGGGTGGCACTCACAGGTGCCCATGTCACCCAACTACTTTGGCTTCCAGGAGGATAATGCTGCCAATGGCTACTAGCTGGGGCTGCTGCATTGTACCTTCACTGTTGGAGGCGGTCCGCCTCTGAATACCAGTTGTTGCTGTTGCATTTAAGTCCTGCTAGCAAGCATTTGCTTGGCCACTGTGAGAACAGGGTGCTGGACCAGATGGGCCGTTGGCATTTTCCAGGAGGCTCCCTATATTTTCTTATGTTTTCAGAGGTTACGATTTGCAACCGTCTTAAGCCTATACTACGTGAACCCCCAGTTTCAGAATGCAGCAACTGGGGAAAACACACACTGAGTTCCTAAGCTATATGTGGGACAGAAAACAGCCACATGCACCCAAATATATATGGAGGAAACCGCACAAGGTGCTCAGTTTGGAAATGATGGCACCTGCTCATTTCAAAGGCACCTGACTGAAGAAGGCAAAATCGGTCAGCTGCTACGGCTTGGCTCAGATCAAGAACAGGCCAGGAAGCAGGAGTTCAGTTAGGTGCTTTTAGTCAAACCTTGGTTCTCGAACGGCTCCATTTTCTAACGTTTCAGCTCCAGAACGCCGAAAACACAGAAGTAAATGCTCCGGTTTTCGAACGTTTTTCAGAACCCGAATGTCCCGCACGGCTTCCGCTTGAGTGCAAGAAGCTCTTGCAACCAATCGGAAGCCGTGCCTTGGTTGTTGAACGTTTCTGAAGTCAAACCGTCTTCCGGAACAGACTACGTTCAACAACCGAGGTTTGACTATATGAGATTAACAGATGTACATCTTAAGGGGCCAATGTGTATTACTTCAATTACTCTGCTGTTTGTGGGCCGTTCTACTTAATTGGCTGAGTGGGGCCTTGGATGTTTGGCGCAAAGTCCTGTCTTGGATGGCAGGTGCCTTGGACTCACACTTGTCCACTTCTCTTTGCAGATTGTAATTTCCTCCTCCCTCTGGATTGCAGGATGTGGACCGCCAAACAACGGTTTGCACTTGTCCTGTGACCCAGAACTGCAAACCTGGGAGCCCTGACATCTTGATCTGAAGCTAGGGGTTGAATAAGCATAAGGGACATGTCAGGGAACTGCCATCGGTTGAGGAGGGAGTGAGGAAAAGCCAGATGGATTACAGAGAGCCCCCAAAGATCATGGAAAGCAGCTCCTCCTTAGCGGGGGAGAGTAACCACACCTCCAGTGGAGAGGAGCTGCAGGGTTCGGAGGAGGCGAGGCGTTGCCAGGATACCTTGCCTGGGCAAAGCGGGAAGGGAAGAGGTCCACCGTTACCCACGTAACTGGGCGTCAAGAAATTACTTTGCTGGGGAAAATTTAAGCCCTGCCCACTCACGGATTCTGCCAGTGAATGAGTCAGCCATGGGAGAGTGGCGCTCCGGACAGATAAAGTTTATTTTGCATCAAAAGCAAGGCTTCACAGCCGAGCCGGGAGGTACTTGCCTGCTTGCTCTTGAGCAACCCCTTGGAAACCTAACAGGACAGATAAATAATCCCTTGTGGAGGTCTTGAAAGACATCTCTTGTAAGAAGGTTTAAAATTACATTTATTGCTCCTCCCACTTCTTCCTCCAGCCCTGCCCATCAATGGCCTGTGCCCCTCCACCTGGAAAGGAATGCAGCCCCTGTGCTAAAAAAGCTACCCCACATCTGCAGTCATGTTCGTTCACGGGATGAGTTGTTGAGACAGCTAACACAACACACACCTCATCAAACGGTTTGGTGATGCTGGTTTCTAGCTGCCAGTCCATGGTACGCCACACCTTCAAGCTTCGGTCATCTGCTTGCGACGCAATGTATTTCCCCACTGGGTCCCAGGTGAGCCCCTTAACTAAGCCAGAATGTCCCTTCAGAGTGGCGAGAATTTCTGCATGCAGCAAAGAGATAAAAAGATTTTTTTAAAAAAATACATGCTGACTTTTTCAAGAACTATTTAACTGGATAAAGCTGAGAGAGCTTTAAAATGCTACTGAAGCCCGACAACGTCTTGGTACAAGCTGGTATTCAATCATGCTGAATTCATAGTAGTAGTTGTTGTTTTTAAAAGACACTTGCATACAAATGCAACTAGGGGATATGAAAGAATACAGTTGTACCTTGGAAGCTGAATGGAATCTGTTCTGGAAGTCTGTTCAACTTCCAAAACGTTCGAAAACCAAAGCACAGCTTCTGATTGGCTGCAGGAAGCTCCTGCAGTCAATCAGAAGCCGTGGACATTCGGCTTGTTGGACATCCCTGCTCTAAAGCTTAACAATTGCAAGGCGGTGGAAGAGAAGACGTTGGAAGATTGACAATAATATTAGCGGGGTCAGTAATATTCATGAGGTCAGCATGGTAGCCCAGTTTGCATGTAGCCCCAAGTCAAACCATGGCTTACTGCAAATGACCAAACGTGGGTCTCCAGAGTGAAGATTGCATCCCCTGCACTCCTCTCTCAGTCCTGCCACTGCCATGCTACCTGGGGATAAGCCATGGTTTGGCTTAGCATTACATCTGAGTTTGGGCTCATGGTTTGCCTTCCCCAGACAAATCGTAAGTAATAAACTGAGAACAAACCCTGGTTGCAGCATGTGGTTTTTCTGGAGCAAGACAAACCATGAGCCCAGGTTCGAACGTAATGCTAAGCCAAACCATGGCTTAGTCCTAGGTAGTAGGGCAGCAGCAGGACCAGGAGAGGGCACAGTCCTTGTTCCATGAACCCATGTGATGCTCATTTGTGCTAAACCATGGGCTTCGCTTAGCGCTATATGGGTGAACCGGGTTTGTTTGTTTGTTTTGTTCAAAAAGGTTTGCCATATTGAGCGGCGGCCCCCACAAAACAAACCATTACCTTTTGATAGTCAGAACTCTACGTTATACCTGGGAATTTGACAGCATTCCAGATGACAACAGTGTTATCCACACTACAAGAGGCCAGCCAAGCATCATGAGGAGACCACGCCACATCCATGACATCTGCGGGGGATGCAAAAAGCAAACAAACACACACCTTAAGCGAACCATTTCTCAGGGGAAACAGAAAACTAGCCACCCATCCACTTAACAGCTCCCTTTGAGTTCAGAGAACTGAAATTCACAGCCGTCTGCTTGTTGCAGATGCGAGCGATTGTCAGCCAGCGGTGCGAGCGATTTTAACTGTTGGGTTAGTGATTCACTGCATCCCCCCCCCCAAAGAAAGCTGAACAACTCTGGGCAATCCTCTCCAAAAAAGCTCAACAACTCCAATCCCCCCTCCAAAAAAAAGCTCAACAACTGTGGGGCCATCTTCTGAAACCGGAGTCCCCCAAAATAGGGGGGGCGTGTTATACACGGGGAAGTGCGGTAATGACTATGGGATGAGCTCATAGGGTATGACTCTTGCTATTTGCTGCCTTTTATCTAGCCGGCCACCTGTTAAGTGAGGATGTAAATAACTGCCAGAGCAGTGCAATGGAAAGTAATGCTGACCATTCTAGGTAAAGGTAAAGGGGCCCCTGACCATTAGGTCAAGTCGTGACCGACTCTGGGGTTGCGGCGCTCATCTCGCTTTATTGGCTGAGGGAGCCGGCGTACAGCTTCTGGGTCATGTGGCCAGCATGACTAAGCCACTTCTGGCGAACCAGAGCAGCGCACGGAAACGCCATTTACCTTCCCGCTGGAGGTATTTATCTACTTATCTACCTATTTATCTACTTGCACTTTGCCGTGCTTTCAAACTGCTAGGTTGGCAGGAGCAGGGACCGAGCGACGGGAGCTCACCCCGTCACGGGGATTCGAACCGCCGAGCTTCTGATCGGCAAGTCCTAGGCTCTGTGGTTTAACCCACAGCATCCCTGCTGACCATTCTACTGGGTGCCAAATAGCATCTATCTAAAGCAGACCAGATAACGGGGATTGAACTTTGGGATGGGTTGAGAGATCTAGTAATGCATTGTGAGCACCTTCCAGTGTTTCAGACACACTTACCCCCCGAATGGCTTCGAAGGATTGAGAGACACCTCCACTGTTCTACGTTAGCAAGTTTACTACTGGAACCAAACACTGTGCTCGGCCCAATGTACCTATGGAAGACAAGAACAAGAGTTACCAAAAGCAACCACACGGCAGAATTCCTTTGTGAACCACCACAACGGTTGAAATGAAATTTAGCAGACAAAAACCCCACCACACATTTAGAGGAGACTTTTAATAGGGAGCCTGTATTTATTTAATTTCTTCATTTTATTCAAAAGCCTAACCACAATTTTTTAAAAATAAATAAATCTCTAAGCAGTGTAGACTCTGTACGACAGAAAAAAAACCATTCATTGGAACAAAAATACAAACCTAAAACAAACAAAACCAATATAGATACAGTCGTACCTCGGAAGTCGAACAGAATCCGTTCCGGCAGTTGGTTCACTTCCAAAATGTTCGGAAACCAAGGCATGGCTTCTGATTGGCTGCAGGAAGCTCCTGCAGCCAATCGGAAGCCGCGGAACCTGCATCAGACATTTGGGTTCCAAAAGAACGTTCGCAAACCGGAACACTCATTTCCGGGTTTGTGACGTTCAGGAGCCAAAATGTTCGACTCGCAAGGTGTTCAACTTCAGAGGTACGACTGTAAAAGCAAGTAAAACAGGAATTCAGGGGATTAAGACACATAAGTCAGGGTGCAACCTCGTGGGTCAGGGAAAGCCTGGGCAAAAAAATTAGCTTTTTGTATTCTAGAAAGTGTTTACAGAACTCTGGAGATAAGAAACAGGGAATAATTCAACAAACGTTCAGAGAACAGGGAAAGATGTAAATTTGGGACGGGCAGCACACTTACGCAGCTCTCTTCCAAATCATGATCAGCTTGTCGTCTCCCCCGGAAGCCAGATACATGCCATTGTTTGACCATCGTACACAGTTCACACATGCTAAAATGGAAGAAACACACACAAACGGAAAGAAGGTGGATTTTTGTATCAAGGCACGTCAGAATAGTTCACAGTATTTTTTATGGGTTCACACCCTTTGCAATTCTCCCTGTATGCTTCTGATAATCGTAATGGCGTCTTTATCTTTCTGCAGTGTTCATGCACTGGATCTCAGCTGCAGAAACAGATTGTGTTTCTGTCCCACCAGTGGGAGGTGGGGGCTGCACCCACCAAACAGTACGAGTGGAGGGGGAACTAACCATGAATGAAGAGGGAAGGAAATGTGATTGCCTACATTTCAAACAATGCTTTTCTTCAGAGATGTTGTGTTACCAACAAAACAAGTATTTGAAATGTACTTATTGTTTGGAATTTTAGCTTTTTCCACCTGCAATGATCAAAACAGCTTACAAGCCGAGCGAAGCGGCATAATGTCACGTCTGTAAAACAGTAACCCAGGAAAGCAAAATAAAATGAAACAAAAACTCAGCAACATCAGAGGCGAAGACCTATCAATGCACTCAATAGCAGCATGCTTCGTTTGATAAGCAGGTATTAACCAATCTTAGCCAATGACAAGATTCAATATGCTCAATGCTTCAGGTCCCCTCTACTGGAAAGACCCTGTCTTTTGTACCCACATACATGTTCTCGTGGTGGATAAAGGGCAGGGCCATTAATGTTTATCTCACAACTTGGGCTGGGTCATATTGGAGGAGGTGGTGTGTATGAGCACCTAAATCTTTGCAGCCTTCTGTTCGCCTTTAAAATGAATGGGTCACCTAGCAAATATTTCAGTGGCATAACTTAAGGTCCTTTAAAAAATGGTGCAACTGAGAATAGGTACCATCTGGCATTCTAGCACAACCCACTCATCCCTGGACATCAGAAAGGTATTTCTAAAAAGTGGAACAAGCGGGGGGGGGGGGCATAGAGCATGCAAGAAGATGGGTCATTCCTTAACACCAAACCATGGCTTAGTGTAACATTCAAAGCAGTTTTCAAAGTCTACACTCCTCTGATATGCAATTAAGGCCCACGGTTCTCTACACCAGAACCATGTAGTGTCCCTTGTGTTGTTGGACTACAACTCCCATCATCCCTGACCAGCTTAGCCAATTGTGAAAGATGATGGGAGTTGTAGTCCAACAACATCTGGGGACCCAACGTTGAAGAACACTACTCCATGCCATTCCTGGAACTTTACTGACCAACCAGCACCGAAATGGAAATGTAATTCTCCAGGAGGGATAGACAGAAGGTAGATAAGAGATGTAGTGTTATATCTCTGGGCAATTTTCAGTAAATAGTCAAGGATTTCCGACTATCAATGATTAAAGAACAAAATTCCGGCCCTGGCCCCTTTAAATTATACGTCTGAAATTACGAGAGCTGGGGGTGAAGGGTAAACCAGAAGTGGATTTCTCTGCTAAAGGATTGTGAGCTCTGTCCATTTCTGGTACCGTACTAAAAAGCAGCCAAACAAATTCCAGGTCTCAAAATCCTTTAATCCTTACAGTACAGTCATACCTTGGGTTGAATGTGCTTCAGGTTGAGTGCTTTTGGGTTGCACTCTGCGGCAACCCGGAAGTAACGGAGCGTGTTACTTCCGGGTTTCACCGCTCGCGCATGCGCAGACGCTCAGAATGACGTCACGCGCATGCGCGGAAGTGGCAAAACGCGACCCGCGCACGTGAAGATGCCCCGTCGCGTCTTACATTCCATTCAGGATGCGAACAGGGCTCCAGAATGGATCCCGTTCGTATACCGAGGTACCACTGTATGCCTGTTGCACCTAACCACCCTGGCGGATGTTGGAGCTCTCCTGGATCCCACAAACCTGAAGTCCGCGCTTCCCTGTTGTACAATACCTAAATGATTGTCCATCTGACAGAGCATCTTGGGTACATTCTCGTTCTTTTCGTCTTCCTCTTTGAGGACGGGAGCCATGTTCCATATCACAACCTTCCCAGAATCCTGTCCTAAGGACAAAGAGAAATCAACATACCATTTTACAGAAAAGCGCTGGTGTTTCCACAGAGAATACTTCCGTTACCTGCATGCAGCCATGATGATGATGATGATCAAATAGAGAAAGACTGACAGTGCAACACTGTGGGGTGGGTGGGTTGCAACTACAGAGTTCCATTTACATTTGCACAGCAAAACTCCCCCAAGCCCACTCTGCACCCTCCTCTCCAATCTGCTCCAGAGGGTTGGGGGACGGACGGACCCAGAACTGATTTTTTTGGGGGGGAGGGGTAACAAGAGGGTGGGGATAAATTCCATTGCACAAGAGTAAATACTTGCACTTGCTGCTTTGGATAGAGCACACAACAAATCTGCTCAGGACATAGGTCTTCAGCCTGGGTTGGGACCCAGGGATGGGTCGCAAGGCCACACCAGGTGGCCCTCAGCAAAGCTGTTGCCGCCATGTTGGATTTCCAGCTTCGGCTGAGCAGACCAAAAGAGCACTACATGCTTATCTGGACCAGGACGCGTTCACTGGACAAAATGCTCATTTTATCAATTTCCACGAGTGCTGCAATGTAGAAGGAGGAAGGCAGAAGCCATTTACAAAATAAAATAAAATGCCTATTTCTGGGCAACTGCATGCTCACGCCTTTCTCTTGCCACGCTGCAGGATTCGTTTTCATTCAGCAGTGATGCAGAAGTAACACTATGTATATTGTTCTGTGAATTGCCATTTTAGGGTTCAATCATATGCATTGCTATAAGGCTACCAGCTATAAATCAGATGGGTCCTACGTTGCAGCTTGGAAGTCAGAGGTGGGTCTCAAGTCTTGACTGGTTGAAGGCCACTGGCTGGAAGCACCACTGAGTCCAATGGGACTTATTTCCAAGTAAAACTATATAGGATTACAGCAGGCATGTGCAAAGTCCTAATCTGGCCCGCCGGTCGATTTAATAGGGGTAAAATCCTAAAAAGAGCAGAACAACTTTGGGGGGAAATGGTAAAAAAAAAGCTCAACAACTTTGGTGGGCCATCACGCATGTTCATCAAATCTGGCCCTCTTTGAAAAAAGTCTGGGCACCCCTGGATTACAGCCTACAACTCTACAGCACCCAGGCGGTGTTTCATAGAACCACAGAATTCAGAACTGCTGAATCACAGAATTGTAGAGTTGGAAGGGACCACAAGGCTCATCTATTCCAACGCCCTGAAAAGCAGGAATCTTTTGCCCAACATGGGGCTCAAACCCATGACCCTGAGATTAAGAGTCTCATGCTCTACCAACTGAGCTATACATACATTCCCATACATTCCCATTCAAAATACATTCAGCTAATTTGCCCTTGGCCCTAGGACACTAAACTGTCTACGCAGAAACAAAAGTTGCAGTCGAGCCCATAGCATACAGATGCACCAGATTTGCTAAAATCGACAGGGTTTAAGGGACTGTGTAATTGCAGGTTGGATTCCAGGAGGAAATCAAAACAACAAAACAGCATCATATGGAGACAAATAGCTAGAATGATTATTCAAACTTATAAACTAAGAAAGGAAAATGGCCAAGACGATTTAGTCAGATTATCAAATGTCACTCTTCAGAAACAGCAACAAGGTTTGCTTGCATTGTTGATTTGATTAACAGAAATGGGGTTGAGCCGGCCAATGTAAATAAAGCAAAGAAAGGAAACCAGTTACAGACTGTTATTAAATTACACATTTTAAACTACGCTGAGCAATGTCAAGATCAATGTAAGCTAACAAAATGCCCTTCATTGTGGCAGGGAAAACTTGCGTGTGGAGAAGGTCTATCTCTATGAGGCAAAGCTGAATTGCGATGATGATCTAGCAGTTACATTGCTGCCAGTTCTTGTTTCTGTTCTTTTCTATGGTGAGGTTATAGATTTTTAATTATTTCTGTAGTTTTAAAACCATGTCACTCCGAGCGCTGGAAAAGGACAGTTAAAATAGCATCAGCAATGATACTAATAATAAATTATTAGTTTTTAATCTTAAAATTTGACAAGGAAAAGAAATGGTTGGGAGAGAAGAACCTGAACAATATTAGTTGTAGAACAAGCATGTGTTGTTTGTCATGATTTTAAAATGTGTGATTTAATAACATTCTGTTGTCTGTTTCCTTTCCTTACAGGATTTACACAGCCCACAGACACACACAAACACATATTCAACAAGCACACAATCTTTATACATAACAGTTGGACTGAAAATTTATTCACATGTAACCACCAGCAAGTGCACAGTCTGTAGGTATCCTTACATGCTAGCTGAGCTGTACAAATGAACAAGCAAGCGCCGTTTTCAAACAAACACATGTATACAGTGTACCCACATTCCGTGTGATGCATGAAAAAGCCTAACTGGATCTCTAGTGTGGCAGGGAAGGTATCAGGTTTTGTCCCCATTGAAATGCTGCCATTCCCTTCAATTTCTAGCAGATAAGGGAAATGGCCATTTGCGTGTTATCTGTGATTATTTCACCTCTTTTAAGTGGGGAGGCAAAGATTCACAGGTAACGGGGGGAGAGGGGAGAGACACCTGTCACAGCATAATATGTGCACTCCAACCCATCCTCCCCGTGTGAAGGACAGTATCAACAGGAGCCAAAGATCTGAGCTGGCCCTGAACTGGTGTAAAACAGCAATGAATTATCATTGTCATCCATTTATTAGTCACCTTTCACACAATAATCTCAAGGCAGTCACCACACACAAAAACACAACTGATACAATTAAACAAAACTAAAACAATGCCAAATAGACACACTCATGGCAAGGACACGTTTATGCAGCTGGGAAAGCCTGTTGGAACAAAAGCCTTTTCCATTGTTCCTGAAAAGTACAGACTGTGACCGCCTGTCATATCTCAACAGGAACACAATTCAACAGAATAAGGGCAGCTTCACTGTACGGTAATTAAAGGAAGAAATGTCTTAATATGTTATATGGGGCATCCTACAGAAAATATGAGGGACGCGGGTGGCGCTGTGGGTTAAACCACAGAGCCTAGGACTTGCCGATCAAAAGGTCGGTGGTTCGAATCCCCGCAACGGGGTGAGTTCCCGTTGCTCGGTCCCTGCTCCTGCCCACCTAGCAGTTTGAAAGCACGTCAAAGTGCAAGTAGATAAATAGGTACCGCTCTGGCAGGAAGGTAAACGGTGTTTCCGTGCGCTGCTCTGGTTCGCCAGAAGCGGCTTAGTCTTGCTGGCCACATGACCCGGAAGCTGTACGCCGGCTCCTTCGGCCAATAAAGTGAGATGAGCACCACAACCCCAGAGTCGGTCACGACTGGACCTAATGGTCAGGGGTCCCTTTACCTTTACTGAAAATATGAGTGTTGAAAGATTTACAGCAAGTCTCATTTATTGTTTGGACCTCATGCTAAACCATAGTTTAGCCCGAATGCAAAGATCTCTCGCATTTTGCTTCTCCTATTGCACAAGCGAGAGCAGCAAACCATGAACCACAGCACACTTTTACATCCAAGCTAAGGATCATGGGTTGTTTCATGCCAACAAAAGCCAAGAACACACCTTGGCTTAATGATCATGGTCCAAATGAAGCAGATTACTGGTTCAGACGCAACGTTAAGCCACAAACTGTGGTTCATTACTTCTGCATGTATGAAAGGAGGGTAGATCAGTACTATGAGAAATGGCTTATGCAATTTTACCTTCCACCTCTGCATCAAAGTAAAAAAATATGTATGGTTTGCAATGGTTATCATGCAATCAGCCCCACATGTAACTCTTTGGTACTGCATTGAAAAAACATGATCCATGATTTATTTTCAAGGTAACCAGTAATCAACTTGGAAACAGGGTTTTCTCAAGAGGATATCATCTGTGAACATACCTTGCCCTCCAGTTGCAAACTTGGTCCCATCTGGATGAATGTCAACTGAAAATATCGGCTTCCCTGAAAAACAGTAAGAGAAACAAAATCACATGACTTGGCAGCCTCTTCCCACAATGTACCAGGTTGTACACAAAGTGAATTCGATACCAAATGTCTCCCTGCCATCCAAACCACCAGTTGATGTTCTGCCATGCTGCGGCACAGTCCAAGCCAAACAGCGATCTGGCACTGAGTGTGACTTTTTGTCAGGGAACTGCCATCGGAGCCATGGGGAGAGGGAGGGCTCCAGAGGGTTTCCGGAGAGCGTCCCGGGAGGGAGAGAAGCAGCACATCTTCTGGGGAAGGAAATCAGCGTAGCACCAGTGGAGAAGGGGGGCAGATGGGGGAATCAGCGAGGTGGCTCCATGACTCCTCGCCGGGGACCAGCGGGCAGAGCACGGGTCCTCCACTGCCCACACCCTCCCTGCGCAGAAGGCTTCCGCGCAGGGATAGCAGGCGGAGACTAGGCGTCAAAAAACTTCTTTGCTGGAAGAAGTTCAAGAAACGCCCACTGACGGATTCTGCCAGCGATTGAGACAGCCACGGGCGAGTGGCTGTCCGGACAGAAAGGGTTCACTCAGGCAACCCAGCCAGGTGTGGCGCCGATTTACGCACGAGCAACCCCTAGAACCATCACACTTTTGAAATTTGTTCTGAAAGCAGGCATCATTTCAGCACACGACTGATGGCAGGTGTTACACTTTTATTTTTAGAAAAGCAACAGGAAATCATGCTTTTAAGATGTCTATACCACTTCCAACGGATTCCGGGACAGTGTACAACACAACCACTGAGAAAATCCAATGATTTAGGAAACTGAACAGCTGGCAGAGGCTGTAAAGTTAGTTTTAAAGTGGTGGATCAAAAAAGGCAAAGAAGAAGGCCTGAAGTTGGCATGTGTTGAACCTCCTTAAGCTGGGTGGCACTATAGACAAATCTCTCTCCTTTAAACATACCTAGCACATTGCACCAATTGGCAGTACATTTGTTCAAAAGGGGGCTCATCTGAAGATCTTATCACAGTTTCTCCATCTTTTGAACCCAGTGGGATAAAAAGTCAAATAAGAGATCACACTTTATGGTACTGAGTACCTCCAGCAGATCCTCTGTACCAAGCATTAAGTTACTTGAATGATATTTGTTTGAGTTATGCAAATGCAATTTTTTTAATTGGCGCTATATTATACACATGGCACTTTAGAATAAACAAGTTTGATCATAGCCCAAGGGGCTTAGAATCTAAAAACAAAGGGGAATCAGAGTTGTGTGTGTGCGGCAGGAAGGTGGGGGAAGAGAAAGAAGAAAGACAGCAAGAGAGTTACCCAGAGTGAAGTATAATTGTTATTCCAATACAATAGCAGCTCTCTGTATCTGCATTTTGCCAAAACAGAACATCAGGCTGGATCCAATAGTGTCCTTCGAAATGGGGAAGGCATGTTCCACTCATAGAAAGGCCTCCCTCCACTCTCCACAAGGACTCCCTCCACTCTGGACCTGCCCCATTTGGGAACTTTTAAAAAAGCTAAAGGCTTAGGCATCTGTCAGGGCCGCTGTTCACTTCCCAGCACCAACACCGCAACTTATTTGGGTTTGCAGCGGCTGCATTATTCTTTGGTCCCTCCTCTTCTCCCGACAGTTGGCCTATTTTTATATCCTGTTGAAACAAGCCAAAAAAGGTATTTGCTCCTGTCTGACAGGGATTGATGACTGCCCTATTTGGCACAGGCATGAGGAGAAAAAGGAAACTTGGGGCTTAGGTTGAAATTTGACCAGTTAAGGAGGAAAAACAGCAATTCGGCAAATAGCAAACCAACAAATAATATAACACTTCTTCAAACATGATAAAATAAATTTCCAGAGCTCAAATGTTACAGTACAGTGGTACCTCGGGTTATGAACTTAATTCGTTCCAGAGGTCTGTTCTTAACCTGAAACTGTTCTTAACCTGAAGCACCACTTTAGCTAATGGGGCCTCCCGCTGCCGCCGCCCGATTTCTGTTCTCATCCTGAGGTAAAGTTCTTAACCCGAGGTACTATTTCTGGGTTAGCAGAGTCTGTAACCTGAAGCGTCTGTAACCTGAAGCGTCTGTAACCTGAGGTACCACTGTAATCCAATCCAGCAGGTCCAATACTCCCAAAATATTTTAAGTAATCGCATCTTTAGTAAGTTGTCAACTTTTTTTGAAAGGAAAACAGAAAAGCAAAAGTAAAATATTTCTTCAATACTTCTTGACAGAGAAGGCACTTCTTGTTGGTATCTGCTGTCAAAATGCTGGAGACTAAACATAGGGCTTTCTGTGGCTAGCCATATATCCTGCATCCAAGTGTCTCCATTGCAGGAATGATGGCGAACATTTTTCAGCTAACAGCAAGATGCTTTTATTGATTGATTTAGCTAATTTGTATGCCTCTTTTCCATACTGAGCTGTGCCGAAAACACCGTACAACAAATGTCCACCTATTATCGAAGCACAAAACATTTATTTTGGTGGGGGGTGGCAACACGCCAGTTTATAAAAGGGATCAATAAATTCAAACAGAACGAAATTCAACCATTTTCTACACTGTTTAAGCATTTTTACCTTGCTTTTTAGTGTCAAAGAGTTTGTCAGGGAGGCTTACAGAACAATAAAGAAAACCAAGACAGTCCCTGCTCTCAGGCTTACGATCTTTTAGACACGGCACAAAATTTTGAAAAGAGAGAGATGGGGATTGAACGGCAGGCAGAGCGTGGAGGCACCTGTTTCTGAAGCTTCAGTTTTTTATATTGATCAGCTAGAATGGAAAATGTTCAGGCAGCTTAGTCTGGGAAGCTGGTATTTCAGCAGAACTGATGGAAGAGTCCTGCTTCCCTTCTCCCCCTTTGCTCTGCAGCTTGCTAGAATAGCTGCTGTTAGGTGACAGTCTGGCACACAGGTTGTCCTTATACAGTGGTACCTTGGTTCTCAAATGCCTTGGAACTCAAACAATTTGGAACTCAAACACTGCAAACCCGGAAGTAAGTGTTCCGGCTTGCGAACTTCTTCCGGAAGTAGAATGTGCTCCGTTTGGAGTGTTACGCTTCTGATTTGATTGCCTCACTTCCGTTTTGAGTGCCACACTTCTGTTGTGAGTTTTACGCCGAGGTCTGTCTGTTTTTGCTATTTATTTTGAGGTCTGTTTTTTTGCGGCTCTTTGTTTGTTTTTGTGACTGTGTGGACCCAATTCAACTACTAATTGATTGACTGTGTGACTGCAGTACATAATTTATTGCTTTCATTTTATGGATCAATGGTCTCGTTAGATAATAAAATTCATGTTAAATTGCTGTTTTAGGGGTTGTTTTTAAAAGTCTGGAACGGATTAATCCATTTTGCATTACTTTCTATGGCAAAGCGCACCTTGGTTTTAGAACGCTTTGGTTTTGGAACGGACTTCCAGAATGGATTAAGTCTGAGAACCAAGGTACCACTGTACTGAAGCAGACATTGTAAAAACCCTTCAAAACCTTCCGGGTTGTTTTTTTATGGGTGGGTGGGAGAAAAGAATAAAGACTCAAAGCTAAGTAAAAGTTTATCCAAATGTGCATTTTTAATGATAACGTTTTCTGAAATCTTTTGGATTGGTGATATTACTGCCCACTGCCTGCCATTGGAGGTCTGAATGAAGTTTCGGCTACTTTACTGAACACCTTCTTCTCCCAAGCACTGAGCATCTGGTAACAGATGAGCAAAGGATGAAACACTGGGATTACAGGGATTAGCTGTCTGGAAACAGCAAGATAAGGAACCGTACACGCAGCTATGTTTTCATAGCACTATTTGCAAACCTACCAAAACTGATAGTTTTGGGAAGGATTTTAGCTTCGTGCAGGAGATTGCACCTGATAAACCATTGAGGTCCCATTCCTCCCTAAAATATTTAAATCAATATGCTTGAGTATATTCTGTTTTTCCTGAGGACAAACTTATTCCAAAGATCTTAAAAGTCTGAACATGCTAGGATCTCAGAGTTAAAATATGCTAGAATCATATTCCTGCAATGAAGGAATATGCAGCTGTCCCACACAGCGATTGAACCTACAAGCTTGGTGTTATCAGCATCACACTCTAACCAACTGAGCTATGCCACAGCCCTGGTGCTCCTGTGGGCCAGACAGCAGAGTGGAGGAGCTCACTCTGCCTACCCACGAGAAGACGCGGCGGTGGCGGTGGCAGTGGTGGTGGCAGTGGCAGCAGCATAGCAGCTGGGGCTAGGGAGAAGGAATACCATATTTTTCCATCTATAAGATGCCCCCGTGTATAAGACGCCCCCTATTTTTGACATTATTTTAAAGGGAAAAAACCTAGTCTATACATGGAAAAATACGGTACTTGCCCCCCTCACCTCTTCTTCCAGCTCCCCACCCCCCCAGCCTGCCACAAGGTCTGAGGGACAGTGGACCAGCCCGCCGCTAAAAAAAATTGCCGACCCTTGTCGCAGAACATCTACATGCTTCAAGCATTTCTCCCTCTGTTGGAAGTATCTCCACGGTGAACCTAGTGTTTTATTACTTAGGAAGGAGCGTGATATGCCTCTTAAGGCAAAGGTAAAGGGACCCCAGACCATTAGGTCCAGTCGTGGCTGACTCTGGGGTTGCGGCGCTCATCTCGCTTTATTGGCCGAGGGAGCCGGCGTACAGCTTCCGGGTCATGTGGCCAGCATGACTAAGCCGCTTCTGGCAAACCAGAGCAGCACACGGAAACGCCGTTTACCTTCCCGCTGGAATGGTACCTATTTATCTACTTGCACTTTTGATGTGCTTTCGAACTGCTAGGTTGGCAGGAGCAGGGCACTGAGCAACGGGAGCTCACCCCATTGCGGGGATTTGAACCACCGACCTTCCGATCGGCAAGTCCTAGGCTCTGTGGCTTAACCCACAGCGCCACCCGCGTCCCGATATGCCTCTTAATACTACTTAATTTAGAGGGTTTCCGATTCTTTCCTTTCTTACCACAGCAGTTCAGAGCTATGATGGCTGGATGGGGACAGATCAATGCCGTTATTTTGTATGGGAATCACTTTACAACCAGCTTTGCTAGCCAAATACCCTACAATCAGCATTCTTATGAACAAGTTGCCTAGTTATAGTAATTTCCCTAATGACAGCTTGCCTTGGTTTGGAATGCTTGTGTAGTTTGGGACAAAATTTTCTTCTGCAACTATCCAAGCTACAGCGTTCCAGCCCAAAGGCACGCCGCACACAAGCACCAACCACAACAGTACATTATGCTGCAGTAACTAGCGTTTACTCTTCCGTTTCCCCCTGAAGTCAATATCAACTGCCCTAAGGTACACATTCCAAAATGGTATGGCCCAGGTTGCTTTCTGTCTCGTTATTTTCACAGTTACGGGGTTTCCCACCTTTGAAGGGGTCATAACCAGGTTCCAACTAAGCCTTCTGCTATTAGCGTTTGGAAGTGTGCACTAGCATTCATGGAAGACAGGATCCGATATAAGGTAGGTCACAACTAAGGCTGGGCAGTATCTGGTTTTCAGCTTCGTGATATATCACCAGTTAAGCATCCTGGCAAATAGAAGGGGAAGAAATGGAGGCAGTGAGAGATTTTACTTTCTTGGGCTCCATGATCACTACAGATGGTGATACAAGCCACGAAATTAAGAGACGCCTGCTTCTTGGGAGAAAACAATGATAAACCTAGGCAGCATCTTAAAAAGCAGAGACATCACCTTGCCAACAAAGGTCCGTATAGTTAAAGCTATGGTTTTCCCAGTAGTGATGTATGGAAGTGAGAACTGGACCATAAAGAAGGCTGATCGCCAAAGAATTGATGCTTTTGAATTATGGTGCTGGAGGAGACTCTTGAGAGTCTCATGGACTGCAAGAAGATCAAACCTATCCATTCTTAAGAAAATCAGCCCTGGGTGCTCACTGGAAGGACAGATCCTGAAGCTGAGGCTCCAATACTTTGGCCACCTCATGAGAAGAGAAGACTCCCTGGAAAAGATCCTGATGTTGGGAAAGATGGAGGGCACAAGGATAGTGTTCTCAAAGCTACCAGCATGAGTTTGACCAAACTGCAGGAGGCAGTGGAAGACAGGAGTGCCTGGCGTGCTCTGGTCCATGGGGTCACGAAGAGTCGGACACGACTAAACAACTAAACAACAACAACAAAGCATCGCAATATACTGATATATCACAATGTCAGAAATAAGGATGGAGCTATGTAAAGGCATTGGCTGGCTTCATGCTTTTTCCCACATTGCAATTTTTGCATAGCACACACCCACACCCCATGATTTGCAATATATTGGCCAGGTCAAAAACTATGAAACCAATATCACAATTTGGACTTCAAACCCATTTTGGATGCTATACTGATATACCATAACCCAGCCCTAGCCACAACAGCGGTTCTACCACAATCTCTTTCTGCTTGTATATTTAGGTTTTTGTTTTGTTTTTAAAAGAGGAAATAAATGAGGAAGAAAAAGCACAGAAGCAACAGAAGGTGGAAGGAACTCTTTCTACCTTTGACACTGGTGCAGAAAACAAAATTTCAGTAGGTATAGCTTTTGGCCTAGCTAACGAATTGTACCTGCCAAGCCTATACAGTCACAACAAGAGGAACATAAAGAGTGTTAAAAACTCAGAAATATAAGCTAATCGCCAAATGGCACCTTAAACCTAGGTTGCACTTGCCACATTGGAATGTCTAGGCGCCTTTTTAAAAAAATAATAATGAGAGGTATTATTATGATTTTTCATTTCATTTCTATACCACTTTGTATTTTAAAGAATATTTGGGGGAAACCCTCAAAGTGGTTTACAACGCATTAAAATATAAAATAAAACAATCCAGAATAAAACCAATTCTAACTTCAAGTAAAATATTTCAGATCCTTCTACAACTGGCATTCTGCTTTCCCCATATTTGTTTACCTACTTAATTTATATAGCTGACCCAAAGAGGAGTACTCTAGGAAGCCAGTGTAGGACCTGAGAGATCAGGGTTCAAATCCCCACTCAGTCATGAAGCTAACTGGGTGACCTTGGCCAAGTCAAACCTTCTCAACCTACCTCACAAGGTCACTGTAGGGATTAAGTGAGATGGTGGGGTGGTCTGTGAACCATGGACTCCTTGGAGAAAAAGGGCAGGATATAAATGCAATAAATGAGCTCTTCTGCTTACCTGCTACAGGGGCCAGCCAGATGGAGATGTCAGTTGCCAGCCTGGCATCTAGAGATCTCCACATGGTCACAATTGGACCCGTGCCGATAACAAACGAGCCTGGCTAATTTCTTACACTGGACTGAGGGCACTGTCTAGGTTTGGGCAATGCCTGGCAAACCCTATCCAGTTCCATGACAGAAGAAAGCAGATAGATACTGTATTTTTCGCTCTATAAGACGCACTTTTTCCCCTCCAAAAATTAAGGGGGAATGTGTGTGCGTCTTATGGAGCGAATGCAGGCTCCATGGCTTCAGCGAAAGCAACACTGCGCTCCGGAGGCTTCGCGTTGCTTTTGCTGAAGCCTGGAGAGCGAGAGGGGTCAGTGCGCACCGATCCCTCTTGCTCTCCTGGCTTCGCTTTGCTGGAGAGGTGCTGCACAGCTTTCCCTCTCTGCGCAGCGCCCCTTCAGCGAAGCGGGAGGAGAAATGGAAGGGGCTCCGTTTCTCTTGCCTCTTCGCTTAAGGGGTGCTGTGCAGAGAAGGAGAGAATTTTTTTCCTTGTTCTCCCCCTCTAAAACTAGGTGCATCTTATGGTCGGGTGCGTCCTATAGAGCGAAAAATACGGTAAGTGTAGTAAATAAGTACACCTTGACACTTTGAAAGCATTCTCATCAAAAGTCACACTAATTTTCTTTAAGGCATCCTCTCCCCGCCTCCCCAGGGATAGGTGATATCAAGAACACAGACAGCATCTGATACGTTAAAAACTTAAGCATTTTCCTTTCACTTGCTAAAACATCTGTGTTCACCTATCCTCTTCGGAAGTGGTACTTTTTTTCCGCACTTTGTAAACCACGAAAACTTGCCACTTTTTGAAGGCCCAACACAAGATATTACTCAGACACTGAAGAGGACCACGGCATAAACCAATGCCTCTGAGCATTTTCAGTCGGAATTCTTGGCGTGGTTAATAGTGATCTTCAATATCAGCGACTTTGCTGGAGTCTTTTTTCGAAATCCACAAGCAACAGACCTCTAAAGCAGGCTTAACTCAAAAAGGGCAGCCCCGCTGGATCAGACTAAAGGTCTAATCTGGCGTTCTGCTTCCTACAGTGTCTGAATAGATCATAGATGTGAGCTTCCCAGAGGCCAGCAGGACATGAAAGTCCTAGCCGAGGGATGCCAACCCCTGTATTCTTGCAGGGAGGTCTTTGCCACATGACCCAACCTTTTCATTGGTGTGTATGTGTGTTTCAGAGTGGGACCGGATAAGCCTTTACAACAAATTTCCAAAGGAGCTCTCAACTGCAGCATTATATATGAAATCACACAGAGGCAACGTTAGAGCATGAAACCTCTTCCACAAAGCTTGGGGCTTCCAGTTAAGTAAGCTTGCTTCATAGACCACCTATTCTAGGGTATTGACAAATAGCGATTTGAAAAGGGTAAGACAATGAATGCTGCTCAGTGTTAAATAGTAGAACGAGCAGTGAGAGAACTACCATATTTTTCGCCCTATAAGACGCACCAGACCACAAGACGCACCTAGTTTTTGGAGGAGGAAAACAAGGGGGAAAAAATTCTGAATCCTAGAAGTCAGAACAGCAAGAGGGATCACTGCGCAGCGAAAGCAGCAATCCCTCTTGCTGTTCTGGCTTCTGGGATAGCTGTGCAGCCTGCATTCGCTCCATAAGACGCACACATATTTCCCCTTACTTTTTAGGAGGGAAAAAGTGAGTCTTATAGAGCAAAAAAATACGGTATGTACCCATCCAGAATAAACTGTGGACGTATGTGCCCTGGGAATCCCTTCCAACCTGCTCTAGCAGGGCTCTAAAGCACCCCTCAACAACAGCAAGCTATCCTAACACTAAACCACCTTAAACATCAAAAGAAGTCGCACCAGCCTGTCTCTGCAGACCATCAGGTAAGGGGATATTTCTGAGACAAGGTAAATGATACGGTATCCAGCTGAACCTCTGCAGCATGTGGTAGGTGGGGTGGATTACTTCGCCCCTCTCTCCTCAAACACACAGACTTCCAATTTCCTGTCCTTCCAGATTAAAGCTCAGCTCTCTGATGCACTTGTCTCCCGTGCTGAATAAATGGACAGAGCAATGGTGACCCACTTTAGATGTTATTTAATCCAAGAAAACACATCCCCCCCACTGAAAAAAACACTTATTTTTATTGATGCTGTATGCAAAGAACAAAGTTTAATGCTGCAATCCTAACCCCACTTACCTGGGAGTAAGACCTGATGAATTCAACAGAACTTACTTCTGAGTAGACATGGCCAGGACTGTGCTGTAAGCACTGCAGAGTGTGCATGTAGCAGCAGCTCAGAAATCTGGGTGATGCACACCTGGTAAGGGACTTTAAAAAAGTTATGCTCCGCGTCCTCAGACTATGCGCTTTCTTGTGTTCTGTGCATCGGGTAAATAATATTTAAATTGTGCCTGGTCTGATGCAGTAAGGAGGTTTGCTATGCAACCCAATCAGTCTGTCTGGTCCAGTGGAACCATTTATTCACATCCTATAATCTAATTCTCTCTGAATGACAAAGAAACCAGACTTAGGAACCTCTCTGGTCGATCTCCACCCCAAGAGGAACAACAGCATTTTAAAAACTGTAGATCCTTTCTTTAACCTGATACACATTCCCACAGTCTTCACCATACAATCAGGTGTTACATATCAGAGCAAAGGTGGGGAACTGTATGTGACCCACAGTCCAAATCATTATCTCCCTTATGACCTCCCCGCTTGCCCCAGGCCACATTTGACAGGAAGATGGGGCTGCCCCACCTGTTAATCACCAGACATCACAGTGGAAAGTGTCAAGGATCAACTGATGCTGGTCCTGTGAACTTAGTACTGTGAACAGCATTCTGCAAGTGCCAAGGATCAGCTGATTGCTGGAGCTTGCCAAGTCAGGTCACTGTCACACAGCCATTTGGCGACATAAGCGACATATACATACATACAGGGACGCGGGTGGCGCTGTGGGTTAAACCACAGAGCTTGCAGATCAGAAGCTTGGCGGTTCGAATCCCCGCAACGGGGTGAGCTCCTGTTGCTCGGTCCCTGCTCCTGCCAACCTAGCAGTTCAAAAGCACTGTCAAAGTCAAAGTGCAAGTAGATAAATAGGTACCACTCTGGCAGGAAGGCAAACGGCGTTTCCGTGTGCTGCTCTGGTTCGCCAGAAGCGGCTTAGTCATGCTGGCCACATGACCGGAAGCTGTACCCTGGCTCCCTCGGCCACTAAAGCGAGATGAGTGCCGCAACCCCAGAGTCGGTCATGACTGGACCTAATGGTCAGGGGTCCCTTTACCTTTATACATACATACATACATACAAACATACATAATGGCCAACTGATCATCAGGGTTTGTAAAGCCCAGGGCACAGTGCTTTGCAGTGCCTGCAAACCCTGTTTCTGCTCAGCTACATCTTTACCTGCAACACACCTGATCAGGTGTATGGGAGGTACGTATGACCTGATCAAAATGGCCTCAAGGCTCAAACAACATGATGACCCCACTCCACCCCCACAAGCCCTGTTTCCCATGGCTGTCATGGAGTATGATTATACTGAAGCAGTATGCTATTAACACCTACTTAAAGTAGCACAGAAAAGCTCTTTCCTTGCTCTGCTCCTTTCGCAAACTGTCAGATTAAGGGCTTGCAGTTGACATCTTGTAAAACTTACTTAGCTTAATGCAAAGAGCTCTATGGGGTTGCTTTGCTTTCCGAGCTGCACAAGTGCAGTAAAGACTTGCGCCAGCAGTTCTTTAGAGCCGTCCTACCCCAAAATGGCAACTAGACATCCCGTTTTGGCAACTGTAACCTTGGTTTAGGGAGCCATTTGGCACCTAGCTTTGTATTTTATATATGTATATGTATATGCAGGGATACGGGTGGCGCTGTGGGTTAAACCACAGAGCCTAGGATTTGCAGATCAGAAGGTCGGTGGTTTGAATCCCCGCAATGGGGTGAGCTCCCGTTACTCAGTCCCTGCTCCTGCCAACCTAGCAGTTCAAAAGCACGTCAAAGTGCAAGTAGATAAATAGGTACCACTCCGGCGGGAAGGTAAACGGCGTTTCCGTGAGCTGCTCTGGTTTGCCAGAAGCTGCTTAGTGATGCTGGCCACATGACCGGAAGCTGTATGCTGGCTCCCTCAGCCAATAAAGCGAGATGAGCGCCGCAACCCCAGAGTCGGCCACGACTGGACCTAATGGTCAGGGGTCCCTTTACCTTTATACGTATGTGTATATATGAGTTTCCAACACTGCATATGTTCAGAAACTTTCAGAGATTGCCCTGTGTGTCCCAAAGTATGGTCTGAAGGCATGCGGAGCCACTACTTTTCTAAAGCTAAGCCACCCTGGGTTCCATGATGAAAGTGAGATGTAATGTAAATGCAAGGAAATAAAACAAGTAAAAACCTTACTCAGAGAAAGTCACGATCACTGAACTGCACTCTGGAAACCCCTATCTGTTTCACACCAAGTGCGTGGGGTATGCCCAATGGATACCTCAGTAATAAAGAGAAGGGGCCACCACTCTGCAGATGCTGAGATATCCTTCGGAGACAGATTGACAACCTGATTCAATGCAAATCAGGTTCCGAGGTGTGTGCTGTGGAACACCCGTCAGCTGCATCGGGGCTTCCTCAGCAACGAAGAAAGGAGTGACTCTACACATGCCCAGATATCCCTCAGCTTCTCCGGAGCCCAGCTGAGGATTCTGCACATGCTCTGAGTCAACCCTAATTCTTTAGGAGGAGAAGAGGTGTGTTTGTATGTGAAACTCCGCACATGCCCAGATATCCCTTGACTTCTCTGGAGCCCAACCCAACTCCTTTAGGGGGAGAACAGGTGTGGGTGGGTGTGAAACTCTGCACATGCTCAGAGATCTCTCAGCTTCTCTGGAGCCCTACCGCAGAAGGCTACACATGCTCCAAGCCAACCCTAATTCTTTAAAAGGAAAACAGGTGTGTGTGTGTGTGTTTGTGAGAGAGAGAAACTCTGCACATGCTCAGAGATCCCTTGAGCTGCACATGCTCCAAGCCAAGCCTAATTCTTTAGGAGAAGAACAGGTGGGTGGAACTCTGCACATGCTCTGAGCTCCCTCCAGCTGCACATGCTCGGAGCCAACCCTACCCCTTTAGCAGGAGAACAGGTGTGTGCGGAACTCTGCACATGCTCAGGCCTCCCGCTGCTTCTCCGGGGCCTGCCCGAGAGGCAGGGCACATGCACAGAATCCCAGAGCACCTCCCCAGCGCCTTGGGCGTGGGGTTGGGGTGCGTGGGTCGGCTCTCTGCACATGCTCTCGCACACCTTGCCCCAGAAGCCCCCCGTCCCCCTCTGGCTCACCGCTGTGGTTGACCCAGGTCGGCTTCAGGAGCTTCATTTTCCTCCTCCTCCTCCTCCTCCTCCTCTTCTTCTTCCTCCTCCTCCGCCTCCTCCCGCCGCTCGGGTGCCTGGGCCTCCGTGTTGAGGGCGGCTGCAGGTCGGGGCAGGCTCCGCGAGGCTGGCGAGGGAGCTGCGGGTGCTGGTGGCGGCGGAAGGCAGGCGAGGGCTGGGGAGTCGCTGCCGCCGCCGCCGCCGCCGCTGGCCTCACAGCCGGCGCCCCGCCGCCATGGGCTGCCACCCTCCTCCTGCGCTCGCCCCGCTCCCACCACCGCCCGCCGCCGCCGCCGCCGCCGCCGCCTCACGGGAGCTCCATCCCGGCCGCCCGTCCCGCCAGCCGCCCCTTCTGCCTCCGCCCGGCAGCATCCCCCGCTCCCGGCGGCTCCCCGGCAACGCCGGAAGTCAGCGGAGGGCGACGACCTAAGCGGCCCGGCGGGAAACAAGAGGCGACGCCCAGGGAGGAGGCCGGGGGCCGGGGAGGGAAAGGGCGGCTGGGCTCGCTCGCTGGTGGGGACGGGGCGATAGCCAGCGTGGGGAAGAGGAGGAAGGGGAGAGCAGCTGCAGCCGGCTAGCTCCCTGGGCTCCCCGTTCCCGAGAGGTGGGTGGGCTGCTGGGGTGCAGCTAGGGGTCCCTCCTGGGCTGGATGAGACAGGATTGTCCCTTATTCCAATTGGAAAATGCTGTCTCCAGTTTGCTTATTTATTTATTTCTCTCTCTCTCTCTCTGTCAAGTCGTGGGTCTTCTCCACGTGTCTGGAAGGGTGTGTGAAAGGTCCAGAGGTTGCATTATTATTATTATTATTATTATTATTATTATTAATGTTGTTATTATTATTATCATAGGTCCAGTTGTGACCGACTCTGGGGTTGCGGCGCCGTCTCACTTTATTTTTTTCCTTTAAAATTTTCCCCTTAAGGTTTTTTTGCCTTAAAATTTTTTTGGGGCCCCCAAGAGAGTGGGGCCTTAAGCTATAGCTTGTTTAGCTTATACGTAAATCTGGCACTGGCTGGAGTGCAGTTCAGTGGCGTAGCGTGGGGGGTGCAGGGGGGGCCGGCCGCACCGGGCGCAACATCTGGGGGTTAGGGTTAGGGGGCGCAAATCCACGGGTTAGGGGGTGCAAATTACTTGCCTTGCCCCGGGTGCTGACAACCCACGCTACGCCACTGGTGCAGTTAGGGGTTCCTCCTGTGCTGTATGAGACAGGATTGTCCCTTATTCCAATTGGAAAATGCTGTCTCCTATTTATTTATTTATTTATTTATTTCTCTCTCTCTCTTTCTCTCTGTCAAGTCGTGGGTCCTCTCCGAGTGTCTGGAAGGGTGTGTGAAAGGTCCAGAGGTAGCATTATTATCATCAATTTACCATGGGGCAGAAGCAGGGGCTGGATTTAGGTTTGATGAGGCCCTAAGCTACTGAAGGGAATGGGGCCCTTTATATGTCCAGCTGTCCTTTGCCAACAACAAATTGTCGCTGTTTTTTTGGTCTTGAATATCTGCTATATGGTAATTTACGGACCTAATTGGTATCTAAAGCTATTTGCACATGCGGAATGTAGGCACCCTATATATAGAAACGAGCAATCAAGTGATATTTTAGGGAGCAGGCTAGCAGGTGGGACCCAATACTTATATCATAGGAGCATACACAACACAAAACACTGTTGCTGTATGTAGGTTTTTTAAAAAATTGTTTTTTATCTTATATTTTGGAAATGTGCATCCTGTGGTTTTTTCCTTCAATTTTTTGGGGGGCCCCCCAAGAGAGTGGGGCCCTAAGCTATAGCTTTTTTAGCTTATACATAAATCCAGCACTGCTCCTGTGCTGTATGATACAGGATTGTCCCTTATTCCAATTGGAAAAGGCTGTCTCCTATTTCTATTTCTTTCTCTCTCTCTCTCTCTCTCTCTCTCTCTCTCTTTCTTTCTCTCTGCCAAGTCGTGGGTCCTCTCCACATGTTTGGAAGGGTGTGTGAAAAGTCCAGAGGTAGCATTATAATTATTATTATTATAAATTTACCATGGGGTGGGAAGGTTCACAGACTATGAAGGACCTGCTCACAAATTTATTGACAGCTGCACAAATTATTATAGCCAGGAAGTGGAAGGGGCAAGCAGAATATAAAATGGAAGAATGACATAAAGAGGTGTGGGATATAGCTATTAATGATAAATTGACATGTACCATTAAGGTAAGACGGGGGATATGCAGGAGAAATGATTTCGAGGAGATATGGAGGGTGTTTGTAGAATTTGTACTGTTAAAACGGAAAGGGGTAAAACCATCGCCAGAGGTGTTGAAATTTTGGGAGGTTGGATAGTTACAATAGAATGGTCTCGGTGGTGGGGTGCACATTTTTATTCTTATTTATTTATGATTATTTCTTTGTCAAAGTAAAACGAGGAGGAGGAGGAAAGAAAGGTCATGTCGTTAAGCTCTGGGTAGCCAAGCACAGACAGATTGGCAATTTTTCTCACACGTGTGTGTATGTGTGTGTGACAAATTCCAGAGGGGTCATCCTGTCAGGCTGCAACAGATTGGAATGGATTGCTTTGAAGTGACTTCAGGACCAGAGGCAAAATAAAATCAATGACATGACACACACCCCTCCAACTGCCCCACCCTAGCAATTGTTTCTGAAATGGTGCATTTGGATATTGCCATTGTTGCCAGGGTTGCCAACACTGGTAGGTCAGGAGGATAGGAGTTGGAGCCCGACACAAATCCAGATGGTGGGAGCTGGGAGTCCAACACAAATCCTCACTCCTGGGGTATGAAGTTGCTTCAAGGCCTGCTATATTGGGAAACCTGTGGTCCTCCAGATACTGCAGGAGGACACACCCCACACCCAGCTCTCTCATCATCTCCAACTATTGGACTTGCTATCTGGGACCGAGTGCATTGGGAGCCCAACAAGATCTAGAAGGCCACAGGTGTATGAAGTTGCTTCAAGACCTGCCTGCGGCCCTCTAAGTGCTGCAGGAACCTCAGCGTTGGGAGATAGGAGCCCAGCAACATCCTGGATATAGCAGGTGTTGAAATGCCTTCATATATCAGTTGTGGACCTCCAGTTGTTGCACGGCTACAGCTTCCATCATCCCTGGCTGTTGATTATGCTGGGTGGGGCTGGTGGAAGTTGGAGTCCAAGAGTGACTGAAGAGCACCACAGGCTCTCGATCTCTGCTATGTACGTACTGTTGACTTCCTCACAATCCCAGTTGGTATTATTCCCCATAGTCTAGATGGAGACTTTAGGCTGAGAGAGGACAGGGAGACAGCACAGACACACCCCACCTGAAGCAAATAATAAATAAAGAAACCTTTTGTAATTTTTTTCTCCTCTATAATTCTATGATTTTATGAAGGACTTGACTAATTATTGACTTGTACAATTTTGTGCATGTTTACTTAGAAGTAAGTTGTTTTAATTTCAATTAAACTTAACCACAACTGAGACCAAGAGTCTTCAGGTAGCTCTGCATTAATTCTATTTTAATCATCCTAAAAACTGACTAATAAAGTCTTTGAATCTCATATATCCCAAATCATAATCCATAGAATTACATAAACTTTATTTATATACTTTACAACATCTCATAAAGTATCTAACACCTTTTGAAGAATATGCTGCTGTGTGCAAAAATATAATAAAGGATTCCCAATTCTGTATATGTTTCTGTTGACCACCTTAAACTTTATCATTGCAACATATCATTGCAACTTTTATTTCCATTCAACCATTGTCAAAATTTAATATTTAATATTTGCATAACAAAGCTTGATGCCAACATTCATATAGATTGTCATATACACAAATGATGTTGGTTGATTGGCAGGTGGAAACGATTTGGGAGAAATGGCATCGCAGGCCAAATTGGACACTCTAGTCAGCCAAGACTGGCCTGCAAGCCAAAGGTTCCCCACCCTGATATACAACATTAACTCTCAGAAATGTTCAGGTATGGTTTAAAATAAATTGGTTTTCTCTTTGTACTTGCATTTTTATTTCCATTACCTCTTATGGTATCCAACATTTATTTGCCTTGGTGCATTTCCACCATAAATAAAATTAAAAAAACCTTTCAGTATTAGATTCACATTTTTTGCATCTCTGGTCTAAATTTATAGCACCTGCTATGCTGTAACAAATCTCTCATATACTAGTGCACAGTGAAAAAGCATGAGTCACTTTTCATACACAGTACAGTACAGCATACTTCCAGATATCATACATTATGAACACTGGTCTGAGCCTGGCCCATCTCCTTATCAAAGAGATTCAAAATGTTGCGCAACAGAGGAATCTCACGCAAGAGATTGCCCAATCCATTGTGCAACGAAGTTACCAGCGACCTTATGCGTTCTCTTGTGCAACAATGTTATTCCAACACAAAACATTCTTGAGCGGAACAAGAACACCATTAAGTGACTTCAACAGTGTTGCATTGAATATAACAAGAAATGTTACCCTTCCAGGCCAACACAGCTATGCGACTTCCTCCAGCTGTTATTGGACTCCAATTCCCATCATCCCTGACCATTGGGCATGCTGACTGTGCCTGGTGAAAGTCGCAATCCAATCATGTTGGTTCCTCCTCTTTGCTTTAGAACTGTTACTTTCCCATGTGCAACAAATATTGTTCCCCCTCATATGTAAATGAATGCAGATTTACTAAGTCGACTACAACATATAATGAACTGACTACAATCCTTATATAGACTTTCCAGGCAGCTAATCCCATTGAACACTGTGGAATGCATTTTTCGGTTTACATTACATGAAATTGTCCTATTAAAAATAAGATTACAGACCTTTCTTAAAAGTATTTAAAGGGAATTGATTTAGACTGCAATGCTATGCACAGGAATAAGTCCCACCAACTCAGTGGGGTTTTAACTTCTGGGTGGATATTGATAGGACTGCACCAAATGTGCTTAGAACTGGTACCACAAAGTGTGACATATTGCATTTATAGAAAAATTAGCCACTAACCCCCCAAATTGTGTATTTTACATGGTACATCGAAGACAGACAAATTAACTTCAAATTGGAGCTTTTTTAAAATTAGTTATAAATAAGACAATCCACAACACCCTTCCTCATACTATGTAAAAATCAGGAATACTTAACATCTGTATTACTAATGCATTCCCAACACGTACATTGTGCTTACTTGTGATCTTATCCTCTAATATCTTGCCATGTAAGCAGTTTTCCTGGTCTTATTTATCTTGTCTCCTACTGTAATTGAGTTTTGCTGAAGTGTTATTATGGAGGATGCCCTGTGCACTGCTTGCTAACATTTTAAAATTATTATTTTGGAGGGGGTCAGTGGCAAACAGCCTTTTTCGTTCCATTGTTACTTGTTGCACTCACCAACCTTTGCAACCGCCTTTTAAAAAATGGCAAATATCTGTACTGCTGAAGACGTTTTTTAATTAATCTGTACCTAGATATGATTCTTCAAAGTAAATACATATATACAACAACAGCTAAAGAATTGGAGCCTGGGGTTTCTACTGTTCCCTAGATTAATATACAGTAACCTGAATCCCCCAAAAGTCTGGGACAGCCAATAAAAGAATGGAAGACAACCTGTAGAGATAAAGCTCTTTTATTAAGGGAAAACAACTCCAAACCGAGTCGGTTTCCCCCTCCCGGAACCTTTGTGCCAGGGCTCGTGTGTTGGGAGGACATCAATGGCGGCAGGACCGTTGTGCAACGCCGGAAGTGTCCCCCTTCCGGAACGGAGAGACCTGGTGCGCTGCTGCACTTGGGAAGGTTCTCTGCACTGAAGAGCGGAGAAGAGGCATGTTGGGCCGGGTTGTCGCTTCTGGGGCGCTGAGCCTCCTTCGCAGCGGGGCAGGAAGCTCTTTACTTAGGTAGGGGGCAGGGTAGTTTTTGTGTGTTGAATATATGCTATATGGTAATTTATGGACCTAAATCTAAAGCCGTTTGCACATAACAAAATATGTATTTTATCAAAGTAATTGTTGAACTGAAATACAACTAAGAAGAAGTATATTAATAGGTAAAGGTAAAGGGACCCCTGACCATTAGGTCCAGTCGTGGCCTACTCTGGGGTTGCGGCACTCATCTCACTTTATTGGCCAAGGGAGCCGGCGTACAGTTTCCGGGTCATGTGGCCAGCATGACTAAGCCGCTTCTGGCGAACCAGAGCAGCGCACGGAAACACCATTTATCTTCCCGCCAGAGTGGTACCTATTTATCTACTTGCACTTTGATGTGCTTTTGAACGGCTAGGTTGGCAGGAGCTGGGACCGAGCAACGGGAGCTCACCCTGTCGCGGGGATTCGAACCGCCGACCTAGGCTCTGTGGTTTAACCCACAGTGCCACCCGCGTCCCTAGTATATTAATAGTGAAATACAATTAAGAAGAAGTATATTAATAGTGAAATACAATTAAGAAGAAGTATATTAATAGTGAAATAATTATTAAGCTCTAACTTAAATAGTGCCATTTTAGTGCCATTGCCTTCCGTTAAGAGTTTGGGTGTAATCCTTGACGCCTCCCTTTCCATGGAGGCTCAAGTTACAGCAACAGCCAAGGCGACATTTTTCCACCTTCATCGCATCAAGCAGTTGGTCCCTTACCTTTCCCGCCCCAACCTGGCCACAGTGATCCATGCGACAGTCATCTCCAGGCTTGACTACTGTAATTCGCTCTACGCGGGGCTGCCCTTGAAGCTGACCCAGAAACTCCAGGGGGTGCAGAATGCTGCAGCGAGGCTCCTCACGGGGTCTCTGCCATGGGAGCATATTCACCCAGTGCTTTTCAAACTGCACTGGCTCCCGGTAGAGTACAGGGTCACTGTACTGCAACGGGACACTGTGACGGAAACCAGAGCACACAGAAACGCTGTTTACCTTCCAGCCGCAGTGGTACCTATTTATCTACTTGCACTGGCATGCTTTCAAACTGCTAGATTGGCAGGAGCTGGGACAGACCAATGAGAGCTCACCCCGTCACTAGGATTGGAACCACCAACCTTCCAATCAGCAAGCCCAAGAGCAGGAGTCAGCAAACTTTTTCAGCAGGGGACCGGTCAGTTGTCCCTCAGACCTTGTGAGGGCAGGGCGGACTATATTTTGAAAAAATAATAATGAACGAATTCCTATGCCCCACAAATAACCCAGAAGTGCATTTTAAATAAAAGGGCACATTCTACTCATGTAAAAACACGCTGATTCCCGGACCGTCCGCAGGCGGATTTAGAAGGCGATTGGGCCGGATCCAGCCCTGGGCCTTAGTTTGCCTACCCATGCTCAGTGGTTTGGACCACAGCGCCACCCGCGTCCTTCTTTTCTGTATTGCAGGGGCTTGGACTTGATGACCCTTGTGACACCTTCCAAGTTACTACTTATTGACAGTTTCAAATACTCAGGTTGCTCCTGGGACATTGCTGTGCACTTGGCAAATGGTGAGACACCATTGCTCAGTCCAGCCCGCAGTGGCTATGCTACACAAAAAGTGAAAAAAGACCTGATGGGCCCAATTATGCCTTAGCTTCAGTAAGTTGGTTTGAAACATTTGCAAACAGGAGTAGAAGAAATGACCATCACAGAAGTGAAGAAGGGTTTGCAGTTGGGTTTGTCACTGGAAGTTGCCCATGATTGGGGCGCCAGGGGCACAAAGATGGGATAGAGGAGGTTGAGCTAGATTTAAATGGGGTGTTGGGTGATGCCTGTAATCTTTGCTATTGCGTGCTATATAAATATTGGAATGAACGAACTATTGCTTATTTCTTAGTTCTCAGCTAATCTGGAATGTTCAAGGTCGAGCGAACCACTGGCAGTCTTCACTTCTTGGACTGAGGGCAGCACTACCTATGAGGTAAAACCCAAGTCAGCTTCGATCTTATAAGGTACACAACAAGCCTGTGGGAGTGAGTGTGACTGGCCCACGGTCACCAGTGAGCTTTGTAGCTGAGTGGGGAACTGAATCCAGGTCTCCCTGGACCTAGTCTGACAATCTCAGGGTTGTGGGTTTGAGCCCCATGTTGGGCAAATAGATTCCTACATTGCAGGGGGGGTTCTAAGGCGAACATTTAAGTCACATTTACCTGGGAGTCAACCCAGCTGAATACGGCAAGACTTATTTTCAAATAAACATGTGTAGCATTGTTCATTTAAGAAGAGTTCTGTGTATTTCATGGATGATCAAATAAAACAGGGAAGGGAAACCTGTTGCCTCTCCAGATGTAGTTGGACTCCGACTACCATCCAACATGGCCAGTGGGCAGAGATGATGGGATTTGTAGTCCAATGTCTGGAAGGATACAAGCTCACCAATCCTGCAATATAACGTATAGGTTGAAATGTTTTCGGTCCAGCCTGTTTTCGAAACCATCAAGGTTCAGAGTCATTGTTGGTTTGTAGCATATAGTTGGCCTGAGTGATAATATTGCATGCCTATAATAATAACCGTTTGAAGTGTTTTTCTCTCCCCATTAGAGCAGAACCAAGGAAGAAGAAGAAGGTGGATCAAAAGAGAGATATAGCCATAAGAGACCGGTTGAGGAAGAAAATAAAAAAATTACAAAAAGCCCCTCAAGAACTAATTCCTATTGAAGACTTTATAACACCGTTCAGATTTCTAGATGAAAAAAGGTAATCGTCAGTGATTCCCATGCATAACAGTGTGGCTGCAATTGCTTCTTTCCCAGAGATTCAATGTCAGTTTGGCTTAAGAAATTTTAGCACTCGTAGTTTCACCTTCTGAAACAAGGATTGACAGCTTAGGAACTTGTGCAGGTCTTGTAAAAAAAAAATCTTCCAACTGGTTGGCCCCAAGTTGTAACTGTTTTGTTTTTTAGGAAGGGACTAGACAAAATGGTGTTCAGCTGCAAAGGGGATTCAGATATTTAATTTGGCACATCTTACCTGAGAATCTTCTGCTATTCTATTCTATTTAATGCAACAAATAATTTTAGTAGCCGTGACCATGGTTTTATTGTATGTCTGTGCCCGACGATTTTTATGGTTATTGTTGTTTTTTCTTTTTCTTTTTTCTTTTGTTCTCCTTCTGAATGCCATGGCCTATGCCTAGTGGAATAAAAAGTTTAATTGGAAATTGTGTTTTTCTCTTTTAGGGTGCGAGACACCCCTCCGCTCTCCCCCGAGGAAAGCGAAAGGCGAGCTCTGCTTATGAAGAAGTGGTCATTTTACAAGCAAAAGCAGCACGAGGCAGAGAAAGGTATAATCAAATCCCTTGTGGATGCCCAGGAAGCAGCGTTAAAAGAACTGCGCCTTGAATCGGAGGAACTGTACGAGGCAGCAATTCAGCGAGACGATGGTCTGTTCCCTTTTGAGAGACAGGAGCTTATGCACTCACCGCCGCTGCCTAAGTATGAGGCTCCCGAAGGAAAATGTGTCGACGTCACCAAAGTATATACACAGTGATTCGGAAACGTTGCCAAGGAACTACTGGAAGATTCAGCAAATGCAAAACACAATGGCATGAACAATGTGTGGTCATTCATTACTTCTGAATTACCAGAAACGAATAGAACACATCACAAGAGCAAGCCTCCCTTTTAGCATAGGGTACATTCTAGACATCCACTATCCTTCTCTCTTTGTGCAAAGAAGATGTGACATAAACAACATTTTTATGATGATTTTTTCCGCCATTTTTTCCTGATTAGTAGCCAACTTCTGGTCTGCCAGCTGTTGTGTGGAGTACAACTCCCATCGTTCCTCACTGTTGGTTATGCTGTTTGGGGCTGATGGAAATTGATTGGCTAGCCACCTTTGCTCTGAGCACCAGCTTGGACAGAATGTGTTCAGCTAGGATATGTTATTGGGTCTACATTCTAAGTAAAGCTATGCAAGGAGGAGGAGGAGGAGGGAAGGGTTCTTTCCTGCTTCTCATAGCAACCCCTCTCGAGCCCTAATAGGTAGGGCCACACCCCACAACAAGGACTCTGGGAATTGTAAAGATGGAGAGGTCAGAAGATTGTACATCCCATGGGGTTACCAACCGTTTTGAATTTTGAGAGTGTGCTGGGGATACTAGTCCCCAAACAGCTGCCACAGGAGGGTGGCATAACAAATGGTAGGCATATATTGGTGAAGCTTTCCCCATAATCGTATTTCCTACGAGAAGAGGCTTAACCCACCTCTTGTATGTTAAGTAGAAAATAAGTGGCAACAGCGCATTAAGGGCAAGAGGGAAACAGCAGCTCCTTAGGGCCTTGGGATTCCGATCACTTGGGGTTCAAACAACTCACACACCAATCACAGCTCTGACCACTCATCGTCTAAAAACACAGACAGGAAGGAACAACCAGGCTCCCTCATTTCACAAAAATCCCTTGGAAGGATTTCTGCACATTTTGCTTCATGGGAAGGCTAGGTAAAGGTAAAGGGACCCCTGACCATTAGGTCCAGTCGTGGCCGACTCTGGGGTTGCGGCGCTCATCTCGCCTTATTGGCCGAGGGAGCCGGTGTACAGCTTCTGGGTCATGTGGCCAGCATGACTAAGCCGCTTCTGGCAAACCAAAGCAGCGCATGGAAACACTGTTTACCTTCCCACTGGAGCGGTACCTATTTATCTACTTGCACTTTGACATGCTTTCGAACTGCTAGGTTGGCAGGAGCAGGGACTGAGCAACTGGAGCTCACCCTGTTGTGAGGATTCGAACTGCCAACCTTCTGATCGGCAAGCCCTAGGCTCTGTGGTTTAACCCACAGCGCCACCCACGTCCCCTGGGAAGGCTAGAGACCTTTAAAAAAATGAAAACTCACGAGTCTGCGGCTCATGTCAGGGTGCCAAGCGAAGGTCTTCCCCAGGTCCCACAGGACCAGGTTAGCAGCCCCGGCTTTATCACATATTCAGAACGTATGTGCTGTATTTGTAGTACAGTCAAACCTTGGTTGTCGAACGTAATCCATTCCGGAAGACCGTTCAACTTCCGAAACGTTCGACAACCAGGGATCAAAGGGCGGTCAGCAAAGTCAATGGAGAGAAAAGAAAAAAATTCCCCAGAAGCTGTTCAGCTTCCAAAAACTGTTCAAAAACAGCAGCAGTTACTTCCGGGAGCAGTTTGGGAGCCAAAGTGTTCCAAAACGGAGGTGTTTGGGAGCTGAGCTTTGACTGTACACACAAACTTCTAAACCACCTCCACTCGCCGTGTACAAATCTACAGGATTGTGTCCACTGTAGCCCTGTCCTGAAAGTCAGTGGTATTCTGACAGTACTGTTTAGAACATTGTTGCACGAGGGAAAACAGGGTGCCATAGGACAGCTCACAACATTAAATAAAGCCCGTTAGCTGTGACAGTTAAATGGTACTTTCACGTTCGGAGACAATATACCTCTTACCTAGCAAGTATGGGGACTTGTAACAGGGTTATCTCCTCCAAATTATCTCTTTAACACACTGTTTACTAAATACTTCAGAACAGATTGTACTTTTAAAAAAATATCGAGCACCACTATAGTGAAGTATATGGTTGCTGTGAGCATGGGTTTATGGCTGAGAACTCTTCTGTACAGCACAGTGTTAGGATTCCATAGAAGGCATCACCCAGAAGTCCAACACCTGGTATTCCAGGGCCTCATCATTTGGGTTTGTCTTCATCCAGAGGCAGATACCAGCTTACGGGAGGACCTTTCCTCAAGCTCCACACCGGAGCATACTTCTGTTTCTCCATAACCCGCTCTCTTTCGCTCTTGCATAGGGAGTCCTGGAAAAAGGCAGAATCAACAATAATGTTAACAATGCCCTCAGTGAGCATGGTGCTATGCAGAACAGAAGATCTCGGGTTCCACCTGGGGTCTCCAGGTAGGACTTGAAACAACTGTGAAATCCTGGAGAGCTGGATAGGCATCTCAGGGTAGGCGTTCCTGACTCAGGCAGACCAGTGGTCCCAGCTGGTAAAAGAAAGCTTTGTCTGCAATCTTAGAATCGTAGAGTTGAAGGGGCCACAAGCGTCATCTACTCCAACCCCCTGCAATGTAGGAGACCAAAATGGGATGTGAATCCATAACACTGAGATCAAGAGTCTCATGCTCTACCAACTGAGCTATCTTGTAGGTCATGGCTCACTGGTAGAACACCTGCTTTGGGTGCAGAAGGTCCCAGCTTCAACCTCCAGATAGGACTGGGAAAGACTGGAATACTGGAGCTGCTGCCAGTGTAGACAGTACTGACTGATGGACCCATGGTCTCACTCAGTGTAAGGCAGCTTTCTATGTCCCTCAGTATTAAGGGAAGGATGTGTCTGCAAAATGTCCCAGGTTCAATCCCCAGCACCTCCAGGTAAGGGTTAGGGAAAAGCACCTATGTGAAACGGTGGGGAGCAGCTGCCAATCACTGTTGATGTACATCAAGGGTGGGCTTATGGTCGATGGGATTGGGGAATCTACTGGTTAAATATCTAGGTTATCGGTAGATCAGTAAGGGGTTCTGACTCCCCATAGTAACAACAAAAACACAATTTTGGTTAGTGATTTTATACTTGTAAACCGCTTGGAAGCTGCCTTGGCAATTTAGTGGTATATAAAGGAACTAATAAACAACAATAATAGTTGATAAAAAAATTATGCTGCTACAATAAAGCAAACTTGGAGGCAACAAGACGTGAGATTGTGTGCAAAAGCTGTTCTGGTATTGAAAATAAGGGTTGTATCCAGCTAGTTCTGCAGGTGTGGGTGAGCTTTGGCCCTCCAGATCTTGCTGGACTACAACTCCGATCATCCCTGGGCATTGCCCATGCTTGCTGGGGCTGATGGGAGTTGTTCAGCAACATTGGGGAGCCAAAGGTTCCTCGCACCTAATCTATTCACTTCAGTACAGCCACGGAAATTAATCCAAGTTCATTATGTCTGTTAAACTTCAATGAGTCTGTGCTGAGGATGGATAACACGGGATACAGTGAACCAAATATATTTAGCATTTCTGTTGTGCTTAGGTTAGGACATACAGACAACGACCTTTTTGCATGCATTCCAGGCATGCGCACGCCTGGTCAGACCCGGAAAAGGATGTAACCTGGATGGGGTGGGTTTGCACTACACTGTCGCATGCAATGACCCAAAATGCAACCCCAGCGCAAATTGGGGGATGCCTGTATTACAAAACCAGTTTGTACTCACCATTGTTACGAACCACATGATAGACGGCATCCAATGCCAGTCCTACTCAGAATAGACCCAATGGCATTAAGAAATACGCCCACTCTATGCTCATCAATTTCTCTTTACTTACTCTGTGTGGGATTGAGTTGAACCATTGTTTGAGAGCAGCAGGCAAACCACTGTTTTGAGCCACTCTGTTATTTAGTTTTGATGGTGTGTTATCTGCACCTGGCTCTAGTTGGTCAATCCTGAGGTTACAGTAAAGAAAAGCAACATAGATCTGACACATCTGAAATCTGCCCACCCTACGGAAGACTAGTCTGAGCTAGATACAGTGGTACCTCGGGTTAAGTACTTAATTCATTCCGGAGGTCCGTACTTAACCTGAAACTGTTCTTAACCTGAAGCACCACTTTAGCTAATGGGGCCTCCTGCTGCTGCCGTGACGCCGGAGCACGATTTCTGTTCTCAACCTGAAGCACAGTTCTTAACCTGAAGCACTATTTCTGGGTTAGCGGAGTATGTAACCTAAAGTGTATGTAACCTGCAGCATGTGTAACCTGAGGTACCACTGTACATCGATGGTTGAGACAGTAAGAGGCAGCTTTCTATGAATGGATTTTTCCATTGCTACAAACCCGCGCTTTGTCCCTTGGCATACCTTAGCCTCTGAACTTCTCGTCTTCTCCCATGCTTTGCAGTTCTCATAATCTCTCTTCCACTGCTTACAGGAAGGCGCCTCCCCATAGGTATAGTAGTAATGGAACAGATTTGGGATGCTCTTGCAATGTTTCCATTCAGACCAGTAGTCATTGCAGGCTCGTGGGGGCTGCCAAACATACACACAAAATGTATAAGCAAGGAATCAACACTCGTCTACAGGGCAGAGAGGACCATAGAAACTGCAACAAAGTGCTCTTCTGTTCCAGGTGCCTTCCCAGACCTGCTGAAAGAGGCAGTTATTAAACCGCTTCTTAAAAAAACAACTTTGGACCTAGCCATCATGGCCAACTATCACCCAGTCTCAAATCTTCCATTCTTGGGCAAGGTGATTGAGCACGGGGTTGTTAAACAACTCCAGACACGCCTGGAGGATGCGGCCCATTTGGATCCCTTCCAATAGGGATTCAGGACTCATCATGGGACTGAAACTGCCTTGGTCACGATGGTTGATTATCTCTGGCAGGCCAGAGACTGAGGTGAAAGCTGTTCCCTGGTCCTGCTGGATCTCTCAGCGGCCTTTGACATCATTGATCATGACATCCCTAAGGACTGTCTGAAGGAGTTGGGAGCTGGGCACACTGTTATACAGTGGTCCCGTTCCTTCCTCCTGTGCCATGTCCAGAAAGTGGTGTAGGGGGGGTGAGTGTTTGGACCCCTGGGCTCTCACTTGTGGGGTGCCTCAGGCTTCTGTCCTCTTCCCCATGCTTTTTAACATCCACATGAAGCTGCTGGGAGAGATAACCAGGGGGTTTGGGCTGGGTGTTCATCAGTTTGCTGATGATACCCAGCTCTACCTCTCCTTCAAATCAGAACCAGTGGAGGTAGTGAAGGTCCTGTGTGAGTGTCTGAAGTGGTTGGTGGGGGGGTGGCAGCTAACAGATTGATGTTGAATCCTGACAAGACAAGAAGTACTGTTCTTGGGGACAGGGGACAGACCCCTGGTCCTGAACGGGGTAATCATGCCCCTGAAAGATCAGGTGCGCAGCCTGGGAGTCACTGGACTCACAGCTATCCATGGAGGTACAGGTCAATTCTGTGTCCACAGCAGCTGTCTACCAGCTCCATCTGGTACGCAGGCTGAGACCCTACCTGCCCGCAGACTGTCTTGCCAGAGTGGTGCATGCTCTGGTTATCTCCTGCTTGGACTACTGCAATGCGCTCTACGTGGGGCTACCTTTGAAGGTGACCCGGAAACAACAATCCAGAATGCAGCAGCTAGACTGGTGACTGGGGGTGGCCGCTGAGACCACATAACACCGGTTCTGAAAGACCTACATTGGCTCCCAGTACATTTCTGAGCACAATTCAAAGGGTTGGTGCTGATCTTTAAAGCCCTTAACGGCCTCGGCCCTGTATACCTGAAGGAGTGTTTCCACCCCCATCGTTCAGCTGAGACACTAAGGTCCTCTGCCAAGGGTCTTCTGGCGGTTCCCTCACTGCAAGAAGTGAGGTTACAGGGAACCAGGCAGAGGGCCTTCTCAGTAGTGGCACCCTCCCTGTGGAACACCCTCCCACCAGATGTCAAAGAGAACAACAACTACCAGACTTTTAGAAGACATCTGAAAGCAGCCCTCTTTAGGGAAGCTTTTAAGGATTGCTGTTTTTATTATGTTTTCAAATACAGTGGTAACTCGGGTTAAGAACTTAATTTGTTCTGGAGGTCCGTTCTTAACCTGAAACTGTTCTTAACCTGAGGTACCACTTTAGCTAATGGGGCCTTGCGCTGCTGCCATGCGATTTCTGTTCTCATCCTGAAGCAAAGTTCTTAACCTGAGGTACTATTTCTGGGTTAGCGGAGTCTGAAACCTGAAGCGTCTGTAACCTGAGGTACCACTGTATGTCGTAAGCCATCCAGAGTAGCTGGGGAAATCCAGCCAGATGGGTGGGGAATAATAGTAATAATAATAATAATAATAATAATAATAATAGGAATAGGAATTGTAGTCCAAAAGCAGCTGGAGAAACACTGCTCTAACTCAGCTCTTTTCAGCCCCAGTTGTTGTTGTTGTTGTTGTTGTTGTTGAACTACAACTCCCATCCCCCCAGCTAGCAAGGGATGATGGGAGTTGTTCAGGTGTTCTGGGACTACAACTCCCATCATCCCTTGCTAGCTGGGGGGATGGGAGTTGTAGTCCCAGAACACCTATATGACGCTATAAGGGACCTATTCGACTCATATACCTGCATTAGGCACAAGGAATTCTGCAGCCTGCACACCTTCTGCCACAACAGACCAGTCTTTTGAGGCTTACACACAACTGTCGCTCTTGAAGGCTTTTTAAAGCAGCTTTCCTATTCTGAGCCCCACATTAATCCCCCCCCCCGCTTACCCTCCAGGTATCGCTGTCAGCCATGCTGCTCCCCGCTCCGTCCATCCCTCCCTCCCTCTCCCTAAAGAGGCGGGGCTTTGTGACGGATTGACCCGGCCGCGCCACCGTCCGCAAGGCAAGACGCAGTCGAAGTCAAAGAGGTAAAAGCTCCAGCGGTTCACTTAGAGAAGACTTCCGGCTCCCGTTTGCGGCAGTTTGGCTGAGGCTCCGCCATTGGGGGGGGGTTAAGAGGGGCGGGGAAAGGCTGATTAGGGGATAATTGGGCAAGGGGGGGAAACACTTTCCCTATCCACCCAGTGCTTTTGAAATAATTGTCGCCTGTACAAAACAGAGAAGAACAAAACGACTTTTTTATTTTATTTTTAAAAAAGGCTTGACTCCTGTTTCTTATTTAGTAACAATATTATTATTCAGCAATATCAACTCAGTCTGGAGAGCTCAGTTGGTTAGAGTGGCTTCTCTTGGTCGTTGCCTAGAAAAATGCAGTGAAATATTATCCTAACAGTCTGCTAAGTAAATATTGAGTTGAATGGAACTTTCTCCCAGGTGGCTGAGGACAGGATTGCAGCCTAAGTGAGTCTTTTTTTTGGCTTCACTGGTTTCCCACTGTACTACCAAATTTTACAGTGTGTCACTAAGACTCCACATGGCAACTGAGGCATAGTGGTGTAATTGCCTAAGCACTTAATTTAACTCAGGGGTAATTTAAGGCCAGGGGGCTGGATGTGGCCCAATCGCCTTCTCAGTCCGGCCCGCGGATGGTCCGGGAATCAGCGTGTTTTTACATGAGTAAAATATATCCTTTTATTTAATAATAATAAATAAATTTTTATTTCTATCCCGCCCTCCCCAGCTGAAGCCAGGCTCAGAGCGGCTAACAACATTTAAAATGCATCTCTAGGTTATTTGTGGGGCATAGGAATTAGTTCATATTTTTTTTCCAAAATATAGTCCGGCCCACCACATGGTCTGAGGGACGGTGGACCAGCCCACGGCTGAAAAAGGTTGCTGACCCAATTTAACTACACAATGTGAAAGCACAACAGTACGGTGTGGCCATTTCTTCAGCCATCAGAAGGTAGAAATTTTGCTTTGCTTATTTATGCTGAAACATTCATGAAGGATGAGACGATCAATGGCTACCAACCCTGGTGGTTATGGTTCTAGCTCCACTGTCGTCTGAATTATCAGCTGTTGGAAATCACAGGAGGGAAGAGTGCCGTTGCGTTCAGGTCCTGCTTACAAACTTCCCTTGGGCATCTGGCAGGCCACAGCGAGGGCAGGAGGCCAGACTAGATAGGCCTTTGGTTTAAGCAGGGCTTTTCTTATTTAACCAGGACGACTATTAAGAAACCGTATGTTTACCATCCATTCCACATGCATGTAAACCACTAATTTTATTCCATCTAGTTCTAGCTAAGAAACCTGCACCTGAGCTGTAACACTTCACAGTACAGGTCAGGTATCAAATGGCTGAAAGTTCTGGCATACAAAGGCATTCAAAGGTAAGAGTACAAAAACCAGTCATTCATACATGTTGCTTTTGCTTCTGGCCCTGCCCAACACTGGCATGCGGGCCCTGGAAGGTTGCCCACAAGGCTTCCACAACCCTGCCCTAAATTGTAAGGAAACCATGCCTATTTTCCAAGTGTGGGAAGTTAACATACAAGAAAGCAACTTATTCAAGAACCCTTTGCTGCCATAAATAAAAAACAGCCTTCCAGGGGGACCATCAGAAATCCACATTCTTTTCGTGTCTCTGCTGCTCAGTGTAACCAGAGTTGTCTTCATCAACATGCAACTTACAATGTTCTACTAAGTAAAACCCACTGAACCGCACTTCACTTGAAAGTGCAGAAGCAGATTAGAATGTCCTTATGTTGCTTATGAACAAGAGTGCCGCCGCCACCCCCCCCATACAACGTCCTTTTACAAAAGAAAAGCTAAAATAAGTCAGAAACGCTGCAGTGTTATTTTATTCTTCCCGACCAACTCCTGGTTCCGGGAGTTACGGTTTTCTTCCTTTCTTGCGGAGTGACTGGCCTTCTCCAGAAAAGGCAATGAAGCGGCTTCCAGAGTCATCCTGAAAACAGAGGGGTGGGTAATGGGAAATATTACTTTATAAACTCACATTATTATTCATTATTACGCATACAAGAAGTGAAGACCTGGACTTTTCAGGAAGCGACCTGTTCAGGCACCATGAGTAGTTCCAGCTTTGCACTGAACCCGTGATTTCAGCTGGGCTGACTTCTGCTTATTCACTTATTTATTGAAAATGCTTAGAAATGCCAAAGTACACGAGGTTAACGAGTTTTAGGGTCTGTCTTGGGTGCAGTGCAAATAACAGAGTTATTGTGACTGACCAAGATCTCTTCCCCAGCTCTCTTGTCAGATTCTTTGGGTGGTTGTTGTTTTTAAGTGCTGGTCTTAACCAACACTGCATCAACAGGGCTGGGTGGGGTAGAGCAGGGCGGAAGAGAAAACATTCCACTACAAAGGTGGAAGGTGTTCTGCAAATGGGATACTTCACTGGGGACAGAAAAGGTAAAGGTAAAGGGACCCCTGACAATTAAGTCCAGTCGCGAACAACTCTGGGGTTGCGGCACTCATCTCGCTTTACAGGCCAAGGGAGCCGGCGTTTGTCTGCTTCTGCAGACAGTTTTTCTGGGTCATGTGGCCAGCAAGACTAAACCGCTTGTGGTGAAACCACAGCAGTGCACAGAAATGCTGTGTACCTTCCCGCTGGAGCGGTACCTATTTATCTACTAGCACTGCATGCTTTCGAACTGCTAGGTTGGCAGGAGCTGGGACCGAACAATGGGAGCTCACCCCGTTGCAGGAATTCGAACCACCGACCTTTTGATTGGGAAGCCCAAGCGGCACAGTGGTTTAACCCACAGCGCCACCCGCGTCCCTTCACTGGGGACAACCTCAAGTGAAAAAGATACAGTTTTACTCACTTCTTCTACTTTCTTGACCAGCGGCCGAGAATTTCTGATGAATGTGATCTTGCCAATTTTGAAGTCATAGTTGGGAATCCCTCTGCAGAAGAGACAAATGAGGTACATATACTTCATATATTCGTTTCCCTTCTGCCTTATGGAGCCAGCTCACAATTTACAGAAAAAGATTAACATCCAAATCAAATTGAGAAAAAAGCATGAAGTTAAGGGTTTGCTCCTGCTTAGAAAGAAGGAAAAACTTGGCATGATTTTTTTTGACTTGGGTTCTAATATTTTTTAAGCTGGGGTGATGAGAGGACCCAAAAACAATTCAATGAAGACTGAGCATGCTCAGAATGTTTACTGATGGTTGGGCGGGTGAAGGAGAATGGAAAAGCTGGAGGCTGGGAACAGGATGGGGTCTCCTAAAGGTAGGCTTCTGAAATGTTCAACAACTGAATCACAGCTTCCAATTGGTTGCAAAAGCTTCCTGCACTCAGTGGGAGCCGCGTTGGATGTTCAGCTTCTGAAAAATGTTCGAAAACTGGAGCATTTACTTCCAGATTTTTGGTGTTCAGGAGCTGAAACATTTGGAAATGGAGCCATTTGGGAGCCAAGGTTTGGCTGAATATAGATAGATAGATAGAGAGAGAGAGAGATAGTGTGCTTCATAAGCCAGATGCAGCTGTCTCCTTTTGCTTGGCTTCTACTGAAAGAGTAATTATCTCCCTCACTGGTTCCTGGTGGATGAGCAATTTTAAACACGTGGCTTCACAAGGCTTCTTTAAGTCACAGGTTGATCTCAGATGGAGTTGTTGAAATACATTATCCTAGCTTGTGCGAGACTTGCCGCTGTAAACTAATGAGCCAGGCTTTCCCTGTTTGGTGCCTTGCAGATGTTTGGGACTGCGCATCTCATCACTGCCAAACCAGCACAGTCGAGGGTGAGGGATAAATGAAAGTTTTAGTCCACAATATCTGGAGGGCACCAGGTTTGGGGAAGGTAAAGTCACAATATTATCCATGGTGAGAAGTGCTGTGACGTGGGGCTTCTTTAGCCTGCTGGACAGTGACCAGAGAGGACCTGGGTTCAAACAGGGTGACCTTGAGCTAGTTGCTCATTCTTAGCCTAACCACTAAAGACCTGCTTCTACACACCCTTCTCTGTCCTCCATCCAGACAAGCAAAAGGGATGAATGCACACATTCTAAACAGGCAAAAACGCTCAGGAGGTGAAGCAGGGACCCATAATGGGGTGTAGCCTGGGGAAGAGTTCTAAGGGCCAGATAGAGAGGCTTGGGGGCCACATTTGCCTCCTGGATCTGAAATTTCCTGCTTCCGACATAGCTGCTGTCTCTTTTCTTCCTTTCCAAGCCATGTTACTACACTCCAAGCGAGAATATCCAACTCGCACAAATACTGAAGCCATGGCAATGCAGCAGACAGAGATGGAAACGGCCCAAGTCATTTCACTTCGAGGACACACAGAATTGCATCAAGGCAAACGAACCTTCTAATGTCTTCTGGTTTAATTGGAGAAGGATTTGGCTCGACGCCTTTCTTTTTCCCGTCCAGCCTGTTCCCAGATCCTGAAAAGGCCTGCAGGGATAAGAAAGGCAGAGTCATCATCATGAAATCATCATCCTTGTAAAATGGAGCATCTCAAGTGATGGCCCGCGTAGGATGACGCCTATATCCACCTGAACAGTCCTGATCCAATTTATCCAAGAAATCCCCAGAGGCAATCACCCAAGGAAACTAAGCAGAAAAACAACAACTCTACTGAAGATTGTCTTTGAGAGGCTGCCCATTAGACTGCAACTGTTCTACGGTTTGGAAAGGAATTATATCTACCGTACTTTTCCGTGTATAAGACTAGTGTTTTTTCTACTGAAGCATTATGTTGAAAACCGGGGGTCATCTTATACATTGGTAGTGCTTAGGGGTGATGTGGGATTGGGGTGGTGTTGATTGGGTGTTGCTGTGGCAATTGGGCGGGCAACAGGCTGCTTCTGCCGGCAAGGGGACAGATGTTAGGAGGCACGAGTGTTAGCGTTAGGCGGGTGAGTGATTTTCGACAATCCCCCCCTGAAAAAAGCTCAACAACTGTCACAGGACTGCCAAGGAAGGCGTTTGAGCCAGGGGGAGGAGAAGAGTCAGAGCAGGAACAGTCAGAAGGAAATGGTCAGGACATGACGGAAGGGGTAGAAGTGGAGAGCCATGAGGTGGCAAGGCTCTCCGATGCTGAAGCAGAGCCCCAGCACCGCATAGGGAGCTCAGGGACAGTCAGAGAGCCTATGCCTGTGCCTTTGGCACAGGAAAGGAAAGGGTTAAAGCGCAGGGATCAGAGACTTCCCATGAAGCTACCCCGCCTCTTCTGTTGGAGGAGAAGCAGGAGAAGACCACTCCCCGAATCTGAACTGGACAATTTGGATGCATAAGTTGTACTGTGCTGCTTGTACATATGTAAAATAAAGAACTGTAAATACCTCTCTGAGTGAGCAGAGGGTGCTTATAGCGAAGAGCATACACAAACCATCACAGCAACTCTGTGCAATCTCCCCCCATTTTCTTAATTTTTAGTCCCCCAAAATAGGGGGCATCATATACATGGGGGCGTGTTATACACAGAAAAGTACGGTATATTCTGAATCTGGATTCTCAACATGCTGCAAGTCTTAGCATAAGTGAAACATTTCAGTGGGTTCGCTGTAATATCTATAAACAGCTTCCTTCATATGGGGCGATGCAGAGGGTGTTGAGTCCCCCTTTGTGGGATGTTTGATATCCCTATTTTTAATCTTTGTGTTTGTGAGTAGCTTTGAGTTCTTTTTTTTAATGTTTTTGTACGTGCTTGAAGCCGCCCAGAGTAGCTGGGGAAACCCAGTCAGATGGGCGGGATATAAATAAAACTGTTGTTCTTGTTATTTCTTTAAAAGCAGCTAAGAAATATACTTTAATTAATCAAAGAGACTTACACGGAATCCCAGGTCACCCACATAGCCGCTATGGTCTGCCTCCACATCCTGGAAAGCAAGCGGGGAAACAAGTTGACTTGTTTTACAATGGCTCCACAGCATTCCTTCCGCTCAATTCTGGTGCTCAGAAACCGTGGAGGTGGAATATATCCACCGACAGTGAACTGGTCTAATCCTTTTCTAAAAACTATCCAAATTGGTGCCCACCACTGTCTCTTGTAGGAGTGAGTTCCACAGTTTAATCATGCACTTTGTTAAGAAATCCTGAATCTTCCAACAAAAGGACCGCTCTGTCAACCAACACAATCAAGAAAATGAAAAGCAAGGAGTAACTTGACAACCAGCTTTATCAATTTATTTGTCGCATTCACCGCTTCTTCTGAGTGGGGTTTTTTTTTTGGGGGGGGGAGAGGAAAAAGCAAGTAAAAAGAGAGAAGAATATACAAGGCCACTTACTGTGGACTCCTCGTGGTGTGTCTGTCTTTCTGGTTCTTTGTAACCCAAGGGTGCATCAAAATCCACCTGTATAGTAATAAATAATAATAATAATAATTTATTATTATTTATACCCCACCCATCTGGCTGGGTATAGAGTCAATATCAAATTCACAATCAGGGTAAGAAACAAGAACAACATTCCTAAGAAATGGCTTCCTCCCTTAATCTACCAAAGTGATTTAGTCCTTCCCCAGAAGTAGAATTAAAGCAATTATTCCTGCAGCCAGATTTCACGGGATCCTCTGGGTCCCCCCTTAAGACCATCAGTTGTACAATGGGAAGGGAGAAGGGTTTTGATGCTGTGCAAAATTGTAGCTCCTTTCTCTGCAAGAAGATCAAAACAGAGGAGGGGATTTGGTGGGTTTGTGGTACTTGGGGAAAAATGCAAAAAGCAGCCCGTGCAATCTGCATTTGCAACTGCATCCTGAATTTTGCCTCTGCAATTGCATTTTGAATTTTGAGGCCTTTAAAAGCTGCAAGGCAGGACTTGGAGTCCAATGTGTGCATTGACGGTTTTTGAATCATTCTGCTGGAAACACCGGGTGCTTTTTCACTTTCGGACAGCCAGGAGAGATAATGGGCTTACAAACTTGGTTGCTGTTTTTAAAAGTCTATAAAAAAATTAAAGTGAAACATGGACGGAGCTACTAAAAACTAAATATATTTTAATGGGAATGTGAACCCGTGGGAAATAGCTTGGGGTGGGGCTATACTGGAAGACAGGCTCCTGACAGCTTTTCACTGGAGTAATGTGGCCCTTGAATTAAAAAAGGTTCCCAACCCCTGTTTTAAGCAGTCAGTGAGACTGAAGACGCCCATCTCCCACTTACATTCATGTCACACTCTATGATGGACACAGCTTTGTCGGGTTTCGTCTCCATCACTCGAAGCTCATAGATCTAAAAAAAGACAGCCGATCTCATCATCAATATCATCTCTATCAAGTTGCCTTACCTGTCTTATAACTCTTTTACTCGCACACTGCCCTGCCCCATGCCAGCTCTCAAATTCAATCTAATACCTAGAAGTCACCTAAAAATCCACTTAAAAACCAAGAGACAGCCCTGGATGCATTAGCAACTGCACAGATAGATGCACGCACAAGTTTCTGGATTATGATGCCTACCACATTTTTTGCTCTATAGGACGCACCAGACCATAAGACGCACCTAGTTTTTGGAGGAGGAAAACAAGAAAAAAAAATATTCTGAATCTCAGAAGCCAGAACAACAAGAGGGATTGCTGGGCAGCGAAAGCAGCGATCCCTCTTGCTGTTCTGGCTTCTGGGATAGCTGTGCAGCCTGCATTCACTCCATAAGACGCATACACATTTCCCCTTACTTTTTAGGAGGGAAAAAGTGAGTCTTATAGAGCAAAAAATACGGTAATCATTCCCTCCAGGGCTCCTCGGGTATAGCTTATTCCGCTTTAAATGGCAATGTATTACCTTTTCATTGTAGTTGATGGCTATAACATCTCCGGTGGTCAGGCAAGCAAAATTTCTCAGAGCGTTTTCCAATCTTTACAGGAAGTTAAATTGAAATACAAACCATGCTGGTAGCATAAAAGGTTACATTTCACAACTGCAGGTACATCACCAGCTCCTTTTAACCCTACCCGTCTCCTTGAGGCTCCCTCTCTCCTTCAATTGTCACCTGGCAGGCTGCCATTCCACTGGGCTAGAGCAGAGGAAGAGAGGTGAAGCAGGAACACTTCACTGGGTCTGGCTCTGTCAGGCTCCTCTTCTCCCTGAACAGCTTTCTGTTCTAGCTGGTCATTATATGAACCAGTGCCTGCGTTTGCTTGGTGTGGTTTTTTTCCCATCTTCCCTCCTCACTCGTTTTCCTTTTGTGCTATGCCTGTTGGCAGGGGAGACTTACTCTTTATTGATCTTATGTCAGCCACCCTGGGAGCCTTTCTGACTGCAGACTGGGGTAAAGATGCTTGAAAATAAATAGACCCCCAACCTCCATGGTGCAGAAAATCTGCTTTAGAATAACATGGTCTGTCAACTTTCTCCTACATCTTATTCTCATAAGATAAACTCTCCCCTCCTCATTCTCCAGCTCATGGCATGTTACCAGCTTTTGAAAAGGGGACACACAGATCGGTGTCACTGGCGTCCACTGCAAACTGAAGTCAATGAGACTACATCAGAGGACGCTGTCTCTGAACTGGCCCTTGTTCATTTTCAGATAGCATCTGTTTTTGGATGGAGGTAGGAGGGCCACCTTCCCTCCTAAGTAATCTTCTGGGGTTGCATGCCAATGGCAGGCAAAGCCAGAGGGAAGACAATGCAACTCTTACCTCTGTACGCTCAGAGGCTCTGCCAATAATAAATAAATAAATAAATAAATAATAATATGGACTATATGGAATTGGCAGAAATGACTGGCAGAATCCGAGACCAGGGGGAAGAGTCGGTGGAAGAAGATTGGAAGAAATTTAAAGACTATTTACAGAAATATTGTAAAATTAATGAATGACAGAAGGATGTTGGATAGTACTTAAGCGGTTTCTAGCTGTAATGCTTTAAGAGAATATGAAAAAAAGGGTTATAAATGGGTTAAAATCTAATGGTAAGGATTTGCTGAACCAATAAATTGAAGTGGAATACAAAAAAGGGAGGTACGAGGAGGTCCGGGAAACAAGCTAAAGGAAAATAAGTAACTGAAAATATGTGTGTTTTTAACTGTTTTTATTTTGTATTTTTCTCTTTTTGTTTTCATTTTTACTGTAATATTTCAAAAAACCTTAATAAATATCTTATAAATAATAATAATAATAATAATAATAATATATTATTTATACCCCGCCCATCTGGCTGGGCTTCCCCAGCCACTCTGGGCGGCTTTCAACAAAATATTAAAATACAGTAATGCATCAAACATTAAAAGCTTCCCTAAACAGGGCTGCCTTCAGATGTCTTCTAAAAGTCTGGTAGTTGTTGTTCTCTTTGACATCTGGTGGGAGGGCGTTCCACAAGGAGGGTGCCACTACCGAGAAGGCCCTCTGCCTGGTTCCCTGTAACTTGGCTTCTCGCAGTTAGCTCAACTGGTTAGCACACGGTGCTGAGAACGCCAAGGGCCCAGGTTCAAACCCCCACATGGGTCACCTGCATATCCCTGCATTGCATGGGGTTGGACTACGTGACCCTCAGGGTCAGCCAGGCCAAAGAAGAGACAGGAAGGGGTGTGGCCTGGGGAGGAAGTGCATGCTGGGAAGAGCTCCAAGGTCCAGAGGGACAGCCCTGGAGAACCACATTTGATCCTGAGGTTCCTTGTTGGAAAAAGGCAATCCATCTTCCTTCCTTGGGGCCACAGCTCAAACCACCCTCTGCGGCTTCCCCTGAGGTTTAACGAAAAGGATACACTGCTTTGGGGTTGGTGATGTCAAGGAAATCAGGGCTCTGCGGCTGAAATTTGGAGTACGTCGCCACCTGCAAGTTGACGCTCTCTACCTGCACCAGGCCCCCTTCCTCCAAGAGCAGGTTCTGCATCATCTGTCAAAAGGAAACAAAGACAGGTGCTCAAATGATGTCTTGGGAGACACTCAGAGCTTCCCGCAAAGAATCCTGTGGCCTGTACAGTGGTACCTCGGGTTACAGATGCCTCAGGTTACAGACTCCGCTAACCCAGAAATAGTACCTCGGGTTAAGAACTTTGCTTCAGGATGAGAACAGAAATCGTGCTCCAGCAGCACAGTGGCAGCTGGAGGCCCCATTAGCTAAAGTGGTGCTTCAGGTTAAGAACAGTTTCAGGTTAAGAACGGACTTCCGGAACGAATTAAGTACTTAACTCAAGGTACCACTGTAGTTCGTTAAGGTGCTGAGAGTTGTCAGGAGACCTTAATTCCCTCTCACAGAGCTGTAATTCTCAGAGTTCCCTGGGAAGAGGGACCAACCAACTACTCTAAGAATTGTAGCTCCGTGATGGGAATGTACATTCTATCCACAGTTTGTCTGAGACATCACCACGAGCCTGTGCTATAGTGAAATGATTTTTTAAAAAATAAGAGGGTAACTCATTTCATATAACCCTTGTAGAAGTTTTAAGTTGAGAAGAGAATCAAGGTGTCTACTTACCCAGTGTGGAAGGTAACAAATGCCTTCGTCAGCCACAAACTCAAGCACGCCACAATGCGTCATCCGGTCGGAATTTTTATTTGTCAGTTTAAACAACATAGGATAGGTGATATTAAGCCGGCCTAGGGAAAAATGGGGGTGGGGGGAGAAGCACTGCATTTATCAAATGAATTTTCTTGGAAGCTCGCATAAAGAATCTTGGACTGTGAGCCTACACTTGCTTACTTGGGAGTAAGCCTCGCTGAACTCAGTATGATTTGCGTCCAACAAAACTTGTGCAGGACTGGATTGAACATAGGAAAATACCATTGATCTAATTCAGGGTTTCCAAGCTCCAAGGAGTAGGCGCCGCCACACTAAACACAGTATTCCTATGCCTCCTGCTTGGACTACTGTAATGTACTCTACATGTGGCTGCCCTTGAAGACAGCTTCAGTTAGTGCAGAATATGGCTGCTAGGATGGTAAGTGAGGAATCTTGATAGGACCATGTGACATCAGCCCTGAAAGCGTTGCAAATTCAAGGTGTTATTAGCAACATAAAGGTAAAGGGACCCCTGACCATTAGGTCCAATCGTGACTGACTCTGGGGTTGTGGCGCTCATCTCGCTTTACTGGCCGAGGGAGCCGGCGTACAGCTTCCGGTCATGTGGCCAGCATGACTAAGCCGCTTCTGGCGAACCAGAGCAGCGCACGGAAACGCCGTTTGCCTTCCCGCCGCAGCGGTACCTATTTATCTACTTGCACTTTGACGTGCTTTCGAACTGCTAGGTTGGCAGGAGCAGGGACCGAACAACGGGAGCTCACCCCGTCGTGGGGATTCAAACCGCTAACCTTCTTATCGGCAAGTCCTAGGCTCTGTGGTTTAACCCACAGCGCCACCCACGTCCCTTATTAGCAACATATAAAGCCCTAATTGGCTTGGGACCTAAATACCTTAAATCATACAGAGCTGACCTCCTAATGGGATATCTGCAGGAGGCCCTCTCCTACAGAGAGGTGGGCTACAGCAGAAATACATCACAGTGGGGTGGTCTACAACAGAAATCCTGTCTGGCAGGATACTGGTCACTTGATTGCTTTACCAGGGCAGCCTAGCCATTCCTTTTGAGATGTTTAATACTTAGTTCCTGAAACCAGGTCACAGGCTCACCCTATTCACGCACAAATACACCCTTAAGACAGGATTTGTGAGCAAAGGGACAATGGGGAGGCTTCTTCCATTTCCTTCCTCACTACAGAAAGTATTTGAGGTCACTGGAAGAGTCAAAATGGCTTCAGGATTGCTTTCAGATGTGGTTTATACACTTATGTATGTATTTGCCTTGTAGATTTATGAACACATGATTTATATATATATGTGAGACCTTAGAATTCCTGTAACAGTTGGGTATATAAGGGGGTGAGAAAACATTTTAGGCAACCTGGTCCATAGCTGTATAGGGCTTTGTACACTAGTAGCAGCCCCTTGAACGAAGGCTAGTACCTTATTGACAGCCATTGCAATTAATTCAGGAGCAGTGTAATGTGGTGGCAAAAAAAACAACAGAAAAATAGTTTTGTCTGAGCACTGTGTGACTCTGGAGCAAGAAGAAGTTGGGACAAGAGGTGACCATCATTGTGCCCTTTCACATCCTACGGGATGGAATGTCAAGAGGAAATAATTGTAGCGTTACTGTAGCAGCAATTTCACATACGTTGCCAATCCAAAATGCTTATTGGCTTCTTACTGATTTAACCAGCTACAACCTTAATCTTTAACTGGTAGGTCAGGATCCACAACTGGATTGCGGTCTGAACCAAAGTGGGGCGCGATAACGGGCATTGCCGTCATACAAATACAAGATTAAAACAATTAAGAGGAGGGTCTCTAAACCCCTGTCTCAATTAAAGGTGGAACAGAAAACACTGAAAACATTTGCAGTGAGAGAATATACTTTACATCTTCATAAGTACGCTGAATAGAAGATACTCACTGAGTTGATCCAAAGCAGAGGGTGGCATAATTACTGCGAAGAAAGGAAATTAACAGTAAGATTAGGTATGGCATGGCAATGGAAAACAAGCACAGGAAAATCAAGGCGTGTACTTTAATACGAGAATATATTCCTCCGTTGAATTCCCACCTGCAGACATTAACACGCAGAGAAGTTTATCCAATGTCCTATGTCATAACATCTATATTTCCTTCTCCTGATTCAGAGTAGGGGGTGTGAAAACCAATAAAGCAAGTATCCTATATACTACAGATTTCAGTGGGGAGGGAGACTCAACACGAGGCTACCACAGGGATGGGGAACCCCAGGCCTGTGGCCCAAATGTGACCCTCTAGGTCAGGTGTGGGAAACCTGTGGCCCTCCAGACGTTGATGAACTAAATCTCCCCTCATCTTTGGTGAGGCTTGCTGGGGTTGTTGGTAATTGCAGTTCATCAACATCTAGAGAGTCACAGGTTCCCCACCTCAGCGCTAGGCCTCTCAACCTGGCTCTTAGGAACTCTCCCCAGGCTACTGGATGGAATGGTTCCTCGACCACAGAAAATACCTCTGGCTTGTCTGGAAGGATGACAGAGAGGGTCATCATGTGTGTAGAAACTATCCTACCGTACAAAGGCAAAATGTTACATTCATTGTTCCATCCACTTGTGCCTCTGGCCTCACCCAGAACTGGCATGCGAGCCCTGGAAGGTGGTCCAGAAGGAAATGTGGCCCTTAAAGGTAAAGGGACCCCTGACCATTAGGTCCAGTCGCGGACAACTCTAGGGTTGCGGCGCTCATCTCGCTTTATTGGCCGAGGGAGCCGGCGTACAGCTTCCGGGTCATGTGGCCAGCATGACTAAGCCGCTTCTGGCGAACCAGAGCAGCGCACGGAAACGCCGTTTACCTTCCCGCCGGAGTGGTACCTATTTATCTACTTGCACTTTGATGTGCTTTCGAACTGCTAGGTTGGCAGGAGCAGGGACCGAGCAATGGGAGCTCACCCCGTCGCGGGGATTCAAACCGCCGACTTTCTGATCGGCAAGCCCTAGGCTCTGTGGTTTAGACCACAGCGCCACCCGCGTCCCTAATGTGGCCCTTAGACTTCAATAATCCAGATAATGCTCCTGAATCCCATTTGCTGGAAACCACAGGAGGGGAGAATGCTCTTGTGCTTGGGTCCTGCCTGAAGGCTTCCCACAGGCGTGTGGTTGGTCACTATGACAACAGGATGCTGGACTAGATGGGCCATTGGCCTGATCCAGTAGGCTCCTCTTATGCTCCATTTGGGAGAGCTTAGCCAGCACGTGTTGCTTAATGCTCTTTCAAGTACCACCCCCTGCAAAACACAAAACCATCTAGCCCTCAAGAGAATATTCAAAAAGAAAAATGTGCACATACTCTTCCCGCCTTTCTCCACATCTGACCTGTCATTAGGTCCAGCAAGCATGGACACCGAGAAACAGCGGTACTGAGTCGAGAAGCGATTCTGGAACACTCTGGGGATTGGGTGATCAAACATATTGAAGGAAAACTGGGGAGGAAAAACAAGAGAATGAATTAGAAGAGGCAAGTTATATACAGCCATACCTCAGGTTACAGATGCTTCAGGTTGTGTTTTTTCAGGTTACGGACCCGCCGAAACCCGGAAGTACCAGAACGGGTTACTTCCGGGTTTTGGGGTTCTTGCATGCGCAGAAGTGCTAAATCGTGCTTTGCGCATGCACAGAAGCGCCGAATCACAATCCGCGTGTGCACAGACACGCCGCTGCGGGTTGCGAACGTGCATCCCACACGGATCACGTTCGCAACCCAAGCATCCACTGTATAATATGCTGCCATACTGAATCAGACAATTCGTCTATCTAGCTTAGTACTGTCAACTTCTGTGTTCTTCAACCTTGGGTCTCCTGGTGTTCTTGGACTACAACATCCATCATCACTGGCAGTCCCACATAGAGCAGATGACAATGATCCAGTCTAGAAGTTTCCAGAGCATGGAGCACATACTCACTGATGAGACAAGTAGGCCTCAAAGCAATATGCCCAGTCCTGGGGCCTCAAGTTGTTCCAACCTTTTGTACACGAGAACCAAGACCTTGAATTGAGCTCTGTTGCTCACGCGGAGCCAGTGCAGTGCTTTAAGGCTCAACCACATACAATTCTATCTCGCTGTCCCACTTGACAGCAGTGTCCTGTACCAGTGGCAGCCTCCAGACCATCTTCAAGGGCAGCCCCACACAGAACGCATTGCAGTAGTCTCCAACAGTGAGGTTCTTAAAGCATGGCTGACTGAATCTGGGCTTTCCCAGGCCAAGAATGGTACACTGTGCTTTAAAGTTGTTGTCTTTATTATTTCACTTCGCAGAATTTCTGATAGGCGGCAGCTGTATAAATGTAAATAAATACATAAACAACGGCCCACAAAAGCTGCTCTCGTGGTAAGACTGCAATCTGCATATAATTTACCCTGAACCCAGGAAGCCAGTCTGGCGACTGACTGGTTAAGATTCCTACTTGACCTGGGGGCAATTTTTAGTCAAAACTCTCTTTTGCCATTTAGTTTTTAATGGGGTTTTTGTTTTTCCCAGCCTTCTCTGGATCTTGCCTGCTTGAATCTACTGTCAGTCGTGCAAACTGCTGTTATGGTGCTGTATACACACAAAAGTAAAATGGGGACTGTGCTGCCGCAAATCTAAACCTTTAAGTGGGTTGGGCATGACTTGTTCCATTTAAACATACTGCCAAGGTGTGCGCTTCAGCTTTCACTCGTTGTGGTTTTCACCCATGTTGTCGCTTTACTTTTACTTTGCAAGGCATAAGTGCATAGAAACCCTATTTACATTCGCCACTGGCCGTAGCAATAAAATAAAATACAATATATTGAGGACAGAGCGAAATGCTTATCTATACCAAATACGTTCTAGAGGCTCACGTGGATGCAAATGACAGAACTTGACACATCATCCTTCGTCCGCAGATAAGACGGGGGAACCAATAGGCTTCCTTTTGATTTTTGTTTTAATCATAAACAAACAACAACAACTGAGCAATGTCAGAAAGTCAATCAAACAACAGATCTTATTCTTAGTGCCCCTGCTAAAAGATTTGCAAGGTTTTTTGGGCTGTATTTTATTACCTGAGTGGAAAAATGCGAGTCGTCATCGCCTCCCCCCATCCTAAAAACTTTTCTTCGAGGAACCACGGAACTACAATGGGGTGTGTGCACGCGCACGCGTGAGGGCTCAGTTTCGTTTTGATTTTGTTTAAATTGCTGTTATTTTTTACCTATGTCACTTTAAAGTGTGATATGAATGCCGTATACTTAGCTTTAGATTTTGATTCATGTGGAAATTGTTTCCCATTTCGTTGTGTACTTTTTGATGTGGTTTATTTATTGTTTATGACTTTTGTAATGATGTAAATCTTGTTATGCTGTAAGCTGCCTTGAGTATTGTTTTTTAACTGTGTAAAGGCGGCATACAAATAATAAATGATGATGATGATGATGTGTGTGTGTGTGTACTTTTGCAATTCCTTACAGCCAGGATGACTCCGCATTTCCCACCACCAACATCCAATATCAGTCCCCCCCAATCTAAAGAAAGACCCCCCCAAAGGCCTCCTACCATGATGGTGGCGTCTTCTCCTCCTCCTCGTCCCCTTCGCTACTGACAGGCCTCCCGCCGAGGCCTCCTCAGGTGCCGGGGCGCTCCAGCCAACTTGCCTCTCTCGAGGCCGACAGGAAGCCTCGTTAGGCGCCGAGGGAAACGGAGCGAAAGGCGGGGGGGGGGCGGGATCCCTTGGCTAAGGGGGAAGCGGGTGGGGACTTCTTTCCCAGGGGCTGGAAATCAGCGACCTTTACAAAAAAGCCGTCTTTGCACTGGACGCCCGATAAGCCGGCATCTCCGTGTGTTGAAAACCTCAAATGGATCGGGCCCCTCACGTTCGTTCGGGCTTTAACAACAACCGCAACAAAAACCACATTTCCCAGAATGCCATTCGAAGGCTCGGTCCGCCCAAGGTTTTGTTCCGGGTGAAGTTCAAATGAAGGGGGGGCGGGGAAGGCTCTCGTGTTTCTCCTTTTTAACGTCTCATTTTTAATTTCAACTCTTTCTTAAAATCACAGCGTTGTGCATGGGTTTGGGGTTTGTGTGGCGCTTTTTTGGTGTATTTATCAGCCCACAGTTGTAGGAGGACATTAAAGGGAAAGGCAGTGCCCGAATCAAACATGGCGACTACGGCGTTGCTTGGCCCTACAATGGGAAACTCCGGCTCCCTCCTTCGGGGTTTTTTCCCCTCCCCTTCTAAAACGAACAAAATGGTGGATGGGCACGCCCTCTCCTGTGACCAAAGAGTAGTTAGGGTCGACACGGAAGTGTTCTTCACAATCCTCTCTTCCGGTTCTGATTAGACCTCTTGCGGGGCAAGGTTGGCAGAAAGCGGCTATGCCTCCCTTTTTGAGCTTTAAGCAGCAGCCTGGGAAAAAGCCATGTTGTCGGTATCAACTTATATTTTATACATAGCAATCAACGTAAACATGTAAATAAGATTAGCAGGGTTCACCCCGCAAGCGCAGCCCCAGAGAATAGTGATAACCTTGACCCAACCTTTTTTTAAAATACAGGAATGATTATTTCAAGCCCTGGTAGGAAAGGGAGCCTCTAAACCACGCCTATGCAATTTTACATCCATTCCCTGCAATATTTCCGCCACTCTTTCTCGCAAATGGAGGCTGCCACTACCAACATGCAACCGGGAACCGGACGTCGCGTCCTACTGAACAAGACTGCACCTCCTTTCCCCCTGCCCGCCCAATTTTACTGTACGGAAAGGCCTCTGCCTGTCCGCCTCAGATCTGCCCGTTTGGGGTGATGGGCGGAGGAGGGCGGAGCACGCGTCCAATCAAAGCGCCAGAGAGGCCGCACGGTGGGCGGGTCGGGGAGCCTATTGGGCGAGATTCGGAGCGCGGCGACCAATGGGCGAAGCCGAAGAGGTTTGGCGCCTTCCTTTGAGCGGAGCCCAAATCGCCGCCGCAGTTCGCCTTCGCCGCCGTTGCCGCCGCCGGGTTCCTCTCAGGGGGTTGAAAGCCCGGCCTTCCCGGCCATGTTCCTGACGGACTTTCGCAGAGATTTCTATGAGGTGGTCGTGAACCAGGTGAGCGGGGCTCCTCCTGTGTGTGTGTTAGCAGGTCCCGGCGGACCCTGCGAGAGCCCCGACGGAGAAGGCCTTGCTCAGCCCCGAAGCCCGTTGGGTGGCCTCGGTCGATGTTGTTGTTATTATTACAGTGGTACCTCGGGTTAAGAACTTAATTCGTTCCGGAGGTCCGTTCTTAACCTGAAACTGTTCTTAACCTGAGGTACCACTTTAGTTAATGGGGCCTCCAGCTGCCGCCACACGATTTCTGTTCTCATCCTGAGGTACTGTTCTTAGCCCAAGGTACTGTTTCTGGGTTAGCAGAGTCTGTAACCTGAAGCATTTGTAACCCTGTATTTCGTATCTGTGCTGCTGAAGCGAGCACGTTCTTGTTCTTTTGACCATGTTGTTGTTGTTTAGTCGTTTAGTCGTATCTGACTCTTCGTGACTCCATGGACCAGAGCACGCCAGGCACTCCTGTCTTCAGCAGATCCCCCCCGCCACCCGCAGGCATTCGCTCCATAACATGCACAGACATTTCCCCTTACTTTCTAGGAGGAAAAAAGTGAGTGTTATGGTGCAAAAAATACGGTATATTACAGGGAGTGTTCCTAAATTTGCATTTGGAGATATAAGTTAGCATATTGCAAATTGTATGCAAATCAGTGTCCTCTTTGTGATGCAGAGGTGCACAAGTGGCCATTGTTGTAAACCTGGGATGGGGAACCAATGGCCATTCAGACATTGTTGGACAACACTTCCCATCAACCCTATCAAGCTGCCAGAATCTCCATTGCCCCAAAATGGAAAACCTTACAGAACTTGTGGCTCTCAGTTTGGTACAAAAGATGTGGTGTTTAGCATTAGTTTAAAAAATAAATCAAAAATTGTTGTTGTTGTTAATCGTTTAGTCGTGTCCGACTCTTCGTGACCCCATGGACCAGAGCACGCCAGGCACTCCTGTCTTCCACTGCCTCCCGGAGTTTAGTCAAACTCATGCTGGTAGCTTCAAGAACACTGTCCAACCATCTCGTCCTCTGTCGTCCCCTTCTCCTTGTGCCCTCCATCTTTCCCAACATCAGGGTCTTTTCCAGGGAGTCTTCTCGTCTCATGAGGTGGCCAAAAGTATTGGAGCCTCAGCTTCAGGATCTGTCCTTCCAGTGAGCACTCAGGGCTGATTTCCTTCAGAATGGATAGGTTTGATCTTCTTGCAGTCCATGGGACTCTCAAGAGTCTCCTCCAGCACCATAATTCAAAAGCATCAATTCTTTGGCGATCAGCCTTCTTTATGGTCCAGCTCTCACTTCCATGCATCACTGCTGGGAAAACTATAGCTTTAACTATACGGACCTTTGTATAATTATAACATTTTGTTATTGTTGTTACCCCACACATCTTCCTGGGTTGCCCCAGCCACTCTGGGCAGCTTCCAACATATAGAAAAACATAATAAAACCATTAAACGTTTTTTAAAAACCTTCCCTATACAGGGATGCCTGCAGATGTCTTCTAAAGGTTGTGTAGTTACTTATCACCTTGGTGCAGGGGTTGCATAACTGCATACCCTCCAACATTTCTCCACTGAAAATAGGGATGTCCTAAGGAACAACAGGACATTCCAGGATCTAATCAGAAACTGGAACGGCTTTTGTAAATCTGGACTGTACCTGAAAAATAGGGACTGTATTACTAATTGCATATTTAGGTCACCTTTCCGCCCAGGGAGCTCAAGGTGGCCCACATGGTTCCTGCCACACTCCCCATTTCAACCTGACAACAACCCTCTGAGGTGGGTTAGACCCAGTGAGCTTTGTGGCTAAGCTGGGGATTTGAACTCTGGCCTCTCCCCAGTCCTGGCCTAGCACTGCGCTGAGGTGGTGCTTGTTTTTCGGGCTGGCTGACCGGGTAGGGGTTATTTATTTGTTCAGAGCTAATCCCTCAGTAAACCGGCCCTGCCATGAGGCAGAGTGAGGCTACTGCCTCAAGCAGTGAATTCCGAGGGGTAGAAAGTGGGTAGAAAGGTGTGCTATGTGGTCTGCCTTGCAGCCCCTGAGCTAACTTACTGCCCTAGCATGGCCAGCAGTGTTAGAAATCAGTTATATAATCTAATCATCAAATGGCACTTTAAAGTTAGGTTATGGTTGCCACAATGGAATGTCTAGGTGCCGGGGTTTTTTTGTTTTTATCTTGCTTTTTTGCAATTGAACTTACTATTATTAATTTAATTTCTATGCCATTTGTATGTTAAAGAACCTATCTCAAAGCCGTTTACAACACACTAAAACATCAAATTAAATGATCCAGAATAAATCAAATTCAAGCTTGAAGGAAAATATTTCAGATCTTTCTCTAAGTAACATTTTGCTTACCCTAGTTGCCAACCGGGCATCCAGAGATCTCCACATGGTTGCAGCTGGAGTCACAAAATGCACATGGCTATTTTCGAACACTGGCTGGCAGACCATTAAGGCTACCCGCCTCGGGCGGCATGCTCCTTACACCCCACCAGGGCATCGACCTGGATCTTGCCTTGTGCCAAAAGGTTTTGTACCAGCCCTGCCAGTAGGTTCAGTGGAGCTTTCCTCCAGTTAGGCATGTATGCTAACTGTGGTAACCTGCACATTGTCTACTACTTCAGAGGTTCACTGAGCTCAACTGGGCTTAGTCCATCCTCAGTAGCTGTTCAAATGGGATGGCTTTCTAAATCTGCTTGGCTTTTAGATGCCCAAAGTCTCCGCCTTGTTTCTGCTACAGCAGGCTAATACAGCTGCTCCTCTGTTACCAAACGTGAATGAAAACATAACACAATAAAATAAAAGGACAAGCAACCGCATTCCCAAAAGGAAAGCCCAATTCATGCTCCAGGTTGGTGTTTTAATTTCAGTACTGCAGTGTGGAAAAGCAACATTTACCAAGCAATATACAGTGGTGCCTCGCAAGACGAAATTAATTCGTTCCGCGAGTTTTGTCATCTTGCAATTTTTTTCGTCTTGCAAAGCACGGTGTTGGGAAAGTTTTGGAAAAGCTTCAAAAATCACCAAAGTCTTTAAAAACCTCAAAAAAGGCTACCACACCGCGTTCTATGAGTTGCTCCTCGAAGTCAAGTCGCAACTGTATTAACGGTGTTAAGAAAAGGAAACAAACTTGCAAGACGTTTCTGTCTTGCGAAGCAAGCCCATAGGGAAAATCGTCTTGCGAAGCAGCTCAAAAAACGAAAAACCCTTTCGTCTAGCGAGTTTTTCGTCTTGCGAGGCATTCGTCTTGCGGGGCACCACTGTAGCATGCTGGAGAGGCAGCTAGACTGAGTCCTTTCTCATATACGTACTAGGATACTTTTTATACACCTTCAAATGAAGTTTCTTTCAAGTTCTTTCTGTATCCAGAATTGTGATGAATGAAGTGGTTACAGATTGTTATTCCGTAGTGTGCTATTGTCATAGACACTAATGAAAATGTTCTCTCTCTTTTCTTTTTTGGTAGCGGGTGCTACTTCTTGTTGCTTCAGATGTAGATGCGTTATGTGCTTGTAAAATACTCCAAGTAAGTCTCCTTTTTATGTCCTGTTAATGTGCAAAAGTCAAAATGGGTGTAAACTGACCTGTGTGCAAAGATGAGGGGAGTCTAGTTTTCTAATATTGTATCCAGCTAAGCTCTACTGGGAGTAGACACAGTGAAATTAATGGGTCCAACTTCGTCGTTTCCATTAATTTCAATGGATCTACTCCATTGGATGTAACCCAGCATGAAAGTTTTTGTTGGTTGATGGAGAGATGGGAATTTGCAGCCTTTGTTTGTGCAGTTAAAATACTGTCACCTGATAAGCAAAACTATATCTAAATTAAGCAGTGTTTTATCTTTAAACTGCCTTGAGTTCCTGTCAAGGAAAAAGATGGAGTATATATAAGTAGATTTACTATTATTATTATTATTGTTATTATTATTATTATTATTATTATTATTATTATTATTAAATTTCTGTACTGCCCTTCCTCTGAGAATCACAGGCTTCACAATATAAAAAAACAAAAATACACGCCATAGTAACAAACAAAAACAATCACACACACACCAGTTTAAAAGGCCATAGATTGTTTAATTAGCCAAAGGCTAATAAGCAGTGAAATCCTTTTCACACTTATATTATTTGGGACACTTTACCATATTTAGAGTGCAAAACAGGCACTAAAAATTGATGATTAAACAATGTTTTATTTACAGAACTCTGTGAATTTTTGATTGCTTGGATTCTTGTACTTGTCTTCAAGTAAATCTTATTTATTTTTATATGACAATGTGATACATGTTTGGCCTTGCTCAAACTGCTGCTGAGCAAAAGCCATAAACTTCATTATTAAACTAATGGTGATGGCTTGCCTACCTCTTCCTCTAAAATGTCACTTTCATTTCTTTTGAGGCTTTATTCCAGTGTGATCATGTGCAGTATACTTTAGTCCCAGTATCTGGATGGCAAGAACTTGAAACTGCATTTCTTGAACATAAAGATCAGGTAAAAACATAATTAGGATTTTAAAAAAATCAATTTCCTTTCTAGTATCTCGGGTTATAGCGCAATGTGTATTTGATAAGAAGAAATCCTATTAATTCCATTGGTGCTTCCTCCCAAATAATTCTACATCTTATTACAGTAGTCCAGCCCACTCTTATGGAGAGTTAGCATATGAAGCTAAGCCAGATCATTGATCCACATAATGTAATATTCAATGGCTCTCCAGAATTTCCTTTGCTAGCCCTACTTGGAGATGCTAAGGAATGAACCTGAGGGCTTTTGTATGCAACATAGATGCAGTATCACTGAGTTATATCCCGTCTCCACATGTGACTGATTCTGCACAGGAGTTACCGTATTTTTCGCTCTATAACACGCACCCGACCATAACACGCACATAGTTTTTAGAGGAGGAAAATCCGTAGGCATGCCACCCGTAGGCATTTCCTCCATAACACGCACAGACATTTCCCCTTACTTTCTAGGAGGAAAAAAGTGAGTGTTATGGTGCAAAAAATACGGTAATTACTTTTTATTGCTGTGGGTGGCCTGAGTTCTCAGATTAAACAGTGTCATGTTAGATTCTGTTGTGGACAACTTAGAGGAAGACTAATTGCTTTCTGTAGTCCCAGGGAATTAGCTATATTTTCTCTCAGGAAATGTAAAGAGCTAATATTTCATAATAGCCCTGAGGATATGAGACTAAAGGAAGCATTAATCTTTTGGATATGGGCCAGCATTTCATAAACAACAACAGTCTTGCTTGCATATTAATATGACTTCCTTATTTGCAGTTCCAGTATTTTGTTCTCATAAATTGTGGTGCCAATGTTGATCTGCTTGATGTACTTCAACCTGAAGAAGACTGTGTTTTCTTTGTCTGTGACACACACAGGCCTATCAATATAGTGAATGTTTACAACGAGTCACAGGTAAATTCTGCTTCTTGAGAAAATGGTTGACCGGAATCCATTCACATTGTGATAGATAGGAATTTATAGGTGGATCCTTTGCTTCTAGGACATACTCTGGCTCCTTAAACTGGCATGGGTGAAATTCCAATAGATTGTCTTGTTTTATAGATCATAAATTCCATATTGATTTGTTCACCATATAAGATGACTTTTGCTGTAGTTGTGATGCTTAGTTTAGTTAATTTTTTTATTGCTGTTTACCTAATAGTGTTTTATAGATTGTAATTGTTTTATTGACTTGTTAATGATTGTTAATTATCTTTCACTTGAATCGTTATTTCATTAAAATGTTTCATTTAATTAAGCATTTTCTTTTACTAGATCAAACTATTGGTAAAGCAAGACGATGACCTTGAAATTCCTGCCTATGATGATATCTTTAGGGACGATGAGGAGGAGGAAGATTCTGGTAATGAAAGTGATGGTTCAGAGCCTTCAGGAAAGCGGAGGCGATTTGAAGAGGTTAGTTCCTTAAATCATGGAAGCTTAAATAAAATATACCCATGTATTAAAGGGAAATAATTGTTTCTATCACAGGGCAAAGTTTATAAATAGGCATTCATAATTTACTAGCCGCTTTGCTATGAGGAAGTGAGGGAAGATGCACTAAGCAAGCAAATGGGTTATTGTTTTTTTTCTGAGAACTTCATTCTATATAAACATAAAAACTACAAGTTCAGGGAGTTAGAATTCAGTAGGCAACTGTTCTTTCAGGCACTACTTGCGGGATTACTTTATAATCAGTTGTGACAAGGACACAGAGAAGGGAAATGTAATTTGCTATTCTAATCTCTGCAGGAAATAGTGGAAAGAACAATGAAAAGACGGCAAAGAAGAGAGTGGGAGGCACGCAGGTATGTCTTCAGATTATACACATTATACTTCTGTTGTTCTGTCTAATGGTAAAATTGAGATTGCAAGCTCTGAAATATTGACGTGGTTAGTGCATCATAGAAGGTGAATCTAGATTCTGTTTTTTAAAAAATTGCTTAGCTTATATATCTTGAAGACAAAGATCTGTGCTCAGCAGTTGTGTTTTAAAATATGTTATAGGTTCAAATATAGCTCTCAGGCAATCACATTGTAAGCAGAGGTTGGTCGGCCATCAGTCATGGGTGCTTTGGTGAGATTCCTGTATTGCAGGGGGTTGAACTAGATGACCCTTTGGGGTTCCTCCCAAGCCTATGATTCTATGATGTGGCATTAATTGGATGAAAGGATATTATCAAGGATAGAAATTGGTCACCTTTAGTAGGAAAGGCTTTGTTGATTACCTCTTGGACTGTGTTTCCTCCCCAAATCCAAATACAGTGGAACCTCGGTTTTCGAACGTAATCTGTTCCAGAAGACCCTTCAACTTCCGAAATGTTTGAAAACTGAAAGTGGAAGCCTCAATACAATAGGGAAACTCAAAAGGGAAGCCACCGTGGCATGTTTGGCTTCTGAAAAACATTAAAAAACCAAAGCAGTTACTTCCGGGTTTTCGGCATTTCAAAGCCGAAACATTTGACTTCCAAGACCCTCGAAAACTGAGGTTCCACTGTATTTCTTGTGGGTACAGGATCTCTCCTGCGCACAGTTTTTTTTGGCCTGTAAAGACTCCCCAGTTGCTTCAGTGGAGGCAGCAGTTATAATATATAGCTAGATCTAGTGTTTCCTTGCATGAAAATAAACAGGGCAACCTTTGCATGTAAGAGCTCTGCATACACAATGGGGTGCTTTTGATTGGGTTGGCTCTCTTTTTCCACATTACATAGTGGAAATATTTTTTTACAAGTTTAACCTTTTGTACATAACAGTTGTTAGAGTACAGCATTCTTTGTCCACTAGTGGAAGAGCCCTTGTGCTAGTGGAGGGCATCGTTTAAAAGCTGCGGAGCAAAAGAACCCAAAGCAACAATTACACTAGCAGAAGCTTGTTTTTCAACAGATGATTCTTGTTGTGCAGTTTTTTCTAGTCAAGCGCTGTATAAATTTTATGAAATAAATAAATCTTCAGTTATGTACTTGTGTTTTCCTTTGCACAACGACAGTCCTTCAGCACAACTCTATTGCTAGGTGCCTTTAACTTAGTGCTGCATTGAATAAACCCCATGACTTCTTTCTGTTCTTCAGGCAAGAAATTCTGTTTGACTATGAGCAGTATGAATATCACGGTACTTCAGTGAGTATCAAATATCAGTGTCAGTAGACCTTGAAGGAGAACCATTTTTTCAAGAGAAGATGTTATTACTTTGAAACATTAATAGCAGTTAGTTCAGGATGCCTTACTTTGTGGAAAGGAAGCTCAGCTAGTATCGCCATAGTATATTCTTTATAAATTAATTCTGTTTTTCTGGCTCTTTTGTCATGCCACATCTTTAGAAAGGCCCCTGACCCTCTTCTTGGGTATACATTTTTGCAGTAGCTTTTAACCTTTCTATGAAAATGGGGAAACGTTTGAACCATGCTGCTTTTCAGGGATAAATAAATTTAGCAATTAGTGTTACTTATACACAAACGATAAGAGAGTGATTTCTAATGGGAGTGCAACTTCACTTCAGGGAAATACTATTTTGGGAACACACACACAAATTCCTGAATGCCAAGATCCAATTTGGGGCAAGTACTATTTGGTGAGAGAACCCCAGCAGATATTTAAAATCACAAAATATGCAGCAAAGTAAAGCGTGGAAATACAGGCTGCTAGACCTTTAAAACATGCCCTTGTGAAGTCCAAAACTTCCCTCTTCCACCATTATAGGAAAAAACCACACATTTGGGAGGTTAAAAATTGGTTTACTTACAAACCTTTCAAAGGACCGTTTACTGTACTTCAGAAAATTGCACAGGCGGTAAAACTTGGGTTAGTTACAAAGTGGTGAAAGTTCCTAAATATTGGTATAGGAACTCAAGGTTGGCTTGTGAGAGGCATGCAGTCTGAGTTGCAGCAACCAGCTCAGACCTCCTCACATGTTGAGCTTCATAGGCGGACTTGGGGGTAAATAGAGGCATGATTACCTAGTTCCTCCCAAGGTGAGAGGAAGCTAACATAGCAGGACAGCTTACTCTATGATATTAACCCCTTCATGTGTTAATTACACATAAGCATGTTGGTGGTCTTGTTATCCCCCAAACCTTGGTGATGATATGAGTTACATATTCAGCTGCCCCCAATAGACTTCTGAGTGGTGGTGCTGTATTCTGAATGTGCAGGTGTGGGGAGGGAGCAGAAAGCTCAGGTCACTCCTGTACAGTTTGAGGCTGAGCTCTTGTCTGCTGCTGCTTTCAGAAAAGAGCAACAACAGTTAACAGATGTTGTAATTAGTTCAGTTTCTGAAGAGACTGTAACAAGCCATGGCTGCACCTTACTTTTGTGAGAGTAGTAACACTGGCCCTGCTAGATGCTGAAAACATTTGCTTGTGTGGAAAAATCTGTCCTTCCCCAATCACACTCAGCTATTAATTGTTGTTTTTTCCCTCTTGTAGTCTGCCATGATGATGTTTGACTTGGCATGGATAATGTCTAAAGACTTAAATGATATGTTGTGGTACGTAATTTAGTTTGTGATAGTAGTATTGCTGACTTGCTTCCAGATGTGTCCCAACCTGTATAGAAATGCCCCTGCCAATTGCTCTACCAAAGAGGAAAATCCCTTGAAAGCATTTCTCATTATGCTCTTACGGATGTCATATAAACTACTATTTCAAGTTTTTTGGGGTGAGATCATAATCCCTGATGCTTTACTAAACATGTTTTTTAATGGTGGAATTCTACAAATGAGGCCCTCCATTTGATGCAGCGTTTGAAATTCGCCAGGCACATTTTGCACCTGACTATCGTGGGTGGCGCTGTGGGTTAAACCACAGAGCCTAGGACTTGCCAATCAGAAGGTCGGTGGTTCGAATCCCTGTGATGGGGTGAGCTCCCGTTGCTCGGTCCCTGCTCCTGCCAACCTAGCAGTTCGAAAGCACGTCAAAGTGCAAGTAGATAAATAGGTACCACTCCGGCAGGAAGGTAAACGGCGTTTCCATGCGCTGCTCTGGTTCGCCAGAAGCGGCTTAGTCATGCTTGCTGCATAACCCGGAAGCTGTACGCCAGCTCCCTTGGCCAATAAAGCGAGATGAGCGCCGCAACCCCAGAGTCATCCGCAACTGGACCTAATGGTCAGGGGTCCCTTTACCTTTATCGGCCACTTGCGACCAAGTGAAGATGCCCGGGCGCCAGGATGGCCCCTGTCGTCTCCACCACCTGGAGGTGCATGCCTGGGCTGTCCTTGCATCTCAACTGTTTTCACACACTAGCAACACATCCTGTAGAATTCTGTCTGTGATATTTTATCTGCACAATCAGAATGAATTTCAGGAACCAGAAAGTCATATTGGAAAATACAACTTTTGAGCTGTCTGGCCCCCAAATGGCAATTAGCCATTCTGTTTTGGTGACTGTAACCCTGGTTTAAGGAGCAATTTGGCGCCTAGCTTATATATCTGAGTTTCTAACACTGGCTGTATGCTATTAATAAGGCAGATATAAAAGGAAACGTCCTTGAGGCACAGGCATTAAATGTCATTCACAGCTATACATATTTTCATTCATTCTATTATTTATTTCCATTCAATAATTGCTTCCTTTAAAACAAGATTATTTAACAATAAAAAATTTCATACATCAAAACAATTTCAAATCCAGTAGAAATATATCCAGAATCATCCATGCTCAGTTCCTGATATTTGCAGTTAAAAGGAATCCAGGGAGCAGAATTGGAAAAGGTCTGGGAAGGCTTCTGCCAATTGAAGTAGGCAGAACTGGGTAGTTATACCAGTAGTCTGAGTTGGTGTGAAGCAGCTTCAAATGTTCCATTGGGGAAATATTGTGGGGAAATATTTTATACTTGCTATTTAGGCATACCTGTGAGTACCTGAAAGCTTATCTGAAATATTTAAAGTGAAGTCCTAGACATGTCTACTCTGAAATATATATATATAAAATCTTTATTGTGGTCCAAAGACCCATAGAACAATTTCAGAACAAAATACAGTTAAGTTCAATGGTACTTACTCCCAGGTAAGTATGTATAGCAGCTTTCTATCCTGCTGCCCTCCAGATGTTTTGAAATATAAATCCCATCTCTGATTATTGGCCATGTTTACTGGACTGATGGGAGTTGTACGATGGAGGTAGGCTAAGGTATAGAATAGCACCTTAAAGTCTTCGGGGAACCTTTTAAATATTTGTTCACTATTCAGTCTCAGCAGGGACAGACAGAGAATATCTACAAATTCTTGATTCAGTTGTTTTGATTTGCTTTTTAGGTGGGCTATTGTTGGACTAACAGACCAGTGGATTCAAGACAAAATCACTCAGTAAGTGAGCAGTAAATATTCTACTCAAATAGGTATTTTTAAATTGTTAGCTGCTTTGGGTGTCCTTGTGACTGGACAGAAAGAGGGAATTAAATAATTTTATAACAAATTGAATCCTTTAATGTATACAATTATGGTAGGACAGAAATTACTTTTTAAAGCGGCATGCCCGTTTCATGTGTTAGGGGCGATCCCCAAATCTGCAAAGAACTGGGAAACTTGTTTTTTCTGAGAAGCACGGTATTTATAGCGTTTGCTAAGGCTGCATTGTATTTGAGAGACAATAGACTTCATTCCTTTATAATGTCAAAGGAATTTTACAGCATGCATTTTACTGGCAAGCTGTTTCTAATAAATTGACTTCTTTCCACATTGAATGTCCTGAAAGCAGGAATGGTGAAACTTTATCTCCTTTTCTATAGAACCCTGCACTCCACCAATCAGAGCTAGTTGCAAAACAGTGGGTGAGGGTGGCAGACATATACTTTCATACCGTTAAGGAGCAGGGCATCTACAAAGCACATGCTGAGCTCAGTAATTTGTGTTTAGTACCAGAACTAATCTTGCAGCCCTTCCTAAATTCCACTTCTGGCTTCTCCCATATTTTTCTTAATTTCACCAACCTAACATAGAAAACGCCTTCACTGTTGTCAAACATAAACCCTTGCAAATCTGCTCATCTAGAGATCTACTGGTAGATATCAGTATATATTTTTTGCTCATCCTTTCTCCAAAAGACATTTAATATTTAAAAGGCAGATAATAGAACTGTCGGGGAAAAAGATTGAACTAACTATTTTGTATCTGTTTTCTTTTGTAAAAAGAATGAAATACGTAACAGATATTGGGTCTCTACAGCGGCATGTATCTCGGCATAACCATCGCAACGGGGATGAAGAAAATTCTCTTTCTATTGACTGCATGAGAATAGCATTTGAATATGAGTATCCTTCTAAATTACTTTGCGGAAATATTTCTAAGACTTGGGTGAAGTGGTTTGTAGTACCAGTTGTTGAATTGCCTATGCCAGTGGTGGCGAACCTATGGCACGCATGCCAGAGTGGGCACACAGAGCCCTCACTGCTGGCACATGCGCCATCCACACTGTTGTTTTGTTGTTTTTTCCATTTGTGCTCCCGCTCCTCCCCACACTACTGCGTGTGTCCGCTGCTTAAACCCAGAACCTTTTCTCCCCCCCCTTTTTTTTTTCCTGGTAGCCGGCAATTGTGTTTGGCAATTGGTCTGTTTTTCAATTGGCTGTGGCAGTGGCTGTTTCTGATTGGGCGCAAAAGCATTCGTTATTTGACCTTCCTTGTGATTTTTTTTTCTGCGCCTTTTTCAGTGCTGCGTGGTAGTTCCCAGCTCCCTACTCCAATCCAGGCCTCGCCCATTCCCTTCCTCTGCCTCCCCCCCAGCTCCAATCCTCTGCAGGCCCCTCGCCTCCCGTGGGCCCGACCTGCCTGGGCTAGGAGGGCACTTGTACCCGCCGCATGCCTGGCCCAACCCAGCCTCATCCCTTTGGCGCGCCGACATTGCTGGAGGGAGGGAGGGAGGAAGATGGGGAAGACCACGCCGGGATGACGGGCGGGGAACAGGCAGGCAGTCACGGCTGTTGGACTGGCTGGCTGGGGTGGAGGCTCTCCCTCTCCTGGCGCCGCTCACCTGGCCTAAGGCCTGCTCTGTCCTCCCCATCGCAGCAGCCTGAGAGCGAGCCAGCCAGCTAGCAGGGTGGGAGGGGGGAAGAGGGAAGGAGATGGCAAGACCCGCGGGGATTTTTCTGTTGTGTGTCCCCCCAAAAAAGCTCAGCAACTTTGGGGAGTCTCCCCAAAAAGCTCAAAAACTTTGGGCACTTTGCAATAAATAAATGGGTTTTGGTTTGCAGTTTGGGCACTCAGTCTGTGAGTGGTTCAGTTCAGACATAATGGCACTATTTCAAAGCAACCTGTTTATTGGAGCACAAGCGAGTGATGAGCTCAAGCGCTCTTGCCTTCCCTTTCCCCTCTGGAAGCTGGTCTCTGAAACCAGGAAAGTCCCTCAACAACCAGACGCAGGAGAGGGAGGACTTGGGGTTGGCATTTGTTCATGCTCCAACAAACTATGGTTTATTGAAGCAGCCCTGTCATATCTGAAGCAGGTCATTGTGATCCAGACAAGTCATTTTGAACTAGAATGCAATAGGATTTTTTGATCCAACCTGCTGTAATTACGTACTTTTCCTAATTCTTATCGATGGTCTTAGCTTGTGCCTTGCGCTCTATCAACATTGGTCTCTGTATGAAAGCCTCTGTAATACCTGCTACACTTCGGCCAGCTTCAAGCTTTGGTCTGTGCAAGGTCAGAAGAGACTTCAGGAATTCCTTGCTGATATGGGGTGAGTTAATAAGGAGATTTTAAATAAATAAAGAGTTTGTATATAATATATAGCAGCATCAATGTGTGTGGCTCTTTTACAAAGTTCAGGAGAATGGGTCCTTGTTCTGAATTGTTTACAATAGAAAGCACAGGGGATACAACATAGAAAGGGGAGCAAAATGGAGAAAAGGATAATGGGTGGATTTGCATTTATTTCAGTTAACAGGCTTATTCACAGTAGGGCATGAGGACTAGGGCAGTGATGGGGAACTCCTATGTCTGACTGATTCCCTGCCCACAACATGGTTTGTAGGCATTCCCAATCTGCTGATTGGCAGTGTCTGCAAAGCCCTCTGCCTTTGCCCTTGCAGTTTGATTTCCAGTTGTGCCGGGAATGAAATACTTCATCTGCTGTCATCGTGATGTTAGGTGATTGACAGGAGTACGCTGTAGATCTTGGAGAGATCAGGATCTGGAGCACTAGCTGGATCCAGTTCACTGGCCCTGGACTAGGGGATTGAGACAAAGGATTTGCAGGAATGGTTTTGAAGGTGGATTTTGAAGGAAGCAAGAGGAGGCATTGCATGGATAATGTTGCATGCAGGCCTTTGCATAAGGGGCAAAAGGAGAATTGGGAGAGTCATTTGTATGGTTGAAGGTAGTGGAGCTTGAGTAAAGGTCATGAGCAAGGCTGCCAAGCCAGGCGAAGTTTGACGTGCTTTCACCTAGACTATTGGGAATGTCTCCAGAAAGTTCCATGTTTAAAATCTAGCATCTCCAGGTACAACTGGTCTGAAATCCTGCCAATCAGTGTAGACAATTACTGAACTATATGGCCTTATGGCTTGATTCAGTTTAAGGCAGTCTTCTATATTCAGTTAGAAAACAGCCATTAACTAACCAGCCCTGGTGGTCATCTAATGTTTATTGGATGGATTTCCCCCCTAAATTGATTTTTGAATTCTGAATTTATTGTTATTCACGTTTTATACTGTATTTTATGCTGTTTTTTTAACATCAGTTAAGTGTTTTAAATTTGTTGTTAGCCGCCCTGAGCCCAGTTTTCTGAACTGGGAAGGGTGGAGTATAAATAAAAATTTATTATTATTATTAATAGTTTTTGAATAATGAACATGAAGAGATTGTGACTTGACAGACTTGCTTCATCACTGAAAATGTGATCTCTTCCCCACCCCCACTCCTCTCCCTCAGCTTACCTTTGAAGCAAGTAAAACAGAAATTCCACTCTATGGACATTTCCTTGAAAGAGAATCTACAGGAGATGATTGAAGAATCTGCAAATAAGTTTGGGTAAAACACTTTTTTACGTATTTGGAAGTCTTAGTATACCTTTTCATCTCTGTGTGATGGCCTAAAAATGTATTGTAGCCTGTCTGGACTGAGCAGAAGCAGAAACCCACCCTTGCCCTTACATTTCTACTAAACTTTCAACCAACTATTGAACAGTTCATCATTTTTTTTTTTTAAATAAACTAAAGCACTGCTAGCAGGTCTGCCCTTGCTGCTTACTATTTCACAAATATTTTTATTTATTACACCTTCCAAGTAGCTCAGGGTCTTAGGGTGGTATATGGAGATTATAACACAAACCTAATTTGCAGGGTTGTTTTAGTGATTTCTAAAGTAACATGAGGGACGCTGGTGGCGTTGTGGGTTAAACCACAGAAGGTTGGCGGTTCGAATCCCCGCAACGGGGTGAGCTCCCATTGCTCCGTCCCTGCTCCTGCCAACCTAGCAGTTCGAAAGCACGTCAAAGTGTAAGTAGATAAATAGGTACCACTCCGGCGAGAAGGTAAACGGCGTTTACGTGTGCTGCTCTGGTTCGCCAGAAGCGGCTTAGTCATGACCCGGAAGCTGTCTGTGGACAAACGCCGGCTCCCTCGGCCTATAGAGCGAGATGAGCATGCAACTCCAGAGTCGGTCACGACTGGACCTAATGGTCAGGGGTCCCTTTACCTTTAAAGTAACATGATTTTTTAAAAACATGATTTTTTGGTGTGTGCCTAGGGGAAAAAGTACTATTTATAAATAGTAATGCTCTAAAAGGAACTGTTTGACTGTTGATTGGACTAGCTGCCCTGATATCACAGAAATGGCAGGGCAGGCAGAGTTCTTCAGCTGCCACCAGCTGAACTGAGTTGATCTAATCCTAGAGAGGGTCAAGGCAAGCAGAAAGTGTTAAGTGTTAGGCCAAGGAAATGAGGATTGGAGCAGGGAAATGCCTAGAAAAATGAGAGGAAGAAGAAAAGAATAAGGAAAACTGAGAGAAAAACAAGCTCCTACATATTGCCATGAGCTACATAGGGAAGGGATTCAGGTGGACAGAGTTTTGTTATTAGGTAGTCTTCCAGAAATGGCCTTTAGAACATTAAATTCATGATTTCTTTAGCTACTTTCATGGTGTGTGTATATAGTATGTTCAGTGCTAAGACAGCAGGGATTTTAAAAAAGCTTTTAACATCTCTCTGTTGGCTTAATTTGGTTTTGCAGAATGAAGAATTTAAGAGTACAAACCTTCAGCATCCAGTTTGGTTTTAAAAATAAGTTTTTAGCAAGTGATGTAGTGTATGCAGCTGCTTCTTTAATGGAGAACATGGAGAAGGATGAAAGTGGAACTGACAATTTCATCAAAGCTTTGGATAGTCTTTCCAGGTAACACACATAGTTTTTCAAGCTCATTCAAATCTGCTTTTTTTAAAAAAATTTGCCCACAGCTGACTGGCAGTAAGGCATTCTAAACTGTTACATCAAAAATTCAAGGTCAATATCCTGTAAGAATGTACCAAGCAAGTGGTTACTGATAATAAATTAAGAAGTCTTCAGTACAGGTTTTTCTCTTCTCTGGTAAAGTAAGCTTCTTTCTGTTTTCCTTTTTTTTTCAGGAGTAACCTGGACAAGTTGCATCAAGGGCTGGAACTAGCCAAAAAGCAACTTCGTGCAATTCAGCAGACCATAGCCAGCTGTATCTGCACCAATCTTGTAATTAATCAGGGACCGTTCCTTTACTGTTATCTCATGGAGGTAAAATTTGCCTGGACTTGTTTCTCAGTTCTGTGCTGTACTTTTAAAACACTTCATTTACGTTAACAAGCTTGAAGTTCTAAACTGAATGGTTTTAGCTTCACACACTTGACACATGCTGTATCTACAGCTTTTCAGAGCCAAATTTAGATTAGATGGTGGAAGTGCTTTTAAAAGAAATGTAAAGAGATCTGATTGCAAATCTGCAATGTTTGGCCCAGCATTATGGAGCCCAGGAGAGTGCAGTGTTTTTTCCTTTAACATCTTAAGATTTCACTCTGCATGAAAACAGGGCTTTGAGTGAAACTTGCAAGGATACCAGTCACTGTACACTTCATTTTAACTGATTTTAGTATTGTATTTTTAAAAATTGTTGCAACCTGCCCCAGGGAGTTTGTGGTGAAGGGCAGGTAAGAAATACTATACAGTGGTGCCCCGCAAGACGAAAAACTCGCTAGACGAAAGGGTTTTGCGTTTTTTGAGTCGTTCCGCAAGACGAATTTCCCTATGGGCTTGCTTCGCAAGACGAAACGTCTTGCGAGTTCTTGCGAGTTTGTTTCCTTTTTCTTAAAGCCGCTAAGCCGTTAATAGCCGCTAATAGCCGCTAAGCCGCTAATAGCCGTGCTTCGCAAGATGAAAAAACCGCAAGACGAAGAGACTTGCGGGACGGATTAATTTCGTCTTGCAAGGCACCACTGTACGTTGATGGTGGTAGATTTGTGATCCAGGAGGTTCAGTAATCACCTTCAGGAAAGCAGCTGCTCAGCTGAACTTTTATTTATCTTAATAATAGCCCTGCATACTGCTTGACAAGAACCTTTTGAATCTCAGCAAGAGAATCTGTTGGGGAGAAAAAAGACCCAGTGGCCTGGTATACATGTAGAAGCTCTGGCACACATCTAAAAGGACCATCTGCCCTATAACCTGTATATGGAAATTACTGCCTTTGGGGGCGGGTTTAGTAATTATATCTCTTTTTTCCTTCCCAGGGCACACCAGATGTGAAATTGTTCTCCAGACCAGTATCGTTATGCTTGCTTAGTAAATACTTACTCAAGTCATTTGTTTGTTCTGTAAGTCATTTTCTTTTTCCCCTTCTGGGTTTGCTTAAGTTACGCTGATGTTCTGCATCTAGCAGCATTGCTCAGACAAGACCTTTTCCCACAGCAGAATGGGGCGGGGGAGCAATTTTCAGAGATCTCCTGCAGTCCCCACACCCACATAATCTGCTCCAGGAGCTCCCTTACACCTCTTGAACACATTTAAAGGAGGGGGGTGTTGAGTGGCCCTGCTGGATACAACTCATCATCTCCGTGATGTTGAACAGCACAATTTTCTTTTAAAATGCACTCTTAAAGAGAGGTGTGCCGAAGTGATACAGAATTGTACTCATAAGGACCAAATTACAAAGGACATGGCTTGAAATGCATACAGTAAGCCTGTATTGTATTTCCTGGTTGTATTTCGGGGATCACACCTAAAGCCAAAACCGTGTACAGTGGTACCTCGGGTTACATACGCTTCAGGTTACAGACTCCGCTAACCCAGAAATAGTACTTCGGGTTAAGAACTTGGCTTCAGGATGAGAACAGAAATCGTGCTCCGGTGGCACGGCAGCAGCAGGAGGCCCCATTAGCTAAAGTGGTGCCTCAGATTAAGAACAGTTTCAGGTTAAGAACGGACCTCCGGAATGAATTAAGTATGTAACCAGAGGTACCACTGTATAGTCAAAAAACATTAGTTGCAATGGTGGGTGGGATTGGCAAAATCATTTTTCCTGGGGGGTCTGCCCCCTTTTTCTTTCCTTTTTAATTTTTTGTTTTTCCAAGAGCATAAAGCTGAATGCACACAAGTTAAATGTGTCCACGTTGTGGGTTTACTGTAGTTGAATTTAATGTGCAGATTAAAAAAAAAAAGCAAATAGCGCCAGTGATGCTACTGGGAAATTTACTCACAGTACAAATGGCACTTTCGGGCGAGCAATTTTTCTTAGGTTAGGGGCAAGGGGCGAAAGGGTTAAATTCTCCCCTCCCCATTTGCTGCAATTTAATATAGCTCCTTACTTTGGCTCTAGAGTTAGATGTGAAGGCCTGAGCGGGGGGAAAGGAACAATGCAGGGAGCCCACATTCCCCCCCCCCCAATTTTTCTGTTTTTCCCCAGGCTTTCTCATGTGTACTCTAAATTAACTCAAGAACTGACTTAAACAAGGTATTGTATTGGAAGAGTAATACTACAGGACAGTTTAATTTCTGAGCATCATGTGTTGGATGATTTTTTTTATTCATTTGGTAAGGCAGAACATTGCAAATCTACAAAAGGACCAGGTTTTCCACAGAAAAGCACATTCAAAAAAGAATTATGCATTTCATCCACCATAGTGCTGTAACAATTTCTGTTTTTACATTTTATTAAATTGCATTTTAAGCAACTTAGCATAGCATTTAAACTATTTTTATTGTAAAGCACACGTGAGTTCCTTTTAAATATGGGTAAGATAAAATCTCATAAACCTAGCAGAGCAGTAAGTATAAATAAACATCTGTGTGTGTGATTGCTGGAAACAACGTCTGTCTGGTTACTGCTGCCTAAGGAACCTCAAAACGTCTAGCAAACGTTTGATCTATAATCCTTTTTAGATAACTTTAACCCTCAAATTAACTCCTCATCAGTACTTTAAAAAGCAGAGCTGAAATTTTCTGATTCTGTCTTTGAAGTTTATGTAATCAATGTGGTTTCTGGTTTCCAGACAAAAAACAAACGCTGTAAGCTGCTGCCAATGGTTATGGCCGCACCAATGGACACTGAACAAGGCACAGTGATCATGGTGGGGATTCCACCTCATCTGGAAAGCTCAGACAAAAAGAAGTAAGAGTTTTATTTGCTGGCCCTTTTAGATAAGATGCTCCATAAACTGAGCTGGCTGTTCCAAGTCTGATCCTTGTTCTGGAGTACGTGTGGGGAGGGAGGAGAAACAACAGATACGCATTTGCAATGAAACAGGCCAACTCTGTATGGTTGTTTGGGTGCATGCTGAGAACTAGCCTGGTGTAGTGGCTTGCATTTTGCACTTGAACCAAGGAGACTCAAGTTCAAAACCTTGCTTAGCCATGAAATCCGCTGGGTGGTCTTGAGCCAGTCACTCTTTCAGTCTATCTTACCTTGTATTGTTGTTGCAAAGATGAAATGAGGTGTTGGTGGGGTCCTAAACTCTTTGGAGGAAAGGAAGTATAGGAATAGTTTGCACAGTTGCCATTTTTGCAGCTTGTTAAATTGAAGCTGTTGTATCAAACGATTTTGCACTTGTATAACGTGGGGCACCTGGATTTTGCCAATCCCCTACAGTGGTGCCTCGCAAGACGAAATTAATCCGTTCCGCGAGAGTCTTCGTCTAGCGGTTTTTTCGTCTTGCGAAGCAACCCTATTAGCGGTTTAACGGATTAGCGCTATTAGCGGTTTAGCGGCTATTAAAGGCTTAAAGGCTTAGGGGATTAGCTGCTAAAAGGCTATTAAAGGCTATTAAAGGCTTAGCAGATTAGATAAAGGGGGGGAAAAGCGAAAAAAAAATCTCTAGACTCGCAAGACATTTTCGTCTTGCGAAGCAAGCCCATAGGGAAATTCGTCCTGCGAAGCAACTCAAAAACGGAAAACCCTTTCGTCTAGCGGGTTTTCCGTCTTGCGAGGCATTCGTCTTGCGGGGCACCACTGTACAGCCTCCCACATTCCCTGAAAAACTGCTCCTGGGGTTTGGAGGACTTTCTAGAGCAGTATAGGGGGCTGTAACCGGGGGAAGATCAGCGCTTTACTCTAGGACCAAATACCAGGCATAGGCAAACTCTGGCCCTCCAGATGGTTGGGACTACAATTCCCATCATCCCTAGCTAACAGCGCCAGTGGTCAGGAATGATGGGAAGTGTAGTCCCAAACATCTGGAGGGCCGGAGTTTGCCTATGCCTGCCTTAGATGGTTGTATTTTTGGTGTGTGTGCTTATTTAATGGATGCTTGGGGTACTTTTTAGAGAAAGGCTAAATGCTTGTTGACTTTTCCTTTCTGGGGAAATGCAAAATGCTTGTTTTTCTCTCCCTCTCTAGCTTTTTTGGAAGAGCATTTGAAAAAGCTGCAGAAAACACCAGTTCTCGGACTTTACACAACCATTTTGACATGTCTAGTAAGTAAATGCTGCATATCTTAAATAAGCGAGAGCATCAGCAACTTTTAGGCTTTTCCATGCATGCCTTTCTTTACTTGTTTTTTAATGAGGCACATTTCAGAGAAAATTGGGCAAGTCTGAGTACTTTACTGAGTATTTGTAAGCTTGTAAAAGAGCTGTGGCAGTCAAACATCACTGAGACTTGGAATGTGCACCAGGAGCCAACAATGTGCTTCACCTACTGATGTGCCCTAAAACCAAGTAGCTGCTGTTGCTTTGCATGGATGATGGATCAAAGAGGGAAAAGGCTTATCGGCTCCAAGTATTTACTTCTTGGCACTGAAGTAGTCCAGCTTCTAGTTTTAAAGTTTCAAGCGTGCACACTCATCAGTTGATGAGCACAAGACCAACTGATGACTGGCATGTATGGAAAAAAATAACCCCACATCACAGACTAATGACCTGATACTCTTTCAACTAAAGTGCTTTTTGATGGGAACACTTGATACATTTATCTTTGAGTGTGAGTCACTGAGTGATTTGATTGATGATCATGTATGTATGTATGAATGAATGAATGAACTATGAGGAAATATTACAATGTTGGGAGCTTTTTGCTCTAGGGAAAATAGTAAGAGTAGGGAGATAATAGAGGCACATTAAATTATGTATGGTGTAGATAAAGTGGATAGAAAGAAGCAGTTTCTCCCTCTCATAGTTTTAGAGCCATCCAACTTAGTGGAAGAGGAAGAACGTCACACAGGGCATAGTTTAACTGTGAAATTCTCTACCACAAGAAGTGGTGATGGCCGCCAACACGGACATATTTAAAATGGGATCGGACAAGTTAATGGAGGATAACGCTCTCAGTAGCTACTAATCATGATGGCTGTGAAGTAGCATCAGGGTGGCTCTGAGGAGCAGTCGCTGGAGAACAACTGTTAAGAGAGAATTGCTGTCCTCATGTCCAACTTGCGGCCTTCCCGCAGACATGGCTGACCACTGTGGAAAAAATGACTTTTCTTAGGTTAGGTAAAGGTAAAGGGACCCCTGACCATTAGGTCCGGTCATGACTGACTCTGGGGTTGCGGCGCTCATCTCGCTTTATTGGCCGAGGGAGCCGGCGTACAGCTTCCGGGTCATGTGGCCAGCATGACTAAGCCACTTCTGTCGAACCAGAGCAGTGCACGGAAATGCCATTTACCTTCCCGCCAGAGTAGTACCTATTTATCCACTTGCACTTTGACGTGCTTTCGAACTGCTAGGTGGGCAGGAGCTGGGACCGAGCAACGGGAGCTCACCCCGTTGCTGGGATTCGAACCGCCGACCTTCCGATCGACAAGTCCTAGGCTCTGTGGTTTAACCCACAGCGCCACCCACGTCCCTTAGGTTAACTAGTCCTAAAATGAATTCTGCATGTGCAACGGTTACCAGTTAATACTGGTAGCGGTGGCTTCTAAATTGACTCTTAGCAATGTAGAGTGACTGGGGAAATCCAGCCAGATGGGCGGGGTATAAGTAATAAATTATTATTATTATTATTATTACCGCCAGAAAATGTTTAAATCAAGTTGTCACTGTAATATAGAACAGGTCCATCATGCTGTGATATGCTATCTCTCCAGTATTTGTGCCGTTACAGACATTTCTTTTATTGTTTTAGTTATTGAATTGAAAATGGAAGATCGGAGCAAATTTCTGGATGCACTTATTTCTCTTTTGTCCTAGTGGTAAGATGGCGCTGAAGGATAATTTTTTTAAACCATTGAATCTTGAACAATTTTAGAACTCATTAAAATGCATCTGAATGTGTTCCATTTTTAAAGTTTTGTCTTTCTCCTTTTGTAAGGTCTTGATACCGTTTTATCTGTGAGTTTTACCTTATGTATATGGAATTTGTAAATAGCAATTATCTTGTATCTACCATGTTTGGTTTGTATAGCTTTGATGTGAACCTATTTTAAAGCATTGGGTGTTTAGATGTAGCCAATGCAGGTTTGTTCTTGAAAAATTTAATCAAATAAATTTTTCATTTTATGTCTTGGTTGATGTAAAATCCCTGTGCTATCTGATGATGCCGTGAACATCAATATTTTGCTGATCTACATATTACAAAAAATGGGAATACAGACCATTTCATTTTGTACTTAGGGTGTGCCATGGGTTTCACTTAGCATGAACTGGTCCACCAGTATTCAGAATTTGTAATGTGCTTTTTAATGCTTTAGTGTGTTTTGCTTCTATTTATTTTTATTTCGCAATGTTTGTATACCTCTTAATCAAAAAATATCTCTACTCGATTGTGTTTCATTGGCCACATGAATTATTGCTACTTTCCAAGTTGTGGATATTGCCTACGTCTATGACAGTAACATTGCGTGCTTTGGTTTGTTTGTTTTTGTCCATCCAGTCTTCAGTTTCTTTCCCTATCTCCATCCCCCTCTATGATGAAGCCCATGGGTGTGTCTAGAGCAGGGGTCAGCAAGCTTTTTCAGCAGGGGGCCGGTCCACTGTCCCTCAGACCTTGTGGGGGGCCGGACTATATTTTGGAGAGAGAAAATAATGAACAAATTCCTATGCCCCACAAATAACCCAGAGATGCATTTTAAATAAAAGCACGCATTCTACTCATGTAAAGACACCAGGCAGGCCCCACAAATAACCCAGAGATACATTTTAAATGAAAGGACACATTCTACTCATGTAAAAACACGCTGATTCCTGGACCATCCGCAGGCCGGATTTAGAAGGCAATTGAGCCAGATCCAGTCCCCAGGCCTTAGTTTGCCTACCCGTGGTCTAGAGCAGGGATTTCCAACCAGTAGATCACGATCTACCGGTAGATCCCTGGCTGATCCTGGTAGATCTCAAGATCCTTATTGTGTACAAAAAGTTATGGGGTGGGGAAGTAAAAAAACTCTGTCCAATCCTCCTCCCAAAAAAGCTCAACAACTCTGGGCACTTCACTGGGCAATCCACCCACCCCACACACGCTCCTCCTACCTCCAATGACAATGGGTAGATCACTGCCCATTATACTGGGAGTAGATCACAGTCTCTTGGGAGTCGGACAAAGCTGGTCTAGAGGGTGCAGATGCGGGAAAACAGAAAGGTAGGGTTCAGTAAGGATCAAAAATCTGAACAATGATGACAGCGGAAGGCAAATCTTTCAGGACTCCGGACAGAGCCCAGGGAGCAGGCAGCTTATTCTGAGAAGAACCATCTCAGCTGAGCCCCTGGCTGTCCCTCTCAAGGCTCCACCCTCTTGCTGGTTAGTGCACATCCCTTGGCTTAGAGCCTGGCGCTCCAGTGCCTCTCCAGGATCCAAGGCCAGCCTGCCCATGAAACAGGGTGAAGCAGCTGCACCATTGGCACTGCTTTCCGGCAGCATCTCACCGAAATCTCGAGAGATCTCGCAGAGTGCAAGATGATCTCACGGGATTTCTGCGAGATCTCATGAGAACTTGCTGAAAATTAGAGGCGGAGCTGGACGGCACTTCCTGTTTCTCCTCAAGTGGCGAAATGGGACAAAACACCCCTGCCAGGATCTCATTTCAAATTTTCGCCCACTAGGCGGGCACCGGACTGTGTCCTGGGTATGGGGGGGGTGGGGTTTTTGATCCCACCCTCGGCCAGCAGGGGCGCCGATTGGCGCTCCTCAGGGGGACACCCTCCACTTTTCTGATGTCCGGGCTGTGATTGGTCCAGACTCCAGCCTGGACCTATCACAGTAGGACATCATCTTCCGACTTCCTTCCCGCCCGAGCACAGTGTGCGCAGCAGCGGAGTGAAGAAGACGTCGCGACTCGAGTCACCAGGAGGACCGGAGAAGTTGTCATTTTATTTCTCTTCAGTCTCCACTGAATGCCTTGACTGGGTTAGGGACCCTTATAGCTCAGCATCAGTTGGTGGAAAGGACATGACTTTACAGGAGCAGGAGGAACTAACTGAACTGAGACAAAATCGTGGTTTCAAGCTAAGATTTGCTGATCTACCTTTGGACAGTTTTTGGTTGGATACTGCCAAGGAGTTCCCCCTTCTGGCAAACAAAGCTATTTTGACATTGCTCCCATTTTCCACTACATATCTGTGTGAGATGAGCTTTTCAAGCATGATTGCTATAAAAACTAAATACAGAAAGAGACTGAGAGCTGTTGACGAAGAGCTACGTGTGTGTCTTTCTTCGATTCCAGCCAGAATATCAGCTTTGTGTTCAGCCAAACAGGCCCAGGTTGCACACTGAATAAAGTATTTTATAATTTTTCATATTTCTGTTTACTTACTATTTCATAATAAAGTAATTATAAAATACTTTCTTTGTGTTTATTTGATTCCTATTCAAGAGAATTACTTTATATATAGTCAATATAGGCACAGAGTTAAATTTTTTAACATTTTCTAATGGTGGTGTGCCTCGTGATTTTTTTTCATGAAACAAGTGTGCCTTTGCCCAAAAAAGGTTGAAAAACACTGGGCTAGATAACCCTCAGGGTCTCTTCCAGCTCTACAGTTTTATTACTCTATTAATCCTTCCAGTTATCCATGGCTTATTTTACCGTTATTGTATATATGCCATGTTTTAACACACATTTTGCACCTGAAAATATATTTATATACCACTTTTAGAAATAGTTTTGCCCCCCCCCAGTTGTTCTCTCTCTCTCTCTCTCTCTCTCTCTCTCTCTCACACACACACACACACACACACACGAGAGATTTCAAATAAACACAAACCAGCAACATTAAAAGCAAAGGAAACAACATAAAAACAGTAGAAATCAATCGTAAGAATCCTGATGCACTTAAAGGGTTTTCAGCAACCTCTTAAAAAGCGAAAGAGGGACCTTCGTGAACCTCCTTTCGAAGAGAATTCTACAACTTCAGTGCTGCTATGGACGAGTTGTTCAACAGTTATCTCTTTTACTAATGACAGGCCAGACATCAAAACCTCTAATGGCAATCTCAAGGCTTGTTCAAGTCCCAGTATATGGAAGGGGGCCTTAAACTAACTTGGTTTAGGGCTTTAAAGAATCTACTCCAGGTCTCAATTTTAGCTGCAGGCATGTTTGCCCACCCAGGCACTTCTGGGCAAACAATTTGCCTGGCTACCACCGAAACAATCATTTTGAAAACTTTTAATAGCAGCAATCCAGATGTTGCTCTGGCAACAGGAACATCCCCTGAGCAAAGATCGACTAAAGGGTACTCTGCCATCAGAAGAAGGGAGGAGTTTCCACCCCTTTTCCTTTCCCCCATGTCACCTTCCATACTATTCAATAGAATATCAAGCCGCCCCAGCAGATTTTTAGGGTACACAGGGCTTTAGAGGGGAGGCATGAATTGATTATAATTGTCTCCTGATTGCGCCAGTACGATTTCTCCACAGGATCAAAAGCTTTCCGTTGGTGGCAGCAGCTCTTACAGTGGGAGAGAGAGACTGAATCTCAGGCAATTATTCCATGCCTCGCCCAACTACATGTGTTTGATGCAATAGGTTATAAACCTTTTATAACATTACTGGGGAAGCCCAGCCAGATGGGCGGGGTATAAATAATAAATTATTATTATTATTATTATTATTATTATTACTTTCATAACATTCCTGCTGGGAAAGTGACATTACTAGGAAATTACCAGAATGATGTACCTCCCCTAGTGAATGTTGGAAAATGGATGCTTTGAGGTGCCAGTGTGCATTTTCCTCCTACATTCTTCCATCAAATATGAAAAAGAATTACCTTTATTTCTTCAGACTCAACTCTTTATCGTTCAGAGGAGGCAGGTTTGAGAGCACTGAACTTTCTTTTGTGGAAAAATTATAGTATTCTTTATAGTTGTATGTTCATGTTGATGTTTTTGGCTTCGGCTGGAAGTTTAAAAAGCAAAATAGTTAAGGCACTAACAAATCAGCTTATGCCCTATTATGCATCTGCATTCCATTTTGCGGTGTCTGAATGCAAAAAGAGACATTCCCAAAGGATTATGTAGGAGCTGCCAAATATTTCCCCTCTGCACACAATACTTGTTTGCTGTGATAGACAATTCTTAATTATTTGCCGTACTTATTAGGTATGTTGAGATTTAAAGGGGGGTGAAAAAAGCTAAGAAATTCTCCATTCTGTTTCATGTTGCGAGCTGGCCAGTTGACTCATTAATGGGAACAGTGGCTCATGTATGGGGAATGGGCAGAGATGCCTTGTGTGAGGTGTGAACTAGGTGCCTTCACCTGAACGTATGTTTTGTTGTTGTTATTTCTAGGCTTTCCAATAGGATAAGGATACCTGATAACCTGAGAAGGATGCACATTGAGCTGGTTCGGGTATAATGCTGGGTCAGGTGTAAGCAAACATGGACCTTGGGAATGCGTCCTCCCAGGAGCAATTCTGTTGTAGAACTGTGGCTAAAGCATCAGACGATGGGGAGCCCCACATTCAAATCCCCACTCAGCTGTGATATTCACTGGGTGACTTTGGGTCAGCCACAGTCTTTTGGTCTTAGGCTAGGGGAAGAAGTACCAACCTTAGTTCTTTCGAGGAAAGCCAGGATAGCAAGAAATCTTGATAAATAATTTCCCCAACCTTAACCCAGGACCTAGAACCTGTTTCAAACTACAGTGGTACCTCGGGTTAAGAACTTAATTCGTTCTGGAGGTCTGTTCTTAACCTGAAACTGTTCTTAACCTGAGGTACCACTTTAGCTAATGGGACCTCCCGCTGCCGCCGCACAATTTCTATTCTCATCCTGAAGCAAAGTTCTTAACCTGAGGTACTACGTCTGGGTTAGCGGAGTCTGCAACCTGAAGCATCTGTAACCTGAAGTGTCTGTAACCCGAGGTACCACTGTATGATTAAATACCCTGCTTTAGAAACAAACAAAAAATGGTTAGCACTAAGCGGACAGAATTCATAGCCACAGTTAAAGAAATTGTTCTGGGAAGCAGAGAGCATTTGAGTACGGAACATGCAAGCATGGCTCCCAAGTTTCCTGACAGCTTAGCAGGGAGCCAGTGCATGGATCCACAGCCTTAGGTGTAGTTTGTGCAAACTGTAGTTGAGGTGGTGAACCTCATCCATTGGTGAGAGTTCTCATAACTGAATACTATTCACATACTGTGGCATGCTAGCATGTGACAAGTGCATGAGAAGCCCCAGTGTTCAGTGGACTCCAATAGCATCTACAGCAGGAGTCCTCAAAGTTTTTCAGCAGGGGGCCAGTCCACTGTCCCTCAGACCTTGTGGGGGGCCGGACTATATTGGGGGGGGGGATGAACGGTGGCGGAGGGACGATGAGCGACGTGCAAAGGGGCTCTGGAGA